ATGGTGGGTAACCCTCGAGTTATAGCACCGACTTTTATGGCCTCGGATTGGTATGATCGTCTACTTGATCGTTGCGACGTAGTTGATAGTGATGGTGATTCGATGCACAACACAACACTCAAAATCGCTGTACTTCCGCACAGGCTTTGTTTAAGATTCGTGGCTCAATATGACATAGACACGGCAATGCAGTGTCGTCCGTCCTGCGCAGACCCTACAAGTAGATACTAAACAGTACTCTACGAATAACTTCACCGCGCTAGTGTCCATGGTGCTCTAGTCTTTGTGCTCGTGCGTCTCACAGAAGTTGTGGACACAGACAGTCTGCTGTGTAGGGCTAGCGCTGTGAGCTTTTTTACTATAAAGGCCACCTTAACGAAGCACTGTCATATCTCGAACGTAGCGCTGTAACAAAGAATGTGTTTATCTCATTGACCTGCTTTCTACTCTGTGCAATTCATGAACGGGGCCGAAAAGCCCACGTAGATAATTTGGTGCGTATTGACAACCGTGTTTAGCCTGACAATCGAGACAAAGCGCTCAGCAGTCTGCACAGATGGTGGGTAACCCTCGAGTTATAGCACCGACTTTTATGGCCTCGGATTGGTATGATCGTCTACTTGATCGTTGCGACGTAGTTGATAGTGATGGTGATTCGATGCACAACACAACACTCAAAATCGCTGTACTTCCGCACAGGCTTTGTTTAAGATTCGTGGCTCAATATGACATAGACACGGCAATGCAGTGTCGTCCGTCCTGCGCAGACCCTACAAGTAGATACTAAACAGTACTCTACGAATAACTTCACCGCGTAGTGTCCATGGTGCTCTAGTCTTTGTGCTCGTGCGTCTCACAGAAGTTATGGACACAGACAGTCTGCTGTGTAGGGCTAGCGCTGTGAGCTTTTTACTATAAAGGCCACCTTAACGAAGCACTGTCATATCTCGAACGTAGCGCTGTAACAAAGAATGTGTTTATCTCATTGACCTGCTGCCGATTGCAATTCATGAACGGGGCCGAAAAGCCCACGTAGATAATTTGGTGCGTATTGACAACCGTGTTTAGCCTGACAATCGAGACAAAGCGCTCAGCAGTCTGCACAGATGGTGGGTAACCCTCGAGTTATAGCACCGACTTTTATGGCCTCGGATTGGTATGATCGTCTACTTGATCGTTGCGACGTAGTTGATAGTGATGGTGATTCGATGCACAACACAACACTCAAAATCGCTGTACTTCCGCACAGGCTTTGTTTAAGATTCGTGGCTCAATATGACATAGACACGGCAATGCAGTGTCGTCCGTCCTGCGCAGACCCTACAAGTAGATACTAAACAGTACTCTACGAATAACTTCACCGCGTAGTGTCCATGGTGCTCTAGTCTTTGTGCTCGTGCGTCTCACAGAAGTTATGGACACAGACAGTCTGCTGTGTAGGGCTAGCGCTGTGAGCTTTTTACTATAAAGGCCACCTTAACGAAGCACTGTCATATCTCGAACGTAGCGCTGTAACAAAGAATGTGTTTATCTCATTGACCTGCTGTGCAATTCATGAACGGGGCCGAAAAGCCCACGTAGATAATTTGGTGCGTATTGACAACCGTGTTTAGCCTGACAATCGAGACAAAGCGCTCAGCAGTCTGCACAGATGGTGGGTAACCCTCGAGTTATAGCACCGACTTTTATGGCCTCGGATTGGTATGATCGTCTACTTGATCGTTGCGACGTAGTTGATAGTGATGGTGATTCGATGCACAACACAACACTCAAAATCGCTGTACTTCCGCACAGGCTTTGTTTAAGATTCGTGGCTCAATATGACATAGACACGGCAATGCAGTGTCGTCCGTCCTGCGCAGACCCTACAAGTAGATACTAAACAGTACTCTACGAATAACTTCACCGCGTAGTGTCCATTCTCTAGTCTTTTCTCGTGTCTCACAGAAGTTATGACACAGACAGTCTCTGTTAGGCTAGCCTGTAGCTTTTTACTATAAAGGCCACCTTAACGAAGCACTGTCATATCTCGAACGTAGCGCTGTAACAAAGAATTGTTTATCTCATTGACCTGCTGTGCAATTCATGAACGGGGCCGAAAACCCACGTAGATAATTTGGTGCGTATTGACAACCGTGTTTAGCCTGACAATCGAGACAAAGCGCTCAGCAGTCTCACAGATGGTGGGTAACCCTCGAGTTATAGCACCGACTTTTATGGCCTCGATTGTATGATCGTCTACTTGATCGTTCACTAGTTGATAGTATGGTGATTCGATGCACAACACAACACTCAAAATCGCTGTACTTCCGCACAGGCTTTGTTTAAGATTCGTGGCTCAATATGACATAGACACGGCAATGCAGTGTCGTCCGTCCTGCGCAGACCTCACAAGAAGATACTAAACAGTACTCTACAACTTCACTGCGCTAGTACAACAGGTTGTCTGCATTCATAACTATAATTAGTCGCACGAGCATAGAGATCAGAGCACCATGGACACTACGGAATTAACTTTAAGGCTAGCAGAACGTGACATCGAGCTTGTGTTGTTTCAAACGAATCTCTATGTAGACTGAGGCCTTTCGTTTCCTCGCCAAAAACGTGACATGAATCTTCTGATGTGACAGTTTGTTACTAACGTGGATACGGATGTATTGCACATGTTTTGTTGGCTTTGCATCGTTGCGTTCGTCAGACGATTCATTGCGTTTGTACAACACCATGCCACTGGACCTTTCGTTCTTAACGATCGGTGTGTCTTTTACGCAAATCAATTGGACTGGACGGTAAGAATACAAAAGCCAGTCAAGCAATCGCGTTTGGGTCGGCGGCATTGTTGTCTCCTCATTCCAATATTCGCTTCCAAACACTCGAATCTCGACTCAATTCATCCCCAGCATGTCCACGACGCGTAATCAACATAAGAGGCTGTACTGGTACACAGTACTAGCAACGATCACGCTACTGACATATTGGAGCACTCTACCGAAGACTGCAGACTCCGACACGGTCATCGCTGGTTCTTTGCAGTATGCGCTTGGTATTCATCAGAGCAACACAAGGGTCAAGAGGCACCTGCGGTCAAGCTCTGACACGACGGCAATTGACGTCGATGACAATGAAGACAGAGCGCTTCGCATCAACTTCGAACTTCCAACTTTGAAGTTCCCGGATGTGGCTAAGAAAGCAAGCCAGAAGGCTTTTGACGCTTTTGACGCTTTTGTGATTGCTACACTTCCGAAGAGCCAAAAAGCAAATGCCATACGTTTTAAGAGGCTAAATCTTGACAAGGTATCAAGCTACGAGGATGCGGAAAAACTCGCTAAGTCCGGCAACTTCGAAAAGTGGATCAACGGTGAGATAAAAGTGTACAAGAACACAGAGAAGGCTGAGGAGGCCATGGTTTCAACGCTTGTGCGTTTGGCCGGCAAAGACAAAGCTATCATGATTTTAGCAGCTGGAAGTAAAGACTCAAGGTCAAAAGAGATCGCCACGAAGTTGGAGAACCGTTTGCTGAGTCAATGGATGAACTTTGGTCGTCGTAACAATCTTTATAAGCTACTAACTTTTGGCAAGACTGGTCTCGACTTTTGGGAAAGTTCGCAATGGGAATCGTTTGTCGCTGAAGCGAAAAGGAAAAAGCAGAATGAATTTGACCTGCTGGTTAAGATTCTTAGTGCCGCATTCCAGTGACGAGAAAGTGTTCCAGATATTAGCGTCTGGAAAGACGATTCCAAGCGTCGAGCAAGATGCCAAATGGTTGGAAGAGAGTCTGCTGAGAGAGTGGATGAAAGATAGTCAATATGACGGTCTTTATCAGCTACTAACTTTTGGCAAGACTGGTCAAGACTTTTTTACAAGTCCGCAATGGAAACTGTTTTTCGATGAAACGGAAAAGCAGACTAGATTTAAGCTGCTGGGTGAGATTCTTAAGCCGCATTCCAGTGACGAGAAAGTGTTCGAGATATTAGCGTCTGGAAAGACGATTCCAAGCAGTCAAGCAAGATGTCGAAAAGCTGGAAAAGAGTCTGCTGAGAGAGTGGATAAAATATGGTCAAGATGACGGTCTTTATCAGCTACTAACTTTTGGCAAGACTGGTCAACGACTTTTTGACAAGTCCGCAATGGAAACTGTTTTTCGATGAAACGGAAATAAAAGCAGACTAGATTTAAGCTGCTGCGTAAGATTCTTAAGCCGCATTCCAGTGACGAGAAAGTGTTCGAGATATTAGCGTCTGGAAAGACGGATTCCAAAAGTCAAGCAAGATGTCGAAGAGCTGGAAAAGAGTCTGCGGAGAGAGTGGATGAAAGATGGTCGTTATGACGGTCTTTATCAGCTACTAACTTTTGGCAAGACTGGTCACGACTTTTAAAAAAAAAAAAAAAAAAAAAAAAAAAAGGAAAAAAAAATGAAAAAAAAAAAAAAAAAAAATTATATAAAAAAAAAAAAAAAAAAAAAAAAAAAAAAAAAATGTTTAAAAAAATTAAAAAAAAAAATTAAAAAAAAAAAAAAAATAAAAAAAAAAAAAAAAAAAAAAAAAAAAAAAAAAAAAAAAAAAAAAAAAAAAAAAAAAGAAAAAAAATAAAAAGAAAAAAAAAAAAAAAAAGGTGTTTAAAAAGGTTTTTTATAATAAAAAATTTTGGAAAAAAAAAAAAAGACTTTTTAACAAGTTCGCAATGGCTATTGTTTGTCCAAGAAGCGGAAAGGTAACAGAAGTATAGATTTAAGCTGCTAGTTGAGATGTTCAAGCCGCATTCCGGCAACGATAAAGTCACTCGACGTCGAAAGAAGCTGCCGAAAGTGGAAGAAGAGACTCTGTCAAAGTGGATGCAAAAACCTGATCGTAGAGCAGGGCTTTTTCGGCTTTTATTTTTTGACACGGCTAACATCGAGAAACTTGATGCTTCGCAAATCGATTTCGTTTTTGAAAAATTAGGAGTACCGACGAAAGATCGAGACGAGCTTTTGTTTACGGCGCTTCAATCGCACCTAGACGATGACAAAGCTAGCAGAACTGGTTGCTGTGTCCAAACGCGACGATTCTTCAAAGGACCTTGCGACTAGAATGGAGCTTATGCTGAAGTCGCGTGGGAAGAGTCTGGTGTGAGCAGAAAGCCATCTACAGTGGGCTTTTATTTTGCGCTTTTAGCCAGATGAACTTCTACAAAGTCCGGAATTGAACACGTTTGTGGCTTTTGGAAAGCTGTTACATGAAGATGAGCAAAACAAATGGAAAGACGTCTTGCTAGACAAATGGATGAGTAAAGAGCCTGATCTGTCGACACTAGAGAAGATTTTTGCAAAGCACAGTAATGGCATTAACGCGGAAGCTGTGCGAGTATTAAAACTTCGACTGCTGGAGAAGATTAAAGAGGAGAAGCTGGATTAGGTGTAGACGAAGAGGATACGAGACTGGTTTGAAAAAGCGGAAGCTACGAAACGTGCCGAAGATGGTTCTTGAGCTCAAAGATGAAGCCAGAATTAGATTTCTGCGTCTACTATGGTACACATGGATCTTATTATATACTGCTGCGTAAACTGGTAGATGAAGAAACATTGCAGCGCTCGAATTGCTCAGTGCTGAAGGCGGAACCAGTTTGTGACGAAGTGGCGGCCATCAAGAGGCTGATAGGTGGCAGGTGCAGAGGCGGTTTTGGAACAAAGATCAATACGATGGCGTGGTGTCTGATATCGAAAGCATGTGCAGCGGCGAAAATGTCGTAATAGACAGCGGAGTTAGCGAGGTATGGCAGCGTCTGCGATACAGTGACAAGCGCTTTGCGATTGCATTCACGGTCTCGATTTTTCATGGCTACATCGTCCAGTAGCATCATCCAGGACTCGTCGTTCAGCAGCAGATGGTCGGTCCATCGTCTGTGGTATATACACACACTGAATGGTCAATAACAACTTGATGATGACGGACCTGAAACCAGCTAAGCAGAGCACTGATCACTTCCTGCTACGTATGTTATCCAAACCTGCAAGAATCGATATCAAAAGGTAAAAAGCAGCTATCAAATGAATCGCCTTTAGCTCAACCCTCTGCAACGTTTTTAAACCTTATAAATAGATAAATAAAACCTCAATCCATTCTTACTTTGCCAGTATTTTATCCCCCTCCCTCCCCCCATTAAGAATATAAACGATGTTGCTGAACAATTTAATGTTTTGGATGATGGTGGTCGAGGCAGTCATTTGTCTAATGTTAACTCTTCCATTTGGTCAGTGGTTATCTTACACTATGATGTCGTTCTTAATGAAATACCTGGATGATAAAAACTCTCCAGTCAATACTATGGCTACAATTGTGCTTGCCTTATTTGCGATTCTTTCTTCTTTGTATGTAAAATATCTTACTAGCTTGGTTTCTTACTGATGATGATGTAGTTGTTTTTGTAGCTGTACGACTAATAATCCAAGAGATATGATCAAGTTTTTCTAATTGTTGTTGTATTTGTTTTGTATTTTCTTATGTGTAGCAAACGTGTCAACAGTTTACAAGCACCACCTATAGGATGAAGTACTAGACGACGGAATGCGTATCCGTCTTCTCACTGAACAGCCGGATATGTAGAATCTGTGAAGTTTTGTTGGCAAGATTGTAATTATACTTGTTTAGGTGCGCGAGATGACTGAGTGATCTCAGTGCTGCGTAAAGTTGTTCTCAGTGCTGCGTACTCATCTGGTCAAGAAGTGCCAAGAAAAGCAATCGCGCTAAACTGTTATCACAAACACAGAGAAGACCCATAACTTGTCACCTACGGCCGCACAGACCCGTCCAAACCGCGAGATGCAGCTGATGCGATACGAAAACACAATACCATATGTGGCAATTGGTGTTGCAGTTTGAATACCGATTAGTAGAAGTGATGGAGAACACCAGATGACAAATATTGTCAAAAGCAAGACAAAACACACGAAAGTCAAGAGAATCAATGAAAGATGAAGAAGAGTAAAAGTTGACACTGTTCAACAAACGCAACAGCTTGACGGTGACTGTAGAACAGCAGACGCAAAATATGTTGACAACAAAAAGCAGCATTTTTGCTGCCGAACGCTGAGCGAAAAATAATGTAGTGACGGACGTATCCAATGTTGCAGCCGGAGAAGAGTAGCGGATGCGGTGCTAGAGCAGCATACGAGGAAGGAGAAGCACGAGCTTTTGGTGACCATCTTGCGCTTATGGTATTGTCTGTCTCCTCATAGAGTTTGATTACGAAGGGAGTGGTACGGCCAACGATTATGGACTTGCCATCTCTGATGCTTCTGTTGGGCTTGTAGTTGTTACTACGATCCTCGTGGTCAAATCTCGCATTAGTGTTTATTCTGGACAGTTCTTGGTGAGTAGTTGGATCTGCATGCATGTTGCATGTGTTGATGGTGCTGGAGATGGATAGCAAAGGCAAGTACTCTCCAGCGTCATTATTGGCCCAGTTTGCAGCTACAGCATTTGCGGAGTAGCAACAGAGTCTGTACTGTCTTCTCGTAAACCAGCGTACCGACTGCCATCTGAGGCCGCATCAGGTCCGCTCTCTGACTACAGCTTGGGAGTCCCAACTAGAACCATCATCAGATATATCATCACTGATGCGCAGATAACTTTGAACAGTGTACCAAAATGCCCTGGATGCTTGGTATCACATCTTCCAAATGCTAGTTTCTATTAGTCCTCCACCGTCAACTGTACTACGAAACTAAGATAGCCATCAGAACTACAATCAGCAAGTGACTCACTATTAACTTTGCAACGAAATGTCAATTGGATTGCGAGCCTCGCAACAAGACTCCATAGGGAAGCATAGGTACTGTTTGTAGCCTTTTCCCACCCATAGCTAGTTGGACTGGTAGAGTAAACCTGCTGGACGCATCAGCGTCACTACCTCCATGCGATCAAGCCCTAAAGGGGTGCTTCATTTTTGACCCACGCTTCAGCTACAGCCTCATATTTTGCATCCGTAAGAGCTGACGAGTGTTAGTACTGATGAGTCAAAGATAGTTACAGCACATGAAGCAAGTTGTTTGACGTCAAACATTAAACTACTTGTAATCAATGCTAAACTCGTGGGTGTCAATTGATTTGTCGTACCGCAGTGTCCGCACCAATGCCGTATGTGTACTATGTAGATCGTACGTTGATCACCAACCCCAAAGAGTAAGGACAAAGCTTACACTACCAGACCCAGTAAGTCTACCTTGGATCGCTATATCCATACGCGGCTGAAGAAGACAGTGACAAAGTTACAAGGAAAATGACACATCTGCACATCAGTCACTGTAGCAATGCATAATACCTCTGACCTCAACGCTGCTATGCCGGCAAAATATACAAAGTAAGCAGCAGCTATGTAGTCATCTCTAGACCTTGTAACTTTGCAACGCCTTGGTGCAGACTGCGCTATTCTGTCGAGAGTCATAGGCCAAAAAACAGTTTCTATTCAGAGTCGCCGACATTACACTGTAATTATGATTGCAACAATTACTATCACTATCAAAAACTATAGATTTTGTATCCTGCTCGCTCTATGTCTAGCATTTCTTGCTAAAACCTCAATCCTTGCAAGAAAGAAGTGTATCTCTGATACTGGTCTCTTGAAGACGTGGCTGTTTTCAACCAAATGGCACAAGCTTGTTAAGCTAGCTTTAGGAGTTGTTTTGAACAGTGTGAAAACGTGTTTGAGAGACGTTGGGTTTTATGCTGACTCCCAAATGATCTTGGCCTCGTTGCTGCCCATGGTAGCAGGCAGGATAACAGGACAGGACACTGCGCAATACCGTACAATGGCTTAATGCTGTTGAGCATGAGAAACGAAGGCAATACTCCTCAAGGCTAAGAACCCTAAGATGTAAAGCTCTCTAGAGCGTGTCTTTGTCTAAACTTAGTGCATTAGTAGCTTTGCTGCAGTGACTGACACTTTTCTGCGGCTTTTTTTAGCTGGGCTGTAGGTATCAAGCCTACTAGAGTCACCTGCATTGTCAGTAACTGTGGATCTGTCTCTTCGTAGTGCTGTATGTGTCTGTGAAAACAGTTGAAGCTTCGGTAGTAAGTTGCAAATAACTACTTACGTGTTCAGACTATGATGAAATAACTGCTACTTAATCCTGTCTTGCACAGTCTCTGGAGCTACAACAGTCACTGGTATGGAGGGGGTTCTCAAGACTGCATAGTGAGACCTCAATCCACTCACTGTGCCGGACTGCTGACTGTCGGACGGGGTACCCCAATGCCGCGTGTAGACCTTCTCTCACCTTGTGTACCCGTCGGGTGGCGGGTTTTACTCTTTGGAGGACTTGATTGAGATGTGATGTCGGCTTAGAGAGGTAGACCTTGGGGTGCCTCGAGTTGGTATACTTCACTCGGTAGGCAAGTAGGTGGTCACTCGGTCGACTAAGTCGAGGGTGGACTTATAACCAAGTTCTTTAGGGGAGATTCTCAACCCTGGCCTTTCCTTCCTTTTTCTTGATATCTCAGGGGTGTTAACCGCTTGGCCTTTACTTGCTCCCGAACCAGAAGCGGAGACCACTTCCGATTGCGGGTCGATTGGGGGGGGGGGGTGCTACTCCGACGAACCTACAGGTCAAATATATTCTGGGGCTCTATTCACACTTAGGTCTTACCACACGACTGTCTTCGACGGGGGGCCAAAATACATCCCTTCTCGGAACAGGTGGGTAGACATATGTACGTTCCTTGTGAGAACGGCGAAGGCTTGCTACATAGATCGTCAATTAGGTAGTATTTAATATAGTCCTATCTCTTAACCCCTATACTCTATCTTTACCCGAAGACCTGATTCTTGATTACGCTTGGCTAGGATATCTGGAGCTCTGGCCCGAGGTCGATCTCAGGGACCGGAGCCGCGAGTCGATCGACCGAAGGACCAAGGTCTATCGACGAAGAACCGAGGTCCGTCGACCTATTACCAAGGTCGACCTTCAAAGACCAGGGCCCAAGGGTTCATAGGCCAAAGATCGAGATCTTCCTTTATGGAAGACCGAGGTCTACCAATGATAGATTAGGGTCGACCTTGAAGGACCGAAGTCCACCTTAAGGAACCGCGGTCCATCAGGCTAACCGTGGTTAACTCTTTTGAATAGTGGCCAACAGACACACTTTGACCGTAAATTCTTTCCATCCAACGGTTGTTCCCCTTCCCCTTTAGCGCTTTTTCTCCCGGTCTCTTACCCAAAGGTCGGTCCTCCTTGGCAAGTCTCTTCTCTTTGGCCCACTGGTCCTCTGACTTCCCAGTTTTCAAACGCTTCACCACATCACTATCTGCTGCAAGATCAGTATCATTCACTACCTTGGTGCGAAATATTTTGGTACCTGCTAGAATCAGCAGGCTGGTCCATGACTGAGAGTAAACATCGAACTTTTCAGTGTTGGTTTAGACGCAACTTAAAGTATCTGTATAGCTCTGAGCTGTTCCTCAAATTGGTCAAGCCCATCTGCCATCCAGAAAGCTTCTGCCCGAATAGCAAGCCTAGCGAAACCCGTAATAGCTAGTTGGAGACATCTCCTGCCGAATAGCACATAACGTAGCAAGGAAACGCTGACTATAGCCAACCAATGTTGATAACCAAGCATTAGCCGGACCATCTGTCTTATTGCCTGACACTTGCACTTCCGATGACACGTTTGATACACTCTTAAACTTAGTGCGGAAGTTTGGAGGCTGCGACATGTTTCTTTTTAGTCATACTAACTTGTTCAGCAGCATATTAGTCAGCTACTCATTGCTAGCGAATCTCATCGAACTGCAAACGAAGAGTTAGCGTGCACACTTAAGGCTTAAATAAAAGACAGCATTGCCTTAGTACGAGGTTGTAACGGGGCGAGAGCTCCGTTACGTAGCTTACACTAAAGTCTTATGAGGAAGCGTAAGAAGTATGCAATTTACTTGCATACTTAAGACTATTTGATCTCTGTTTATTATTATAAAGGTTGGATCAGAAATTCTAAACCTTGTGAACTTCTCAAATACGTGTCGAATATTAACTGGGTGAAATGGGGTTAAACCTCACTTTCAACCAATCAAATAATGACACTAAAAGATACGCTATTCGCATCTTTCCCTTTTCCTACTTTATGTAATATTGTCAATATTGTCTACCTAATTATGCATAATAATGGGACCATTATTATTGCCATATCGTACTTGATAAGGCGTGTAACGCCGTTTCAGAGGTAGTTACAGCATTCCTATGTCTAGAGCTTCTAGATGGTAAAGGTAAGTTGAAACCTCCATGGTGCTATTGGGACTTCAAAAGCGAGGTCACCGAGAATGTTTTTTTACTGTCCGAATAATCTTCCGCCGACCCCTATGAAGGTCGTTTGCGTTAACCCAGACACTGCATCTACAGCAAATATAAGAAGTTTTGCAAGTGGGGTAGCATAGGTGAGTCTTTGGTCGATGTCAGACACTCCATCATTCTCTGTTATTCTCTCGATTCTATAATCGTTGCGCGTGGACAGGTTCGCTGTGATACTGATCGCTTGGCCTAGATTAAGTTTAAGATCCTGTGCCATTTGCACGTATTACAGAGCTAAGTGTCCTAAGAAACTTGCATAAAGAGCTGTCATCTAAGCTGTAGCCGAGATACTGTAGCAACGCCATAAAAAAACTAAGTGCATAGGCCAAGAGCTGCATGTCTTAGGGTTCTTAGGTCTCTTAAGGAAAGATTGTGCCTTTTGGTTGAGAACAACCACGTCTCTAAGAGACCAGTATCAGAGATACACTTCTTTCTTGCAAGGATTGAGGTTTTAGCAAGAAATGCTATACATAGTAGGTTTACAACTGATTTGTTTATATGTTTATCTTTTAGAACTAAATATTGAAGCACCTATTCTATGCTTAGTGCTAGTCACTATTTATCCGGCCCTGTCGCCACCTATATGTAAACGTGTATAGTCATTTACACTGAAACTAAGTACAATGACCACGTGGCTTTATCTCAGCCACGACGTGACCCTTCGTACCTTAGGTACAGTCACATCAACCTGCCACTGAACCCAAGGTACAGCCGGTGTGTCAAGTGTGTATATACAATACACACCTATATGTAAACCCGTTACATTCTACCCACCAATTCGTCGGAGACGGCGTATCCACGATTTTCAAACTTAATGTGAAGTTCTGTCGAATTAGTTCTTCTCACTTTGCTTGCCTCGCAATAAGTGCCTCGGACTTGCGTATAAAGCTTTTGTATTACGACACTCGCTCTTTGAGCATATGTGCTTTGCAATCACGCTTCTAAGCACCCTAGTGTTTCAACACTTGCTACTTTAGTATACAGTGCATTACACTCACGCTGAAGCATTTTTGTGTTACGACACGTTTTGATGAAGGGTTAAGTGTCTATCACTTGGTATGAAACCCTTTAGTACTTGCTTATACCGCATTAATTGCCTAGCACTTGCTTTGAAGCATTACAGTGTTCTGAACACTTGCTTATTAAGCGCTATCCGTATTGCACTGCTCCATCATAGATGAAGCAATGCACCGTGACATCTTTAGAACGATGACATTAATGTTGCCTCTAGGGCAGCGGTGACGAGCTGGCGGGTCATCTTACCCAAGATCACCACGCTCAACAAACGAAAGACTTCGGTACCCTTCGGTGTCCTCTTCCCCAAGCGGAACAATTGCGTTGCGCCTTACACCACCGCTTTCCTCTCGTGAGGGTGATGAAGAGATATCTAATCCTCGTGACGCTGCAAAACTTCGTCAACTCAATGCCGAGACCCGAGCGGCCTCCTAAGCACAAAAGTGCATTTTCACGTCGTGATCATGGATTCGTACCTCAGGACCAATGAGAAAGCTTGACGAGCTGCATCACAATCCTTGCTTACTTATGACAATGGGTCTCAAGCCAGCACTGCTTGCGAGGTTGTGGACCGTGCCGCGCTTTGTAAGCGTATCATTACTTAACAGGAGTTTACAATCATATTGTAATGGGGCAACATATTAAAGTAAGTAGTTGTATGGTTTTATTATATACCGATATAAGTAGGTATATGCAGTATCCGAATAGCGGATACTGCACGTTATTTACTATTGCGCTATTATTGGGGTGCCAGATCCAATAATTAGCCAATAGTAAATCGACCCACATTAATTGGTTCTCACGAGAAGAGAACCCCTTCGTACTTAGTACAAGTTATGAACAAAAATATAAACAGAGTTAATGTTACCTTACTTACACAAGAACAGCGCTTCCTCAAAGCTTAATAGTGTAAGACGGTAGCGGGCTCTAACCCCGCTGCACCGGATAGCATTTATAAGTCCTTGCCATGACCAAGTACAAGATAAGCATGGACAAATCTCCGATCACTACAGCGGTTTCGCTGGGGCATGCTGACCTCCCTCATCTTACCACTGATGAATGGCGGCCTTGCGGCGGTGTCTGGTGAAATCTTCGTAACATCGCTGCTGAGCACAGCGACGCCCGAACAACACCGTGCCGTCATCCAAGACTACATGGTGCGCGAGCTTACCGAAGCGAATCGGCGAGTACACTCCCTCGCGCACCTCCCATCATGATGCGATCAAAATGAAGACGTCCACGTAATCAATTGATGGCTCGGATCGTCTTCCTCCTTATTTCTATTTTCAGGAGATTGATATCGCGATAGCGTCTAGGTTTGATAAACGCTCCGACGGCCAAGGTTAAGTTCCTGCTATCACGGCTTGCCGGCAAATCCAATAATGGGACCTTTGAAAAATTGTCTAGGACGAGTCTGCGGTCCCCACGCTGGACGAGATCGGCGCGATTTGCTACTGGCGTTCGAACCCTCTCAAGATGAGTCACGCTTGCGTGAAGACTTCTTTAGATTTCGACAGGGCAAGCTGTAGATGCGTGACTACGTGCAGAAAAAACGACATCTTGTGTCGTGTATTACCACACAGCCGATCGACATAACCTCACAAGTACATGTCTTTGTCTTCGGTATGCAGGAAAGCATGACGCGTTATTGCCTCACACGTGCTGAACGGAAGATTTGCAAGAACGCAGTTGCCCTTGCGCTTCGTGATGATTATACGGTCGCGTCGTCATACTTGCACGTAACGTCGCAGCGTCCGCGTATGCCTGGCCCAGAGCTTATGGAAATTGCCGCAATTTGATGCATCACGTGGTCGCGACAATCGATTTGGCCGCGACGTTTGTAGTCAAGACACGATGAAGTGTTTTTGATGCGGCAAGACAGGTCATTTTGCGGCCGACTGCCGAGCACCAGCGTCGGTGTCCATGAAATCAGCTGTTCCACGTGAAGATACGTGTCGTCGGTGGTCCCGCCATAGAACGATTGGTTACAGTAGGCGCGGGGTGTCCTAATGGCAGGAAGGAAGTACGGAGTACTCCAGTGGCAGCTTGGACTCCCAGCCACAAATTAATCCATACCCTCTCACTTCAACGCCATCACCACGCTTGGCGACTCGAGACTGATCATCATCAGTCTCATCATTGCTGGACTGAAGCGACCACTTCGAGCGTTGTTGGATTTGAGGGCATTCAACAACGTCTTTCGAGCATCGTGTTTGTCCCTTCTACCGTCTTAGATTACGGTTCGAGAAGGTGCAAGCGACATCGTTGTCTAACTTGCTGATGGATAGCCGCAGCGTGTTCCGCGCAAAACAGTGGTTTTGCCGTGTAGGTTTGACGGTTTTCAAAGCAATAATGCGTTTCTGGTGTACGAGATAAATTACGCATTAGATTGCATCTTGTAGATACCGTGGATGTCACAATATCAGCCGACGATAGATCGGCTATCTCGGTCCGTCTAACGACGAAGTGGATACGACGTGAGTAAAGCGTTCACTCATTTGTTGATTGGGTCATCTGTTTGGCCTCACGTATCGTCGTGGACGAACTCACCACGACTAGAAGTCATCTCAGAAAAAACGATGGCCCTCTGTGTCCGGTATATCCAGTCGCATAGAACCACAAGACGAGGCGGTCGTACAGAGTCTCCCGCATACACAGACATCGTTTGAATAGAGGTTCACGATTCATAACGACGCGGTCAAGCAGGGGCTCCCGCACACTACTACATCAAATGAGCAGAGGCTCCCGGTTGATGACGAGGTGATCGAACAGAGGTTCTTGCGTACACTGACATCGGTCGAACAGTGGTTTCCGTACACTACATCTGAGGCGGTCGACGACGAGCTTCCGCCTTATATTGACGAGAATGCACGGACTGTGGGTCCGTATGTGACCAACATGGTGGTAACTGTGCCTTCACGTCTAGCGGGGAGTATGTCATCCTCCAGCGACAGCAATGTGCCAGCCTCGAGAAACGGCTCGAGACGCAAGAAAGGGGCATGACGATCGCCGAGACGACGATATTCCGTAGTGATGAAGTCCATAGGCGATCTCGATTATGTGAAGGCTCTCCATATCTCGGTCGCCACATTGAGGTAGTGATCCCTCCGTGCACTGCTGCTGCGATCCTATCTCTATCAGCCCTACCATGGAAAGATTTTCTCCATACTCTCAAGGCCGGCAACATCGAGCAAGTGTGCATCGTTATTACCGACGAATCAGTTACAGAAGAAGTTTTGGAGGCTCTCCCTACTGCTGCAGCTTGTAAAGAAGGTGAGCTGGCTCCTGTTTTGCCGCGCGAATCCATTCCTCGGTGCTACTACGCTCAGGCGGAAGGGAAACTTGAGCCGGTGATGTTCAGAATGACGCGTGCTGCTGCCAGGAGAGCCGGAGGGCCGACCATGCGGCTTTAGAGCAGTAGGGGTCCCCCGTCCTCACTGGGTGACACACACCTGTCATGGGCTCCACCTCTTCTGGTGGCGGTTCCAACGTGATAAGCATTATTCGCCAAATCTGTTTATCTTTGTAATAATCACTTGTTAGTGACGGTAGCAGTTGAATTGTAAGCATAAGCATGTAACCATCTTCATCCATGAAGAACGATGGTCACTTTCGATGAAGTTGAGTTTACAAGGATGATAGTATTTACAAACGTTGTTCACTTCATTCATCGTCTACTAAGTCCTATATGAACCAGATCCAATATATTTGACTATATAACTTCACACTTGCACTTCATCGTCAACAAGTGCATACTCTTCCATACCTTCTCCATCCTGATCCAATTGTTCATATCGTCGTTTTGCCTCCTGGTGCGCTAAACACGCAGCAAAAGGACGACGTACACAACTCATAGTATAGCCAGCTAAAGCACCAACTTGTGTATACAACTGGGTCATCCGACTACCTGTTTCAAGTTGCCATGCGGTAATCTCGTCCTTTAGACTTTGCGCACGGTCTTTCTCGCCCGCAGCTCGTGCTACCGAGTCATGGACAGGAATACCACTGCATACCAATCCTGATCCTTTGTCTTTCTTCTCAAGCGACGATGGTAGATCAATTGTAGATGGACGTAACAAATGGGACCCAAAAAGCTTTGAGGCACGACCACTAAACACGACCCGCGACGGAGATTGCAACCCATTTTTCACAGCTTTCAGAGGACTGTCAACCTTTACCAACCTACGGTGGATCGGCTTAAGAACAGTCTCGTGTGAATTCGTATTTAACCTGCACATTGGTAAATATACCACATTCATGTTCTGTTCAGCATCAGAAAGCGGCTGCTGGTTCTTCACTCGCATGGTCGGATCCAACTCCATTGCTAAAACTTGCAACCACATCCGTCCTTGCTCGGCATTGTATACAGAACCAATGGCAGATAGAATTGCGCCGTTTCTGACGCAAAACAGCTCTTTGGCAGAGCACGAAGCCTCAGCATAAGCCGACAGCATATTTTCTGGTAGACTTCCTGTCACTTCTTCCGTCTGGTTACTGTTCGTCGTCTGCGGTCGTGTATCGTCCAACGAAAGCGAGATCTGGTAATACTGTTTCGGATTCATCTTTCCAGGTGGAGGAATTTCCTGGACCATGCATGTGTTGGTCTTGGCGTTCGACTGGATCGCGTAGCCATACCGAACGGGTGTATCAAGACATTCAAACTCATCTTCCTCCTCCTTGGATTCTTCCGCATTGCCGATAGGACTGCTCTTTGTGTTCTTGTCCTTGCCAGTGTCGTCTCCAGCACTACTACTGACACAAGCTGACTTTTCTGAAGGCAGTGCCACTCGAATCCAAATGTTTCCTCGATCGTTGAGAATGCGCTGAGTGGACGAGAACACAAAGCCTGGGTCAAGATGACCAACAATCTCAGCTTGCAGGTCTGCGGTGCGGCGCAAAGGCAGTGGACGACGACTGTACACCGTGCGGTAGAACCGTTCAGCGTCATCATTTGCTGGCACATCACTGATACGGTCGCTTCCCCATGGCACCACCACTCTCTGAGCTGTGTTTGCATTACGCTCAATAATCCATGCGTCTGCGACACAAGTCCCGTTCGTCCGATTGTTCCTCTCCTGATTCTCACATTCTGCTCCAGCTTCTTCTTCTTCTTTGCCACTCGTCTCACTGCTATGCTGCAACTCTTCTGGCTTTTTCAATGGCTGAATACGTATCCACACACGGTCTTTTAGCAACTTGCGCTCAATGGCACGGACGACTCGGAAACTCTCAACATTGTATAACCGTGGTGCTTGAAGACTAGGAATTGCGCGGACGGGCAATTCGCCGGCCCATTTGCCTCCTCCTCCTGCCACATTCTGCATATAGACCGGTCCATGACGAAAACACCCAGTCTCTCTCGGGTCTTCTACTTCAATCAGTGTCTTATGGAACGACGCATTGATCCAGCCACCCAGCCCAGCAAAAGCCGACGTTACCTTAACAATCAATTGCGTAAAGTCCTGATTAAACTTGCATTCTGTAGCTTGAAATACACTCACAGGTGGTAAAAATCGCTGCAAGTGACAAGCTGTTGTTGAACTAGAGTCGGTAGATGACGATGATGAAACTGATGCTGCGTGGAGATTAAACACTGGCTCTTGATACAGCACTAAACGGTCACGCGCACACATGTACGTTGGAAACTCTATCCACAACATTCATAATCATACCATTAGATAAGCATACAACATCTTCATACCGATAGTGTATACTCGTATACATACATACATACCAGGAAGTCTCCGCATATATCGAAATTGTGCCGGCTGCGCTGTGACGACCGAAGTACGCTGACGAGGTGGTACATCACTACCATATATGACTGTAGAACCAGTAGGAAATTCCAAGTAGACACGAATATACCCATTACTCTTTGCATTAGAAAAATAACCACGACGAATTTGAAGCCACACATTATCGTCATAGTAGAGAATAGTCGAGCAAGCAAAATATGAGCCCACACGCAATTCTCCACAACGTTCAATTTGATTTTCATGTGGAGAGGAATAGACAAACATACGTTCATGATTTAATAAGGCTGAAGCTGATGCAATGCCATTATTTGGACCAATGTATTGAAAGAGTTCTTCCATGTTTTACAATGAGAAAAGCACGGTTTTAGTAGCAGAATATCTTATCTATCTATAGTTTTTTCTAGTTAAATAGATTAAGATTAAGACGTTGGAGTCAATTATTCTCTCTCTCTCTCACTATAGTGTAAGCCAAAACTAAGTGGTCGGTCATGTTTGGCTTGAATCAAGTAATGAATGAGCTGTTCTATGATACGAAAGATATTGAAATCGCAGATTAGTTTGTCTTCTTCTTCTTCTTCTTCTTCTTCTTGTAAGAAACTTCACACAAGACCAATCGCTTTATTGATCAAATGTTTCTTCTAACATTCAAGTTCGTACCAACAGATGTTCTTGAGACTCAAACGTGCAGTCATGTGCTTTCGCAAAAGTTCTTTGCGTTCTGGAAAAGTTGCATCCATGGGCTTACAGGAAGCGATTGAAATTCAATTGGCATGTACGGCCACTGATACTTGAGAAAACAGCGCTCTGGATGCGGCATCATACACAGGTGACGACCATCACTTGATACAAGACCAGCAATGCCTTCTGGTGAGCCATTCGGATTAAACGGATATTCCTCCGTCGGTACGTTAACGTCATCCACATAGCGAATCGCAGCAGCGCCTCTCGATAAGTATTTTTTCTGAATCTTTGGGTGGGTAAAGTGTGCGCGGCCCTCACCATGCGAGACCCACACGCCGATAGAAGACCCAGCCATACCTCGCAGCATTACCGAGTTTGACTCCTGGATCTGTACCGATACGAAACGAGATTCGTGGCGTCCAGATTCGTTATGCACAAATCGTGGCTGAGCTGATGTCTTCGTTTCCTCCTCTAGAGCCTTAGCCTCCGGGTAGTCCAGCCAACCAAGAAGCGTCATGAACTGGCAACCATTGCAGGCACCAAAACTGAACGTGTCTTCGCGAGCCTTGAATGCCGCGAATTGCTTCAGCACGTCCCCGTGGAACTTCACCACACCCGACCAGCCTTTGGCCGAGCCTAGCACATCAGCAAATGTGAAACCACCTACGAACGCCACGCCGCGAAAGCGCTCATCTAGCACCATACGCTTGCTTACCAAGTCAGACATTGTGATGTCCCATACTTCAAAACCGGCGTGGTGGAACGCTGCAAGCATTTCCCGCTCACCGTTGCTACCTTCTTCACGAAGAACAGCCACACGATGCTGGGCGCGCGTACTCAGATGGCGCTCTGGTGTTGGCTTAGGCTTGTAAGTCACTTTCCATGAGGGAGTCGTGCGGGTGCGCAGCAAACGCTGTTCCTGCGCTACACACTCAGGATTGCACTGACGCTTCTCAAGCTCAAAGCTTGTCGCCTCCCACACGTCGCGAAGATCCACCATCTGGTCCTCAAGGACACTTTCGCCGTTAATGCTCACCCTAATAACACCGTCGGTGGTCACCTTACCCAGCTTCACAAGTGGCACGTTTAGGCTATTGAAGATAGACTCCACCTCATTGGCATGCTGATTACCAGCAACCTGGAATACGAAGCCAAGCTCTTCGGCAAACAGCACCTGAATGACGTCCCTTGTCGTAACTTTGTCACTCGCAAAAGGAATGTCAATGCTGAGACCACAGTTACCAGCAAATGCCATCTCTAGCAGCGTAACAATAAGACCACCGTCGCTACGGTCGTGACCAGCAAGCAAAAGGCCATTTTTAATGCTAGTTTGGATGCCGTTAAACGCGTTTCTGAACAACTCGGCGTCCTCGACGTCCGGTGCAACATTGCCGACCTGACTATACACCTGCGCCAAAGCCGAACCACCCAGGCGGTTCTCGCCTTTGCCCACGTCCACGTAGTACAGCAGGCTGTTGTCGACGTGAGTTTTAAGGTCAGGGGTCACCTTCAGCTCAACGTCCTCCGTCGGAGCGTACATAGTGATCACCAGCGTGCCAGGCGTCTTTACGTCCTTTCCATTAACCTTGGCAGCCATGGAGAGCGAGTCCTTGCCACCATCGACGGCTACACCTATCTTCTTCATAAAAGTGGTCATAGCCTCACAGCACTCATACATGCGCGCAGCCTCATTAGGCAACTTAGCCGCCCACATCCAGTTGGCAGAGCACTTGCAGTCATCTAGGCCACGTCCACCAAGAGCCGCCCAGACCAAATTAGTAAGCGACTCACCCACGCTTAACCGAGCCATAGCACCAGGGTTCACTAGGCCCTTCGCAGGCTGCTCTCCACAAGCACTCACCACGCCAGTAAACTTGCCGTCCTTGTTCGGCACGTGCGATTGTGCCACAACGGCACAGTCGGCGAGGGTCAGCTGGAGCGAGCCCACTGTCTGCTGTTGGGCAATAAGACCACTCACCGACCGATCCACCTTGCTTGTCAGGAAACGTTTTGAGCCGACAGACAGAAGACGTAACACACGGTCCAGTGCATCGCGCAGGGTAACGTCCACTGGAAGCGACAGCTCCGATACGGGCTCCGTGGCCTTGGCGTCCGAAAAGGTCTTCTGCGGCATCTTGCCTAGCACCAAGTCAAGGTCCAAGTCAAAAGGAGTAGAGTTATCATTGGAGTCATGCAAGACCACGTGACCATCTCCGGTCACCTGGCCTAGCAGCGCATACGGGCAGTTTTCACGCTTGCAAATTTTGTCAAACAGCTCAACGTGCTCTGGACGGAGCAACAGAGCGTCATTTTCCTGGTACTCTGCACCCCAGATCTCAAGAACAGAAAGAGTGTCATCGCCGACAAGGATGTTCCGCACCTCATAGCGAGCACCACCGCGGTTAGCATCGCCAGGCTTTGAGTTTGACACTTCGACAATCTCCTTGAGCACGTTTCCGTTGCCACCAGCACCCTGGTCATGGATGGAAACGATAGGATTCTTCTCGCCGAGGTCACAACAGGCACGAATCACCTTATTTAGTTTGCACTCCATCTCGGCATCACCACGCTGCACAGCATTAAAGTCTAAATCAGCAGACTTTGTGTCCTGAATACGGCTAGAAGCAGCACCGCCGCCCATCCCGATACGGTAACAAGGACCACCAATCTTCACGACCCACATCTGAATTTCTGGTTCGCCCTTAGTGCAGTGACGACCATCCAGCTGGCCGAGACCAGCAGAGAACATAATCGGCTTGATGTACTCACGACGCTCGCCATTAGGCAGCACCATACCAAATGACCGAGCGAACCCTGTCACAACAGGCTCGCCAAATTTGTTGCCGTAATCCGATGCACCATTAGAAGCCTGGACGAGGATGTCACGCGGGTGTGCAAGATTCGATGGATATTCCAGCTTCTCGTCCTCCCACGGGAGCTTGTAGCCCTCGAGGTTAAGATTGCCCACAGAATAGGCGCTGATACCAGCGACGACGTTGGCACCGCGACCCGTAGCTTGAACATCACGAATACGGCCACCGGTGCCTGTCTCGGCACCTGGAAATGGAGCCACACCTGATGGAAAGTTGTGGGTCTCCGCAGTAAGCAGTAGATGGCTGTCTAGGGTACGCTCCTGCACAAGCGATGGCTCACCTGGGTTCACAGGTCCTAGCGTTACAATGTTTGCACCCCTGATGACAGACGAGTTATCGTGAAACGCGATGACGCTGTTTTCCTTGGCACTCTCCGTGAGTGTGTCCTTGACCATCTGAAACAGTGTCTGAGGCATCTCCTGGCCATCGATCACAATTTTGCCGCCAAAAAACCAGTGTCGGGAATGCTCCGAATTACTCTGTCCCATGTCAAAACACTCGACATCCGTAGGATTACGCCGCAGCTTTTGCTTGAAAAGATCCAAGTAATATTGCAGGTCCCAGTCGTCAAAGCCCAAGCCGATCTCATCGTTAATCTCCTTTAGCGCGTCAATGCCACGTTCCATGATGGGAATCTTACGCACAGGCTGCACCGTTTTACCATGCCAAAAGCTTACAAGAGGTTTTACATACACTTGCTGCGTCATACGGTCGCACTCGTGACGAAGCAGCGTCTTTTTAAGCGTCTCAACAGCCTCCGCGTTCGTAGCTTTGTAACGCACCAAGTAGCGAGTAGCACGCTCGATACGCTTTATAGTTGTAATGCCACAAGCTTTGCAAATTGTTACAGCATTACTGGACCAAGCTGTGGAAAAATTCATGCGTGGTCCAACCTCTACAAGCCACTCATGCTTATGCTCTGTGGCAACTAGAAAGGATTCCGTAGCGCGTGTTTGCTGTGGCTCATAGGTCTCACTAAGCAACCAGTGCAGTGTCTCCTCATCAGCAGATGACAACATGCCAGTGTCTTGTTGTATCTCCACGTAAAAACAATACTCAGTCAAGAGTTCATCCACCTGTAACTCTGGTGCTTGAGCTTGTAAATAGGTGAGTAGTGTACGATTAGCATGGGCCGTTAAACCTGGTGTACGATAGAAACGTAAGAATGAGCTCGTGAGGGATGACATGGACGTTGTCTTCTGCTTCTTTTCGGGTGATGAGGCCATTGTCTATACAGAAAAGACGCTTCAATAGCGCAAGAGGATGAGGCCACGTACACGGTAAATTGATCAGTGACCGTATTTGTATTCTCTTATGGCTTGATGACCAGTCAATTGATGTGATGGCTACAGTTTGTATCACGTCTGACTGACTGACTCTTGTGTCTCCCTATGTGTTCGTGACCAATCATCATGATTAGAAGACGCTGAATTGGATACGAATCGTCAGAGTCAAATAACTGACGAGAAACATGTTGAAACGTGTGGTCAAGCGTGTTTCAAGCGGTCTACACTCACTTCCATTCCCACTTGCATGTCATCGACCACTTGCTACAATTACTGCTTCACGGTTGCTTCAGAAAGCTACTTTTGCTGCAACTGCAATCAGTACAAGCACTGCCTGTGCCTTTTGCTCTGTACCTGCTTTCATCGTTTCAAGAGAAACCAATCGTAGTAATGATCATGATCATGATGAGATTGTGCTACCAAAGGTAGTTCTATACCAGTATGAACCCTGTCCTTACTGTTGTCAGGTTAAAGCTGTCTTGGATTACTTGAAGATTCCGTACGAAGTGGTGGAAGTAAATCCAATAACTAAAAGCGAGATCATGGCTTTTACAGACTACCGCAAAGTGCCGGTGGTACGTATTAATGACCAAGTGGTCGTGGACTCTTCTGCGATTATTTCGCGACTCTGGGAACTTGTCATGTGCTCAGAGGATAAGGACATTGAACATGGAGAAGAGGAGGAAAAACACTGGTGTCAATGGGTTAACAAGAAGCTCATTCTTTTGACACCACCTAATATCTATCGTACAATACCGGAGGCATTACAGGCTTTTGATTACTGCTTGACAGAGGGTAATTTTACATCCATGGAGCGTCGTATGTCCAAGTACGCCGGCGCTATGGTTATGTACCTTATTGCAAAGAGAGCAAAGAAGAAATATGAGATTGACGACGAACGTCTAACGCTTTATTCAGCGCTGAAGAATTGGGTGGATGCTATTGGTGACAAACGCCCGTTTCTTGGCGGCCAAGAGCCCAACATGGCTGATCTCTCCGTTTTCGGTGTATTGCGTGCGATGCACGGACTGGATACGTATAATGACATTATGCGCGAGACAGATATCGCGCCGTGGTTTACGCGCATGAGTCTAAAGGTTGGTCCTAGCTCACGCATTGCCAGCAACTAAATGATTTGTAGCAAAGAGGGTACGACATGACAACGAAGCACATATGTCGCTACGTGTTTAGTAGTTGTGAATTTGATACTTGAACTAACTTCACTCAAATCTTGGCCATCTATTAAGCTTTGTTGGCAGTTTTGCTTTTCTTCTGAAGACGGTGGTACGATACGCCCGTACCAGATATGTTGTCTCCCAGTCCAGCAGTGTGGTCGGGTTTTTTGCAGGCCAGCATTGGCACAAGGTGACATTGAAAGTCGGCCTCTTGCCACGTAACCACTGGCGAGAATGGATCCAAATCCACCGTCAGACCCTGGCGTTTACTCAGGAGCTGCTGCCGAGCGAGCAGGATCTCAATGCGTTCCGGGTCTACTTCCATTTCAGCACTTGTACGCATAGGTTGAGGCTTGTCGTCGTCACTAGTCGCACTTGCTGGAGCTGGCTTGCCACACGCCACCTTAGAACTCATAAGCGCACTTTGCACCAGCGCCGTCGTCGGGTCTTCCCATATACTTCCGTCCTTTTGGCACACAATGTGGAACTGCAATGTGTGAAAATGAATACGCGACAGCTGCGCCAACGCCAGCGTCTTGTCACCATTCTTGTTCTTGTCTTGGCTGCCTGACTGAAAGTCGTGCTTGGCCTTCGAAGCAAACTGAATGATATCGTGAAGCTGAGCACTGATATCGGCAACACTCGGGCGCGACGTCGTCGCCGTCCCTTCTTCACCAGTTAATAGGTAATGATGCAAGATAAATAGCTCCTGTTCATTTAACCCAATCGACTCTACCCATGGCAGCACAAGTCGAACCGTGTCATCGAAGAGACTAAAGTCCGATACAGCTGCAAACTCATAGTGTGTCGGTGTCTGTGCTCTAAAGAGATTCTGAAGTACCTCGGACAAAGCCTTTAAACGCACTAACCGTGCTTGTGTATTCACCTCCACTTCCATCAATTGTAGTCCACCAAAAATGACTAAATCCGGCTTAAACGCATCCAATGCATGTGCAAATTCTTCAAGCACCGACAAACGTGCATTATGTACATCATGATTCAAGTAATATCGATTAGCACGTGGTGCCACGTATCCTTGAAATTCCTCTCCACGTGCATATTCCAACACAAGATGTACATCTTCCTCTTGTGTTGCATCCAATGTCCCGACAACTTGAATTCGTTGTGTCTCTTGTAAATACACTTGCATTCCTTTTCCAATGGCTGCTCCTAAGAGCACACGACATCCTTCCGCTGATGCTCTTTTGGCCATAATTGCTGCATTTCCACCTAGTTTCTTCTCGACAATGGATAATTCCGTAGCCAATTGGACAAGTTCTTGGAATTTCATTGACGAGACCATACTTTGTTCAGCAGCAGCTCCAGAGGAGAAATAATACACAAAACTCTCTTGTAATGCTTGAAACGAATCAATCTGTTCATGATGACGTTGGATTACGGAATCATCTTTCATGTCTCGTTTCGTCGTCGTCGTCCTGATGACGTCATCATCTTGATCTTCTTCTTCTTTAATGGCTTTTTCAATTCGTTGCATGAGTTCAATAGCCGATACGGATACATCGAGATCAGCACTGCAACAGAAGGCAAGACGGGGAGGGCCTTGTATGGTGTCGTTGACAAACTGTTTCTCGTGTTGATTGGTTGATGCATAAAATACAAGAGATGCTAACATTTGGTGTTGTTCTGCGACACTTAAGAACGCCTCCTGCATAGGAAAGAAAGTACGGAAATCATCTACATAATAGATGGCACTTGCACATATTATAATGGATACACTTAGTGCAAGGAATTGAGACGCACTGTACATTAAGAAGAAAGAGATAGAGAGGTTAGAGAAGATAGAGAGGTTAGAGAAGATAGAGAGGTTAGAGAAGATAGAGGGGTTAAGGGACGACAAATAAATGAGGATTTTGCTATATTAAATAAACCAATGAACAAGAGGTATTGAATGCTAGCCAATCAAAATCATGTGATTTATTACGTATGGCATCCTTTCTCTAAACTATTTGACATGGTGTATAGTTAAGGTAGTCTCTAAACCTAAAATCCACTATTCTGTCATGCATTTAAAATAAAACCTCAAAAGTCACCCAAAACAAATTAAAAGTCCCAACTAATGTCAAAATCGTAATCAGAGGCCATTCATTCAAGAGCTATTCATTCCAGTCCATTGATTTTCCATTCACTACAATTCATACACTGGGCAAGTCCTTCTTGGCAATCACATGAGCAAATGGCAATGGTCCGATAAACTCATACTGTCGTTGTTGATACGTCGATTCGATCACATCGTGATAGTCCAAATCCGGATACAAGACCTTGTTTGCAACATACGATTGTGCTTGCCACTCAATGTCAAAGTTATTGACGTAAAAGTTGCCAAACTGCGTCTTGTAGTGCTCTTGAACTTGATACGGGTAAAAGTAAAAGCCACAGACGTCTGGATCATTCTCGTGCACTTCTTCTTGTACAGGAGACAGCACATACGCAATCTTTTGTGCCAACAAGGGTGGGAAACACACTTCACTTGATGTGCTGGTCATCGTATTGTACTCGAACAAACACATTCGTAGCATGTGATCACCCCATTGCGTCGTGTTACGGACAAAGTACGTATACTCGTTGCTCACGACACACAAGCTCGAGTCAGTGCAGTGCAAATGCAGAGGCTGTAAATTCACTTTGGCATACAATTCCGTCTCTTTGGACAAACACGATTCAATCCCACCTCGAACCGTACTCGAACGTTTCATAGGCAATGGGATATTCAATCCAGCATCACCACCACCATCGTATCTGGAATCAATCACTTCAGCCGTATTGCCACATTGGTACCAATTCTCAGGGTTGTAGCTGTTAGGACACATACTCGCCTCTTCCCACTCGGTAATCTCCTGCAGCCAATATTTGAGACTGTGGCTGCCTCGAGCATGCCTCGGTCCAAGTGCTGGGTGGATGCCGTCGAACCAAGAGTTCTTAAGTATATATCCACCCGTGTAGCCCTGTTTCGTGCGGTAGAGGTCGTTATAGCCGACGAGTGTCATCACATGTCCACCCTCGATGTTCATAACGTGGCTAGTGATGAATTCGCCGTTCATGTTGTAGCTCTCTCCTTTTTCAATTGGAACACAGCATGTCGTCATGGATAGCTTCGGCGGGCATAGCGTACAAGATATTGAAGCTGGCTTACACCGATCCTCATTTGCAAAGTCACCGATACAAGGGTAGTAGTGTGTCGTGTAGGGTGTTGCAGTCGTCAACGTCATGGCTCGACGATCTTTTACCATCGCACGCTTGATCGACACCTCATCCATCAAAGTTTCCATCTTCTTTAGCTTTAGGCTTAACGGGTTGACTTTACGCTTTTCACGCGTTAGTGCAGGACACACTGTGTCGTTGCCATCATCAGGATAATACGGGCAAGTTGAATGGGGATAGATGTTGTCAGCTAATCGGTTTATCAAGTACAAAAGCAAACTGGCGTCCCCACCCTCCGTTGTGTTTTTCCAGACGCCGTTTCCCGGAATCAAGCACGCCACTTGCTGAGGAGAATCGGGGGGACCAGCACATAGACGCAATACTTCTGCTCCATAAGCCTGCTCGGATATCGCCATGTACTCGTCTTCTTGCATCCATCCTTGCGCAATTCCCTGCTGTCGGTAGGTGTTCTCCAACACGGCAACAGTAGCAAAGTCCCAGCAGGTGCCGCGCTCGTCTTGTGTCTTTAGCGGGGTGACGTAGTCGACTACAAACTTAGTTGGGAACTCCTTGAATGTCTTGCTGTTCCACGTCGTCTCTTTATCCACCAGAATAGCAGAGTACATTGCATCCCTACGTAACGCCGCAACAACAACATGTTAACGCTGTATTGAGCGAAAAGAAGGTTGAGACCGACCGACCAAATAAATGACATGTATAATAAAGCTCACAGTTGCTGCTGCATAGTGGCAATGGCTACTTGCTGAGTTACTAAAGAGTTGTGCATTGTCCAACCCACGTAGGTAAAACCAGCCAGTCCAACCACTGTCACGAATATCATGGCCCCCCATAAATTGCGACTAGGGCGATTGCATCGGACGGGGTGTTCAATAAACGCGTCTTGCTCTCTAGCAAAATCTGCTTCATCAACAATAGCAATACCACTATCAATACCATTTTGCATGCAATAAAAAACAAACTACATGCTTCTTTCTTACCGATGGTCTCCGTTCCGTAGCTCTTTGCCATATTGTTTCCACCGTAAGAAAACCTTGTTTGATCTTATGTCGACGTGGGAAAATTCGAAAGTGATGTGCGATCAGGGAACGGGCGGGCTCAACTCAGCTGCTGATGGGTGTATGGTACGACAATGTACTGGATCACTTGTATTACACGCAATAAATCAAGAAAGATCGAAACCTGCATTCGATCGGATGGCGTATAGCAGCTTCTTACGCATAGACTCCTTGTTCGAGTACGCTGGTAGCTTGAGGAGGTTCATGCACGTGGCACTTGATGGCAGACGGTCATCGCCTTCAACACGAACCTGGTGGATACAAATCTGTGGTGCCAATCTCGAAAAGCCTAGCAGAGGCTGGCGAGAGCAGCTCGTGATAAACTTGAGCAACGCTGCACGGTCTTCCATAGTGAAGTCTCGTCTCACAATTTCCCAAAACCACTGGATAACCCGTTGGGATGGATGGTAACCACCTCCGTATTGCGTGTGGCGCTCCCAGTCATCGATGTCGATATTGGTGGCAGTGCCGCCGATTAGCATCTGCAGCTCGGCAGGTGCAAACATTTGAATCCATGTCCCCGGGATCAAGTCACGGAAGCCCTTGAGAAATGCGGCACTTTCAATTGATGACAGCACGTTCAACTTGTAATTGGCCATCAAATGGATGTAGCGGATTCGGTTCTCGTTTGTGACAGGAACATTAGCACCATCAGGTACGAGGTTTCGTGTCACCACTTCCCCAAATTCCATCTCACTCACACTGAAAGTCAGCGCTAGGTCCTCCACGTTACCATCGTAGTGCTTCAGGCGCATAAGCGACGTGTATAGCTCCGGGTCCAACGAGTTCAAGTCATCAATGTAGTTGAACTTGCCTAAGAGTTTGTTGAGGAAAAATGCGGCGAACTGCGGCTCTACAAGAATATTCTCGTACACAGCTTTTGCCAATACTCGTCCCAAGAAGCGATAGCGGTCTAGCGCTTCCTTTCGCGAGTCCACGACGTATCTCGCACCTGGGTTAGGATAGAGGAGGTGCTCACTCGTTTCCAGGAAGAAGCCATATTCTGGCGAGAATGCGTTCTTCGTCAAATTATCCATGTACTCCTTGAACACGCCGCCACCGTCAACGCCTGCTTCCTCTAGTCCTTGCTCGTTGACAAATGTGACCTTGACGCGCAACTTAAGAGCTGATGGGGACATTGTGTCGCACACTTCCTGAAAAAAATAGAAACTATCGTCTACGATCGCATCGCGCTTCACCCGAACATGTATTGCCCGTGAAAACTCGTCACGGATGTGGCCAAGTTGCGTCTTTCCGTCTTCTAGTAATTTCTGGAAAAGCTGCACACGTTCGTTAAATGACAACACTTGTGGGATCGTGACAAGGATCAGTGCCGCACGCGCGTGTGAAGACAGCACCTTGCCATTCATCAGCATGTAAATCGCGTGCGCATCATGATTGCCGCCCTCTCTCATCAATTCAAGGTCCACGACCTCTTCGATCACAGGCATCGAAGGCCACAACCACGCGCCGTCGGGCATAAATCGACGTCTACAATCGCGATCGTAAAGCTGGTTGAACAGCTTGATACATGTCACAACCGTCGAGAACAATACCAGTTCCTTTTCGTCCATGCTGCCGACCGACAGCGTGTTGTCGCGATTAATGGTCCAGCACATATCGTAGATAAACTGCTTCAGAAATGTCACTAGGGCTATCACGTCCGCCAAACGAAATGGCCATTGCCCATTGTAAAACGTCTCATCAACAAGGCCAAGAAGCATGTGACTGTATGCGACGTTAAAGATGAGGAGCACTTGCATTTGCGACGTTGTAAATACCAGCGGACGATCTGCAAGTGAAGCCGTTAAGCGCTGAATAGCCATGCGCTTTTTTGCTCGATCAATCCACTGCCACATACTGTGGATTAGGCTTGTATTGTTGGTAGGAAAAATGGGAACACCAGCAAACTGTTCGACAGTCATTGCACTGAGCAGAGCAAACAACGCCGGAGGAGGGTTTGCAAACGTTGCCGCCACCGTTAACATATACGATCGCCCTGTAGACAAAAGCACAATGGCCAAAACGTGGCAAAACTGAGATACAGCACTATCTTCTGGCTGCGTCGGCTCCAATGATCTTTCACTGGTACGCAACAGTAAATCAAGACATCGTGCACTAAAGTTGGAGTAGCACAGCTTTTGCCACTGTGCACGCACACTTGACTCAACATCACCTAGTTTGTCCACACCGTGCTGCACTTCTTCGTCCCATGCGAAACCTTGGGTAGATAGATAGATCGGAGGTACAATCATTACTTCGCCATCATCGTTCATATCATGGTCATCTTCAGTCGCCATAGGGTCTTGTTGAGTATGCTTCGTATCGAACGCCCACTGCACCAGCGACGGGGTCACCAGCTCCGATAGCACAAACGGGATGATCCTCACAAGAGCTTCATCGAACAAACAGATAGACGCCAACTCAATCACGTTTCCAACCACAATGGCACGCTGGTGCCACGAAAGTAATGGTAACACTAGGCCGTCACGAAAATGATGCAACACTGATGCCCAAAAGAGCCCTAGCTTGCTAGCTTTGTCACTATCAGAAAGCTGATCGGGTGACAAAGCTGCTGCCATCACATGGCTCATAATGGGAGAGCTCACGGATGACGCAGAAAGTAATATTGTCTTTGCAAATTTTTGCGTGATTCTGGTAGCTCGAACGTGTTGATCCTGAGCCAATAATCGCAATGTTTGAGCAGCAATTCTTGCAATCATTTGAACCAACTGGTCAGCTTCCGTACAAGATGCTCCTTTTTTCACCTGGTAAGCAATACATGCACGCACAGCATCAAAACTACTATATTCCGTCGTCACTCCAAGGTGAAATAAGACGTTCGCATGTGCTTTCTGTGCTTCTGGTGTCGTGTACTTGGATCCGTTCGTAAGTGTATCCAATAGCAGTAAATAAGGGCTTAAAGCCATCGCACCAGTCTCATGCATCGACATTTTCACTTGCTCTTGTACTAATGTCAAGAGTACAATCTCACTCATTTTTGTCACTTGATAGATCCATACTTGATCCTTCTCTGCTTCCAAGATATTTGTATCAGTGTCCACTGATCCTTTTAAACAACTAATCAGCATGATAAGTACCACATAATCTTGAATTTTGCGTACTCTCTCCCTTGCCACTTGTTTTGTCTTTCTAGAGAATAGAAATTGTCGTACAATGAGCTGTACATGGTCAGCTAATACTGCTTGGTCTTGTATCTCAATACTTTCCACTAACTGCGTCAAGTGTTGCTCTAATTCTTGAAAAACAGCACCACGAGACTCTTGCATAGCCCTTTGACGACGATATTGAGCTTGAATCTTGATACTAGCAGCTGTACGTGTCTTGAGAGACGATCGTTCTTCACGAGCAAGACGATTCTGTAGCAGTAATTCCTCCTTCGAACCTGATACCATGGCTGTGTTTGGACCTCTAGAACTTGATATGTATGAACTTAAACGAGCATTATACCCCGTCGTGGGTTTCTTCCGGCCACTGAGATTTACTTTACGTGAAGACTTAAAACTGCCATCAAACATGATTGTAGCCTAGAGACGAGACAGAGATGGATGAGAATAGAGATGAAGCATATAGGAAGACAGAGAGAGAGAGAGAGAAGAAGACGAGAAGATACTTACTTTGAGAGACTTTTTGAAGTAGGGACTTTGATGTTTGATAATGATGGTCCTTTGATCCTGTGGAATCCAATACCTGTAATACATGATAATCAATTTGCCTAGTGGATTTTTGTAATCGTTAAAACGATTCTATCATGTCCTTTACTTGGTTTTAACATATAAACACGTTTGGATTGAATACAGCTTTTTTATAAAAAAGAAAGCACTTGTTTCACAAATGACTTCACGTCTGATTCCAAGATAGAGTGACAGACTCACACTTACTATCTAACATTACAGCTGAAAATGAACGCAAGGATGACACTACGCTTCCAGAAATCTGAATCAAGTTGGTTGATATAGACGCAGTGGACGAATATGCTGAACGAGAAAGATGATGTATGGTTGTTAACAGCTACAGTATTCAATGTAGCAAGGTGACGTAGCTGTGTAAAGGACGGTTGAGATACACTTACAAAATACTTATTGCATGGATCAATACGACGCAGTGGACCACAAGATGAAAGCATTGTTTGCTCAGTATGATGATCGGTGCAAAGGCATGGATGTACATTGCTGAGCTAATAAGCTCACTTCTTTTTCTGCAAAAGCTTTGTGAAGACAAAGGGGTATTGTATGGCAAGACGTATGATATAAGAGTGGTATGAAGCCGCAAAATACTTGAGACCTTGGGAAGATATGCTTGGTCGCTCGTGCAAGCAAAGCTAATGCGATGCACCAGTCAAGAATCAACATCTTTGCTTGCAAACATCTGTCCACTTACGCACGCAGCTTGAGCCAAGCTTACACTATCGAAATATTGTGGAATGGCAATCTGCACCTTGGATTGGACAGTTTAATGGCGTCGATGTCGACAAGAGTTGGTTAAACGTATGACTCATTTGTGATATAAAAACAAAACAATGCACAGACAACAATACAAATATCACGATGATCAGCTAGCGCTGTGTCATAAAGAATGTTACAAAGAGCTGGTGACTTAGAGATCTAACACAGACAAATTGCTGCGGTTCGAATAAGGCACAGTAAGCAAGTATGGAACACCGAACCACAATTGTAACTTAACTCTTGTGCATTTGTTTTTGCTACTTGTGGTTCCAGTATCATTCAATTGCTTACGAAAAACAACATTGCAACTAATTGACGCAGATCACATACACTGCGTGAATAATCCCAGGAATATAGCTACAAAATACATTACCCCCTCCAGTCAGTGCAAAGAGTAATCAGTCTCATCTGCCTACTTCTCTCTCTATCCATTCATTTAACCTCAATTTACTTAGCATACCCGAAAAGCGTAAGCAATCCGTTAATAGCAAGATCTTTATTGCAGCCTGTTTGCAAAAACACACCAAGAGGTGGGAGCAACACGGCGCAAATCAAACGCGCAGTTTTATCCCAGTCAATGCTTGACGCACTAGAGGATGATGAACGAGACTCGTCACCTTCAAACCAATTATCGGCATCGTCCATGGCGTGACCCATAATTATTATATTGGTCAAGTCAAGTCGCTTTCAGCAAAATTTGTGCGTAAACTTCAACCGTATCGAGGTAATAAAAAAGCGGGTGGCACGTTCCCGTTGACATATTGACGTAAACTGACACAAAATTGACTTGAGACACAGTTAAAGAAAGGAAAGAAGCTCAATGCGTTTCAAATATTCGACATTGTCTTTCCGCCCAAAAGCGACAAGTTTTGGTGTCTAACGGTTTTTGCCTCCTGTGATTTTTGCAACTGCTAGAAACCACTTTGACAATGAAATGAAAACACTTTTTCCTCTTTAAAAACTGTAAATGTTAATTTATTGCTAGTGCCACAGACTCCTTCTGTTTTCCCACGCTGACGTCACTGATTTCTCTTTCGTTTTTATGGTAATGTCCACGTCGAAAGAAAGATGATATTGTCACTCACTGCAGTGCCACATTGCATACTTCAATGAGATACTCGACTATTCCTTTATTAATATGTAGACTGCGTGAATGACACCGGGTACATATCTGTTATATGACATATTGTTAGGGAGGTTTTATGTCTAAAGCGACAGGGGCACAATCGTTAGTTACCTTACCCGAGCACAGTGAGAAGACAGTTGATGACAAAATCCTTCGTACAACCAACTTGGAAAAATACACCAACGGGTGGGATAATGACTGAACAAATCAGACGAGGGATGTCTCCGCAGGTAATTGGCATCGTGTAGGAAACTTTACTGGAACAAAGTGAATTTGAAACTGACAACTCAGTGGTGATGAAGAAGAAAAATCACGGCCTTTTTTTTCTCTCTGTAAAGGTCTCAAGACGATTCTGTCCATCGATTTGGAATCAAAAACAGCCTGTGCGCCACAATATATTAATTGCATTCGTTTTCGAAAGTGTGTATGGCAATGGTAACAAATGGCGGCCGTTCGATTCGAATTCTCGAACTTTAGAGTCGCGGTTCCCGAGCGATGTACGCACTGCAAAGCAAACATCAACTTGGTTGGACACACACACACACCTGCCACCATCATTCGGACAGCGCAAAAGTCAGCCAACAATTGAGGTGACAAGCTACATGCAACAGATCTATGGTAGGCACGTCGAAAATTTCAGGTAGCTTCTTTTTTTTCATCCTCTGGATGTTGAGAGAGCAAGCGTGGTGGTTGAATACTGGTATTTACATAAAGCTTACGCCAAATGCCTTAATGGCAGAGGGTTGTCTTCAGCGATCTAATATTGCAGACACCGCCTTGTCGCTTAGCGCCTTTTTTGACGTATCGTCGTTACAAATAGCTTTGATGTACACATTATCAGAGCTGAGAATACAACAATTGCATGCACGACGTACGAGAGGTTAGTCAGATGCTAACAAGAAGAACAAGACGACAACGACGGTGCATACTATGAGCTACAGAACATAAACGTTGTGTATGCATACAAAGCTGATAAATTAGCATTTGTGTAATTAAAAAGCATGGCACATGCCATCAACTCTGTTAACATCCACATAACCCATCATTTGTGTGTTGTGTGCCCAAGATCAATCTTTTCAATGTCTCATCCAAAATTTACAATGCTGATTAAATTCCTTATGTAACGGACAAAGTTAAGTCGTAGCGCGCAGCTTTGTGTAAACCACATCAATATATAATCCAAAAATAGATCTGTCTGCTCATATTTAACCAATCCGCACTGAGGACCAATTTCTAGCTTAACAATGACTTGGCTGGACAATGACTAGCTAGATAACGTCGCTAAGTATGAAGCAATAGCAATTCAAGCAGTCAAATATGAGTCGATAGATCTAGTGTTGGACCGTGCGTATAGAAGACAAGGAGATGATGACACGAGTATGGAAAACGATGGCCACTATGACTCCTCTCCATCTTCTTCATTGTCTTCTTCCTCTTCACTTACATCCTCTTCCATATTGTTACAAGACCCTTGCTCTTGCTTGTTTTCGTCATCACTCGTAGCAGTTGTAACTCTACTAGTACACGCAAGTACATCAGCTTTCCTTCTCAGTTCATCAACTCGATGAGATTGCTGGTTATGCGCTTCCAAGTACAAAGCCAAATCTTCAACAAATTCAAGCGTTTCAGGGCTCAGCTTGACCGCTCGCTCCAAGCTCTGAGCCACCACTGAATCAAACTCATCATCACCAGTGCTTTTATTTCTTGCCATGCACATAGTTGCGAGATTGTAATGCATGTTTGCACTCTCAGGAAATCTCGCTACCGCATCTTCAAACACTTTGACCGCAGAGTTCAGATCTCCAAGCTCACCAAAAGCTTCTACAAGAGCTGCCAGTGTAACGCCGTAAGCCTCCCACAGCTCCCTGGTCTTCTCGTCACCATTGTTCAAACTTTCCAATGCTCGAGCATTAATATTCATCGACTGATGGTAAGCTTTCGTAGCCTCAAGCTGCTGATCCATTGCTGCATGAGCCAAACCTAGTCGAAACCATACCGACGCGTTCTCCTTGTTATGTTCTCGTTCACTGGCCTTGATATAGCAACTCAGAGCTTCATCTAGCTGTCCAGAAGCCGAATAAACGTCTGCAAGGTGCATAAGAGCTCCTAAATGAGTCGGTTGACACTCAATCGCACGCTGGAATGATATCAATGCTCCATCATAGGATTCCAGTTGCTCAAAGGCTAAACCAGCGGCAAACGCATCGTCAAAGTTTAATGTATCAATCTCTACTTCTTTCTCGATATCGTCGTCACTTGATTTGATCGTTCGATGTTTCTTGCACGATCTCCTCGATTCCTTATCATTAGGACTTAATATTGATGTGTCAACCGTATTTTGCTGACGTTTTTTTAGCTCTTTCCTCAGCTTTTTCTTGCTCATGATTACTGGTGATGGTAATGAATGTGACGGGTAAAAATCCTATTTAGCTGAATACCGTCGAGTAACAAAACCATTTTATTTCATACCATCGCCTAAAAATTCGGATAGAAATCAAAACGGTATCTTACAGTTTTGCCATTATTAGATAATGTGAATATTGTCGAAAAGAACGTATGAGAATGGCACCAACTGTCACATCTTGTCATACCTGTTACTAAGGGACAAGACAGTATCGAATTTAACTACAGAGAAAAGAAAGAGATCGAGTCCCGATAGTGATGTCGGAAGTAAAGCCGCGGACGAATCCATTGGGAGCTGCGTCAGCAGCAGAATCAGCACAAACTATGGCTAAAACGGCGAAAGCTCAAGCAGAGGCAGCACAAGCTGAAGCTCAAGTGGTTCGAGCACAAGCAGAAGCTGCTGTAGCATTAGTAGAGGCTGCACAAGCTCAAGCAGAGAGTGCACGAGCTCGAGCGGAAGCAGCTCAAACTCTTGCCAATTGGTCGCAGACTCAAGCTGAATATATGCAAGCTCTTGCAGACAAGTTGGTTGATTATCGTGAAGAATGAGAGATACTGGATGTTTAAGGCATACCCGGGAGACGCATATGAAAGAGAATGGATAGGTATTGAAAACACGTACTCATTTCAGCAAAGGTGATGTTTCTTTGTTCATTCTTGTGCTTCTCTTCCATTGGATTGCGTCTAAAGCATGTGAGAAAATATCTTCTTCCTTCTTTCACGCAGAACACCATAACTCTGAGTATCAAGCCTTCTACCTGAGTTGATCACTATATCAGTAAAGTGTCCACCGTATGATAACGTCGCGTGTTCAAGTTGACTAGAGGAGCTCTAGCATCAATGCTGGCGACGGTACTGTAGCCTTAGAAGGTTGTTGATTCGTGATCGTGTCTTTCGCATAGAAGACAAGGTCAATCTGATCACAAAAGTTTATCCGGGCACGGAGAGCGTGCAATGCTGACGTCTGCGTCAGAACGAAAACCACTGACCGGGAAATTGGTAACTGAGCAACAAACTTCATCTTGTGGTGCTTATGAAGGTGGAGCAAGACAAGAACGACATAAAGTGTTCAGGTGTGCTGCAATATCTGCATTAGCAATTGACGATGCTTAGTCGCTGACGTTCTGTTTGATTCATGCCACGAAGCATACATGCGACCATTGAGTACATCGACCGCCTTGTGAAGCGATGCGCGAAGGGTCGAATATGATACCTCAAACAGCACTACTTTCCACACTCTGCGAGCTTTCAATACGCTCCAGTTGTCTAACAACAGCAACAGCAGCAGCTAAACGTCAGAATTGCACAGCGAACTTTAGTTACTAAACTTTCCGACTTGTTGTACTTCACTGAAATGCAGGATGCTCTCTCCAGCTAAATACTTCGGGTTTTTTGAAGATTGACAGGATTCTCTTGTCCTGAAGCCATACTTTTATTCTATGTTGATCGTAAATCTGGCCTTTACTGCTGCGCAAGTTGGAAATACTGAGTTTGCTGGAAAGCAAGACTGTGGTGGCGGCTGTATCCAAAGTAGACAGTCACAGCAAGTAGCAACCAAACTGAAATAAGCGCCACGCTAGCACCATCCATTTGAGCGAACAAAAACCAGTTGAAAAAGATAGCCACGCACGGCGTAAAAGGCACGAACGGTGCGCGGAATGCTGACACCTCTTCACTGCTATCATCTCCGTCGCGACTGATGTTGGACGACTCAATCTTGTCCTCATCGCCCTCACTGCTGCCTCCTGTGACCCCGTCGGGATGTGTACGATTTTGGTCGTGGCGAGAAGTTTGCTCGAGCAACGTTGCTGCATGCTCGACTTCATCATCGTCTTCGATCTTTAGGTTGTCTTCACCATCTTCTCGATCCGAGGAGCGGCTTCTACGACGACAGCTCGCGCGACCAGTCTCCAATAAGTCTTGCTGCTTCTTTGAAGACAAAACAATCTCCACGGGAGCGTGAGATTTAGCCTTCAGTTCTGACGCAGCAGTAGCCGTAGTTGTTGAGATGGCCTGCACCCTCTCAGCATCGCTCATCAAGAACATAAGCGCAATGGCAATCACCGTGAAGAAAGCAGCAACAAACGGCCCCACCGTCTGCATGTAGCTATCAAAAATCGAGATATTTGTACTTGCGGAATTCGAAACGCGACCAACGACACCCTTTTGCCAGTGAAATGCCGCAAGAAAAGAGGACACAACGTATCCAACAATCATAGCGCCGTGTGAATGCTTTAGCGATAACTCTTTCGTTTCACTTACTTGCGTTTGAGTGTTGTTTAAAGCACGAACAAAGAGTAGCGAGCTGTTTGTTAGATTAAATGCGACCAGAATTCCGAGCGAAATAAAGTTCCAGAGCACGTGAAATGGCACAAACACGGCAAGCAACGTAACTCCAATTCCACATAACAGTGTACCACGAAAAAGGTCACCGTTTCCGTCAACCTCAGCAAACACCGATGGCAACAATCCATCCTTGGCCAGTGCATACTGCAGGCGCGGTTGCGCCAGGAATCCAATGAACGATGTGACAGGCATCGTCAGTACTTCCCCAGACGCAACAAATGACGCTGCCCAATCCAGTCCTAAACTAGTAAATGCATTTCCATACGATTCCTCTGCGTCAATTTCCGTGTACTTTTGCATTCCAACAAGTGCAAAGGTCGCGAGAATGCTCAACGTAGCAGCACCAACAATCGTCCAGACTACTGCTCGTGGAATGTTCCTTGCGGGGTTTTTCGCTTCTCCTGCAAGACAACATACTTCATCATAGCCAATATAGCCATAGAAACTTGCACTTGTGCCAAACAAGATACCAGGCCAACCAAATGCGACGTGGTCTTCACCATTCCTTTGTACAATCCGTTCATCTGGTACAAATGGTAGAATTTTGTCCACATTAAAATGACTCAATCCGACTAGAATAATAAACACGATGACAGTAATTTTAGTCATTGTCACGACATTTACCACGCGTTTTCCAGCTTTCATGCCACAGAGTACAATCACTGTACTTGCAGCCATTAATAGACCAGCGTAGAGGTCTATTACTGAGTCCTTTGGCTTCATCCATGTTGGACCTTGTACGCCAAGTTGAGATTCCATCCATTGTGTTAATTTATCACTCCAACTACGTGCTCCACCGGCACTCGAGACACCATACTCTAATGTTAAGAGAAAGCCAGCAATTAATGCTGGTAATTCACCTAATGCATAATAGGCATAAGCATATGTACTACCTGCTGTAGGGATAATACAAGCAAGCTCCATGAAGCTTAATCCACTTAAGATACACCCAATACCTGCAAAAAACCATGATAAAGTAGCAGCAGGACCGGCATATTGACTTGCAATAAAACCCGATGTAGCAAACACACCAGTACCGACCGTACCACCAATTCCAATCATAATTAAATCAAAGAGTCCTAGAGTACGTTTCATTTCTATTACCTCTCCTTCGTCTTGTATAGACTGAGTAATCGATGGCTTAAGGCGTAAAGGTTTGCGCCATAAGGCGAGCTGGAGGAAGGACTGCATGATGGTTTTTTTAAATAGTAGAGTTAAAATACATGGGTTTTTTTGAAAAAAACCAGCGAAAAAAGTGGGTCTTTTTATTAATGTGGGTGATAATGAATAGATGCGTGTAGATAGATGGGTTATCTACCTACCATGCTCTTTCAACCATCTTATGGTCTTAAGCCTTACTCTTAAGCTGGGAGATAAGAATCCCAGCAGCAAATGCAATCATGACCGTACCAATGGAATAGATCCGACACTTTGGAGGTACAGGACAGCCATGGTAGACCGAAGCGTAGTCGCATACTGGACGGAGAGGAATAATTGCCTCAAGCTTCTTCTTTAGATCCTTGACTGCTTTACCAGGTTGCGACACCTTGTGACCACACTCCATGAACGCACCTTCGATGGCTTCCACCGTCCTTATAATGTGGTCTAGACGACGCGTGCTTGGACCCATGTGGCCAATGCGGAAATACTCTACCTTGATGGCCTTGTGCAAACCACCTGCAAGCGACACGCCACGCTTCACCACCTTTGGCAAAAAGTCAGCCGCACCTACACCAATAGGGTAACGCACACACGTCAACGTACTCGCTCCACTGTCATCGACAGTCACAAGCGAACAGCCTAGCGTCTTCATGGCCTCCTTCATGGCGTCACCAACAAGCTTGTGCTCTTTAAAACGCTGCTCCATGCCTCCATTGTCGAGTAATATATCCAACGCCACGTTCAGGGCAAACAAATGGTTCACAGCCGGTGTAGCAAAATAACTTGGCTGACGAGCCTCGTAGTTCTTCATAATCGGTAGCCAGTTGCGCCAGTCCACATAATATTTGACCGTTGAGGTACTTTTTTCAAATCGTTGCAGTGCACGTGGACGAATAACAAGAAGACTTAATCCAGCAGGTACACCAATACATTTCTGTGAGCCCGTGAGTACCACATCAAGGTCCCATTGCTTCATTCGAGTCTCTTCACCACCCGTAGCACACACTCCATCCACTACAATCACAGCATCCGGCTGAATACGACGAATAGCAGCTGCAAACTCCTTTACATGAGCTCGTACACCCGTTGACGTGTCCACATGCGTAATTGTCACGACCTTAAAACTCACTCCACTCTGCAGCACCTTCTCTATTTCATCAACTGAAGGCTGTGCACCAATCTGCTTTTCATCAAAACAACATACCAGTTCGTAAGTATACTCTATCGATTGAAAAGTCATAATACTCAATATATACTCTTTCTACCTGGCCACGAATGTGAGATATCTGGGCACCATAGCGCTCTAGACATTCGGCAAAAGCATCTCCAAAATAACCTGCAGAAATACATAATATACCCACAGTTCATAACCTCTCTTTGTTAACCCACCAGTATAAATTCTCACCTACCATTGTTAATAATAAGCACGTGGTCGTCTTTGTTAACAAGGTTAGCACCTACCATATCCCATCCAAGTGTACCAGACCCTGCTACAATAAGTGGTTGACCATCTGGAGCTAAAAATGCTTTGCGCATTTTTTCAAGACATTGTCCAAAGATTTCAATCACTGTCTTATCAACATGAGAAATGCCTTCCATGGCAAAGGCTTGTAGCACACGAGACTCAAACTCAATGGGACCAGGATTCATACACAACACATTCTTTGTCATACTACATTAAAGAGAATAATGAGTTGATTATGGATTAATATTTTTAGTATATACAAAGCAAATGATCGAGAAGATACGTACGTGAAAAGAAACTTGGACTTGAATGTAGGCTGTCAAATTGGTGAATGTCACGTAGTCGTACGTCACACCAGAGAGAGAGAGATCGTCGAAACCAACGGGCAGTTTTATATGGAACCTATCTAAACGCATAAACATAATCTACGTTTTAAAAAACGAGGTTTTTTGTTGCATATGTAAGGAACTACTTTGGAATAAAACTGCTCGGTTTTTAGCTTCGACCACATTTTATGATTAACAACATTGTAGTATTAGATTCAGAAGTGGATACAAAAGTATGATGATAGTGGATGCAGATAACTGATGTACATGTGCGACGGTGGACCGAGTTATCTCTTTGAGGTTACGATGCTGTATTTTTCACGCGCTATTTTAACGGTTGATATAACATACGACCGACACGTCGCATTGTTCGTCTGGTCTTTTAGTCCGACAGGACAAGCTCATTTGATCGCTATACCACTGCGTGCTTGCTTGCCATTTGTATCTCTATCGATCAAGCAATTGCGTGGAACAAAGGAATGTAACATACTCACAAAAAGATCCGTGACGATCTCTACGGCTACAGGAAGGAATGTTTTTTGCAAAGTAGAATTGGTACGTCGAGGACTATTTACCTCTTTCAAAACACGGTCGAGTGATACTTGTTGCCCTATCATCTAGTAAAGTTCTTTTCTTTTGTCCACGCGCATCACTCGTCCGTACTGTTGATTTTCCTAAAAGCTTTTGCGCAATCTACGTCTGCTTGCTCAAGCGATCATAGCACATTCCAAGGCTTTTGTTTTCGATCCATGAGTACAAAATGATTACTGGAAATCAATCCACTCCTGCTTGTCTTCCCACAGCAAAATAAGTTCAAGTCATGATAAGAGCTAGATATGTCCATCAAACGTTGAATTAATTTGACTGCGTGATTGCCTCTCAAGTGAATGTAATTTGTAATAAGAAAATGACCATATACCAATATGTGTCTCTATTTTGTCAACATTTCAGACTTATCCTTCGCGACAACTATATGTACCTTCACTAAGTTAATGCATTAATTTCGAAATAAGTGCTAAGAACTCGCACACAAAGTTCGATATTAACTTGTACATGTAATATATGTATATAAACGTCAATTTGTTAATGTTGTGGTTGTAAAAAGGAGTCAGATCCTGTCAGTCCATTGTGTCTGTCACTTTTCATACGTCTACAAGTTTTAACTCATTTATGACAGACTACTGAAGAGCATATTGTGACGTCTTTAGCCTCTAAAACTTAATCTTTCTTTTCCCCGATACAGTTAACACTTGAACTTCCTTCGTAGCGCCATATTCAGGTTTTCTGTCTTTTCTTTTTGGCGAATAGACGGCGACCTTCTCTTACCCAGAACATCGCAGCTGTGGCTTTCATCGCCTTCTCGTGACGTTCGGCGGAAGAGAGAAACGAACGAACATAAGCCAAAGATTCCCATATCACTCTTTGCTTCCTCCTCCTCCTCCTCCTCTACCGTCTCTCTCTTTAGACGCAGTAGTCCGCTGTCAAGTGTAGTATATCTTGGCGTGTATTGTTTGAACCCATTACAATAACAGAGGGAAACGTTTTCTCGTTTAACCAATACAAAAACGATAATGTTTGCAGTAAACACTACGTCTGGTGCTATTTCGCCTACTAGAGGCGACAATATAGACGCCCGCGACGTTATGCGAAGATTTGAGCATGTGCTGACTGAGTCAATGGTCTCTCCTCGTACTGGAACCGCGCGTGTCTCGAGAGATCCCCCCATTAGTGTTGCTACGATGCCTTTGAGTGCAGCAAGTGCTACAGTACTTCATCCATCACCTAGAGCTGTTCATCACTCATCACTTGCTTTTGCAGACGTACCGTCTGTGGATTTGACTGTTTTTTCGCCTCGTAGACGCGCTTATAAACACACACGAAATGCGCGGGACTTTGTCAGTGTTTGTGTGGATGTAGGAGAGGATGAAGAAGGCAAAAAAGAAGAAGAAGGTGATGGAGAGGTTGATATATTACGTCCTGACGACAGGAAAGGGGATGTAATGAGTGAAGAAGGTTTTTTGTCATCAGGACGTGGTCAAGTCAAGAAGATGGTAGTGACAAAGGAGCTAGAGGATAAGGAAGAAGAACTTCCGGACGATAGTGAAGGCTGCTTGATTTGTATGGATGAATTCTCGGCACGACGCAAAGCTTACCCACTACCGTGCACCGGTCAGTGCACAGGTGCATTTGTACACTACCGATGCATCATGGCATGGTTGGGCCAGTCGGGTAGCTGCCCGCTGTGTCGAGGTGCTTGCGATCCATTGGTTTTGCAGCCTATGCAGAAGCTAGAACTGCAGGATATGACCAAGATGGCATTACAACCTGTGCCCCTGGATGCAGGAATCATTCGATGCTATGTGAAACAGGTATATCGCGGAATGTTTAAGCAATACGGCTACGAATTGTATCTACAAGGCCAGATCGGCACCCAGGAAGAGGACAAGTTTCTGCTGGCTGCAAGACGTCAGGTGCGATCGAATATGACAGCCAACTACACAATCTGCACGGACAAAGAGTGCACAGATGCCAAGCGTATTGGGCGCATGGGCTCCAATTTCCTCGGTACGTGTTTCACACTCTACGACAATGGCCGGGATCCACAGAAGCTGGCCAAGATTCAGGATGCCGTAAGCTCGAACAACGTTGTTGTGCAGAACGTGTTTCAGATTCGTGAAGAGCTGGGCTGCGTAACGTACGAGCCGAACCGTACAAGCGTGGGTCCGCGAAAAATGCGTGTGGTAATTCCTGACGTAGACGAGGAAGGTGGTTCATCCAAAATCGTGCGGCCCATGAGCCGCCAAGACCGTCTCGTTACTCGTCTTTCGACTGGTGACATGAAAGACTTGATGCGCTTTTCAAATCGTGAGCCTGTTTTCCGTGAGGACCTGGGTGCTTACTGTTTGGATTTTGGTGGACGGGTGTCTATGGCATCTGTTAAGAACTTTCAGCTGATTAGCAGTGAGGACCCATCAATGGGCAACATTTTACAGTTTGGTCGTGTGGCCGATGACATGTTTACGATGGATTTCCAGTGGCCACTCTCTCCGTTTCAAGCTTTTTCCATTTGCCTCAGTAGTTGCGATACAAAGCTTGCTTGTGTCTAATCTGCGTAGCCATAACAAAAAGAAGTAACAAGATAAATACTCGTGAGCTTAGTTAGTACGTACACTTGGATGCTCATCTGGTAATGGACATCTAATTAATCGTGATATATAATAAATTGTGCTTGGATGCTCATCTGGTAATGGACATCTAATTAATCGTGATATATAATAAATTGTCTGTTAGAAATTCTCACACAAAACAGCGAGACAACAATACTAAAACAAAAACGGCCGTGAAGACCTTCCGCTTCCTCTCTCTCTCTCTTTGTAAGTATGACAGTCCTATTACCTTCCTTTCTCGCTGATGGAAATTGGTTCTTCTTGGCTCTCATCGTCCCTATAACTCTTCTTGGACTATTATTGCATCCTCGTTGGTACATACGCTTGGAAAATATTTCTACATACAACAACAGTAACCATTTCTACGTACTCTTGGGGTTACTAGTTGTTTTCAGTGCAATCCTGGTCGTCCTGGGCATATCATTAGAGATTTATCACTCACGTGGCTGTCCAAACAGTGTCATTTTTCATTCTGAGACTGAAACATTGGCTCGTTTTGTATATGAATTATGTACACGTCATAAGGTTCCGTACTGGACGGCATTTGGGAACTTATTGTTTGTAATCCGAGGCTACGATCGTATTCCTGTAGGCGATACAGACTCAGATATTGGCATTGTCAAGACGGACTTTATCAAACACTTTGGTAGCTTTCGTAATTTCTCAATGGTCGTACAAGAAGAAGCATCGTTGGCATTCAAGAAATCTGTATACGTCGTGTATCATGCAGAACGAGAATTAGTGCAGATTTACTTTGATAAAGAGGCCACAGCCTCCCATGCTGACATTTGGCTCTATCGACAAGAAGTGGACAAAGAGACGGGAATTAAGTGGCTTGTGAATGATGATCGTACGATTCGAAGCAAGTGGTTATTGTACGACCAAGTTTTGCCTCTCCATGACAAACCCGTAGTCTTTTTGAATGTAACTGTGACGGTACCACGCAATGCTAGTTACTTAGCTAGAGCTGAGTATGGACCTAATTATATGACACCGATCACGATGAGAATGGAGTGCATTGAGAACATGCTTAATGGATACACATTTTACAAGACGTCGTTCATGATGAAAGTACGATACGTTGCTATGTTTGTGGTGCTTACCGCAATTGTAACGTTACTGGCTACAAACTATATCCCACCATTGAGGCGAGCTATGAGAATTAAAATGAGAGTGAAAGCACGAGCCCTTGAAGCAGCGCAACGAGGATCTGACAAGTATTTTGTCTAACATTTGCTATGTTGGCAATGACCATCAACTTGGGGGGTCGGATCTAATACTTGTTCCTGCGACTGTCTTTGCCCTTTCGTTGACGACTACTATCAGTTTTCGTAAGCATCGATGCCATGAGAGGAGGAATCGTTGGCGGTCCTTGTAGCAGCAGCTTTTGAATGTCAACCCACTCCATCGTCTCAAATTCTTCGTTGTGAATAAGGCTGCCAGGTTCCATGCGATCGAGGTACATGACCCCATTGAGGTGGTCAAGCTCATGCTGGAAAACGCGAGCAGGAAAATCCGTCAGCGTTTCTTGAATTTTGCAACCCTGACCGTCTTCGTACTGCACTCGAATCTCTTGTGCTCGCTTGACGATGCCCTGGTAGCCGGGAACACTGAGACAGCCTTCAAAATCGCGCTCGACGAAACCTGACATGGCCACGATATCCGGATTGAGCACCTCCTGATACTTTACATTGTCCAAGTCATCTTCATTTTCCGGCATGTTCTTGATCATAAGAAACATGCGCAGGTTGTGGGCAAGTTGAGGTGCTGCGATACCTACACCGGTCTCCTGACGCTACAATATGGACAGTGTCAGCACAGTATCATATGTCATCCATTGCATCAATACTGTCAATTGCTTGAAAACTGCACCACTTCCTGCTCCATTGACTCTAAAATTCTCCGAATTGCTGGAGCTCGTACATCAGCTACTGACTTGGATACTCGACGTAGAGCTGAATGAATGAACACACACACGTAAACCCACAAGTTTTCAGTGTCATAGACATTTTATTCAAGCTCAACCTTTAGCCAAGCTCAAGTTTAACGTAATAATTGTACATTGAGGACATCTCTCTATCTTTTTGCATTGGAAATACGCTCCCAGACGATGAACGTACCAGAGTTCCCGAGGAATACAAGCGTCATGTGGGTAGGTTCGTTTAAGTATTGAATGTATATTCTTCATGTCAATAATACCACGCTGAGCCAGGTTTTGAGTAAGTATACAAAAACAGTAGAATATTTGCAATGAAATTAAGAACTATTACCTGAATGTCATAACCCTGACGTGAACTTTACCACCTTGACCAGAAATTTCGAGTTAGTAAACTGGTCAGGAAATGAGCGACTTGAACGACGACGATTTTTCTCTAGGTGATGATTCCTCCGATGATGAGCCGTTTACGCTAAAAGATAAAGCCGATAATGATGAAGATGAAGAAGACTTTGCCGAAGAATCCGTTTCCAGTGACGCGTCGGATTTTGAGAATCTGGTGCGTAAATCCAAGAAAGCACGCGTATCGCACACAAACATTAATAGCAAGAGCTCGAAAGTAATAGTTGATGCAAGATCAAACGTTAAATCTATGCACTCCAAGCAAACCGTAGCTTCAAAGGTTATGGTGGACAAGGCAAAGAAATCTGTTACTACAGCTGCTGCTACAAAGGTCTCAGCAGGTTCGAATCCGAAACCTTTAACAGCTGAAAACGCTGAAGCCGCGGTACTTGAGTACATGCGCAAGGTCTCAATTGATATTATATTATGTGTTGATTGAATGCAATTGAATGGGGTAGTAGTTAATGTGTGGGACATTGAATGACAGACGAATCGACCGTACAGTCTACTCAATGTGTTTGAGAATATGCATCGAGCCATTGCCAAGCCGTCTCTGACCAAGTTACTGGACAACCTTGTGATTAAGTACAATGTGTTGATTTGGATACTACTGTTTTGTGGATTTTGATGTTCATTTTGGTGACATTGTGCTTCTTTTAGGCAAGAGCTGGTGAGCAAAACGTACGGCAAGGCAAAAATCTACTACATGAACCAAAACAACTTGCCGATGCCGTCCGAGGAAGAACGGATGATGATCGAGGAGAAGATTAGGGCGGTGACTGCGGAATGTATTGCGTCTGAGCAGGAGTTGAAGAGCGCAGAAGCTATGTTAGCTGGAGTTACTTCACATATCTCGGATGCAGACTTGGATGCAGCGCTGAAGCAACTTGACGAGGAGGCAGAAATTTTGGAAAAGAAGGCGGAGACACTGGATCAACCAGGTCGAGATAGGGTGTCCCCTGGCAGGAAGGACGCACTGAAGCGCAAATTTACAAAATATCGCGTGCGTACACTACTATTCTCGACATTGATTCTGTACAAAGAATTGATATCGTCATGGTATTTTTATTGTGAGCAGACAGCTTGGGTGGCACGTAAACGCATTGCGATGGACGGCGTCAATCAAATTGCTGACGGGATGGAGAAGAAACCGAAGGCTGTGCTGGACCTGATTGGACTGGAGACAGATGAGGATGCCGGTGTGAAAGAGCTACCAAATATTTAACGACGCAGTTGAGCCGTTTTGTATTCCTGTACACATCGTACACCAACTGATACGGAACGATTTATCCTTGTAGCCTAGCTCTGCGCTCTGCAATTTCACGCTCACGCCGGTCCTTCAAACACTTTTTGTAGCGGTCAAAGAAGAGTTGACACATGTATTTGTTGTCTGGATTGTCTAGTACAAAAGGTATGGCCGAGTGAGTGAACGATACAAGCCAATGTATGCACACGTACTGATGAGACAGTTGAGCGATTCGCGCTGTAACTTAGCACACTCCTACTCAGAAGCCACAGATCATTGGTACATTGTCGATAATTGGTGAGATTCAAGAAAGACGCATAAATTGTTGGAGAGAGAGTTCATAGACGTACAGCGTTGTCGAGCTTTGTCGGTGGCATTAGACGATGAGATTAGTATGCCTTTTTTTCAAACTCTGTAATATACATATATATATCTCCCGTGAAAGTTGATAATACACTAAATTTAAAAAACTAGACTTTTGCTCTATGGAGCTAAAATTTTTTTTACAAATGTCAGATCTGATAATGTGACGGCAGTGTCACATGAATCTTGTTTACTCATCGCAAACATAGCCTTTGAGACAAAGTGCTTGAGGTTGTTTGCTTAATGAGAGTCAAAGTCATGTACATCAAAGCGCTTCGAGCACATCACATATCACATTTTGCTCATTGTTGGCAGGTCCTTTTTCTTGTCAAACAATAGACATATGAGCGAACGGAAATGGCCCTGCTAACTGAAACCTTTATTGGGTGCGCGTTACTTATTCATCGAGGTAGAGTTGCGATGATAGTAAACGGGAAAGCGTGCTGCTTACGTTGAAGTAACACTATGGGTACGGTAAGCTAATGAACCCTCACGATATACAACGCAACCAACACTCCAGAACTTTCAAGGTCATAAGGAGAAAGACTTGGCCTATGCGTTTAATCTTCCAAAGAAGGTGCAAACACTCTTTGTTCAATGCTGTTTTACTTAAGCCGTACATCGACCTGGCCTCGGTGGACTTCGAAGGGTTTTCCCCATGCCCGGCCAAAGGGGGTGGATAAGCCTCCACAAGGCACTGGAGGTGCATACGGCGCTGCAATCGCACCAGGAGGTCTATCTGACACCGAAGCTTTACAATAGAATGCTCTAAGGCTTCTAAAAGATCGAAGGACTCCGAGAGATAACGGTCAAAATAGCCACGGCGTCAAATCGACACGATCATCAAAAGACGACTAACGAGACGCCATCGAACCCAAAGCATCATTCTCCAAATCTGTCAGCCAACTTCAGATTTCAAAGAGATCCCGTTACGTCATGAATTTTTGATGGCCATCAAACTCCGCCAATGCTGATCGGTGAGACAGGTTAACAACACTTTTATGCTCAGTGCCTTTTGACGCGACGCCGTCACCATAGTCATACCCGATATTTGGTGAATTGAAGAAGGCATCCACTCGTGGAAGTTCAGGATACCTCTCCGGCAATATTTTCCTGACGTCGTTGACGCCTTGAATTAAGCAAATCAAAGCGGCGACAACAGTCACCTGAAGCTTCCTAGCACTAGGTGCTAAGGAAGTAAGGTCAGTAGTGAGGCTTTGTCTCTGATTTCCTGAGAAGCAATTTCCGGTATCTCACTTTCGTGAAAGGAGCTGGAAACTGCTTCAAGAGGAAGCACTTTACAAGTCTTAACTTTAGATTTAGAGCGCTTCGCTTTAACCTCTCGAAAATTATGCGTAAGCGACGTTCTAACTAAACATCCTGCTCCCTTTCGCCTAAACGTGGGTCGTAGAGACTTTTGGAGGTACAAAATCGTACAATCCGAAAGCGGGAGCTAAAAATTATCTTAGAGATATGTATCACATCAGGAACGTCTGATTGAAGCTTTAGACCCGCTTGATGACGGAAAGACAATCCAGCGGACGAGATACTGTCGCTCGTCCAGAGTCGCCGCAAGAGCGTCGAGACTGGAACTGCGCTAATTTACCGTCGGCGGGTCGCGGTACTCCAAAATACGTTCGACAATCCAGCGTGGGTTCCCAGCGCTGTCAATCAGCGGGGGTGGGCCATCACGATGGAAACGCTTGCGTTATACCGGCGAATACCTTTCCGATGCCCGACGTGAGTAAGCCTCTTGCAACGGACCTCTGAAGATTTCAGCAGCGCGTCAGATTTTGTTGGATACTACGCGGATCAGGCGAGGGAGCTTGCGGAGTTTGCGGACTTATGAACGTAGCAGGTTTCATCGAGTCTCGCTGGTCTAATAAGTCGATTGGGACGGCTCGAGCAGTCGAATGCAGCTCTTCGTCGGGATAATAAAGGGAATGCCAGCCGGAGACCGAGGTATCGTGGCCCGCGTTACGCTCCTACAGCTGCTTCTCCTAATCCATCGGAAGAAGAGCCAGCCAATAAGGTCTGAGTCGCCCAACGTATAACGTCGATTGTAGTCGCATGGCCGTACGAATATCAAGCGTATACGCGTTTAGTGAGTAGATGTTACGGTCCAAAATATAGAACTAGTCACCTCAACTGCGTCAAACGGTCTAATATAGCATGAGGCAAGCTTGCTTGAGCCAAGGTTCGTCACAGCTGCATCTTGAATACCTGATGTGAAGCAATACGGAGTCACCAATTGAAAATTATCATGGTGCTTGCGCCCACTCTGGTCAGCGGAAGCCTTTTGCTTGTACACTGTGCTTTCTAGTGCTTCTCGTACAAAGCACACCCCGGAATGACGCTGTTGAGCAAACGCCTTGATAGCCGACGAGTCAGTAAGGCGTAGAATCGGCGGCGGACCATGAGAATCCATGATGTCGGGAGAGTAACCATCGGGCGTTGGGGTGAGCTCGCATTGGCTCAAAGCGCGAGCTGTTGCAACGCTCAGCGATGCTTGATAGGTCAAGGCCGCTTCGATATCCCGTGAAGCGTCAGTATTGAGGATCGCGGCACCCACTAACACTTCGACACCGTTTGGTGGTTGTGCTGTATCACTTTGATGGCTTTGCGATCAGTGATGGGTTCCTGGTCATCGACCTTAGTAGATCATTTGACTGCATTTTTGCGATGCAGTGGCTGGCACGTCATCGTACAGACATCGGTGACTTAACCGCATGGAACAGACACGTGACATAGATGTCACAGCGGTTCTCGCTCACCTCACCAGGTCGGCGGAGACATGGCCATACGTCGCAGTCGCGAACACTGACCCCAAGACTAGCACTCTTTACGAAGAGAGCGATGGACATTCGTGTGCGGTGTGAACTTCAGTGACTTTCGCCCTCTCAGTAGGAACGTGGTTCCTGAGTCAAGAACCGCACCGTATCAGTGGTATTGGTGCGTTTCGTACGAGCAGTGGCCTCCGTGCGTTATAATAAGAGTAAAGGTGAGCATAGGCTTGCTCTAGCGCCAGCACATCGGTTTGCGGTGCTAAAGAAGAGTAAGGTTGAGCAGGGACCCCCTTCCAATCTAGCGTATTGGCTCTTGGTGTCGCAAAAAGCTCTAGTCGATCAGTAGCTCCCTGATTTCAGGAAACTTTGGCCAACCAGGGGCTCTTCAATTTGACTCGGACATATTGCCCATTTGATCTGTCTCACAGCGCCGTCATGAACGGTGAGAGCGCTCTCAATCCCCGCAGCAGACATGGTTACTGCTCCCGCGCCAGCGCTCGAGACCACCGGTATTGTTAATTGGCTTGTTCGGACCCAGCAGCGACTCACTCTAGGTCGCAAGTCCTCATCGCGATGCGACTGGCATCATGCAACTCCTGTAGAAGTCTTGGATTGATATGCTGCATGAGCTGAAGAGGGGGGAGATCCCAAAATTATGTGTTGTTGTTCGTGAATCGACGCTCGCAAACCACGAGCGTCCGGAAGGGATGAAGTCAAAGTCTGTACGCAAAGGCGCTTCGCGGCACAGTAATGAGAAGGTCTCTCGTCATCGAAGAATCCGGCTTCCTCGCTCGCGCGCGAATTTGCCGACGTTTTTACGGAAATGGTCCTGCCGTCCTACCTGCGGATCGCGGCGAGGGGCATGGGATCGACCTCGTGCCAGGATCAAAGTATGAAGTGACCCAGTAGTGACTGCTTCTCCGCGATCAAGTAGACGCGATCTACGCTTTATTTGAAGGGCGGGGAAACGATGTTCACGTGAGCAAAAGCGTCTTGCCTCACTCGAGTCCCACTGCGTCAAGAAGGCTACCGGTAGATTGCGCATCGTTCATGACTTAAATCAGCTGAACGACGCTAACTTTCCCACACAGACACCGATTCCTCTCAAGTACATGGTACTGGACACCATGTCGGGCAGCACGATCTTCGCGACGTTAGATCTGATAGAAGACTTCTATCAGATTTTTATGCGTCCAGAAAAAGCTCCGCTTACCGCAATAGCACGCCAAGAGAAATGATCTAGGAGCGGCTTGTAATGCGCCTGCTACCTTTAATCGATGGTATCCCATGTTCTACGCCCGTTACGTGACTTCACGCCTAGCTACTTCGACAAACTTTTCGTGCATAGCCGCGCCGCTGAGGGCGCGACGGACCACTTGGGTCACCTACGAAAAGTCTTTGAAGCGATGCAGGCAAATAAGCTGCACGAGAATTTGAAGGAATGTATCTTTTGCGCTCCTGAAATACCAGTGTTAGGCAGCTGTGTCAATGCGAAGAGTGTTTGCGCTGATCCCGAAAAGATCTCTTTAATATGCTCCTGGCACATGAATCAATGAAATTGCGGCAATGGCTGGGTAGCTGCATCACTACTCAAAGGATTTCGCCGCAGTGATCCACCCGTTGTCACAATTACTGGAGAAAAAAGGCACGTGGTGTAGCGTCACGAGCATCAAGAGACATTCGATGCTATGAAGATTAAATTGTCTTTGGCTCCTTTCTATTGTTGCTAAATCATTCCACCCCTTTCCATGTCGTGTGTGATGCAAGCGACTTTGCGATTGAATGTGCATCGATGCAACGCAGTTGAATGTGCATCGATGCAACGCGATTGAATGTGCATCGATGCAACAAGATGAAGCGGGCCACGAACGCGTCGTAAGCTAATAATTTTAGCAATCAAAACCTGCCGAGCAGAAGCACTCGATTGAGGACAAAGGGTTGCTCGCGATGCGCTACGTTCTCACAAGCTCCGTGTATACTTGCTTGGTGAACACACATTTGCACTCTATACCGATCACTACTCGCTTCGCACGGCTACGAAGAGCACAATTTATCCAGAAAATGGCGTGATGGCCGACTTTCTTTTATAAGTACAGCTTCAGTGTCCACTTCTACGAACATCAGCGCCGATGCGTTGTATCGTCTTCCTGACTATAGTTAGCGTGGAGACGCCACCGCGCACGCCGCGTGCGACGAGGATGACGAAGAGTGCACAGCGTGTGTGGCGCTTAATGTCAATAGTCGACGGTGAGAGCCGTCAACCTCCTTCGCGTCGACATCTCGACAGCGTACCGCCGCGATTAGTTCTTCTGACCTCTTCTTCAGTACTGTCGCGATATTTCCTAACAGGATCTGCACAAACTAACAGCGCCCAAGCGTGCACGATTTTCTCGCTACCCCGTCAACGCGATCGCCTTATGTACCAAGTTGATCAGTTTGATGGCCCTCGCATCGCCTTCCCACTCGATGACGACTTGCGTGCTCGCATTGTGCACGAGTAATACGACAGCGCGACTAGCGATCACCTTGGCCGCGAAAAGACGTACCTCGCGATGTCTCATGACTTTCACTGACCCCACATGTAAAGTGGGTTAGGAAGTGAGTTTGTTCGTGCGGTTCCTGCTAACGCAGTAAGCCAGGTCCCTATAAGTTTCTTGCCTATCGCCACGAAGTATGGCGATCAGTTAGCATGGATTTTGTAATTTTTCTCCCAGCTGATCCGAAAGGGCGTACTGGCATTCTCGTGGTGGTCGATCGTATCAGCATGATGGTGCATCTTGCTTCCGTCTTCGCATCCATCATCGTGGAGAAAACGGCGGCGCTCTTCATTGACACAGTATTTCGTCAGTATGCTATGCCGATTTTGATTGCGCCTTTTGGTCGCGGCTATTCAATTTCTTGGAACGCGGCAGCAAATGTCGAATGATGCCTATTCACGAGATAGATGATCAGACAGAGCGGGTCAAGCGTGTGCTGGAGGATGTGTTACGCAGTTACGCTACGTCCTACACATCATGGAGAGCGTTACCCTCCATGACAGACTTTGCCTCAACAATGCGGTCCACGCTTCGACTTGTTTGGCACCCTTCTTCATGAACAGCGCACGTCACCCTTACATGCCTGTTCGACACAGACTTGCGGGTGTTGCTAGTATTGGTGGGGGGACCTCAGGTGAATCCGCACGACGGGCTCGTGCCAAAGAGAGATGTGGCGCTGATTTGTCGTCAGCACACTTGACGACCAGATCTCGCAGATCTGGCGGGAACGCAGCCTCAAGGGGAGACCATTAAACTGTCAGAGCGAACAAAGTTGTTTGTTGCGACTGAGTACATCAAGGCACAAAGCGGTTGACTTGCGCCGTCCACACACACACTGAGGACGTGTAGTCTGCTGTTCTTTCTGGACGTGTAGCGATATGTTGCGCTTGAAGCGCAGAGAAGTCACCAGAGCAGCAGCTTCAGAACTTACAGGAGATGGCGCAAGAGAACATGAAAGGTTCTTGAGAACACTAAGTCAACCTGGAGTCTACCATAAATGAATTAAAAAAGTTTCAAGCTCAATTTTGCACTAACCAGGAGAAGTGTGGACGGCTTGAATAGGATGTTGAGGTGGCCAAGCAGTTGTCTGTCTCCCGCGATGAGCTGGATCGTGCCCTAGACGATATGTCACCACCGAAGGCACATTCCTCCAATTAGCCCAGTAGGTTGCCCCGAGAATACTGGTCATCGATGTTTTTTGACTGCACAGAGAGGACTACTTGGCTATCAATTCCAACTGCAACTAGAAGGGGGGATGGCTTGCGTGACTCGGCTTGAGACAATGGAGGCAGATCATCGAGCGATCGGACCGACCTCCACCCTGACGAGATGGAAGATATCATCGATCCTTCGATGCCTCAATCGCGTCGATCTTCATGAGCTTGGGAGTAGATGAGCGCACTTCAGCTGCAAAGGCTTGGCGTACGACGACTTCACTACGTAGTCTTTGTGGAGCGCGAGGGAGAAGGTCTTTTCGAGTGAAGACGGTTTACAGTCTTGAATACTTCTTCAGTTCTCGAACGTTACACTTACAGTAGCACGTTGACCTAACTTCAATACATTCTTGCAATTCTCATTGAAAATGTTAGCCTTACGAAGTATGTCGTTCTACCAAAGTTATTTGTCACGCACCATTCAAAGATAAAAAACCGTCATACAACTGCAAAGCCGTAGAAAGGTATGCTGAAGTACAGGACCGTTAACAAACCGATAAGCTATTTCAGTTACATTTTTGAGTGAAGTTGTGTTTGCTAGCGTACGCGCCTGCTTGTCTACATTCGACGTTCAGTCGTGATGCACAGAGTAAGCATCGCAAGCGATAAAGTTTTCGCACAAATGTCGTCATTATAACGTTTAGATGGCATACCAAAGCTATTTTCTCTAGGAAGTAGACTGTCCATCTAAGAAACCGTCTCTAGTATAGCTAGCGTACCATTATACCGCGCACGTACGACCAAACTTGAACAAAATGCTGCATATGGCGCGTAGGAGAAAGCATATTGAGTGAAGACGGTTCAGCGCGCGTGAGATAGTACCGCGTCATCTCTGCGCGCATACCGGAGAAAAGACGTGAGCTTGGGATGCCATCTCGACGGGATTTTTGACTATAAATAAAGCCATATGGCTTGTCCGCTGGACGTAGTCGCGCATCGAGAGCTTCCCTTGTTTAAGGTTGAGAAGTTCGGTGCGCAGCCACGACTTCTCTTGAGGAGGCTCGAGCGCCAGCCGGGGCCGATCTGTATCACATCTAGAGTTGGGAAACCGTGCTGGTCCACAAGTAACTTGCCTAGTGCCCACCCCTTCAACTTTCAGGACAATCGGGAGAGCGGAAAGCTCACCTTGGCCGACATCGTCTCGACCAACCTGGAGGCGATCGCAATGTCAATCTCCCGAAACCAGCTATTGAGCGGGGAGTCGATCTGTACCTTCTCCGAGTAGTAGTACGGCACAATCTTGACGGCGTCTGTCCGAGGTGATTGCGAGGGAGGTTTTCTGAGCCGATTTGCATGACAAGCTCGCGGCTTCCCGCTGTTGACTCGGAGACGCTGAGATCATCAGCGTCGTCACAGCAACTTCCTCTGCCACCGCTGCAAGGCGGGGAAGGGTCCCGCTCTATATGAGTGAGATGGGGAAACGACTCGTGACCGCGAGTCTCCATGGAAGGAGTTTATACGGCACGTCTTCATTTATAGCGTTGGATCGGCTAATGATCGCTATTAGGTGTAACGAGGTGAGAACTACTAACTCACACGTTGGACTTACGAAGATGAGTAAGAAGCACGCAATTAGATTGCGTGCTAAGGTCTATTCAAAACTCTGTTTGTTATTATTAACCTTTATAATAGTTAGAGTTGTGCGCCTTACTCTCTCAACAGGTCATCCTGTTGATCGGCTTACTGTTGCAGCAAGGCGAACCTGTTTGTCGCCTCATCGCTTTCATGCTGGATTAGCTTGGCAATGGTACTATGTTGTTTGTTCCAACCAAGAGAGAGCGATATAGCGCCGACGGCATCCTTGCCAACAGACTTACCATTTGCTGTACTACCTGTCATCAAAAATCACTTGAGTGGTAGAAAGTTTCACTCGTGGCGAGTGAACTGCTTTCATCCGCTGGTTGCAAAGCAGAAGTGTCCACGGTCGTTGGAAAGATCACGAAGTGCTACCAAGTGTAATGGGGCACCCCAAGCCTGTATGTAAGCTACTTAAACTAAAGATAGTGTGAGCATGTGCCTCATACTTTACGTACACAGGCAGAGAGAAGCGTACATGACTAGGTGACTATTCTTAGTTGCACGATACCTTAATAGTTTATTTTATAAGTAATTATTAATAAGCATATCTATTTGACCTACTTTAATTATAAATTCGATACTAATATGCATATTAGCTATCTGCTGGCCTCACCCATTGCGCGCGTCCATCCTTCATTGCACCGATCATGTAATGGGGTTACATAAAGGTGTGTATTGCACATACTCACCGCCACACCATTGTGGGGTGTCAATACCTTGGGTACACTGGTACGTCCGTAGCTAAGGTACGAATGGTCGCATCGTAACGTGGTCACTATACTTAGTTAAGTATAATGACTATATATAGGCTACAGACAGAGCCAGATAAATTGTGACTAGCACTAAGTCTAGAGTGGGTGCTTCTATATTTAGTGCTAGAAGATTAGCATTGAATAAATCAGTTTAAAACCTGCTCTGAATAGCATACGTGCTAGAGCGTTAGTACTTATGAAAAGAAAGTTATATCTTGAATAGTGGTCTCTTGGAGACGTGGTTGTTTACAACCAAAGGGCACAAGCTTGTTAAGCTAGCCTTGGGAGGGTTATGAACCCTAAGACGTAAAGCTCTTTGAGCTTGTCGTCCTCTGCACTTAGTGCATAAGTTACTTTGCTACGGTAGCTCTGCTACAGCTCTGGCTGGCTGATGATACAACCTGTATCAGCCAGTACGTTATTCAATTACGAGTGTGACAAGCATTCACGTTGTCATGCATCTTTTCCTTGCTTAGAGGCAAAATGTCGCCTACTTCGATCATATTTCCCGCTGAAGATAATATTGTTGATTTGTCTATTTTTTTTTACTGTTCACATTGGCACCTAATGATGGTATCAATGTTGTGTAACGGGCTCACCCCGTTACAATTAACACTCTCCTTTTGCATTCAAGTGGGTCTGCTCTAGTTGTTACTTATACGTTTCAATTTCTAGCAGCTCAAATCTTATGACGAGGCGTTAAAATCGTTTGAGCGTGCGACCGAGTGTCAACCGATATAATTACAAGCCTTCATGCACGTTGCTTACGTTTACCCAGCTGCTGGACAGCTAGAGGGAGCTCCAAATTGCTGTATCAAGGCCAGTAAGTTGGAGGATAACAAGAGAACGCGTCGGTATAATTTATTGACTAGGTTTGGCTCATGCTGCAATGGATCAGCAGCTTGAGGCTACAAAAGCTTATTAGAAGTCGGTGATGATTAATGCTCGAGCGTTGGAAACTATGAACAACGGTGACGAGAAAGCCAAGGAGCTTTGGAAGTGGCGACGGATCGCTCTTTATCAAGCGCTGTCCCCCCTAGTGGCGACGGATCGCTCTTCATCAAGCGCTGTCCCCCCTAGTGGCGACGGATCGCTCTTTATCAAGCGCTGTCCCCCTATTGGCGACGGATCGCTCTTCATCAAGCGCTGTCCCCCTAGTGGCCACGGATCGCTTTTCATCAAGTGCTGTTACCCTAGTGGCGTTATACTGGCAGCTCTGGGGGGTCTGGACACAGCCATCAAAGTGTTTGAAGATGCTGTAGTGAGGTTTTTGAAGAATGCAAACATGCATTACAATTTAGCAAATATGCACATAGCGAGTGATGGAAGCACTGATGATGACATGTTTGATTAAGTATTGAAAAGCGCGGATTTGTTGAAGATTTGGTTTTGTACTTGGAACAGCACGAAAATCAGCAATCTAGTAGATAAACTGAAAGGAACGGTGATGAAAACTGGCGTCTACCGGGATAGTTGCAACTGCTACGAGTGATAACGAAAACAAGCAAGAAGCAGGGCACTTGAAGCGATGCGGACGAGGACGTAAGTGAGGACGAAAAAAATAAGGAAGAGGGAGGTAAAGAGTGGTGGAGAAGCTCACAAAGTAGGAACATGACAATATTACGATTTTGACATAGTACTAAGCGACACCATGTTTACTACCTCTGCAGTCACCGTCCAAGGCTTTGTATCCTAGACGACGAAGCGTGTAGCTGCGCTGAAGTGTAAGCGCTTCTAGCACACTTTTTTCCTGCTTAAATGCACGCAGCCAATCGGCTGCCAGCTCGCTTGCCAAACGTGCACGGTAATCCTTGCCAATATCGTGCTTGGCATGTACCGCCCGGGCTTTAGCCTCACGTCTCAATTCCTTAAACCTCTTCGTCTTGTACAGTAGTGTCCAGTGGTTGGCCAACTTTTTGAGGTTTACGTCTTGAAATAAGTCCAGCGCTACTTGAGGATTCGTGCCGCTGCTTTCGAGCATTGCCATTGCGGCTTTGTAATCTTCATCAGCATTATGAAACCGCAAAATCAAACTTAGCAAATCCCCGCGAAGAACGTGAGCCTCAATAGCCTCATGCGAATGGTTTGGTGCCAATTTCACAGCAATATCGCAAGCACGCAATGCATGTTGCGTAACTGTAGCATCGTGTTCTGACTTGATCACGCGTCGTGAAAGCGTTGCACACAAGTATAGACTAGAGCGCACATAATCTGGAATCTGCGTTTGTGAGGAATGAGCTGTTAACCTTGAACTTTCGTCACTATGTCCGTTGCTATTCATTCTAGCATGGCTAATAAGATCATCCTTCCACTCATTTCTTTCATTAACCGAATGTCTCCACTTTACCATCGAAAACGCCCACAACGAGGCGGAATCCACAAGTGCAAATTGTATCAAATACACCGCCATCAAGCCTGCAAGTACAAATTTATACACGTGATACCGTGTTTTCTCTTGCCGTAAGTTTTTCCTTGTCTCATGGTGAGCTCGCTTATCGATTGGACACCAATAACGCTTTCGATAGACTCCATTATCCTCGTGACAGCGTTTCTCCCGCCTGTGTTTGTCCTCACTAGATTTCCACCACTTCAAGTCATTCCTTACCACAATTTCATCTTCCTGCTCCTCATCTTCACTACAATCTGCACCTTTTTCATCCTCATATCGCTCAAACACTTTTTTCATCCTCATGTCCTCATCCCCTTCTTCTTCTTCTCCTACTTCTTCCTCACTCTCTGCATTTTCGTCTCTACAATCCTCATCTGATGATGGTACATAATCACTCGATGAATCTTCATCCGAATCAAGGCACGCCATATAATGAAATATCGAAACAAAAGTCCGAGTAGACGATATTGGCGTCTCAAGTATCTCTTCTTCAGCCTCATGGTCGTTTTTATTCGTTCTATTCAACTTGAATTGCTGTGACGTGGTAGTTGAACATGTCGTAGTTTTTGTTGTTGTACACGTATTGGTATGATAAGGCCACGTATTTTTTACACTAGATATACATCCTTGGCGCCTCCTATCAGAATGTCCAGAGATCGTGAGCATAATGAATCTTTCGTCTCTTGTTCTGTGCTGATACTTCTTTTGCTTTGTTCTTGGCTTAATTACAGTAGGTCTAGATTTAGAAATGAATCGATCCAGTTTTTAGAAACCTTTATAACACGATGAATGTATTTTATTGACAGCAAAAATACTATTTTGACCAATCCACATCATACATTGTTTGCTAGAGCTCACTGACTCGTTTTTTTCATTGTTGAGTCGTAGTCGTATTCTTCTACCTAAGAAGGCAAGTGTTGTAAACGTATATCCAAAGGTTAAATGACACGTGGCAATCAACGAGACACGGACCGTGCGGTATGTGCTAATAGTGTTGTATGTATCTATGTATTTGGTGTAATAATAATAATGTATTGCAATCTGCTGTTTGCTACGTTACAGCGCGCCCAGGCGCGTCAGGCCAAACATGCCAAGAGTACAACCCAAGGCAACCCATTGGCTAGGCGTGAAGCAGATGCCAAAGCTTTACAGGAAAAGATTGCTCGTAAGGCAGCCATGAAACAAGAAGGGGGTGACATTAATGCAAGTGTCAAGGACAAGAATACGAAACAGCAGAAAAAGAAATAGAGTTATATTGAAGAAGCTGGTCTTTCATGAGCTACATTTTATATAGTGCGGGTGCTATCGTCTGAATGACGATCGGTTTAGAGAGAAGGTGTTAGTGCTTTTACTTTTGTATGACGTATGGCATTTGGAAGCAATACACAAGAGGAAAAATTCGGTATGTTACTCAAGCAAGTCATAAAGTCTGCCAAGACGATATAACCCTTGCAGTCTGCATCTACATACGACTAATTCATTTTTCTGTCAGTGTATCGTATCTTGCACGTTTGAAATACGTATTACAATTTATGCAAACACGGTATATATTAATGTCTGCGTGGCATTGCACACGAGATATCTACTGTTTTCTAGCCTGACGACCAAACGTATTGACATACAAAACATTTAAACAGCTTTTAGATAAAGGGGCTTTTATGCGCAAGACCAAAACAAATGAATCAGTATAAAACAAAAATTGATACAATGTGGAGTAACTTAATTACAAATATAATCATAACTTACGCTCTTAATCTGAAAAAAACAATGGACCCAGCGACTTATAATGAAGATGCGTATTGTATGGAATTGCTACAAAAGATGCGTACAAGTGAAACAATTGTGTATGAGGCTATTTTTGCACCAGAAAGATATATAATCAGCAAAGGACCTGTGCTCGTAGCAGCGACAAACTCTGGGATGATACACGTTTATCAACTTAGTCCATATATGACATCGGTATACTGGGATCAAGTCAAGTGTGGCGAGTGTGTTTGTTAACTGTCAATGAATTGTTCTTTCAGGTTATTTTGTAGTAATGTGTTTTGTGGTATTGTGGCAGAAAAACGGCATTTCCAGGTCCAAATCTTTCCTTCCAGGCGCATCCGACTCAGATTTACTCACTCCGTTTTGCTGGGAATGAGATAAACCCATTATTAATCAGGTATGGATGAAATAACTAAATGTAGCCATGTTATAATGTTTTACAATTTTATTTTACTATTTTTCTGCATTTTTTTTGTATTATTGTGTGCAAAATATTATTTTATTGTGAAACAGTGGAGGTGATCAAGACTTTCGAGTATGGAAGTGGCGAGATATTTTATCGGCTGTGGAAAATCCCGCACAGACTCAAAAGCTAGAGCCTGTGCATATTGATCACTTGAAGCGGTGTACATTTGGGTTTAGAGAGGCTCTGCTCCCAGTTACAGAGATTAATGATGTTGCAGTGAGCAAAAATACTGGACATTTGTTTTTAGCGGGTGGAGATAGTGTAGCACACGAGTGGGATGTCAGTACACAGCAGTTTACGCGACAGTTTGAGGGCCATGATGATTATTTGCATGCTGTCCGATATCTGCAGCACCCGCAGGAGCTTGTGACGGGTTCTGAAGATGGTACACTTGGCATATGGGATCGGCGTCAAGACAAAAAGGTTGAGTTCTTGCGTCCTCGGCGAGTTACACAGTCGCCGACTTTGTTGTCGGCGCCATTGCCATCGTTGTGGATTGGTGCTGTTGCGCACGATGATTCCGAAATCTGGTTAGCATGCGGCGGCGGTACGAAGCGGTCTCCTGGTAGCCGGTTTCATCGAATGCCAGCAACCGGTGGCTTCTTGAGTATGTGGCATCTACCTTCGCGCGTGCCTGTGCATTATACCGGGACGACAAGCGATGTGCAAGACGTTGTATTTCATCACATGGACTTACTTAGTGTGGGAAATGATGCCAGTCTGAAAAAGTGGAACCGAACCTCTGGTCAACTGCTTGCAACTGCAAGATCGACATTGCCGTCCTGCCACTTTTGTGTGGTTGACAGTGCGACGGATGTAGTTGCTGTTGGCGGCGCTGCACCTGCTATAGATATTTACACCATGCCCGGTGTCGTTAGTTATTCATTGGTTGTTGTGGACGAATCGAGCCCTCGAGGTTTGAAGTGAGATAAGTATCTCTCGACAACGCACAATATGAACTTGTTGGAAGTGAGCATGTTGGCGATTAATGGCATCACCTTGATAAAATTTGGTCTGCAAACCCTTGTGTAAACCTTGAAAGTTGTTTTTGTGAGCAATTGCGTAGGGCCACCAAGCTTGTTCGTGTCCAGTCGCTTTCCGCTCAACTGGAAGCGACGACGTAGAATATGTATAGGGCAAGCTGTGAGGCATCCGTACAATGATCCTTAACATAGCGTGGTACAAATTAACATACGACGCGGATGCTTCAAATCATGGGCAGGATACCTCCGTAGATGCCACGCTCCGCTCCGTAGTCGACAGCACGCTTGTAATGTCTATCGTGAGCATGTTGACCAGTTATTCGTGCAGTATCAAGCCCGCATGGTCGTGTCAAAAAGTACTGTACAGACTGATACGACGCCAGCAGTAGTGCCACCATCAGTTTTCCACAGACAATGAAGCGTCAAGGCACCTTGGAGATCAGAATGGCTTGAATGCGAAAAGGTGGCAAACTTGATGGTCACGTAAGTAAAATTACGTTTACAGTTTGCGCCATGATGCTTCATTGACGTTGTTCTGCGTAGACCTGCCGCAGAGACCGTTCTATGATTCGGTGAGGTACAGTCTCCTTTATCCTACTTTGTGTAGTTCTTCCTTCTTCCTGTATATGGAGCAAAATTTTTAGCCTTTTCTACGGTGCCACAGATTTGCGAGACATGCCTTAGCAATTAGAATACATGTAATGAATATGAAGATGATGCTGATTGTGCACAAGAAAAGTTGGAGAGGAGAAGATACGTACGCACTGCCGCTGCAAATGAGGTTCTACAAGTTGTCCTTGTCAAAAGCGGCTGATACAAAACAATGTGACGGGACAACCGTTACAGACAACGCGCGTTTGTTACCGGTGACATGATTACGTAAAAACCTTCAGTTTTTTTAAAAAAGGAATAAAATGCTAAGGAAAAGTAAGCGTTCAGTCTCCCCATTAGCTCTTATTACTTAGACACACGTGCACAGTATATACGAATAGTTATTACGTGACGAGACCAAAAAGATGGAGCTTATAGTGAAGCGCATTTGGAGAACCTACCACACCTCCTGCTTGGCCAATGCAGCATCTCTTAGCTGGGATTGATCTGTTCGTGGTGGTGCATGGGATTGTGGCGTCGTGCAGGACGGCTCTAGCTTTGAGATGTAACTCGAGCTACACAACAGCGCCCAAACCCGTTTTCAAAAATTTAACATTGTTGCCGCTAGTAGGAATTGTGCAACTGGAGTTGCAAGCGACATTCCACAGTATAATAATAGCTTGGCTAGTGTGGAAGACGTGGGGCTCAATTTTGGCGTGTTTTGGCGTGGTTGTTATAGCGTGTGTACGAGCGCCGTTAATTCTGAGGTAAAATATCTCGTTGCCAACGAGATGCCCCGGGTTCGATTCCCGGACGGCGCATCCTCTTGGATTCTTATATGTATGAAATAAAGATGGGGCCGACGCACGCGCAAATCCCCGTTATCAAAAATTCTACAATGGAATTACTCAAAGAGCATTCCTGAACCCTTACAGCACCGGAGTGCAAAAGGCCTGCTCCGGATCATGTCAACGCCCTCAGTTAAATACGTGTAGCCGAGCTACTGTAGCCACGCTACTTATGCACTATGTGCAGAGGATGTAGCTTAGCTACTGTAACAAAGCTACTTATACACTATGTGGAGAGGAAGACAAGCTTAGAGAGCTTTTACGTCTTAGGGTGCTTAACCCTCCGAGGCTAGCTCGTAAGCTTGTGCCTATCGGTTGTTGTAACCGCGTCTCAAAAAGACGATTATCAAAGATACAATTCCTATACGGAATAGAACGCTTTAGCAACCAGTGCTATACAGAGCAGGTTTAAAACTTATTTATATCCATGGTTATCTTCTAACACTAAATAAAGAAGCACCTACTCTATACTTAGTGCTAGTCACCATTTACTGGCTCTATAGCCTGTTATTATTATGCAAACATGCATAGTCACTATACGTAACTGAGTATAGTGACCTGGCTCTCTGCCACGATGCGACCCTTCGTACTTCAGGTACGGCCACATCAAGCCTACTCTTGTACCCAAGGTAAAGCCACACCACATTGGTGTGGCAGGTGTGTATATACAGTACACACCTTCGTGTAACCCCGTTACACCCTCCCCCACCAATCTGTGGGACTCGACGTACTCACGACTTTCGCACTTAATGGGAGGCATCGATTTCATTTTCTTCTCATTTTGCTTGCCTCGCAATAAGTGCTTGCACTTGCGAACAAAGCTTTAGTGTTCTGACACTTGCTCCTTGATCACCCGTGCCTTGCACACACGCTTTCTAAGCATCCTTGTGCTACGACACTCGCTCTTTGAGCATACAGTGCATCGCACTCACGCAAAGCATTATGTGTTACGACACGTGCTTATAAGCGTTAAGTGCCACGCACTTGGTAGTAAGACCCTTTGTGCGTTTACGAACACTTTCTTTCACAGCACTAAGTGCCTAGCACTTGCTTTGAAGCATTACAGTGTTCACAACACTTGCATTTTAAAGCCCTTGTCCCTTTAGCGCTTGCTCCATCATGGATGATGCAATGCGCCGCGACATCTTTAAGGACGATGACAGTGACGTTGCCTCTAGGGGTAGCGGAGCCGAGTCTTCTTCGGGTCATGGTACCCCAAGATCATCACGCTCAACGAGCGAGGGACGCAGATCCCATTCTGTGTCTTCTCCCCCAAAGGAGACAACCCCATTGCGCCAAGCGCCACCACTTCCCTCGCAAGAGGGTACTGTCGAAGAGGTAACCAACCCTCTTGACGCTGCATAGCGTCGTCAACTCGATGACGAGACCCGAGCGGCCGCTTTGGCACGGCCCAAACAAACATTTTCACGACGTGATTATGGGTTCATGCCCCAAGACCCTAATGAGGAAGCTCGACGAGCTGCATCGCAATCTTTGCGAACCTATGTCATTGGGTCCCATGCCCGTACGGCCTGCGAGAATGCAGATAGTGTTGCTCTTCGTGAGCGACACATTACTCTCCAGGAGTTTACGATGATATCGTATCAGGAGCGACTGTCACGAAAGTCACGTGGGGTGCCCGTGCACCCACTAACCGGCATACCAGTTATGCTTGCACCAGGTGAAACATCTGCACAAGATGATCACCAGTTCACCCGCTGGGTAGAACGAGCATGTAAGCTCTCAAGTTTGTCAAACATGCGTTTCAGCGCTAAACATTTGGCTAGAACGTCGTCTACGTTTTAACTTCGCTAAGCTCAAAGCGAAACGTCAATTACCTTCCACATACAGGTCAAAGACTTGTGGGGAGCAAGCTTCTGAAGCTGTTGCCCGTACCTCTCACTCGAGTGATGTACCGACATTGGCTTCTTCTGAAGGTCAGAGGCGAAGCCAGCCTACTGACCCTATTTCCACAGAACCTAGTGCTAGGAAGCGTCCGACGACAGCTGTCGTCGCTTCTAACCGTCCTGGTCAAAAGAGTCAACGGCGTCAGGGCAATCCTGCCGGAGGGGTACCTCATACTCCCACGAGTCGTACGACTGGGGGTAACCCCTCCACTTCACCAAGCATTGGGTATGACCCAGGTGACGACGCCGAGCCAAGAGACGTTCCACGTGGAACTGTTGATGACCAGCTCATCAATTAGCGTCGGAGGAGGTCGATGACCCATTGACCTCTCAATTTTCTGAGATTGAACGTCGCCTGACACTCCTGGAGCGTGATGCTCTTAGATCGGTAAGGTCTCACCTGTAATCACTTGGTGACCGTGTCGATCGACACTGTCGGTACTTTGAGCGTTATCGCTCTGAGACCTCGGATCGCTTAGCGGAGATTAAGTGTTCTCAAGTTAAACTTCGATGTCAACTTGACCTCCTAGTACGCCTCCAGCGTCCACGTGCACCTTCGGTGCCGTACTACCCGCCTCCTTCGGCCGGGAATATGGGAACAACCCCTCGAAGTCCACCGAGGCAGGGTTGAGATATGGCTTAAGCAGTCCCACATAGAACACAGGCTGTGTTTGCATCTTCTTCGGAAGGTTCAGTGTATAGGCTAAGCCTTTCTTGCTTATAACCTTAGAAGGTCCAATAAAGTGTGGACGTAATTTGTTTTTTATACCGCAGAAGCGGCACAATTAGGTACTCCTAGCGTTTACTAAAACTAAATTAACCACTTTGGACTCGTTTTCGTTCTTTCTGCCTTTGGCATTTGCTTGTTTTTTTGGACACCCTGGCTTTCAGCCGAAGCGTCTTTGACGCGACGTAATACGTCAAAACGCGTTGACAGAGACGGTTCCACCTTCTTGCGCATCACAACAGGGCAGATATCAGCCAAGCCTTTGGCTATCTTTCCCCCCACTAAGCCCTGATGTGGCAGGGGGTAGCGTTAAAGAAACGCGAGGGTTGACCAACCAGTCACATAGAATGGGGTGAGGCCTGTCGAGCCATGCACCGCGTTATTCAACGCAAACTCAATATTAAGAAGCATAGTGATCCATTGCTTGGGTGTTTCAGCTCAAACACTGCGAAGCATATCACCAATAACGCGATTGACGCTTCTGTCTGACCATCGGTCTGCTGATAATCCGCCATGGACATGTCCAGTCGAGTGCCCAGCACTTTAAAGACTGACGTCCAAAAATTTCCGTAAAACGGGAGGCTCTATCCGAGACGATTGCCAAAGGCAATCCGTGTTGCCGAAACACACGATCCATGAACAGCGTAGCTGTTCCTCCCTCATCAATGGAGTCCGGCACTGCCGCAAAATAAGCCATCTTGCTCAGTCGGTCAACAAAGACCACAATCCCAGTGTTGCCTGCCGCATCACGCGGTAGGCCAAACACAAAGTCCATACTAATGGACTGCCACAACTCCGAGGGTACAGGAAAACTCGCCAAAGGCGCAGCCATACTAGGCGAGGGCTTCACCCTTTGACACGTTTCACACGTGCGTACGTAGGCAAACCATTTATGCAACTTGGGCCACCAATAATGGGTGCTCACCGATCTGTAGGTCTTTTCACGACCAAAATGACCACCAAGTGGTGTATCATGAGCCTCATAAAGTATCTGATACTTGAGGTCCTCATCATGAGGCACCACAACACGAGGCTTGTCATCCGACCCTGTACTATAGTACGACAGACCATCCTCAGTGCATAGGATGTAATCGCGAAAGAATACGTGATGACAGATTCACCTTAGAGTTTGCAAACTCTGCACTACCCAGTGCCTGCATAATGGCAACACATACCTCATCGCGTGCATACGCCACACGAATACAATCCGTTACTGAAGAACTCACAACAGTGAGATGAGCAAGCTCATAGTCAGGTCTACGCGATATCGCGTCAGCCAAAACATTATGTTTTCCCGGCTTATACTTCACCTCGAAGTTATACTCCGCAAAAAAGGAAAGCCAACGAGCCATTCTCTGCAAGAGATGAGTCGACTGTGTCGCTGTGCGTAGCGACGCATGATCGGTATAGATCACAAACGGCTTTGAACCCAACAGATGTACCCTGAACTTAACACGGGCATTGCAAGTAGCTCCTTGTCATGAACTGGATAGTTCTTCTCTGCAGCTTTCAACTGGCGAACCTTAAACGCGATGACGCGTTCTCGACCCTCAGAGTCAGCTTGCAAGAGAGCACTGCCAATGGCAAAGTCCGAAGCGTCACACATGACGCTAAACGAGCGATCGGGATCAGGCAAAGCCAAAATTGGTGCCAGAAGGATACTATCCTTAATGGCTTCAAAAGCCTCGTGGTGCTCGGTTTTCCAACACCATTCCACATCCTTTTTAAGAAGATTCTACAATGGCCTAGCCACTTTCGCATAGTTGTGGCTATATTTGTTCATATAATTTGCCAACCCCAACCACTTGCGAAGGTCCTTCTGGTTCCTCGGAACCGGTCAATCTACTATGGCTTTGACCTTAACAGGGTCTGCCCGGATTTCTCGCTTCCCAATGAAGCATCCCAAAAATGAAATCTCTTCCGCACCGAAGATGCATTTGTCAGTATTGGCATACAACTTATGCATCCTCATGCAACCGAGCACAGCTCGCAGGTGCTCGATGCGATTCTCCATGTCAGTCTTTCCATTTTCGGCTCGAATGGACGAATATATCGTCAAAGTATGTCTGTGCATACGCCCTATGGGGCCGAAACAACTACGATTGAACGTTATAGGTGCGTTAGACAGCACTTGGGGAATCACTAACGACTCCCAGAGCATACCGCTCGGAGTACTGCCGCTGTCAGCGGGATATCACTAGCTCGCATGAGCAGTTAATAATATCCATCGACTAAGTCGAGGGCACTGTACATCGTACATCCCATCATATTGTTTTGAAGAACATCCTTGCGAGGAATCGGTGTTTGAGCCGGGATAGGGCTGCATTCAGCTTATTGTAAGCATGCACTATTCGCCACTTTCCATTAGGCTTCCTTAGACAAAACGCGGGCGTAGATTGAGGAGACTTACTCTCACGCACCAAGCCAGCCGCGTGCTTTGCACGAAAGAACTCGTCGATGAAGTCTCGTTGTTCTCGTGACAGCGGCCACTATCGCGTCACACAGTATTTGGTTCCTGAAACCAAGTCAATCTCATGACGTACGCCTCTATCCGAAGGTAACCTCGTAAGAGGTTCTCATCGCCTGCTGATAGGCAATACAAAACTCGGTAAAGGACAACTCGTCCAGCTCTGACAGAGCGCTTACTGCGGGTATAGCCGAAAAAGCCACTGGCTCTTCAGCATCCCCAGTCAAACTTTGACGAGTGTATATAGCTGTTTGCTATCACCGTCACTCACGATATTATCATCGCTACTCATGATTTTCTAAGCATCCAACGCATCAGCGTCCACAGATTTACACACCTCAAGGTCAAAGACCACTTCGTTTACTGACAGCACCCGCCCCGCGCCTACTGGGTTCCGCCGTTTCCCCGCGTCAATTCAGAAGGTTTACCCATGGGACGTCGGCCCTTCGAGACCAAATATGCCTTTCTTGCAGGGCATTTTGCCATCAAATGACCTGTCCTCTTGAAGATATAACATCTGCGCACAATTGCTCCTCTGCAGCATGAAGCTCAGCTTCTTCATCCTCCACTTGACTACAGTCCATGGGTACAGACCCATCAGACGAGTAGTTATAAGTGACAGGCCTAGCGGCCTTTAAGTTGGTCTCGGCATTCCATGCAACTCCAACAGCTTCCTCGAATGAGGACGGGTTTGCCGGGAAGACTTCCGTTCGGGCAACGCCAACTCGGAGGCCTTAAATGAAGACCGTGACGGTCACACCCTCAGGTATAGGGTCTATGACCATGGCAGAAATGAGAGTTCTCAACTCTTGTACATATGCCGCAAGCTCACGCTTGCCTTGGCAACACGCCAAAAACCGCGAACGATTACGGTGTGCTTGGTTTGGCGGTACATACTTCCGGGTCATCTGAACTTTCAGATCGGCCCATGTGGGAAAAGCATCTTGCAGTGATGCACCACATGTGAATGCCCACTGTTTGGCTAATCCATCTAACTTGCCCGTGGCAAAGCCCACACGGTACAATTCGTAGGTGATGACAGCTATAACATAGCCGACTCGACCTGTTGGAACCAAAGCATAAGGTTGTCACCTTCTTTGCCGTCGAACTTATCGACTTTCATATGTATAGGTTTTGGTCTGCGGACAACTTCTTGCGCCATAGTCGCCATGGGCAAAGGCGCAGAAGAAGGCATCTGTGCCCTTACATGCTCGACTAGAGCGTTGTTAGATTCTTCAAGCACATGAATACGCTTGTTAACCTCTTCTTTGCCCTGGGCGATGAGGTACTCCACACCCTTAGGGCCCAGGATAGGGAGCAGTTTCTGCAACTCTTCCTGTTGTGCCTTTGACAGGCCAACCGCTGACATCTCATCGATGTCCATTCTCAATCAGAGAAGTCGTCGCAAAACTCAGGTGCGGAATTGACTACAAGTGCTACCAGGTGTAGCTGAGCTACTGTAGCCACGCTACTTATGCACTATGTGCAGAGGATGTAGCTTAGCTACTGTAACAAAGCTACTTATGCACTATGTGGAGAGGAAGACAAGCTTAGAGAGCTTTTACGTCTTAGGGTGCTTAACCCTCCGAGGCTAGCTCGTAAGCTTGTGCCTATCGGTTGTTGTAACCGCGTCTCAAAAAGACGATTATCAAAGATACAATTCCTATACGGAATAGAACGCTTTAGCAACCAGTACTATACAGAGCAGGTTTAAAACTTATTTATATCCATGGTTATCTTCTAACACTAAATATAGAAGCGCCTGCTCTTTACTTAGTGCTAGTCACCTTTACTGGCTCTATAGCCTGTTATTATTATGCAAACATGCATAGTCACTATACGTAACTGAGTATAGTGACCACGTGGCTCTCTGCCACGATGTGACCCTTCGTACTTCAGGTACGGTCACATCAAGCCTACTTTTGTACCCAAGGTACAGCCACACCACATTGGTGTGGCAGTTGCGTGTTCAATACGCCCTTCGTATAACCCCGCTACTATATGCCAATAAAGTAACCACCCTTGGTGTGTAACAACTGCGCGAGGTGGGGGGGACTAGACGGGAAACGTCCAAGTGTACGGCTACACCAATGAGTTATATGACTACGTTAGACTTGAACCGGCGGTGTCCTTGCTGGAGAGTGCCGGTGGGACCGTGACAGGTTCATGAACCACTAGTTCCTCGTAGCATTGGTACCCCCCTGATGATGGTGTCAACGCTGCTGGCGTGAGCGTCCCCGAGGCTGGCGAGTCGATCGTGAGTGGAGCGAGATGGTTGGGCATATTCGGGGCCATAGGTGGAGTTTTTTGCCAATAATTGGTGCCCGATCTCGACCGGTCTTTGGGAGCTGTTGACGAATCCACTTGAGCCCGACGTGGTTCCCACCGTGTGCTGGTCCGACGGGTCGGTACTGAAGCCGTAGACATCTGAGATCGAAGCGAGCCCCACCGTGTTAAAGTCCGACGAGACTCTCAAGATGAAGTCGAAGCCCTCGATGGGAATAAGACTGGAGGCCGTAATGCCGTCGATCTTTGATCTGTATAAGGGTTACTGGACAGCGGCAGACTTGAAGCTGCAGGGGGAGCCGCTGATGTCACCGGTTTCTGGAAGTAATACATTGATTGTAACAGGGTTACACGAAGGTGTGTATTGAACATACAACCTGCCGCACCAATGTGGTGTGGCTGTACCTTGGGTACAAAAGTAGGCTTGATATGACCGTAACTAAAGTACGAAGGGTCGCATCGTGGCAGAGAGCCACGTGGTCACTATACTCAGTTACGTATAGTGACTATGCATGTTTGCATAATAATAACAGGCTATAGAGCCAGTAAATGGTGACTAGCACTAAGTATAGAGTAGGTGCTTCTATATTTAGTGTCAGAAGATAACCATGGATATAAATAAGTTTTAAACCTGCTCTGTATAGCACTGGTTGCTAAAGCGTTCTATTCCGTATAGGAATTGTATCTTTGATAATCGTCTTTTTGAGACGCGGTTACAACAACCGATAGGCACAAGCTTACGAGCTAGCCTCGGAGGGTTAAGCACCCTAAGACGTAAAAGCTCTCTAAGCTTGTCTTCCTCTCCACATAGTGCATAAGTAGCTTTGTTACAGTAGCTAAGCTACATCCTCTGCACATAGTGCATAAGTAGCGTGGCTACAGTAGCTCAGCTACACCTGGTAGCACTTGTAGTCAATTCCGCACCTGAGTTTTGCGACGACTTCTCTGATTGAGAATGGACATCGATGAGATGTCAGCGGTTGGCCTGTCAAAGGCACAACAGGAAGAGTTGCAGAAACTGCTCCCTATCCTGGGCCCTAAGGGTGTGGAGTACCTCATCGCCCAGGGCAAAGAAGAGGTTAACAAGCGTATTCATGTGCTTGAAGAATCTAACAACGCTCTAGTCGAGCATGTAAGGGCACAGATGCCTTCTTCTGCGCCTTTGCCCATGGCGACTATGGCGCAAGAAGTTGTCCGCAGACCAAAACCTATACATATGAAAGTCGATAAGTTCGACGGCAAAGAAGGTGACAACCTTATGCTTTGGTTCCAACAGGTCGAGTCGGCTATGTTATAGCTGTCATCACCTACGAATTGTACCGTGTGGGCTTTGCCACGGGCAAGTTAGATGGATTAGCCAAACAGTGGGCATTCACATGTGGTGCATCACTGCAAGATGCTTTTCCCACATGGGCCGATCTGAAAGTTCAGATGACCCGGAAGTATGTACCGCCAAACCAAGCACACCGTAATCGTTCGCGGTTTTTGGCGTGTTGCCAAGGCAAGCGTGAGCTTGCGGCATATGTACAAGAGTTGAGAACTCTCATTTCTGCCATGGTCATAGACCCTATACCTGAGGGTGTGACCGTCACGGTCTTCATTTAAGGCCTCCGAGTTGGCGTTGCCCGAACGGAAGTCTTCCCGGCAAACCCGTCCTCATTCGAGGAAGCTGTTGGAGTTGCATGGAATGCCGAGACCAACTTAAAGGCCGCTAGGCCTGTCACTTATAACTACTCGTCTGATGGGTCTGTACCCATGGACTGTAGTCAAGTGGAGGATGAAGAAGCTGAGCTTCATGCTGCAGAGGAGCAATTGTGCGCAGATGTTATATCTTCAAGAGGACAGGTCATTTGATGGCAAAATGCCCTGCAAGAAAGGCATATTTGGTCTCGAAGGGCCGACGTCCCATGGGTAAACCTTCTGAATTGACGCGGGGAAACGGCGGAACCCAGTAGGCGCGGGGCGGGGGGGGGGGCCCCGGTGCTGTCAGTAAACGAAGTGGTCTTTGACCTTGAGGTGTGTAAATCTGTGGACGCTGATGCGTTGGATGCTTAGAAAATCATGAGTAGCGATGATAATATCGTGAGTGACGGTGATAGCAAACAGCTATATACACTCGTCAAAGTTTGACTGGGGATGCTGAAGAGCCAGTGGCTTTTTCGGCTATACCCGCAGTAAGCGCTCTGTCAGAGCTGGACGAGTTGTCCTTTACCGAGTTTTGTATTGCCTATCAGCAGGCGATGAGAACCTCTTACGAGGTTACCTTCGGATAGAGGCGTACGTCATGAGATTGACTTGGTTTCAGGAACCAAATACTGTGTGACGCGATAGTGGCCGCTGTCACGAGAACAACGAGACTTCATCGACGAGTTCTTTCGTGCAAAGCACGCGGCTGGCTTGGTGCGTGAGAGTAAGTCTCCTCAATCTACGCCCGCGTTTTGTCTAAGGAAGCCTAATGGAAAGTGGCGAATAGTGCATGCTTACAATAAGCTGAATGCAGCCCTATCCCGGCTCAAACACCGATTCCTCGCAAGGATGTTCTTCAAAACAATATGATGGGATGTACGATGTACAGTGCCCTCGACTTAGTCGATGGATATTATTAACTGCTCATGCGAGCTAGTGATATCCCGCTGACAGCGGCAGTACTCCGAGCGGTATGCTCTGGGAGTCGTTAGTGATTCCCCAAGTGCTGTCTAACGCACCTATAACGTTCAATCGTAGTTGTTTCGGCCCCATAGGGCGTATGCACAGACATACTTTGACGATATATTCGTCCATTCGAGCCGAAAATGGAAAGACTGACATGGAGAATCGCATCGAGCACCTGCGAGCTGTGCTCGGTTGCATGAGGATGCATAAGTTGTATGCCAATACTGACAAATGCATCTTCGGTGCGGAAGAGATTTCATTTTTGGGATGCTTCATTGGGAAGCGAGAAATCCGGGCAGACCCTGTTAAGGTCAAAGCCATAGTAGATTGACCGGTTCCGAGGAACCAGAAGGACCTTCGCAAGTGGTTGGGGTTGGCAAATTATATGAACAAATATAGCCACAACTATGCGAAAGTGGCTAGGCCATTGTAGAATCTTCTTAAAAAGGATGTGGAATGGTGTTGGAAAACCGAGCACCACGAGGCTTTTGAAGCCATTAAGGATAGTATCCTTCTGGCACCAATTTTGGCTTTGCCTGATCCCGATCGCTCGTTTAGCGTCATGTGTGACGCTTCGGACTTTGCCATTGGCAGTGCTCTCTTGCAAGCTGACTCTGAGGGTCGAGAACGCGTCATCGCGTTTAAGGCTCGCCAGTTGAAAGCTGCAGAGAAGAACTATCCAGTTCATGACAAGGAGCTACTTGCAATGCCCGTGTTAAGTTCAGGGTACATCTGTTGGGTTCAAAGCCGTTTGTGATCTATACCGATCATGCGTCGCTACGCACAGCGACACAGTCGACTCATCTCTTGCAGAGAATGGCTCGTTGGCTTTCCTTTTTTGCGGAGTATAACTTCGAGGTGAAGTATAAGCCGGGAAAACATAATGTTTTGGCTGACGCGATATCGCGTAGACCTGACTATGAGCTTGCTCATCTCACTGTTGTGAGTTCTTCAGTAACGGATTGTATTCGTGTGGCGTATGCACGCGATGAGGTATGTGTTGCCATTATGCAGGCACTGGGTAGTGCAGAGTTTGCAAACTCTAAGGTGAATCTGTCATCACGTATTCTTTCGCGATTACATCCTATGCACTGAGGATGGTCTGTCGTACTATAGTACAGGGTCGGATGACAAGCCTCGTGTTGTGGTGCCTCATGATGAGGACCTCAAGTATCAGATACTTTATGAGGCTCATGATACACCACTTGGTGGTCATTTTGGTCGTGAAAAGACCTACAGATCGGTGAGCACCCATTATTGGTGGCCCAAGTTGCATAAATGGTTTGCCTACGTACGCACGTGTGAAACGTGTCAAAGGGTGAAGCCCTCGCCTAGTATGGCTGCGCCTTTGGCGAGTTTTCCTGTACCCTCGGAGTTGTGGCAGTCCATTAGTATGGACTTTGTGTTTGGCCTACCGCGTGATGCGGCAGGCAACACTGGGATTGTGGTCTTTGTTGACCGACTGAGCAAGATGGCTTATTTTGCGGCAGTGCCGGACTCCATTGATGAGGGAGGAACAGCTACGCTGTTCATGGATCGTGTGTTTCGGCAACACGGATTGCCTTTGGCAATCGTCTCGGATAGAGCCTCCCGTTTTACGGAAATTTTTGGACGTCAGTCTTTAAAGTGCTGGGCACTCGACTGGACATGTCCATGGCGGATTATCAGCAGACCGATGGTCAGACAGAAGCGTCAATCGCGTTATTGGTGATATGCTTCGCAGTGTTTGAGCTGAAACACCCAAGCAATGGATCACTATGCTTCTTAATATTGAGTTTGCGTTGAATAACGCGGTGCATGGCTCGACAGGCCTCACCCCATTCTATGTGACTGGTTGGTCAACCCTCGCGTTTCTTTAACGCTACCCCCTGCCACATCAGGGCTTAGTGGGGGGAAAGATAGCCAAAGGCTTGGCTGATATCTGCCCTGTTGTGATGCGCAAGAAGGTGGAACCGTCTCTGTCAACGCGTTTTGACGTATTACGTCGCGTCAAAGACGCTTCGGCTGAAAGCCAGGGTGTCCAAAAAAAACAAGCAAATGCCAAAGGCAGAAAGAACGAAAACGAGTCCAAAGTGGTTAATTTAGTTTTAGTAAACGCTAGGAGTACCTAATTGTGCCGCTTCTGCGGTATAAAAAACAAATTACGTCCACACTTTATTGGACCTTCTAAGGTTATAAGCAAGAAAGGCTTAGCCTATACACTGAACCTTCCGAAGAAGATGCAAACACAGCCTGTGTTCTATGTGGGACTGCTTAAGCCATATCTCAACCCTGCCTCGGTGGACTTCGAGGGGTTGTTCCCATATTCCCGGCCGAAGGAGGCGGGTAGTACGGCACCGAAGGTGCACGTGGACGCTGGAGGCGTACTAGGAGGTCAAGTTGACATCGAAGTTTAACTTGAGAACACTTAATCTCCGCTAAGCGATCCGAGGTCTCAGAGCGATAACGCTCAAAGTACCGACAGTGTCGATCGACACGGTCACCAAGTGATTACAGGTGAGACCTTACCGATCTAAGAGCATCACGCTCCAGGAGTGTCAGGCGACGTTCAATCTCAGAAAATTGAGAGGTCAATGGGTCATCGACCTCCTCCGACGCTAATTGATGAGCTGGTCATCAACAGTTCCACGTGGAACGTCTCTTGGCTCGGCGTCGTCACCTGGGTCATACCCAATGCTTGGTGAAGTGGAGGGGTTACCCCCAGTCGTACGACTCGTGGGAGTATGAGGTACCCCTCCGGCAGGATTGCCCTGACGCCGTTGACTCTTTTGACCAGGACGGTTAGAAGCGACGACAGCTGTCGTCGGACGCTTCCTAGCACTAGGTTCTGTGGAAATAGGGTCAGTAGGCTGGCTTCGCCTCTGACCTTCAGAAGAAGCCAATGTCGGTACATCACTCGAGTGAGAGGTACGGGCAACAGCTTCAGAAGCTTGCTCCCCACAAGTCTTTGACCTGTATGTGGAAGGTAATTGACGTTTCGCTTTGAGCTTAGCGAAGTTAAAACGTAGACGACGTTCTAGCCAAATGTTTAGCGCTGAAACGCATGTTTGACAAACTTGAGAGCTTACATGCTCGTTCTACCCAGCGGGTGAACTGGTGATCATCTTGTGCAGATGTTTCACCTGGTGCAAGCATAACTGGTATGCCGGTTAGTGGGTGCACGGGCACCCCACGTGACTTTCGTGACAGTCGCTCCTGATACGATATCATCGTAAACTCCTGGAGAGTAATGTGTCGCTCACGAAGAGCAACACTATCTGCATTCTCGCAGGCCGTACGGGCATGGGACCCAATGACATAGGTTCGCAAAGATTGCGATGCAGCTCGTCGAGCTTCCTCATTAGGGTCTTGGGGCATGAACCCATAATCACGTCGTGAAAATGTTTGTTTGGGCCGTGCCAAAGCGGCCGCTCGGGTCTCGTCATCGAGTTGACGACGCTATGCAGCGTCAAGAGGGTTGGTTACCTCTTCGACAGTACCCTCTTGCGAGGGAAGTGGTGGCGCTTGGCGCAATGGGGTTGTCTCCTTTGGGGGAGAAGACACAGAATGGGATCTGCGTCCCTCGCTCGTTGAGCGTGATGATCTTGGGGTACCATGACCCGAAGAAGACTCGGCTCCGCTACCCCTAGAGGCAACGTCACTGTCATCGTCCTTAAAGATGTCGCGGCGCATTGCATCATCCATGATGGAGCAAGCGCTAAAGGGACAAGGGCTTTAAAATGCAAGTGTTGTGAACACTGTAATGCTTCAAAGCAAGTGCTAGGCACTTAGTGCTGTGAAAGAAAGTGTTCGTAAACGCACAAAGGGTCTTACTACCAAGTGCGTGGCACTTAACGCTTATAAGCACGTGTCGTAACACATAATGCTTTGCGTGAGTGCGATGCACTGTATGCTCAAAGAGCGAGTGTCGTAGCACAAGGATGCTTAGAAAGCGTGTGTGCAAGGCACGGGTGATCAAGGAGCAAGTGTCAGAACACTAAAGCTTTGTTCGCAAGTGCAAGCACTTATTGCGAGGCAAGCAAAATGAGAAGAAAATGAAATCGATGCCTCCCATTAAGTGCGAAAGTCGTGAGTACGTCGAGTCCCACAGATTGGTGGGGGGAGGGTGTAACGGGGTTACACGAAGGTGTGTACTGTATATACACACCTGCCACACCAATGTGGTGTGGCTTTACCTTGGGTACAAAAGTAGGCTTGATGTGGCCGTACCTGAAGTACGAAGGGTCGCATCGTGGCAGAGAGCCAGGTCACTATACTCAGTTACGTATAGTGACTATGCATGTTTGCATAATAATAACAGGCTATAGAGCCAGTAAATGGTGACTAGCACTAAGTATAGAGTAGGTGCTTCTTTATTTAGTGTCAGAAGATAACCATGGATATAAATAAGTTTTAAACCTGCTCTGTATAGCACTGGTTGCTAAAGCGTTCTATTCCGTATAGGAATTGTATCTTTGATAATCGTCTTTTTGAGACGCGGTTACAACAACCGATAGGCACAAGCTTACGAGCTAGCCTCGGAGGGTTAAGCACCCTAAGACGTAAAAGCTCTCTAAGCTTGTCTTCCTCTCCACATAGTGTATAAGTAGCTTTGTTACAGTAGCTAAGCTACATCCTCTGCACATAGTGCATAAGTAGCGTGGCTACAGTAGCTCGGCTACATTGACTGATCGCGTCCGGATGCATGCTGTAGGCCTTGTAGCTAGTCGGCACACACGCCACCTCAACTCGACGGTTGAGCTGATTGGCGGTCTGCTCGGTGAGTACCTGCTGCATACTTTTGTGATGCTGAGCTTCCTTTTGGTATTCATGCCCAGACCAACAAGGTTAACACGAACTTGCTGCCCAAGAAACGTCGACTTTATCACCACTTCCGAGCCCCGGCTTGCACGAGTGCTGAGACGCTGGCGCACGTTTTAGATCTGTCCTTAAACATGACTGAATGCACTAGCGTCATGATGATGCGCTAGAAAAATCGGTGGCCGGTCATAGTCTTGCTAGCGATGGTCTTTCTATAGCTCATTTTCTGACACAGAGACTAGAGCGACGACGGTCGATCACCCTGGTCTCGCCAGAGACGTGCCTCATTATTCGTGATTATTTTGTAAAGCCTAGTTGAGGCTTGCCTGTTTAAACAAGGCTTGTTTAAAGCGGCCGCGTTGTGTGCGAGAACCGAGATCTTTGCCAGCGAAGGGCTGAAAGAGTCGTCAAAAGTTTTTTGGGCGGGAAAGGCGTCAAGAGCCGGAACGGGGAGGTCGTAATAGAAGATATCGTGGACAGAGTCGGAACAAGTATCGTTTTCATCGGCTTCATAAAATGGGTCGAAAAAAATAGGTCGGGACGGGGAGGTCGTAACAGAAAAATTCGTGGCCGTTGTCGGTACAGGTATCGTCATTAGCGGCTTCAAAAACTGGATCGAAATATAGGTCTGAATCGTCCGAAAATCATGCGTTGAGGCCAGTAGGCGGGACAGATGCGCCTGTCGAGGGTAGACGGTCCATCGCGAGACCAGCTTCTAGATGTTCATCGCCAACGGCGGCGTTCTTTTCCTCGTCGATGCCGGCGGAAACGCTGGCGGCGATGACTTTGGCGTCAGTGGTGGCACCTGCAGCACCAGAAGCTTCCACATCATCAGTCGAAGCAGCGCCCTTAGCCGAAGCAGCGCCCTTAGCCGAAGCAGCGCTCTCTTGGTCGGCCTCTTCGCTGAAGAGCCGCTCCCGACGGACACCGCATCATCGTTCCGCGCCGGCACCGCTCTAGAGGCCGTGGTGGCGCGGAACGATGATACGGTGGCAGCGACCCACTGGACAAGGCACGGCCGCGCGCGAATAGTGAGAAGATAGCCACAGCGTAGCAGAAGACAAACAGTAGACACGCAGTAGATAAAACAATATAACCAAGGGTGTATGAAGTAGTGGTGTTGGTGGGGGCGGCGCACGCGCTCAACCCCGCTATCAAAAATTCTACTGTGAAATTACTCAAAAGAGCATTCCTGAACCCTTACAGCACCGGAGTGCAAGGGGCCTGCTCCGGCTCATGTCAACGCCCTTAGTGAGCAGCGTTAAGCACCAGTCAGGTAAGTATGATGTATGAACGGGAATTCCAGCTTTCCCTATTGTTTGGAAAATGCCCTACGTGCTAATAGATAATAAGCGATTTGCCGTGACAGAAACAATACGCTTAGTATTGTCACATAGTCGAACAAGCACAGTATTGCGTTGTTCTTTAAAATGGCTCAACTTGTACATACAGCACTACTTTACAGTCATGACAAAAACCAACAACATATTGTATAGAGGTGGGACCATGTAAACAAAGATGTAAGCAACATTTCATGACTCACGCAACGTAAGTTTTCTACGTCCATCGTCATCTTCTAACACGTCTTAGCCTTGGTGCTCTTTTTCTTCTTCGTCTTTCGCTTTCTCTTCGTCTTGCGGTCGTCTTTGGTCGCCTTATCAACCCCATTCGTCACAATGCCGTTGACAGTACAAGTTGGCTTTATCACTTGAGAGACCATTGTGGCATTATCACTTCTTGTAAAAAGGTAGGTTTTCAATGCAATAACAGTGTCCTCCATCTGCTTTGGTTTGTGAAGTGCCGATATAAAGAAACGCAGACGACACTTGCCTTCCTCAACGGCAGGGTACACAATAGGCTTCACATTGATTTGGTGCAATGCCAAAAACTCAGACGCGTTAGCAGTTGCGATAGTAGTACCGATGATTACCACAACCACTGGCGCACCACGAAAAGTGTTTTCACCCATTGGGATCATGTTCTTCTTGCACAGGTCGTAGAAGTACTTGCTTCGCTCCTGTAGCATAAGTGTACGCGTTGGGGCTTTTGTCATCAATTCAACCGATTTTAACGCGGCCGAGGCGCAAGCAGGAGCCAAACCCACTGAAAACACGAAGCCACCAGCGCAGTGCTTTAGGTACTTGACAAGTATTTCTGAGCCAAGGATGAAGCCACCGACTGATCCCAGAGCCTTGCTCATTGTGCCCATTCGGATATCGATATCCCTCGGGTCTACATCGAAGTGCTCGCATACACCGCGCCCTGTAGCCCCCATCGTACCAAACGAGTGAGCTTCATCAATAAATAGCAGAGCCTTGTACTTCTTCTTGATGCGGACCATCTCGCGCACGTCTGGTATATCACCGTCCATACTGTACACGCCCTCAATCACGACAAGCACACGACGGTATTTCATGCGCAGCCTCGACAGCATACGTTCAAGTGCCTCGGTGTTATTGTGCGGGAAAGGCAAAATGGTGGCGCCGCTAAGGCGTTGCCCACTCACACAAGAGTCGTGGTTAAGTGCATCGCACAGAATCAAGTCGCCCTTCGACACGATTGCATCGATAGTTGTGACATTTGCCACCCAGCCCCCGACAAAAAGAATGCTGGCCTCAGCGTAGAAAAACGTGCTGAGTGCCTTTTCCAAATCAACATTTACTTGCGTCTGGCCCACAATAGGAGACGAGCTCATAGTCGTACCATATTCCTCAATTCCTGCTTTTGACGCAGCCGCTACTTCAGGATCCGATGCATTGCCAAGGTAGTTGTAGGTATTGAAATTTGTCATACGGCGTTTCTCAGGCGTGAGTGTCTCCAAAAACGGCACACGCAATCCAGCACTTTCAAACTGCTTCATTTGCCCAAGAAGCACTTGAACCTCTGGAAAATGCTCAATTTCAAAGAGATTTGTGCCAATCTCCTCCACGGTCGTTGCATTCTGGATCAATCCTACGCCATTTTGATCGTCTTTTCCCTGGCCTTCAATTAAATCACCAGACGCTAAACCAGGTGCATTAGCTAGTTTGAATGGTGTGTCGTAATCAAAGAATGAGGAAGGGGAAACAACGCACCCAAGATATTCACCCAGGTCCGATGACAACCCAACAATCGACACCGAATCCATTCCAAACAAAGCCCATGGAGTATTTGGGTCAATGTTTACACGATTGGTCGTCGTCGTTAATTCAGTATTGGCAGCTGCTGTATGTACTTCTATCTCTCGGGCTACATAGTCCAACAGCCATGCAAGGATATCGCCAGGTGTCTTACACTTTCCACACGAAACGTTTTCTCCAGGCAACTTTGTTGGTGCTGTCGAGGGCGACACATGCAAGTTCCTGGTCTTCGCCCTATACTCATACAAAGGCTTCGTGAGTGTGCCATTCAAGAAATGGGTTTTCGCGGCACTGCGCTGAATTTTGCCGCTGGTGGTCTTAGGTACCGTCTTTTGACGGAGCAATACAATTGCTTCGCACTTTAAGTGATGCTCTAAAAGCACTATTTCGATAATTTCACGACAAATTACCTCCAATGTCTGCAGTGAAGATCCATTACGCACCTCTGTAACAACCACAAGTGCCTCCTCGTCACCGTTTTCGATGGAAAATGCAGCAGTACAGCCCGGACGGACGTATTCGTGAGCGTGCTCAACGGATGTCTCAACATCTTGCGGGCAAACATTGCGACCTCGAATAATTATCAAATCCTTGAGACGACCCGTCACAAAAAGCTCGCTCTTGTGGAGAAACCCCAAGTCACCAGTCCGCAAGTATATGTTACTCGAGCTTTTTGCACCAGCAAGTTGTGCACAAAACATCTTCTCTGTGTATCTAGAACGGTTCCAGTAGCCGATAGCCACCGATGGCCCTTGCACCCAGATCTCGCCGATCTGCAATTCATCAAGTGATGTCTTGGTATCCGGGTCCACAACTAAAACACTAAATGTCGGCATGGCTTTGCCACAGCCTACTAGCTGTAGAACATCGGAGGTAGAAAATTGCTTCCTCTCGTTGGTGCTTAATATAACGGCTTTGCGCTGTGTCTCTAACACGTGTTTGTTGACATCTAGCAGCGTCGGCTTCTGCGGGCAAAGTTGACCAGTACACACTAAAGTAACTTCTGCTAAACCGTAGCCACAATTGAACGTATTAGGGTCGAAACCAGCAGCTTTAAACTTGGATGTGAATGCTTCCAGTGACTCGCGACGAATAGGCTCAGCCGCGCAAATAGTATGCTTGAGCGTACTCAAATCCATTGTTGCCACCTGTGTATCGCTTGTCTTTCTCGCCGCGAGCGCAAAACCAAAATTGGGCGCACACACGTGCGTAGCCTTGTACATGCTGGCTGTGCGCATCCAGAGCGCTGGATCCTTAATAAAGCTAATCGGTGACATGCTCACACATCGCGCAGCCGTGACGCACGGGATAATGATAAACCCAACCAACCCCATGTCGTGATAACTCGGTAACCAGCTCACCATTGTATCCGTAGGGACAATGCTTTCCCACGTCTTTATCTGTGCTTTCAAGTTACCATGCGAGATCATGACTGCTTTCGGAGCCGACGTCGAGCCCGAGCTATACTGAAAGAATGCAACATCCTTGTAACTTAGCGACAGTGCATCCTCCTCCTTATACTGCGTAACTAGTGAGTCTGGTAAATTATCCGTAGTGATCCACTGCACATTAGCTGGCCACGATATCCTGGCCGTGGAAAAATACTTTTTCACTGTAGCCATCTTGCTTGCAAGATGATACGTCGTATTGGTTAAGACAATTGTAGCGGTAGAATCTTCTACAAGCTTACTAAATTTAGGTAAATCTTTCGTCAATGTCCCTGGATAGGGAGGATATACTGGAATACCCACAACTCCAGCATACAAACAACCCCAAAAAGCCAATGCAAAATCCAAGCCAGGAGGATAACACAGAATCACTTTATCTCCCTTTCTAACAACAGCATCGCGTTGCAATACTGTAGCAATTTTTCGTGCAGCTTGATCAATCTCTTTAAAGCTAAGATTAATGGTCTCACGTCCTAAATCATCTAAAAATGTGTACACAATTTTGTGACGCCATGCATCCGACATAGCATAGCGTTTAAGATCCGTAAGGACTGTCTCGGCACTAATCTCAATCTTATTGTCTACAACCACTAACTTTTTCAATTGCGATGGCGTTGTGGTTTCATTCTTTTTCTTCAAACGCTGTTTCTTCTTCGTACGTAATTGAGAGACTGGAACTTTCTCATCTTTTTGTTTAGACTTGTGATACAATGCACCCCCAAGAGCTACAAGAAAAAACGCCGTAGTAGCCAGTAACGTCACGATTAGTAGCTCCTCAAAGGTCAACTTGTTGTCTATTGTATTCGTAATTAACGACGTCATCATATGAGAGCGACTTGTTCAAAAATAGATGAGGGGATGAGACGGGTTTGAAAGGATTTTGGAGTGGTGGTGGTTGGTTGGATTGCAATGGTCCAAAATACTTGATCTTTGTAACGACTTTTATTCTAACCCCGATTAACAAAAGTCATGTAATATGTATGAGCCATTCATTATTGTTACTACTGTGAGGTGCGCACACCTTCCCTACGTAAGAAAGAGAATTATATACCCTGAGTGTTTGTTATCACACTCGACCAAAGTGGACAAAGAGAACCCTCTGATTCTGTTGTTGTTCTTAATTCTTTGCTCAATGGAGCACAATGCCACGATCATGTAATGCCATTACATTCTTTATGCGCTGTTTAAGCGCTTGATTTACACTTCTACTAACATTTGCATTATCCTAAGCACCATGCTCACTAACGGCTCTTACGACTTAGTTTATGCATATTCTTACTTTTCCCTTATTTGTCTTCGTGACTCCCAGCTGCCCTGTTAACAGCATCTTAATTAAGAGGTAAGCTTTTTCACTGACTCAAGAAGATCTTGTCGCATCTTCTAGCAATAATTTGGTGTCTTTACTGCATGTCCTTCGTTACGGCATCAAGTCCTTTTGGCTTCAAAAAGCATAGACCTAGTTTGAGCCTCGTCGTGTTGGATTTTGCTTTGCTTAGACAATTCTGACTAAGAGTTATGCAAACTGCAAGTCTCGCGTCGGTCTTACATAGAAATAGAAATTGAAGTAGGTATGTATTAATCTAGCTGACACACCTAGTATGAATAGTTTACGGCCTATAGCCACGCCATCGTATTCACAACTGTCCATACCAGATTATTCAAGACTTTACTGGTTTAGCGCTGATTTTCGGCACTTCTTGATTCGACTTACTGTTCGAAGAAAGCGTGGCATTTTATGGAAAAGCGAATTTTGAGGCGAAGGGTACATGTGCTTTTACGGCAATGAGAACGAGGTATCATTACGCCGCAGTGAACGCGCTTTCAATGTTGGGAAGATGGCACGCCATTGGCAAAACGAACATTTGTTTAGTATAATCTGCCTCTTATCGCGTTTCAACCAGCAATGTCGCTTGCTACTTAACATTGCAACTGTTCCGAGCGATACTGCGCGGCCGTGTGAGTAATGTCATGTGTGGCTGCGTCAAACTACGACTACAACAATGACTTGAACCTTTCGCTTGAAGTGCCACGATCGCAAAAGTCGCAGCCAGCGTTACGTCTTGAACCTTTCACGTTATTTATTGTTGTGTGTCTATCACTAAGTTTGCATAATAAGTGGTATTTCAAAGGCATCTAAACAATTTACTAGCTCGACGCCTGTTCGCCTTTGGATCTGATTGAGCTTAAACTATCAGTCCCGCTAGTTTTGTGCTTGCATAAAAGTCACCTTCATATAGTAAGAGACCGACGTACTTCAGTCAGTGCTTGTTTGTGTTGCAATCTTCAATGCGTTAGCTCTAAGTAGCAAGAGTTCTTGCCGCTGGATGTGTACTTCCGACACACAATATTCATATGTCCGGACGACTTGCTGTGTTTACTGTTAATTACAGACTGAGTGAGTAATCCGGTTCCTACACACGCTCTGTTTGCTACTGCCTTGTACCATATCAATCCTCAACTACCAACTCCCACTAACTACCAACTCCCATTAACTGCCAACTCCCATTAACTGCCAACTCCCATTAACTGCCAACTTCCACTAACTACCAACTCCCACTAACTACCAACTTCCACTAACTACCAACTTCCACTAACTACCAACTTCCACTAACTACCAACTTCCACTAACTACCAACTCCCACTAACTACCAACTCCCACTAACTACCAACTCCCACTAACTACCAACTCTCACTAACTACCAACTCCCACTAACTACCAACTACCAACTCCCACTAACTACCAACTGCCGCAACTACTAATTAGGAGCCGTACTGGTAGCCGGGCATACCAACCGCAAACTGCCGCCACTACCAACTGCCGCAACTCGGTTGCTCATTACAACAGTTTGGTTGTTTGTTTGTTTACATGCACAAGTGTAATATGGTCATTAAGACCCGGTTGAAATGTATCCCTCACCCCGTAAAGGCCTATGATACGTGTTACGGTTTTCACTGCTTCACTAGTGCTGGCGAACATGCTGTTGCCCAAGTCTCCAAGCATACCGTCGAAACTCCGTGGAGCAAGCAATTAATAGCATGTGTGTCCTTTTCGGTGATTGAATTTCTACGCAGAAAGATGTCATCAGGATGTAGTTGAAACCAAGAAGCGCGTAGAGGACAAAGCACGATGTCACGACGGCAATAATGACTGCGCAACATGGTTAGCACCTGTTGGCAAAGTAGCACGAAGACATTAAGTAGTGATGGTTAAGAAAGTATGGCTAAAGTCAGACGGCAGAGGTAAAAAATAAAGCATAAGGTCACATAGTTATAGGGTACACAAGCAACAGAAGGAGAATGTAGCGCTGCAGATAGGCAACGAGCCATTACGATGGTCTGTTGCACAATGATCTGTTGCACAATGATCTGTTACACAATGATCTGTTGCACAATGATCTGTTGCACAATGATCTGTTGCACAATGATCTGTTGCGGTCGAAAATATATTGGAAGGTTATAGAATAGGTGTCTATGGCCTGACGTCGGCGCAGTAATGGTCATTCACAGTCACTGACGACCAAAAAATTTGATGGAGAGACACGACCGTAGCATCGAAAGATTGGTGTGAAGGACGTGGCGAGGGCGATTTAATCATCCAATGGTGATAACGAAAAGTGGACGGACAAGTACGAAGAAGAGCGCAACGACTTTCAAAAATAGACGCAAGCAGTTAAAGCCACCTTAGTATAATTTAAGGAAGAAAGCAATATATATTTGATGATGAACAGGCAAGCTGTCGTTTGCGAACTGACCATGCCAGAAAACTGCTGTCATCGCACAGATCCTTCACCATGGAACAGCGACAACTTGTCCGTCGAGTTCATAATGAAAAATTGGACGAATGTCACGACAAACGATTTTCGTAAAAGAGTTGTAAAAGGAGCCTCATTTTTAAACAACACACGATTGTAACGCGTGCTTGTGATGTACAAGCAGCCGGAGTGTCGAACCTGTCTGTGCGGATAGGCTACACACGTTCTAACGAAGAGTCCTACGTGTTGACGAGCAACTGCTGACTTTGAACTGTAATACAAATAGGGCTATCAGTACAGGCGGATTACGACGCCTTGAAAAGTAGGTACATTGGCTATGCGACAAACTGCTCGAATTTAAATGGTGACGTGTTCGATCGGTTATAACGCGTTGATTTGATTTGGAATGCGCCTGAGCTGAAGTAGCTGGTGTTTATAGTTAGTAAAAGACTTGGTTGACGTAGCCAATAACAAATTTTTTATGCCACACTGTAGAACTTGTGTAAACGAGACTGAGCTTACAGCGTCTTTTCAGATAAGAGAGACTTGAAATGGAAAACTCTATACTTTATCGTGTGAGACGATGCATTACTTCCAAAAGCTAAAAAATCGAAAAAGATTGTAACACCCGGAGTCTACGATGCTGGCTAGCCAAAAAAATATCTCATGGATGACCGCTGGGTTTCGTCAGGACAACACCATCTGGACATCTGCTAAGACCACTATGTACTTACCTCCAGTTATGGTTAAGCCTCGCGATGGTCATTCCGGCGTCAACTATATACATGTTTTGAAATATCCATGTAACCTCTTCAATCTTATGCGCTTGTTTTGAGTACCCAAAATGATTAGAGCCTGCACAATACCACAAAACTAACATCAAGACGACGCTTTATCTATGTGGGACATTTGGAGCTGGTGACATCTTGGGAGCGGCACAAGCTGTTAATCGACGTAAAGTAGTTCCTGTCTGTCTGTATCGTTGACGACAGACACCATATGGGATCCGAACGAAAAATAGAGATCATTGTCACTGGAGCAGTCTCGACCACTTAACGGATCAATCAGTTAAAAATTTGACGACTTGAGCAAAAGTGTGAAACCCATCCTCACTCATGCATCTACTATTTGTCGTGCTTCTGACTGAATTCGCACGAAGCTGCTGTGGTAAAGACACAGAAAAGGCTAGCTTTGTGACGTCTATATCGGACGTTGCTCACGACTCTCGGGCACTGCTGGCCGACAACAGACAAGAAAAGCGGTATCTACGTCCGTATAGTTTTGACAAGCTGGATTCAGCCGAAGAGAGAACAGAGCCTAAGGGGGTTATGACGGAGGCATTAGAAGATTTATCTAAAGTGGATGCTTTTCTCAGCAAAACCTCGAACGAAGATTCAAGCCTAGTGAAAGCGGCCGTATCAAAAATCGAGCAAGGAGCATTCAAAGAGCAGCAAATCAAACTGGCTATAAAGGCGCCCGAGAAAACCAGACAGCACGAACGTCAGGAAAGCTATGAAAAGCTTTTAAACGAGATGAAACCACTCAAGCGTGGCACAGTCAAACATACCGAGTTCCTGGAGACTCATCTTCCCGAGTATAAGGACCTAAATTTGCTCGACGACAGCATACATCAACTATTGTGGGTTAAGGTAGAAAAGGACTTGCGCGAAAAGAATAACGAAGTTTACGTTAAAGGGGATGGGCATTCGTTGCACATACCCGTTGCGGATTTCGAGGGTATCAAGAGATCTTCTTTGCTTGGATCACATAGTAACCGAGCCGCCGAAGCCAAGACGGAAAAGGGTCAAAAAGTCGCGGTAATGGCTTTGGTCTCAAAACTCGACGATAAAAGTAAGCTTAAGAAGTATTGTATCACTAGTAGCTCATATCCCGATAAGTCAAATTATGTCGCGATGAAGGGAGGTGTAGTCGAAGGCGAGAGTCTTCCGAGTGCTGTTGTACGCGAGGTGGACGAGGAGGCTGGAGTACGTGAACTTTTTGGTAATGTGGTGGTGCTTTTCTAAATATTGTGAACGTGTTTCTGTGTAGTATGTAGTAGCTTTATCTGATGAGAAACTGGATATAGTCACAAACGAGAAAACAGAGACACACGTTTTTGAAGCAAGAGTTAAAGAAACGCTTCATGATTATCCTGAGAACTCGCGTTTCCGTCTAGAGGTAAGGATACGTGGGGATGTTTTATATTTGATTAGCGTGGCATTAAACTTTTAAACACCCATTAGGTTGAACTTATAGACGCAATCAAGCTGGTTGGTGGGCCGCGCACGGTATCGGGTAATATGCTGCTGAAGGTTTTAAAAAAGCAGCGCTCTCCGGAGGAGATCAAGGAGGTGGAGGATATGCTGAAAGAAATGGATAACATCTTCGAGATATACCTAAAAAAAAAGAAAAAAAATTGCCCAACTAAAGTAGCGGCAATCAACCAACAATGCTGTAATGGCGTCAGCTTTGCAGTATTTTGTCGCTCCTGTCCAACATTTACTTTTGCTACCACAGTCTTGAATACTTCTTCAGTTCTCGAACGCTACATTTCCAATAGCACATTGACCTAACTTCAATATATTCTTGCAATTCTCATTGAAAATGTTAGCCTTACGAAGTATGTTGTTCTACCAAAGTCATTTGTCACGCACCATTCATAAGATGAAAAAACAGTTATACAACTGCAAGCCGTAGAAAAGTCGCTGAAGTACAGGACCGTTAACAATCCATAAGCTATTTCAGTTACATTTTTGAGTGAAGTCGTGTTTACTAGCGCACGCGCCTGCTTGTGTCTACATTCGATGTTCAGTCGTGATGCACAGAGTAAGCATCACAAGCGATAAAGTTTTCGCACAAATGTCGTCATTATAACGTTTGGTCGGCATAGCAAAGCTCTATTCTTCAGGAAGTAGACTGTCCATCTAAGAAACCGTCTCTAGTATAGCGAACGCATCATTATACCACGACCGAACTTGAACAAAATGCTGCATATGTGATCGTTAAATGTTTTGAACACGTCTTGGTTTGCTCAAGTTTCACATAGAGCTTGCATACTTCATCATTCTTACTCGCGTCGCCATCTCACGAGGTAGGGAGCCCGGTAGGGCATCTGGCCCCTGATGCCGCGGCACCATCCCCCTCCCCTTTACTGAAGCCATCACATGGGTACAGGTCGAACCAGGCAAGGTCCGGGAAAACGCTTCCGCGGTCGGGCTCGGTGACGCTCAGGGTGAATGCTATCCCAAGGCCTGGACGGGATTACTTGAGTATTCGAGGGCACCGCCGCCTCTCCGACAGGGCACGCCAGATCTTGCCAGCTCGTAGAACGTACTCTCATTTGTAATGAAGTCGTGTTTTTTCGACCCAGCTCCACCAGTATGCGTAGTCTGCTCCGCCAACTCCCAATCCCCGCATCCTCCAGTTTCATAAACAACAAGGTTTGCGAACCAAGTGTCGACTCCCCGCCCTGCTGAAGCCGGCCATTAATCGGCTCACCCCAAGAGCTGGCGTAATTGGTGGCAAAACGCAGCCCTCGACGTCTTCCCGTCTCAACTTTGGGAACATGCATTAGTCGCGCGGTAAACGAATATCAGCTATGGACACGCTACCGGCCAGCTCAACTTTATTAAAACCGGCCGCATGTACCAGGAATGTTTGAGCCAAAAACGGTGCCCAGAGAGATTTGGGAATGTTCTTGCGCCCAAGCAATCAGAGGCCTGTCTCATCATCATTGGGAAGGCTCCACTCAAAAATCATACCAACTGCTCCATTGGATCGAACAGTGTGCTAACCGGAAAGTGCCAAGCTTTTCGCGGCAAGGCTGTTGGCTCGGTACCCGGAGGACATCAGACTGTTTGTCACAATCTGGTTGTTGGAAAGACCATCATTATCGCTATGCTCTGCAACACCGAGTGGACAAAGTTTGTTGCAGCGCGGGTTCTCGCTGCAAGCCAGCGTAGCCGCCGCTTAAGGACGAATTCAGCTTCAACTACGGGTGCTCTTAAACGTCTCCATTGCTGGGCTACAACGATCATTTCGCGGAGCTCAACTTCTGCATGTTACGACAGTTTTAACGGACCCAAGAGGGCCATCCGGCTATGACAGACGGGCGTATGCAATTCCTGGATATTCCAGCGCTGTTAATGTGGTTAACTCCTGATTAAAAAAGGTTGCACTAAACAGGAAATGGACAATATGTTTTCTCTCATAAAGCCCGTGCAAAGCAATCCAACAAGCTGCAGTGTCAGTGTCAAACCGGATAATCAGACGTGTATATATTTTCAAAGTAAACCGTTTTTGAGAAACTTTTCTATTCGAAAATTGCGTCAATAGCAACGACTATCTCAAACTATTCGTGACTTTTGTTACATAATCTCATGCCGTTCGTAAAAGATTTGCAAGAACGAGCTCGACAGAATTCGCGTTGCTACAGCTAATTAAGGTAATGACAGCATGCTTTTTATTTTGTTACAACATTTCAACAAATTTGTTGTTTCGACGAGGGCGTAAATGATCAAAACCCATAACGCATTTAGCATTCCATCCGCTTTGGACACACGCTTTCTACGCATCCTACCGCTCTACATATACGTGCTAATATTTAGTTAGCTAAACGAGCTGCTGATAATATACGTGCATACTGCACATATATATAGAGCGGTGGATGGTATGCTAAACGCATTATGTGTATTGATTTAACACTACCGTTGTGGACGCGACTGGTTACTAATGCAAAACGTGTTAGACGTAGTTGCACTTGTGCAGTAGAAGTAGGAAGTAAAAGTAAAAAAAGTTGAGAGTTAACTGCCCTTCGTTGTCAACCCTACCATATGCGGTTTGATGACCAAAACTGCAACTTGACCAATGCAAGGTGCACCTGGCACACATCCAGCGTGCCTATATTTATTTGTCCCTGGTCCTAGACGACGTCTGTATGCCTTGGTCTTACCTGTGAACATGTTAGCCACTCAGGTAAGGTTGTCCTTTACCTGTCATGGGTCTTGCAGTCTTCAACCCGAGCCTTCATGACCTGTAAGACACAATTCTTCAAACAAAACGTGGATTAAGATTTTTCATGGCAGCATATAATAACTTGAAGGTTTATTAATGAGTTATTAAGACTTGTTTTGATGTTCGCAAAACGGAGTTTCGGACCTTTGATGACCATGTTGTTAGCAGAGACGTAGTGCTCGATAGGAAGTTCAATGAATACTGTTTTGTCATTACCGTCTTACCTGCAAGTTAATGCTAAGCTACCTTGCTAACCGCCAATCATTATACAACATCGCCAGCTAATGACCTTGCGCGCATCCCCATTCCTGCCTTGAATCTCCGCGCAGTCGTTACGAAACGACCATAAAACTGTGACCTTGCGATACCGTACCTTTTGAAACCAACAAAATTTGCAACACTCCTCCTCGTGATCGCACAGCGGGCAATTTGCTAAGCTCAGACCTACCAGAGACCGCAAACTCTTGAGCTTGTGCTGGTCCACTGCCTTGGTCAGTATGTCTCAACGTAGCTTGGCCTGGTAATACCACGACGAGAAAAATCCTCAATGAACTTCAGGCGCACGTCGAAATGTATAGCCCTAATGGAGGATGCCTCGCCATCAATCTGGCAGATATCAGCTTGGTTATCCAAGCATCTTCATAGGAAGTGTTGGGACCACTTTCATTTCCATGAACATCTCACTAATACCGAGGAGTTTGCGAGCACTTTCGGACGCCACTCACGAGCTCGGCCTCCATGGTCGAGATAAAAATACCTCCCTGTTTCTTTGCAGACCAGCTCACAGGTATTCCGTTGAGAAGCAACATTGTTCCAATCGAATACTTCCTGTCGCCCTTGTCTGCAGCAAAGTATGCATCGCTTTAGGACCTTAACGTAATTGAATCACTGTCCTCAGTACCATTCCGCATGTCGAGTTGCACATTCTTGCCCCCGGCAAGGTACCTGGATATGCGCTTAACCTTGTAGGCTTGGCTCATATGTCCTGCGCGTTGCCTTATGCACTGAAAACGTAATATCCGGGCGAGTGCAACATGCGACCCACAACAAGCTGCCAACGAGAGATTATCGGCATCTCAGATCCCTCACTATTCGTAAGTAGAACGCGTTCCTTCTTCACATCTTTATAACAAGTGTCACTGATCGGTGTACGTGTTGGGTTTGCCATGCTCACAAAGCAAATCAAAAATTGCCTCCTCCTGATCTAGAGCATATACGCACGCATTAAGTTTCTTGTCTCGAATCTCAAAGAACTTGGAGAAAGGCCCCAGGTCCTCAATCGAAAGTGACTCTATCGCGTTACAAAACCAATCCACACCGGCTCTATTGGTTGCCGTTACTAGGAGGTCGTCGACGTATACACCCACCACGACCAGTTCATTCTCGTCACGCTTGTAATATAGGCACATATCTTTATTACACTGCTCAACTCCTGCGTCAATAGTTTTTACTCGCAACAATTGGCTCCATGGCCGTCCAGTTTGTTTAAGCCCATAAATACTCTTCTTTAGCTCGAGCGCGACGTCATTTTTGCTGTCAACTCCAAGTGCCTTGAGCTGCTCGCCTTTAATCTTCATACCGCTTGGTACGTGCGATCGAATCTCCAAATGATCCTCCTTGTCAGCCTTTACATAGGCATTTGGGATGTCTCCATGTTTTGCAAGCACACCCCATATCGCCGCGAGTCCCAGGATCACCTTCACGGTTGACAGGTCCATCGCTGCGGCAAAGGTAAGAAAATAGTCGACACCAAATTCTTGTACATTGCCACAAGCAACGAGCGGTGCCTTGAACCTGTCCACTAAACCAATTGCATCTGTCTTTGTCTTGTATACCCGTTTGCTCGCAGTCGCCGGACGCCTTGATTGATAAATCCAGGCGCTTGAAGATAACGACGCGTGGAATGACGTTCCACACTTCGTTATCTTCAAGCGCCTGCATTTATTCCAACATTGCCTTGCTACAACCGTCAGAAATCGGACCACGCATCGCCTCAGCGTGTGTTTTAGGGTCCGGCTCGTAGACCTGTAGCACGATCGGGACATCATCTTTTTAATTTGTCCTCTACATTAGGAGACAGCCTCTTGTTTCTTCCATGTGTGCCATGAGGATCGCGACTCCACCACTTGCCTTTTGTCTTGTCTTGTTTTTCGTCGTCAGCTTCTCCACCGCCACTGGGAGAGATTCGCTTTTCTTCTAGTGAACTAGCATTTGAACTTCTGAATTAAAACTGCGGTCAAGTTGTTTATCGCCCGCTTTGAAAAGCGTCTGAGTGTTCTTCACGTGTTGTGTCACAACGACGATCTTCACCATACGACGATAACCACGGAATCCCTTGGTCTCGTCGCTGCAACCAACTCTCGTTCCAACTCGCGCCCTATGTGCAAGTGAGTTTTTCTTCGGGTCGCAATATACTGTGCACGTCGATACAAACGCAACGATGTCAGTATGTCGGGAGCTTGTTGCGTCAGCACTTCGATTGGCGACGCACAATTTTCGTTGAATCTAGACGGGCTTCAAATTAAAATGTACGCCGAGTACTCAACCGCGTCACCCCCAAAATGACAGCGAGAGATCGCTCAAAAAATCATGTAGCGGGCCATGTTTAGCACAGTTCGATGCATGCGTTCTGCCTTGCCGTTTGACGCTTGATTTTTCGCCTCGCTCACTTGTCTCGCTACGCCAGCTGACTTGCATTGTCGAACCACATTCTTGTACTCTCCACCTCCATCAGTCCAAAGCACATGCACCTTGCAACTAAAAGCGCTTTTCAAAGAAGGCCAAATGCTCAAACCTTTTTGCAGCTTCATCCTTGGTACGCGCAAGAAACACGCGGCAGTAGTTGCTCTTGTGATCAACAAAATTGACCAGGTATCGATTTTTCGATCAATTTTTCGACGTTATCGGTACCTTTGGATCCGAACAGATCACACCACCAACGCGATCGATCGGTGAGTGTAGACCGATAATTTTTCTTGGGCTGTGCGTTCTTGGACTGCTTCGCTTTTGCGCAAGTGATGCAAGTCATCCGCTGTCTGTCTGTGAGCAGATTCCGAATCCAGACTCACGCGCCATTCTTTCAATAGTTTGATATGACAGGTGGACAAAACGTCGGTTTAAATGCATCAGCGTCCCAGCAGGCACACCATCATCATGTTTTTGGTCATCAGCTTCGTCGATCTCAATCATGATGGTTTCAATCACTCCTTTTCCTAACTTGACGCCTTGGATCTTAACAACCAGCATGTTGTTGTGCATCTCTACATCAACACGACGGCACCGGAGTCAAGCGATATAAGCGCACGCTGTTCGTTCTCAAACTTAAGCATATACCGCTTTAGCTCTAGCTTTCCATAAGCCAAAATATTGCTAGTAAGCGTCGGCGCATAGTATACTTCAGTCAGGTGAATGATACTTGCCCTTTCGCAAGCCATCACGCGAAACAACCTCCTTCCGGCCAACTTTAGGCGGAGCATGTTTTAATTGGCGACCAAGCACTGGTCGTCACGCTCTCGTGCATTTTCGAAAACTTCTTGTTGTTGATTGAGATGCTTTCTGGACCTACTGTCCAGTATCCACAAGACTTCATCGGTATTGGCGTCATTTACAGACAGCGTGTAATTTATAACGTCCTTGTCCTTGCGTTGCTCCTCCATGCTTCCTTTTTGCCATTGTTCTTCGTCTTTTTTTGTCCGCTCGTTAGGACAAACTAACTGGATGAGTCCTACTTGGCCGCATCCATAGCACATGCGTGGATCAACACGCGGTTTCCCTTAGGTAACGTGTGTCACAACGTTCTTCCCAAAAGAGGCAGCGCTGCCCGTGTCCAGCTTCATAGACTGGGTGAAATGAGCAACCTCTTCAGCTTGGGCAAGGTAGTCGACCCGGCATCCGTCATACTTGACCATCCGAACTGTGTGTAGCTCATTTGACGCATAGTGGACAATGTTGTCGAGCACTTGGGCGTCAGCAACGCCACACGCATCACTCACCGCCACCAAATAGAAACAATGTTCGGGCCAGGTCCGCCTCAGGTACTTTTTAGCCGTAAACAATTTCTTCATCGAATGTGACGCAGTGATCAGCATTTGAGTGTCTGGTGAAGCCTCTCCATGACGTGCGCAAGCGTTGGGGACTGGTGCCACCATGTGTCGACCTGCTTGTTGCATTATCGCTCGGCCGTGCCACTCAGGTAGTGGCCGAAGAGGTCTGTCTTAACATCTTCGGACCAATCAAAACCACATGCTGCCTGAGCGTACTGGATTTGACGCATAAACGTCCTTCAACAGTCCAAGAAGCCGAATCCCAATCCTCGATACAGTTCAGAGCCATTGAAATCTCGGATTGTCAACCTTCGTTGTCGCTCGTCCGGGACCCGCATCGCCTGCTGTTCGCCCAGCTCCATCCGATGCGCGTAATCTTGCGCCTCAGCGCAATCCGCATTTATATACGGTGCACGGGCTAACAGTCATTCATCTGCCACCGGCCATTCTCCCCTCTCCTCACCGCGCCTCGGCCTGCTCCCTGATGCATCATGTTTGCGCGACCTTGTCCAGTTCTCGGGCGCGCTGGTGAATGTTTGAGCACGTCGATATGCACTGACGCACCACCACGACCATCTGCAAGCGCAGAGCGAAACAAACCCGACTCAATTGCGCCTATCATTCGCTCATCTTCATCGTGCTTACGTTGCAAGACCTCCATGTGCGCCATTCGTGCTTGAAGGTCGACGAGAGTCGCCAGTATTCCGTCGCTGAAGTCGTCGCCCCTTTCGTGGGCAGTTGGTCCGCGTTGAACAACCACGGGAGGCGCCGCGGCCCTTGCGTGGCCGTCGTCGAATATGACTGTTGTTCGCGCGCTTGGCGCATCGTCGGCCCCAGTCGCTGGGCTTATAACCTGTTAGCAGAGACGTAGTGCTCGATAGGAAGTTCAATGAATACTGTTTTATCGTTACCGTCTTACCTGTACGTTGATGCTAAGCTACCTTGCTTACCGCCAATGATTATACAACATCGCCAGCTAATAATCTTGCACGGATCCCCATTCCTGCTTTAAACTTCCGCGCAGCCGTTACGAAACGACCATAAAACTGTGACCTTGCGATAGCGTACCTTTTGAAATTAACACCATCTTCAACACATGTGGCAGGTTTGGCAAAAGCTCGCGACTTTTGGTACGTGTGACCGCGATAATGCGGGCTGGAATTTCCATCCTAGTATTACGTCCACCACTGCGTTACCAAGACTTTGCAGTACGTTCTCGTTTTTATCTTCCACCCACACACTATTTGTAGCCGAGCTACTGTAGCCAAGCTACTTATGCAACATGCAGAGGAAGACAAGCTCAAAGAGCTTATACTTCTTAGGGTGCTTAACCCTCCGAGGCTAGCTCATAAGCTTGTGCCTATCGGTTGTTGCAACCGAGTCTTGAAGAGACTAGTATCAAAGATACAAATTCCTCAGGAGGAATAGTACGCTCAAGCAGGGTGATGCATATAGAGTAGGTTTGAAACTGATTTATATTTATGTTTATTTCTAATATAGAAGCACCTACTCTATACTTAGTGCTAGTCACTATTACTGGCTCTATAGCTTTTTATTATGCAAACATGTATAGTCACTATACTTTGCATAAGTATAGTGACCACGTGGCTCTCTGCGATGCGATCCTTCGTACTCCAGGTGTACAGTCACATCAAGCCTACTTTTGTACACAAGGTACAGCCGGTGTGGCAGGTGTGTATGTACAATATACACCTTCGTGTAACCGTTACACTATGTGGTGCATTTCATCATATTGGATGATTCCGTTGCCAGCCATCAACTGAAAAACAAGTACACGTGCGGGCAGTGCTTCCGAGACTGAAAGAGTTACGACGAGAGATGTAGCATGTTAGTGCTTTTATTTAGAATATGTTGGACACAAATGGGATTCATTGCAAACTTTGTTGGCTGACGGATAACGGTTTGGACGCTACAATTGGGCTTGCGGGAACGAGACAAAAGATGCTGCGTTTCGGTATTATGACAAGAAATTGAGATTGTATGTTTTGCTTCACACATTGCGCTTACTCTTGCTTCTGTGTGACAGCAAATTTGCATCAACTACCTTCCTTCCATTCTCCAAGAAAGCTGCATAGCAATTCGAAAATGATTATGGCTAAAAGTTCTCGAACGCTTGGCTTTCCATTGCGTGACTTAACCGTCACGACTCGAAGCTGTATCTACTGGCCTGAAGCGTGTCATGAGCATCGGCTATGATTTATAAAATCCAGAAGATTCTTCGCAAAAGACTAGTCATCCACGTCGTTTACTACGAGCATTTTGATTCTGGATTCCTTTTACTGATGAGTTTTGTTATTCGGTATTGAACACGAGCAGGTTTTTTGCACCATACAAGGTAGAAAGCTATCAGTGGTGCCGTGAAAGCAACGTAGAGGCCAAATGAAATTTGCCAAGTGAGCCGCGCAATAGACTCGCACTTCTCGCGAGATGTATGGTTCGACGGTCTTAAATATTGATACCTAACTTGTCAGCATTCTCTTCAGACCTGCTGAGGAAAGTCTATTAATTGGCAGCATGTACAAGGTACATGCGTGTACGCGTTACTTTCTTGCGTGCACGGGTCCGCTGACGCTTCCGCATAGGTTGAAGTCTTGGTGAAGTATTCAATGCAAATTACATAGATCTATCTTGGTCGGGTTGGAGCTGATGCTAGCTAGCTCAGGCCTCCGATGTACTTCGCGGCATCCATCAGTTTGGACGGGTTTCCTCTTCCTTTACACGCTCTTTCTTGTCGCTCTCCACCACGCCAAAAGCCCGGAAGTCCCGACATCCCCGCTTAGGTACGCTCGCGTCATTTTTTGTTAACGGAGGACCCTTCCTGGGCCCTGTTGACAAGATAGACATCCAAGGGATCAAACAAGAAACCACGCTGAACACTACCGTCGACTGGCCCCAGACCTGTACCTCCTTCGCCAATGTGCACAGGATCGTGCTGTCTGGACGGCCTTCAGCGCGGCGCTTATAGCGCGCGCCGCTTAATGGACCCTAGCAAGAGTAGAGAGAAGTGTAGGGAAGGAGAGATAATTTGACGCATGCGGAAGTTGAGCCATTTCGGTGGCAAGACGGCTCGCGTAATGCGTTCACAAACATACATCAATCTTGTTTTTCTGTCGTTTTTTGAGAAGACGGATCAACCACGACCAAAAATCCATTCGTGATGACAACATTTGTACGCGTTAAGAATCCAATAACGTTTTGTATACATGAAGTGAAAGCACGATTACAACAAAGAGCAGTAGAATGACTTAGTAACTTCTGCATTTTGCGCTAAAGTTTGATAGGAGTTTGTCTTCACAGAAATAAGCTGGAATGACCTAGTGCCTGTAGATAAAGAAAGAGCGCCATGCAAAGTTCGCTTGATATTTCATCATGATAAGGGTTTAAAACCAAAAACCTTGTCAGCTATTTGGTTGAGCTGATCAAATTATCTTACCAAAAAATGACGACTTGCCGCGGCTTTCTTTTCTTTTTTATTCTCATAGACATTGCTGACATCGTGATCCTTTTGAACCATTTTTGTCTTGCGGTTCACCAACAGCTGTAGAAGTATATTGCTCCGACTGCAGCCTTCTATACTATCTCGTGAGACAAGCCAAGGGTGCTATGATGGTCATTCAATAAGGAAAATTATTCAGAATGTTCAACACGGCATTTGCTTTCGCCTTGCAATATTTTACCCGCCTTAGTTACCATAGATACTATCTATTTAAAAGCAAAACAAATGCAATCATAGCATCTACGTTAGGTGTGAGAATCTGTCAACTGCCATCCAGTACTCGGACTCGTTCAGCACAGAAATTATCACGTCCCTCTGCTTCGGCTTCATCAGAAAATTCGGTGGCAATCGACTACATTCCACATCTTTCTTTCTCTCTTCCACATAACCACCATAATACCGAGCTCCTATTGTCATCATATAGTCATCACTCTTATGTAAAGTCTGCATGGTCTTCCCCACATCTTGTTTGTAAAATGATCCGTCTAGACTAATAACGCCGCCGTCTGTCGTGTCTGCGTCAAACCAACCTCGTTTTGTCGTGCCATCCAACGTATCACGCACTTTGATTTTCCGTTTTTCTGTCTTTCGTGATTGCAGTAAACAGCTTTTGCCTCTTATCAATTGCTTTGCCTCACTTTCTCTTGCTAAATTACACGTCAACTCTCCATCAACCGGCTTCGTCGACTCTGCTTTTGCCTCCATCTTTTTCACTGTCAACTGCTTTTTGGTTAAAACTTTCGATCCAATTGTCAACTCACGCACTATCATGCTTGTCGATTTTTCCTTGATCCACTGATATTTCGCATCTTCATTTCCATTCTGCTGCTGTTCTACAACATGAGCATCTTTGTTTGCTTCAGTATCGCCGTGTCCTCTAATGTTTGTTCCATTTAGCTTCTTCATCATCTTCAATAAAATTATTTCGTTGTTTTTTTGACTGCAAGTTGAGCTTCTTGGCCGCTTTGTTCCAGTCAAAGGTTGAGCAATGGACTTACGTATTATTTGTGGCGCTGAATTAGTATAGAACTTGGCGTGAAACGTGTTGTTACGTACGCCCTTTACCAACTTAGAATCTCGAGACAACTTTTCAAGACAAGGACTGCCGTGTGAGACAGTAGAAGATGTTAGTGAATGAGTAAATGAAAGTCGTGGGGCCTTGAACTCACGTTTCTTGAGCCACAAGTGGTATGCATTCAACGTCATTTCTGTACTGTATCAATTTAACTGCAGCTTTATGGATGGTAAAATTCCTTGACTTATTTTCTTAGATAATTTGTATAATTGTCTAAAGTTCGTCACAGATTTACTATACTAAAAGCAAGTGTATATGCTACCTCGCCATATACTAAAGTTAAATATATCTATCCGATCGGAATATTTTTTAACACAACCAAATTACACCTTAAAATCAGACGCCACATAACCTTCCTAAGTGGTAGTCGTGACTACCATGGTAGTCACAACTACGGCTGCGTCATTCGTTTCGAGTGTTGCTAAGTTGCGTGCAGACACCATTCGTACACAGATGTACAGTCGGATCCAAGCAGCGGTTGAATGCGCCTTGCTGGCCCAAAGGTGTTACGTAGAATTTGTTGTGGGATATGTGCAGCTAGATGTGAACCTGCTGCTCGTGCAATGGGGGCAGTACAGACGACGACAGTAGAGATGATTGAAGAGAGATGCATTATTTAGAGACAGATATTGAAACGAGTGGTGGTATGACAATGGAGAGCCAATTGAAAAATGGACTAGTGATTCTTGGGCTAGGAGTTATGGAAACTTATCTCAAATATCCCAGGAAAACCCTTTGTCATGACAAAAACACTCACGTATTTCTTGATATTCTATCTCATAATCCATTTTGGAGAAAAACGGCTCCATTGCTCCTCACGTTATGACTTAATAGCTTCCATGATTACCTTATTTAACTGCAGCAGTGTGGATGCCTTTTGTTAATTCGAACACAAAGCTTACTCCATCCGCAAGCTTTAGCCTTCACACGTTTTTTTGAATTGTTGTCAATCGGCGGGTCAAATTTGCTCCGAGTGTGCATCTTTGACCCACTGATGGCGCTAGCCTAAAAGTCATCCTACCACAAAGTTGCACTGCATCCCAAAGCACCACCTTTAAGATTGCTTGTATCGTCAATCTCAACCGAGCTTCTTCTTGAATTGCTTTTTTGCTGGTCAGTGGCTGTGCTTCTCTTCTCAATGCACGTCAAATGTAATATGCAGTCACTTTCATGCATTTGAGAATGTATCAAATGCAAGTGAATATGTTAGTGCTTTGCTGAGGGGCATAAAGCAATTAGCAAAGTAAGCGGTGAACGAACAAGCTCTGGCGCTATGTCGTTTTGTAAATGGGGTAGAGATACACGTCTGCTGTACCCTCAAGATTGTGTGTTTGATCGACTCAACTTCTATCTCGAGTCTTGTGTAGGAGATGCGTGCAGAACTAGCAGCGTGGCGTACAGCTTTTGTGGCTTGGGCCCTGCTAAGGTATTTTCTTTTAGCATCCCACCGTAAATCTATCCTCACTTAAGCTCTGCCTCGTGCTGGTCCGTGAGCTACACTGCTACCTGTGTAAGAACAAACCCATGTCATGCATGGCCATTCCGTCAGTACGAGTAAAATGACGCTTACGCAATTTAGCTGGTCAGGGTAAGGAATGCCTGGGTTGAAAAGAATCTGGAAAATAGTACAACTTCCAACCAGCGCAGGTCATGAATAGCATTGACGATATATGTGCAGGGATGCAGGATGTTTCGCCTGAGAGCTTGCTTAGTCAATGACCTGTAGTATAATTTGGCGCTAATATCATGTCCCGAATCCTGACAACTACTCGTGTCTTCTTAATGTAAGACCGTGTCGCGGTGTAAACGTTAACATCCATCGGCTGTCATGCGTTCCAGCTTTGTCTAGGGTTTTGCTCGCACACACACATTCCAGTCTTGTATAAATATAAACTCAGCAGTTGAGCATACGTTATATTATTATTCCGTCAAGATAAAATGCTCGGATGCAAAATCATGCTTACTACACATGCGACAATACTTTAATTACTTGTACCGCCTTCCAGGTTTTCAACTACTCGATTCATAAGCATGGAGCAGGCGCTCTTTATGTACATAATACTGATTCTTTTAGCCTCTGTCGTTACCTTTTCATTCCTCTTTGTTTTTATTGAGATCTGAGCTTACAGGTATTAGCGTAGGGCACTACTTTACTTGCTTGCAGAGTCAGTCTATGTCAAGTATAAACAAAATAGACAATCATGAAACGTCGCGTGATGACGAATTCAATGGTTTATCCAGGTACGGTAGTAGCCCACGGCTCTTTCGTTTGCAGCAGAGATTTTAGTAACTCGTAATTAGGCCGATCAATCTCTACGGACCGTCAAATTGCACCTATTGATTACAAACCCCATGCGCCAGGCGTATTTCTGTTCAGTTTGTGCTGCTTACCCAAAACAGTCCATATTATAAAACGGCACCTGTAATGCCAGCTCTCATCTTTTAGTAGATATTCTAATAGATACGTCTACAACGTTATTAAAGACGTTTGATGGCTTCGAATATTTCTTTTTTACAGCAGAAAAAAAGGTATATACTGCAGTAACTTGTGGAAGACTATTCATTTTCTATCTCTTCCTACGTGTGTTAACTTAACTGTCTGGTCCATATTAATTCAAGTACTTTGTCAAAAAGGGTATAAAAATGGAGTCAGCTCGTGACTGACTTGTCTATGTTGAATTAGTCCCATCATCAGCGAGTCTGGTCACAATCGACTTTACCAAAATGAAGCACCGAGTGTCGTCCACGTGTGAGAGTTTTTTAACAAACGATGGAAGCGATGATCTGGTGGTGCGCTACAAATGGAATGGTGAGTCTATTGGACTTGAGCTGATGCGCTCATCGCTGTCTACTGCTGAACATGTTGTTCATTGGGGCGTGGACCCACTTGGCGTTACGTTGGGCGTGGAGGACACGTCTCGACGTGTGATTGTGACGCGCTCCAGTCGTGTGGATGTTAAAGAGGGCGATGTGCTGCTAATGGCAGGTGGAAATCCCATTATTGAACAGAATTTTAGCCAACGCATGGCATTGCTTAAGCAGGAACACGAATTAAGCGGAGTAGCGATCCCATTTGTGTTCGCACCCCCTCCATCACCAGTGCTCGTTAAGAAGTGTGAGGGTGCACTGAGAGAGGCCGGCGTAGGCCCAAGCTTTGAGCTGAAGTACGTGGATGGCCGTGTCGTGAGATATCTTGAAATGAAAGAGCTGCAGGTTCTCATTCGCAACTCGCACAAACCGTGCACGATGGCATTTGTGCAGAGCAAAGACAAGCAATTCTATGGAGTACTGCAACGACAGGAGCAGCAACGACGCAGACTACAGCATGTTAGTCAAGCTGCAGCTGCAAGTGCGGGACTGGCTTTGGCTGCGGCTATTGTTGTCAATATCACATGAAGAAAACAAGAGATTCAAACCAAGGGGAGACTTCAAGCAAGCACAAGATATACATACACCTACTCATGGGATGTTGTACAAATTAAAACTAGTACAACAGCCACCTTGAAATATTGATCTTGTAGAGAACATGGACATAAAATCGATCTTACGCTTGTGTAGTCAAGGTTAGATCAAAACCGACGTAAAATATCAGTGCTTGACTTTATTGCATTTTCCGTGATATTCTGAGCTAGCTAATGTAAATTGGAACGAGTGCGCACCATTGCTAAAACTTTGAGTGGCAAGGAAAAACTCTATATAACAATTCCTGTTCGGATCTACCTTCATCAGTTTGTGTATGGAGTTTCTTTAGAAGTCCGACTTGGTCAGAGGGTTAACAACACTCTGATGTTCAGGCGCTGGCCGTTTATACAATTTGAAGGACTAAGATTGCTTCTGCACAAGGAGCTAGAATGGACGCTACGCCGTCGGATATTGATTTGCTGAGTACTGTGGGCTTGAGCGTAGAAGTAAAGCAGTCTTTGACTGATTAAGCTATGCTCTACACATGATAGTGGCTGCGGCCATGCTATCTTCATTCCCGCGTGGCAACTGGTGGAGGCGACTGCGACGGAGCAGACGCTACGGAAATAGCAGTGGCAGCAAGAAATGGATGTCGCATAGCGTATCCATGATTTTGTACGAGGAGTGAATAAGGCTACACGCAATTTTACAAGCAATTGATGCTGCAACGGGAGGCAAACCAGCTTATAAATAAATTAAGCTACGATGTGACAAGTGGAGACAGTAGCAACCGACTGAGGCTTGTTCCGTCGTGTCTGAGCACTAGTGTGACTTTCTCCGCCGGATTGTGTGCCGAATCGGCAGGCATCCAAAGACGCAGGCAGACGACTCGGATACGACCAAATGCGGTAGTTTCAATCAGGAGCAAACGACGCTTACCGTAAGGTGGCACTATCGTTGTTTCTAGCATTTTAAGGTTTATAAAGCCGCGCAATGTCCTAGAAAGCACGGGCTTGGCGTTCTATATTTGAGATGATACGCCCTTATCATTTAATCTTCAGGCGTTGTCCTGTATTCGTTCTGTCTTGACTACTCTCTTAGAAGTGATTGCGAACGGAGCTTGCAATTAGCCTAATTTTTAATGGTCTAGTCTGATAAAGAAACATGTGTAGGGGATACGCAAAAGATCTGATTACACCGACATGTTTTGTGAATCTATTTATACACTGTAAGATAGCCGTCATACGGACGTGTTTGTCCGTAGCGTTGAAGTAATAGATTGGATTCATTCTTGAAGCTTCTTTCAAAACCAAACTCCATTCACGGGGCTTGCTATACCTGCACACACCGCTTGATTTACTTCGGAATGATACCGATGTATACATCAATTCAAATAAAGGAGGTTGTGAAAATATGGAACCTACGAATGGAGTAAGCCACGTTTTATCATACCATCAGACGAAAGACGAAGCAGCAGTACCTCGTAGATGCGATACTTGTTTACTGCTCAAGATGGATAGACGCAGCATACAACCCACCACACACATGACATGACCACTATGTCTTGTAGCATCAAAAATAAGTTTAATATTATAAAACATGCGGGCACTCCTCAGGCCTCAGTGTCAACATGGGCAAGGTTCAGTAGTCTATCGACACGACGTAGTGGTGAAACCAACATGCTGTCTTAGCTGAAGGTCGAGTCGAGCTCTTGCTTAAGTATCTCGCTGCACGACGTCTGTCTCGTCGCGACAACCATAGAAAGTGTAGTGAAGATGGATAGGGTGGCTTTTGGCGGAGACGTGCTTCTCAGTGGACAAATCTTAGAACAAAACGTTAGCACATGTGCTAGGTGTTACTTTGACTGTTTTCAAGGTAACGCGGCCTTCGTCTCTACAATCTTTTGATATAGAATAACTAGAGCTGAAAGAGCGCGTTGGGATACCAGATAATCATACTAAAATAGGCATCTGACCACAGGATCCAAGCAGGTTGGCAATGGCATTGCCGCAATGCCGCTAATAATTGACAGAAAAGACTCACGAGTCGGTGCTACCGCAAGCATACTGCTTGCAATTTTTCGCTGTGCTCCGTGGCGTCAGCGAGTCCCGTCGAGTCTTATGTAGCACAGCGTACTACGCTGGACTGGTACAATGTGACTACAACTGAAGATGAATGCAGTATGAAGGAATAAATCCGGCTAAGGTTACGTAGCGCTAGTCGGTTAATTTGATCACTCCGATGGACGGGCTCCAAAATGATGACATCATTTTACAGTTTCAGTGAAACTATCACCACTGTACGACACCATCATCGAACCTGCAACTTCAAACACGATCCGGTCAAGGCAATTTGCCGTCGCACGAACCATGTATGATGTTAGTATGCATAGCCTCGATTAGCTTTGGTGCTTTGCATAATCGTGACGCTTTCGATGGGCGTTTACATGTACGGTACATTCATTAACAACCACACGCCCAAGTGTAATCCTTAGACTGGCAAAAAGCCCTATCATGCGTCACATCCAGCTCCAATCAAACACTGTACTCTTAGCAATCGCGCGATGATGAGACCTCGCTGAGTTGAGGTCTACAGCATTACTGCCTGGATAGAAGGCCTTTCTAGCTCACGATCAGGTACGGCCGCTCTTTTCGTTCATCTCTTGTTCACTTTTTCGTTCGTGACGACTTAGTCTGCTCTCTCTGCTGTGGACAGACAATTCATGACTGCGTTATTTTTCCCAATGTGCATGAATTACTACAACCCTATTATCCAAATGCTACACACATGACTAGGCCTTATTTTCGTCAAGCTGCCGTATCCTCAATCTATTTAAGCTTACCAAGTATATCAGTACAGTACTGATGGCCACTGGTCTGAACAACGAGACAGTAAACAGATCAATAGCATACGGGCGTGGTCGCGTCAAGATGTCGGCTTCCACTGACAGCCGCATCTCCACCTAGCAATATGGAGACGGTTCGGTTATGCAAGGGACTGCTATTGAGCAAGATTGGGCGCTTTTCACGTAAACAAACCATCGGTGACCGCTCCAAAAGAAGTCCTGTGCTATCTGATTAGTTGTTCGAAGCGGTGCTACACGTCTTAGTGTGCTCTATATTTTAAGCACTAAAAGCAGCGATTTATTTGCGACATCATTCAGCGCAGCTTCCAGGATAGTACACACGACCGAATCTACCTCGTGGGCGCTGTTCAGCATTGCCACCGCCAGAGCTTCTCGCGACGTCCGCGCTTCTGCATGGTCTCATTTTTAGTAGCCAGACTAAGATTGCTGAGTCGGCGGGTGTGCACCCTCGAACGACAAGTCCAGCTTGGCGCTGGAACCAAGCGTTAAAGGCGCCGCAAGGTTGGTCCAATGGACCGTAGCACCGGTGAACTCTCAAAAACGACGCCTGACTTCGGTGGCCACCGACACAGAGAAGAGTAGCATCTATCGCAAGTATCTGAATAGGTTCAGAGTTTGCAGTCACTAATACTTTTTATATCTTCACGACTTGCTGCCGCGAGTAAAGATTCAGTCCCTGTAGCGTGGTAAATGTTGCCAGGAATATATGGCTGGCTGGTACTGCAGCTGCTTCCAGTTAGCAAGTTTAGAAAAGCAGTTGAGGCTCTAGTTCGTCAACGCTCCGGAAAGAGGCAGGCACGACCGCGGTGTCGAGCTGTCGAGCGGGGGATTTCCTCAAAGATTAGACTTGTGCAACTCTCGATCATGAGACTTTTCCATCGTAGACGGGTCTGGAGCACGAGACTGTATCTCGGCTGTGTCCTGCCTTCTACTGTGTTGTTTCGAGTCCGTACTTGTCAGACCACACCTCGTAATCGACCGAGATGCACAATCTATTAAGCACAACAGTTGGTGGCATGGTTCACTTGAGTAAGTGGCAAATGGTTTCGCTACTCCAAACTGGTAGTGGCTTTGGTTACTTATGAAATGATTATTGCTAATCACTAATTTGCTAAGACATCAATTAAAAGGTCAAGTGGTGGGTGGTGGCCCTTTTGCTATAACACATCGTGAGTGAAACTGTTAGCTCTTGCCAAAGTTGTCAGGACGTTTCTTCTGCACGCCCAGGTGGGTGAGAGATAGGCTGTTCTAAAGTCTGCTGCGCTTCGTACTAGTTGATTTCTTTCCGTAGCAGCTCAAACTGTACGCATAGGTCGAGTCAGCACTTGTCAGCTGACATCTATCGTAGTAGATGGCTTACTTGAACCCACTTTCCGATACAAGTAAGACTTAGTGCTTTTAACACATTCGTTGGGTGGACCCGTTTTGTTTTTAATCTTCTTCTTTTTAACACAAACTAAGCTTTATCTGACATAAACGCTTCGATCCCTCTCTCTTGAAAGTCTCTTGACGCAAGGATGGGAGGAACTTGAAAAAAGATTAGCACACTTCGACCATGATCAAAGAGGGAAACGGTATGTCCTTTCAACTCGCGATTTCAAAAGAAACAAAACCTATCAGGTTGATTCATGTCATTTGCAAATTCATCAAGTCTTCACCAGTTCACACGAAAGCAACATCACAAGTCTGTAGTTACGAGACGAAGAATAATGTCATTGACCCATCTACCATCCATCGTTACCCCACAGCAGCAGCACCACGCTACCTTACCACCGCTTAGCAACCAATTAAACCAGCAGTGTTGTTCACTATTGCACTCGTCACAATGTGCCTTCCCTTTTCTTCAACAGTCGCACCATGTGTTGCTATCTTCAACACCTTCTAGTATCAATCTCACGCTATCTGGTCCGCTACGGCGAGGTAAATGGACACGAGCTGAAGAAAATTACGCTGCGGCAACCATCTCGTACTTTTGTGATGGTCTCTTGGCTATCCAGTACGGCACTACCCTTCGTGGATATTTGGCGCAACAGCTTCATTGTGACCCGATGCGGATTTCAAAAAAGCTGCTACCTGGTTCAGTCTTTGCTGGCATTAAAATTAACCCCAAGATTGGCCGACGAGCCTACTACCCGTGCGCTCAGGACTCACCAGCAGCTGCACGATCCAAAGAAAATGCCGCTCAACACCTCACTAATCTCCGTCAAGCATTCATTCAGAGCATTGAAGATGAGGAACAAGCCCTGAAAACGACCAGCAGTGGTGCAATCACCGACAGTCCCCCGCCTTCGACCAAGACGCTCATAGACACACGCAAGAGTCCGAAGCCAATGGTGATCATTGGCCGCAAACGTAGCTACGACGATGTCAACAGTGTCGTGCTTGCGCAGCACCATCAAGGACACTCGGTGTCCGGAAAGCTCGCGAACCCACAGATTCCCTATCACTTCCAGCATCAAGTTCACCCGACGCTCTTTAGCTCCCGCTATGCTGCAACGACAAGTTCTGGTACTTCACCAACTGTGGTAATCCCAGCTATAAGTAAACTGCCAAAGCTGACAATCACGGATAACGTATCTCGTCACGTGTCGTACTCAACCCAGCAACGCAGTGTGTCGCCTGTGACAGTAGCAACATCAGCAGCAGTGCTGCCGCCTTTACGTGTCTCGCTCGTTCGAGCTTCCATGTCCTAGACGGGAAGTCTGGGAAGTTAACAGGCCTTACTGGAGCTGTGTGTTCTATATGGCATCGCGTTTTAAATGAGGTAGAATAGTAAGCAACTCGAATAAGTGTACGATCAAATTGCAGTTATGGACCAACGTAATGATAAAGCCGCATTTACTTGACATTAGTTGATAAGTTTACGTCAATTGACCTCCATATGATTACAGAAAAATACTAGCCATTGGACCAATCTAAATGGTGTGAACGGTTTCGACCAGCGTTGGAATTCGGTTTAGCCGATATACTAGCACATTCACAGCTTGCTTCTTTTACGTATAGACCAAAAGCTAGAGGGTTTAGGCTTGACCAGACCAGTAATGGCATGTCTCGGTGCAATGGGCTAACAAGTTAGTGCATGTAAATTGAAACGAACGCTGCATTGTTAATAGAACAAGTGAAATTGTTTAAACAACGCTACGAATCTATGAGGATAGCAGCGACATATACTGTCAAGTAGCAACGACTTACCATTGTAACGATGTCAGCGTTCACTTTTCTCTCTTTTCCTCTCCCCATTCTTGACTTATGCCTTCTCTTGACTAGTTGCTGTCCAAAGCGCGAAAAGCGGGGATGGCTACAATGCCTGTGCCACACGTGTCTTCCGAGTGAATATGCGCTGGACAGGCACGACGCCGTATTGGCACGTTATGCTCATCCTTTTCCCAGCACGTAAAGACCTGCAAGAACATGGTACCATTGTTGTTTCCGTGCACCTTTTCACACACGAGCGCTGCCTCTCCAAAAGCTTTGCGAAGGATCTTTGCATCCACGTATCCTCCAATATTATCTTGTACAATTTGCGGTGTTGGTGCAAGTGTTTCATTGCGTTCAAGGTCAATAGCATATGTAAAATACTCCACTTGTTTTAAACCTGAGCATGTCCCATGACGTGTCCACTCATGTTTCCAAAAGTCCGTGTATTTTCGTGACGTTACACGGTATTTCACATCCGGCCAATATTGATGAAGTGTCTCAATACCAACTGCTCGTTCAATCTTGTTTGCATCAAATGCTTCATCGGTACAAAAACTCGGTGGAATAAGATTGTAACGTTCTGGCCAAAGTCCATGTAGTGTTAAATGAGAACGCCAATAGGTCTCTGGGGTATGACAACCAGGATATTGCTGCTCTTTATGATAGCAAAAAGCTGGTTGCCAACTCTGTGCTAGAATGTACATATCAAAAACAATGGATGAGATTAATGGTAGTTCTAAGATATTACTATCATAAAGGACAGTAGCATTGGATGAAAAAACAATAGTTCTAGCCAGTAGAACAATGAAAGACAAGAAGATGATGACTGTCATGTTCGACAAAGGATTGTTCTTGTGTTTTTTTTCGCAATGTGTTGGAAATTCACTTGAAGTGAGTATGGAAGTGGAAACTTGATTTTTTGCACACATCCTTAAGATCCGTTACAATGTAGCCATAGGTCTGTCAAGATACATGTGGACCACATGAATATGTACCCAAGTCTTGTATTTTACGCTGACTAATAGGAAATATGACCAAGACCGTTGGAAAGACGACAGCATTGCGATGCTTATCCATGGCTTTGGAACGACAGCTAGCAAGAGAACAATTAATTGAAGGAGAAGAATGGTATTTAGTTTCTATATTGTGGTGGAAACGTGTGCTAGGTACGTCATCAAGTGATGAAAGTGAAGGCCAAACAGATGATGACTCGGAGGACTCGGAGGACACTTTGCCGCATGGAAATGACAATGATCAAGTGGAAAACAGCATTTTACTTGACATAAATCTTAGCAGTCGTAAACGCAATGTTGCTGTACTTAAACCCATGCTAGTACGAGCTGCGTATGTGCTTTTCTAGAGTTATTGACGTCCTATGAATTGAATCGATTGGAGTTCATACCATTTTTCATACTTTTATTCTGTAGGTAGAAGGAAAAGATTATCGGCTTGTAAGTCAACAAGTGTGGAACCAATTGTCCGACTATTTTGGCTTTGATTGGGAGATTGCAAGACCTGTGGTGGCTCGAGGACCTGCCAAGAATCGAGTTGTTGAGGTCAATCCATTTACTTTTGAAGTGCGTGGTGCTGTAACTGATGATCTGAAGGATGGGTAAAAATGAATGGAACAAAGCTAAGTAAATATGGTGCTATGTAGGTGTTAGCGTGGCGCATGGGACTGGAAGAGCCGATGGAGCTTTTAGATATAGAACAGAAACCACTGGTACTGATGGCCAGTGAAAATTGCTCGTTGAAGGAGCTACAACTGCAGATTTGGAATGCTGCGGCGATGGAGCCGCAGCTGAGAGAGATGTTTCCTGATGTGACAGCGGAGACTGTTGGTCTAGCGGTGCAGGTTTGCTACCGCATGAATGAGGGTTCGGCCTGGACAGCGTTGAGTAATGCAGTGGAGAAGAAGGAGAAATGGACGTGTAATGGCTTTACGAGTGCGAAGGGCCCAGGAAGTGTGTCAGAAAGTACGACAGTGGGTGAACTGCAGCTGGAACCGCGGAATTATAAGCATGGTAAAGAGAAGCTGCACCATTTGCTGGTGGAGGGGCGGTTTACAATTTTCGGCGCAAACAGCGAAACTGATTGGAGACACGGAAAATTTTACAGCGAAATTCAGGCAAACGCATGGAGGTTTACATTAAAGAAAAACCAGCTTATTGACGCACTTGATACAGATCACAAATGGTATGAATCTCGCATCATCGATCTAAATTCCAACATGGTGCTAGTACATTTTCGTGGATGGACGGCGAAATGGGACGAATGGATTCAGCGAACATCGACACGAATTGCACCATTGCACACCAAGGTTCCAAATTGGCGCAACTTCCAGATTAATGATGAAATTCTTGTGGGTGAGCCAGTAAAAAGTAAGAGCTTTCCGGAGTGGCGTATTGCCCGCGTCATTGATGTGCGAATTTCCGATGTAGACAACTCGCTTTGTGTTGAGTTTGATGTGGATGGCACAAAGCTGTGGATGAATGCCCAGGATGAATTGTTGTGTCCTCTGGGAACGCATAAGGCAGTCAATGCTTCAAATTTGGCCAAATCACGAACGTCTTCTTTTCTATCTGTAAGCTCTTATTCCCGACACGACCAAGGTTATGACGCAGGGCGAGGACGTCCGGAGTTTGATGGTGTGATCGGGCTTTCAAATCTGGGTAACACATGCTTTTTGAACAGTATGTTGCAGTGTTTAATTAACACGGCGCCTCTCCGAGAGTACTTTTTAAAGAAAGACTCAATCACTGGGTGTCCTTTCTTTATGAAAGAGATCAACCGAGATAATCCACTTGGAATGAAAGGCATGATGGCAGTTGAGTTTGCCAGCTTGTTACGCAGAATGTGGAGCAACGAATATAAGGTGGTCACCCCGACCAAAGTGAAGTCTGTAATTGGCCAGTATGCACCACAGTTTGCTGGGTACCAGCAACAGGATAGCCAAGAGCTTATGAACTTCTTATTGGACGGCCTACATGAAGACCTAAACCGTGTCAAGTTGAAGCCGTATACAGAACCCGTTGAGCAAAATGGTCGCAGTGATTTAGAAGTAGCCCAAGAGGAGTGGAAGCAGTTTCTTCGCCGTAACGACAGCATTATTGTGGACAATTTTATGGGCCAACTTCGTAGTCATGTGACGTGCTCGAATCCTGATTGTGGACACGAGTCGATCACTTTTGATCCATACATGAATTTGTCCGTTCCGATTCCTAACAACAAAACTGTTGCCGTACAAGTGCAGTTATTCTGGGCTAATGGCGATATCCCGATGAAGTACGCTATGCGTCTTTCGATGGATGGCTGCTCCTTACGCGACGCAAAAGTGGCTTTAAGTAAGCTTTCAAGCATTCCTGTTTCGCGGATGTTCTTTGTCGAAGTATGGAATCATCAAATTCTTAAAGTATATTCTGACAAGTTGCCCATTGACCGCGTTCGCGATGGCGTCCTTCACGCGTACGAGTTGGAATTGCCGGTGACAGACTATGCATTTGCTTCACCTACTATTCGCCCATCAAGTGGACAGCGAAGATTAGGGGCGACTGAATCTGAGTTACCACTTGCGAAGCTAATGCATTTAGTAGAGCTGTCGCACCAAGCACCAGCTGCTTCGCCAGTGGATGGACGATCTAGTGTCAATGGCTGCAGTAAATTGAGCGAAGATGGACTAGGATCTAAGCAGCAACGAGTGGAGGTAGAGCTGTTCAATACGCCTCTTCTTGTGTCCATCAACGAGAAATGGACAAAAGCCGAGATTCATAACAAAGTATGGCAAACTGTGCGTCGCCTTGTGGCCATGAAGGAATCCGATAATGACTCTGGAACTAATTTTGGCTGTGGCATAAACCAACAACTGCCGTATCGCTTGCATGTGACAGATCCTAAAGGTAGAACCACTTTTATAAGTGAACTTTCGTGCAATGATGAGCCCATGGGCTTTCCTGATAGCACAAACACACCATTCCGATTTACGCTTGAGTGGAATCGCAATGGGTACGTTACATGTTTGTCTAGAGCTTGGCCTTTATCTTACATTGTGCTTCTGTGTTTTGTAGCTACCAACGAGGCTACAACGAAGCATTAGCAAAGCGAATTGAGCTTCATGAATCCATGGAAAATATGAAAATTTTGCCGACGACTGACCCCGTTACGCTTATTAACTGTTTGACCAAGTTTACGGAACGTGAACAGCTTGGCGAAGCAGATACTTGGTATTGTCCCAAGTGCAAGAACCACGTCCGGGCGTTCAAGAAATTCGACCTCTTTTCGCTTCCTCGAGTACTTATCTTTCACTTAAAGCGCTTTCGCTACGCGCAGAACTCGTTTTATATGCACCGTGACAAAATTTCGACATTGGTAGATTTTCCCATCGATAGCCTGGATCTCTCTGAGTACGTGATTGGGCCGCAAAATGGGTCAGAGCTAATTTACGACCTATACGCAGTATCTGAACACGTGGGAAGTCTAGGTGGAGGTCACTACACTGCCGTTGCGCAGAATCCAGCAAACAAGCGCTGGTTCGACTACAATGATAGCCACACCAGGCAGACGTCAGCAAAGAATGCTGTCTCCTCTCGGGCATATGTGCTCTTCTACATCCGCCGTGACCAAGTCTAGTACAGGTGTGCGCTGCAATCTTTCCATTTTAATCGTGTCACTGTTGATCGTGGCCGATTCATTGCAGTTCGAGGTTTTACTGTTTGTGTAGCCAGTGTGGCTAGTATATAGGTCACGTTTCGGGTATACTTTCAATAATCAAGCGACATTTTTTCGCTAACAACAAGCGATTCGGCCAACTTGATTCTTGGTTTTGAGGGCGGATGAGTCGGTGTGGGGACGTAGACAGTAAAGCTGGAGATTTTATTTTTTTAATGATTACTAGTCCTGCACGTAACTCAACGAAAGGGCAAACGAAGTTATGGCTGTCACGAACTCACAATAAACTTTTAGTTTTCACCGGGTCGAATGGGAGCATTTTCAAGTTATCCATGTGCGCTAGGTTTCGAAACGCGTTATTTACTTCCAACGATGGGTCTTGTGCCGCTTGTTGTTTATACTATGAGGGTACGTGCAATGTCAACAAAAAGCATCCAGCACGAAGCGTCCCTCAGCGGTACTTCGACAAAAAGCTGTCGTGAGTGCGTGTTCTGTTAGACCAGCTGGTGTTTGGACGATAAGCTGTCATACCTATAGTGCTCTTCGTTTTGTGATAGTGTGCAAGCCTTTAAGTTGTTATGGACCAACACATACAGCTCGTTTATTTCTCTTTTACGGTAGATGATATGCTTGTCTTTTCTCGGAGTTAGTTGCGACTTTAAAAACAATTACTGATGACCGTGTGCATGCAATAGCTTTGTTGTGGTGATTTCTTCGTTCACGTACAAAACCTATTTGCATCTTGTACTCGAAATGTAAAGTTAGTTTGGCCTACGTAGAGGCAAACAAAAGCAATTCGACAGTGCACATAGCTACCTAGAGACGTCAAACACATTGATGGAAAGGATAATGGTCGAATACAACGCCGACTTCCATGGCACGTTTAAAAGATGAGCCCAAGTTGCGCATAGATCACCGGTAGAATGTTAATCAATACAAGGCGAAGATGATGTAACACAACAAGCCAATCGATAAAATTAGCACAGTCGCAAAAGAACGAGATCGACTGACTGGTACGTAGCCGACTATGGTGACACTTCAGCACATTTGTGCACAAACAATTCTTACAGTAAGTCCTAATTTGCGTCATGAACGGGTAAGCCAGAAGGTCACAAGATGCTCTTCTCAATCCATTTCGACTGTTTACTTGCCTGACGCAAGTCTACTTGCTCGTTTGCGTGACCGAAACAAACGTTTGTAAATGCTGTAATAAAGACGCTCGGTGACACGAGGATTCTATACGTGTACTGTTAATACTAAACAAATGTCATAATTGATTTCATCAGCACCTGTGCAGCACAATGCTGACACATGAAAGTTTATTTTTGATGTTTATTGACCGTGTCCGCAAGCGGATCACGTAACGTTTTGACTGCAACATAAGATTATGAAATATACAGCTCTACAAATGCTGAGAAGGAACTAAACTTGTACTTGATCTTGTCATGGACTCGATCATTCGTTCGATTAACACCACTTACGCCTACCATAGAATGGTGGTGCCAATGCTTTGATTTCTTTGCTCGTCGCAATACCCGCAAATCCGACCAGATCGAAACCCAAAAGATTAAATGTCTCGAAATCATTACCAGGATTTGCCTTATTGTACTCAACAGCTACAAAGTAACAATGGCCCTCGCAAACAGAGACGGTCCGCCCTTTACGTCAGACATACTTCAGTAGCATACCGAACAATAATAGTGACAAGCAGCGATAGGTCTCGCTAAGCACGTCCTGCGCTCGCGACACAAAAATCATACCGTCTGGGAAAAACGACACGCTTACTTGGCGCTTCGCAACCTCCTCTAATACATATGGTTTGTTGGTTGACTAGCATTCGCAGAGAGAGACATGCCCTTGAATACAATCGCTCTTGTCCCTTAAACATACTGTACATGTCCAATTGAATAGAGAGAGATTCAGAGTGTCTATTAACATCTAAGTACAAGATTTCTGAAATTTCTGCAGCCATGTCAATTTTGCAGGATTGCTGTCCGCAACGTCTCGTCAGGGCCCGTCGCCACGAGTGGAACCACGGACTTACTTAACGCTTGAGTTAAGATCTCAAGACACTCCTGTAATTCAGCTCCTTGTACGACCGTTGCCCTCTCCCTTGCGAGATTCTCGCTTGGCAACTACTTCGAGTTGCCTCACCACTTCTGCACAGTGTGCCCTCGCTTCTTCCCGAGCCTGATGTGCTCACCGTCGAATACCCGCTGCACGCGACGAATCTAGAGACTAGTGGTCGCTACCGCACAGAAGATTGACTAGCAGCGATCCCAGTCCGCCTCAAAGCACCCCTGCTCATCCGAGTACCACTGAGCAACCATCCGACGAACATAAGACGAGACGGGCGGCGGCGTTCTCGTCGCACAGGCGCGTTTCCAAGGCTGCAAACACTCCGGCGGTACAGGTCTCTTTCCAATGACAGATGAGTTGCGCCCAGATCGCTTGAGCAAAGGGACAACTCCTGAAGTAGTGGTCTACGATTCCACCTGGCCCGTGTATTGTGTCCCCACCAGACAGGGATTCCCAGCAGGTCGACCGGCGTAGTAGAAATTGAGTTGGTGTGTCGCGAGCCAAAACTCCGTTCAGACCTGATAGCCCGTCAGGTTATGCTGATGCGCCTAAAGACCTGGGAATCTGATCCAGAAGGTCAAACTGCCAGCTGTTCGCCTCCGCCTTCGCGGTAAGACGGTTGATGATTGCCACCAAAGGTTTGTTGAAATCCTTTTGCAGCGTTGATAGGCCAACCTGTTCAGGTAAAGCCAGTATGTTTTTATTCCAGACTGTTTCGGGCGCTGTCCACGGAAATCTGTGGATACTCGGGTGAGCATCGAAAACTAGTCCGACTTTTCGCAGGTCCTGAGAGTAAGAGTCCAGTGGAGCTCCTGACTTTACCTCAAGCTGAGGGATTTCCCCTTGAAATTTCCAGTGGATCCCTGAGCTCTCCTGCAGCAGGCAAATAGGCACCTCCTTACCCTTTTAGACTCAGAGGGGATACCCTGAATTACTCCCCGCGAGGTGACGCGCCAGTGGTGAGCTTGTGCAAATGGCGGCGGTTGTAGGAGTGTCGTTGAGGTGAGCCGTACGTCTAAAAGAGGACGCCAGAAGGACGACTCTTGCCCACCGACGTAACTTAATCGATGAGTGACGTATAGAAACGGCAGAAACGTGAAATCGTATCCGGATTGCCCTGTCCGCCTGGTGTTAAATTCACTCATAGGGCCCTCTGCTACCCATTTTTATTATAAAGCTGTGGAAGGAGCACCGCGAGGTCGGGACCCAAAATCTAGGGGGTTGTCCGCCCAAGGAAACGTACTCCAGAACGTCCGTTGGGCATTTGTCCAAAAGTGACCCTCGTATTCCCGTCGGGGAACGGAATGCTGTAAATGCAAGATCCAGGCTAACCCTTCACCAGCTCTCTGCAGCCTCTTCCAGCCGGCTTAAATGCGACGTTTTGTCGTAGAGGACTGCCACTGTTGCGGTGCCAAATAGGCCCAATTTCGAATTTGAGCCCGAGCCTTTTCCGCTGAACCCGAGGACATGGAGGGATCGCGTGACGTAACGGTAACCGCTCGGCTGGCACCTGCCCATAATTCACCTACATTATCCACGCCCTCTTGTACGGGTCCTCTCTACGTAATAATTATTGCAGGGCATGCTTCTGCCGCTGCGTTTTTCTTCCACCGTGATGGAGACTAAGCCGACCCCACCTGCATGTCGTGGTGCGTATAACAACCCTGGATTGACCTTGTGACGAACGGGTTTTGCCTCGGTGGGATTGTTGTATAAGAACTGCTTGGATTTGCCGATTGGCCTAAGGTGGGTTCTCGAAGACTGCCGCTGTGAACAGTACCGATGGCAACACAATGATATTTAGAATAATGACCAGATTAGTCACGCTGGTCGCAACCTTTGTTGCGGTTTGGAGGCGACGTCGCACATTACTACTCGAAGTACCTAATTCGCGTTAGTCATCTTTCCAATGCCGACGTGATATCCTAGATACCGTGTTGTCTCGTTGGTACCAACGACGCGCAGTCCAGCATAGTGGGTGTGAAAGACCGTCGTGTTAAGGATTATGACATGACTCTTATCGGACTGCACTCGCAACCCCGAGAGGTTGCCAAACTGGATGACAAATCCACGGCTGGCCTGAGTTGACGTGCGTGGCGCAAGAGAGTGGAGACATCGACGAAGGCCGAGAATTTGTGTGTAGTGTCCGGCTGGCCAGACATTTTGACGGACAGCTAGAGCTAAGACCTCTGTGCGAGGAGGAAAAGCAAAGGAGACAACGGGCAGCCTGTCGAATCCCGGATTTAATGGGCATTAGTCGCGGGTAGGTCCTCATTTTGCTTGAAAGCGTGCCGTGGTTCCCTAGTTAAATAAACTAAGCTAAAATCTAAATTGACGTAGCGTTACCAACAAAAATGCTCGGTCCACGGTATCGTAAGCCTTTTTGAAGAAAAGAAATCCCTTTTAGAGCTCGTGTCCTCTGTTGTCCCAGGCTGCCGTCCTGAGCTAGGCAAGCATCATTACGACAGCCTTTTGCATCTGTCGCCCCCAAAAGCCTTGTTGGGTATCCCAATAACATTTGGAAGAAAAAGCTGCATGCGCGTGGCGATCACCTTCGCAGACACCTTGTACAAAATTTGCAACAATGAAATGGAACAGTAATCCAGTGCTTCATCCAGGTTTCTTTTTTTTAAGGGACGAGCAAAGCACGATTTTTTCCCATTAACAAAACGTGTATTGCATTCAATGAAATTTTACTGCTAGAATACTCAAAGGAGCTGACGCATGTAAACAAGGCGGAGAAAGCTACCCGCCTTGGACGCAATTACAGAGATAGCAGCATCAGGTATTAGGGCGTTGCTGTCTGATTGAAATGAGAGGGTCAACAAAACGGGAGGCGTCGCAATACTTCTGAACCACGTCGTCGCAGATTCGCATAGCCTGGGGTAACGGGGATACACGAAGGTGTATATTTTACAGCCACACCGGCTGTACCTTGGGTACAAAAGTAGGCTTGATGTGGCCGTACCTAAAGTACGAAGGGCACGTGGTCACTATACTTATGTAAAATATAGTGACTATGCATGTTTGCATAATAATAACAGGCTATAGAGCCAGTAAATAGTGACTAGCACTAAGTATAGAGTAGGTATTCTGAGGAATTAGTATCTTTGATACTAGTCTCTTTTGAGACTCGGTTATAACAACCGATAGGCACAAGTTTACGAGCTAGCCTAGGGAGGGTTGAGCACCCTAAGACGTAGAAGCTCTCTGAGCTTGTCTTCCTCTGCATAGTGCATAAGTAGCGTGGTTACAGGAGCTCGGCTACACCTGGTAGCACTTTAGTCAATCCCGCACCTGGGTTTGCGACAACTCCTTTGTGTGAGAATGGACATCGATGAGATGTCAGCGGCTTTCACACGTGTGAAATGCACAATATTGTTCACGTAAACAGTCGATGCCTTAATAGTTTGCTACCTAATTCGCGAGCCAACGCAGATCAAAATATGTCAACGTCGCTCCGTAGTTTTGTATCGAATGCGTGCTCATACGTGTAAGAGTATCTAACACGTACTGCGACTGATTTATTACGAACGCTGGGTTGGCACTAGCGGTGATGGTCTTTAACAAACTTATGTTAACATTTAGTCAGTATATCATTAAATGGGAATTTCTATCGCTATTCATGATCTTTGCCCGTGAGGAGTCTGGTCTCTCACTTGAATCCAAGAGTAACTTCATTCTAAAGGGTGCATCATTTCAAGATGCTCTTCCCACATGGGCCGATCTGAAAGTTCAGATGACCCGGCAGTATGTAACGCCAAACCAAGCACACCGCAATTGGTCGCGATTTTTGGCGTGTCGCCAAGGCAAGCGTGAGGTTGCAGCATATGTGCAAGAGTTGAGAACTCTCATTTTTTGCCATGGTCATAGACCCTATGCCTGAGGCAGTGACCGTCACGGTCTTCATGGAGGGCCTCCGAGTTGGTGTTGTTAGAACGGAAGTCGTTCGGGTAAACCCGTCCTCATTTGAGGAAGCTGTTGGAATGGCATGGAATGCCGAGAGCAGCATTAAGGCCGTTAGGCCTGCCACTCATAACTACTCGTCCGATGGGTCTGTACCCATGGACTATAGCCAAGTAGAGGATGAAGAAGCTGAGCTTCATGCTGCAGAGGAGCAATTGTGCGCAGAAGTTTTATCTGCAAGAGCACAGGCCATTTGATGGCAAAATGCCCTGCAAGAAAGGCATATTTGGCCTCGAAGGGTCAACGCCCCATAAGATGACCTTCTAGTTGCCGCGGGGAAACGGCGGAACTCAGTAGGCGCGGGGCTCCCTACTGGGGAAGAACTGAGTTCTGTTGAACCTCTAGAAGGTAGAAGTAAACAGGGCCCAGCCCCAAAGAGACCCGAACTTTCAAAAACGGAACGAGAATGCAAGCCAGACTTGCTAGTCGTCGAAGGGACGGTCAAGGGATTTAATAAGCCATGGATCATTTTGATTGATTCGGAGCATCGGGCAATTATGTGCGCCGTGTCACCGTGGAAGGTAGTAAGCAGTATGCTGAAGCACTTGTAGCGCGTGAAAGTTACACCAGTGTGGTAAGTGGGTTCTCAAAACAGCGTAATGAGACCCCACGCCACTCAGTGTGCCGGAGTGCCGACCGTCGGACGGGGTACCCCGATGCCGCGTATAGACCTTCTCTCACATTATGTACCCGTCGGCTGGCGGGTTGCACTCTTCGGAAGAATTGGTTGAAATGCGATGTCGGCCTTGAGAGAGGTCGACCTTGAGGTGCCTCGAGTGGTTATACTTCAGTCGGTAGGCGGGTAGGTGGCCACTCGGTCGACTTAGTCGAGGGTAGGCTTATAACTAAATTCTATAGGGATGATTCTCAACCCTGGCCTTTTCCTTGGTATCTCAGGGGTATTAACCGCCTGGACTTTACTTGCTCCCAAACCGCTAGGGTAGAGAGACCGCTTCCGATAGCAGGTCGATCGGGGGTGCTACTCAGACGAACCACAGGCCAAATATATCCTGGGGCTCTATTGGCACTTGGGTCTTACCACACAACTGTCTTCGACGGGGGGGCAAAAAATATATCCCTTCCAGGAACAGGTGGGTAGAGACTTAGTAAGTACCTTGGAAGCACGACGGATGTGTTCTATGTAGATAACAAATTGAGTAGTATTTAATATGGTCCTATCTCTTAGCTCATTTTCTATATCTCTACCCCCCGAGAGTTGATTCTTGATTTTGCTTGGCTAGGGTAAATCGACCGAGAGGCCGAGAGGCCAGGGACCGAAGGGCCGAGAGTACGGGAACCGAAGGGATGAAGGTCTATCGACGAAGGACCAAGGTCTATTGACTAATGATCGAGGTCCATTGATGAAGGATTAAGGCCGACCTTCTGGGAACGGGGCCGAGAGTCCATTGACCGAAGGCCCGACGTCCATCGATGAAGGACCAAGGTCTACCTTCAGCGACCGGGGCCGAGAGTCCATCGACCGAAGGGGGGGGGCGCCGGGGCCGAGAGTCCATCGACCGAAGGGCCAAGATCTATCTTTATGAAAGACCGAGGTCTTCCAATGAAAGACCAGGGTTGGCCTCGAAAAAGGTCAAGGTCTACCAATGATAAACTAGATTCAACCTCAAAAAAGACCGAGGTCTACCAGTGACGGCCCAAGGTCGACCTTAGAAGACCAAAAGTTATCACTGACAGACCAGGGTCAACCTCGAAAGACTAAGGTCTACCAATGATGGACCAGGTTCAACGTCGGAAAACCAAGATTAACTACCGAGGGATCGAGGTCTACCCACTATAAACTTTGGTCGACCATCTAGGACCCTCGGTTTCGGCCTCTACTCCTCATGATTTTGCATCGCTTCTAAACGATCTCTCCTTGTCTCCTTGCGTTCGAAATCCCGAAGTAAGGCTCCACATTTCAAATCCACTTCATCCGCCCATGAGGGGTCTTCAAACCCTTTCCATCGGACGAGGAGCTCTCGTTGTTGTCTTTCGTAGCGTGTTTTCTTTCCAGTACGGGCTTTCAAAATCTCCTCAACCTCGTACTCTCCTTCTTGCAGCTCTCTTTTTCAACAGTCTGTTTTAATATTTATATTTGATGAGAGTGGGATTTGCTCACAAAACAGGCATTCATCGAAATCGATCCGATCTATTTCGTCCGTCTCCAACGCGGCCTTCGGTCGGTCGGAGAGCTCTCTAACCCTCTTAAGTTTGGACAGATGTACAGTTGGGAATAGCTTGTGCTCCGTACCTCTAGTTTCCAAGTGCGCTGCGTGTTCTCCCACCAACTCTAGAAATTGAAATGGTCCATGCTAGATGTAGTTTCTTGGCGTACCACTCTTTCACCTGGTCTAGATTGAGTCACACTTGAGTTCCCGGCTGAATCTTGTGGTCGACCAACCCTTCATTATGGGCTAAGATCCGATCTCGCCTGGCCGCTCGCAGGTTCTCGTTCACCTGGGCTCTCGTCCGCTGATAGTGTTGCTGAATGTAATATCTCCATCTGCGTGGTCCAGATCCCCGACGTCGCGTATTTAACACAGGTAAGGTAGCCTCGAGGGTGGTCCTAGCATCCCAACCACGGACCAGATAGAACGGTGTCTCCTTCCGGACTCGGTCTTGCGCGGTTTTCATCGCAAACGTTAGTCGTTCTGCATACTCGTCCCAATCCTGCTGTCCGACATCAGAGACATACATCTTGATGGACCTAGTCAGGGTCTGAACCATTCTCTCCACAATTTTGTTCGCCTGAGGTCGATAGGCCATGGTAGCCTGTCGACACTAGCCTACCATGCGACTAATCGCCCGAAAGAAATTCGACATAAAACCATGGCTCTCGATTGTGGCGGATTGCCTCGCTAGCATCAAAACGGCAAAAAAACACATTCTTCGTACCCTTCAGCTACCGTCTGAGCCGTTCGCGACGCACTAGCCTTGGCCATCACATACCCCGTGAACAGGTCGGCTCAAATTAGTAACCCAGTATATCCTCTGTGCGACCTGGGCAGAGAGGGAATATGATCCGTCGCTATAATCTAGAATGGGTATGTTGCTTCGACATTCCCTGTAGTCTTGCCCTGCAGGTTAGGTCCTCCTTTCCCAGTCCCTCACAATCCACACATAGCTCTGTACGCTTCGGAATGAACCTTTCCAACAGAGGTACCGTCGTATTCGGTGGTAGGTACGTCAAACCCCTTGGTGACCTCCTTCTAGAATGGTGTGGTAGTGATGCAGGACGTCAGATTGGAGACTTTCGGGTATCACTATCTGGCCGTTACTTCTCGGTCGTCTCCCTCGACCCTCTGCACGGGACAATACAATGGCAGCCCCTCTTCACTTATTTCGTAGTCCCTGGCCATCTTACTGCACGAGTGCGCGGACACCATAGACAGGTCGAACCAATCTCCCTTCAAGTAGGCCTTCAATTCTTGCACCCAGTCTTCTTGCTCTTGTGCCTCCCTGATTCGCTCTGTCTGGAGTCGTTGCATCACACCCTTTTGTAGAATTTCCCCTGATGCTCTAAAGGAAGGTCGAGATCGAGTCACCGCAAACACTTTGGCCGATGGACTCTGGTCCTTGACAACTAGTAACTCTGACAATCGATTAATCGCTTTCAAACTTTGCCATTCTCCTTCTGGTATCGACTTGATCCCTTCCTTTTGACGCAGGGCTGTGCTGGCCAACTGGTCGGCACTCTGATTTCAATCACGTTTTACATGTACGATCCCTTGGTAGTTCACGACAACAGCTTATTCAAAGCTCTTGCTTATAATGGGGAGAATCCTGAAGCCTTACACTCGATCTCCCCTCGCATTTGTCGTACCACCAAGTTGGAGTCGCCATAGATGATCAGTCGCCGTCGTTCTAGAGGCTCTAACAGGTCGAAACCAGATCATAACCTCATATTCGGTCTGATTTGCTGTAGATGTAATAAGGAACTTTGAGGCAGCCTTTACTATGGTCCAATCAGGTTATCTCCATACAATAGCGCTACAGGCTCCACCTCCCTGTTTTGCTCGAGCGGACCCATCAAAACTCATGACGTATAACTCTTCGTCAGGCTCCACAGTTGGTGTAGGTAGGTCGACCACTTGCCGCGCCTGTTTCTTGGGGGCAATTGACGATAAAATCGAGTCCACACTTGCGTGAGGAGTAATACTGGCTGCGAGCGCCCCCAGAACTTTTTCCCCACCCTTATTGCACTTAACAATGTATATAGTCCATTGGAAAATGAGGGCAGCCCAATTATCAAGACGTCCCTGTAAACCCGTAGACCTGACTAGCCACGACAATGTAGAATGCCTCGTCAGGACCTTGAGGGGTCGAGTGACCAACATCGTAAAACAAGTTTCCATTATCCGTAATAAAACCAGCACTTCTTTCTCCACGTGCTGTAGTACAACTTGTTGGCCTTAATGGTCCGACTCGTAAAAGTCACAGGCATTAGGATGCCACCACGGTCTTCCACCAACGACGCGGATATGGCCCATTTACTTGCATAAACGATAATTACTGCCTCTTTGGATGGTTCAAAGTGTCGCAAGATAGGTGCTGTGGCAATCTTATTCTTGCGCATAGCGAAAGCTACTTGGGCCCTGGACCACTTCTCCTCGTCTTCTGCCTTAGCTACCCCACTGTCACCCGTCCTCAACTTACATCGGCAAGCGTAAAAATCCACCTCCCATAACTCATAGAGGATCGATGTATACACCGCATTATCTTCAATAAATCTACCATAGTAGTGCAGACTTCCAAGAAACGATTGCATGGCTTTGAGTGTCGTCGGCAACGGTAGGTTTTTTTTTGGGGGGGGTCGACCAGGGACTGGAGGTCTTTTGGGTGGGCCTCTAGTCCTTGGTCTGAGACCCGGTACCCAAGACAGTCTACCTTTTGGCACCCCCATGAACTCTTGGCCGCGCTGATCGATAGATTTCAATAGTCTCACACATCCTACAATTGCTTAACCTTTGCGCACAACATATCCCACGAGTCGGCCGGTAATAAAAAGTAAACAATGTAGGACTGGCCGACCCAGTACCAAGGAGCCAACTTTACATCCGGCTTTCCCATCGGAAACAGGTCTTCAATCTCCTCTGTACCAGCTCCTTGCGAGATACGTAAAAACCCATACAAAGCATTATCCAAGAGTCTCTGATATATCTGAGGCGTATTCTTGAGTCCAAATGGTATTTGCATCCATTATAATAATCCCAATGGGTGACAAAAGCTGAGATCATTCTCGCTCTTTTGATCATGCCGACAACCCAAAAACCACTTGCCACATCCAGGGAGTAGTACCACAATGCTCCGTTCAGGTCCTCCAACAATTCGTTGATCAGAGGCATAGGGTAGAACATGAGCTGGGTCAGGTCATTCACTAACCGATTATCAATACACAGCTTGATATCCACCCCATTTTTCTTCACGATAATGACGATTGGGCTGGCCCATGGCGAGGTAGAGTGCTGGATGATCTTTGCAGATAATAGTCCTTGGATCAGATCGGCCAACTTTACTTTGAACTGGAAGAGGGGCACCTTCCGTGCACGTTGTGCAATCGGCCTAGTATTACCCACTTCAATGTCACAGATAGCTCCTCGGGCAGCTAGTGGTAAGGCGTTAGTTACTCTTTTCCCTAAGTAGATGTCGTCTTCTCCATATAATTTGTCTCAGTCGGTCCACCTTCTCTGAGGTGTTTCCGTCAGAGTCAGGGATCTGTATATCTTTTAACTTGATACTCGTGGATGAAAGATCTACCTCCGGTTTGACAACCCACCCTGGTTTGCATCTTCGGCCCAGAGTTCCCCACTTTTGAACGTGCACAGTTGGTCATCCGCTAGTGGCGATTCTAACAGCGGCCCCTCACCTTCTCCCATTTTAGTTTACCTAGTAGACTGGAGGGTCTATCTGATCGACCTAGTGGATTTGAAGGTCCACCTAGTCGACCTGAGGGTTTATGATCGACATGAGGGTCTATTGGATCGACATGAGGGTCTATTGGATCGACATGAGGGTCTACCGGATCGACGTGAGGGTCTACCTGATCTACCGGAGGGTCCACCTGGTCGACCTGAGGGTCTACCTGGTCGACTTGAGGGTCAACCTGATCGATCTTGCTGATCGAACATTGGCTGGAATGCCATATCATTACTGGAGCAAGTACCTTTGTTGCTGAAGTATTCCAGATGGAGTACTGTACTGTGGTACCTCCACCAATGGTCCTTCATCCTTCTCCGTCAGGTCTTCCTGATAGTCCATTTGGTCGGTGGTAGATTCATACACCAGGTTTAGCCACTCTGCATATCTTTGAGACCCCACAGACACAATACTCTGCGACCTTGGTACTTAATCCTTCGTCAGCCACATGCCTATCTTGGTGTCCTCGTGTAATATCAGGGGTTGGGCACTGACGTTGGTCACCTCAGGAACTTTGACTTCCCCCCTTGGTTCACAGTCGTGATCGATCGTACTTTCCCTGTGACCCACAAATTCCATTGGTGCAAGACCGATCTTTTAAAAAGCACTTTCTCGTACCCTCCGGCTGGTATCTGCACGTATCGACCCAACTTCACATCTGATACCCGGTTATCTTGAAGAGTCCTTCGTCCTCCTAACTGTACTCGAACCTCATCGAGGAGACATAGTGTCCCATCAGCTAGATCCAGTTGCATACCGGCTAGGACCATGAAGTCCATGCCTAAAACTGCATCTTGACCCACCATTGGGCCCACACAAACCTCAAAGATGTATATCAAGTTCCCGTTCAGGGTGACCTTGATGCGGGTAGGTCCTTCCGTGGTAAACACGGATTTACCGATCTTTGTTAATCTTCCCAGAGGCCTTGGCCTGTCCGAACCATTTCGTAGGAGCATGGTAGTTCCAATGCCCCCTCGACCTGCCACACCGTAGGTCTAACTCCATCACTGCACTTTCTCGAACAAAATCGTTAGATGCGCTGAAATAAGCAACATGGACCATAGGGTAACTTTTAAACTTCGATATATTTCCCATCGAGTTACCTTGAATGTCCTTTTCTCCTTTGGGCTGCTTTCCACATATGCAAAGATACAACAATTAAAACGCTCGGCTCGTACCAGATTCAGACCTAGCAAGCGTCCTAATTTAGCATCTTCTCGACCTTTTCCGGCAACATCCTAGCGTGCTTGGCCGGGTTGTACCACTGGTGATACAAGGTATAAAACTCTTCCATCGGACACTTTCCAGACTCGTGAGTTTCTCCACAACCTTGGCATACGAACAGTTAACGGTCTGATGGATGACCCTTCTTTCCACATCGATCTCAGGTCAGCCTCTTCCAACAACCCAAGTCTCCATGCTTCCTACACCCACAATGGGCACATCTTGCACTTTTGGTTGCCGACACCGTGCGGGGTCCAAGGTCCTTGGTCGAGGGTCGAGGCTAGTCGACCTCTCTGATGGGTTGGTGCCTCGGGTTCCTTGGCTTTAGGTACTTTTCCGCCTCCGCAGCAATGAGGTAGACCTTCCATAGGTCACCGTCACTATCATAACAGTCTAAATTGGAGTCTTCGGAGCTTGATCCTCCCAGGTCGCTCGAACGGCATGAACAGAGCGACAATTCAACTCCCTTGGCCAATCAGGGGTTATCGGTGCTTTCTGGCGAAACTTGCCAGACCCAAACAACATCTTGCCTTGTCAGGCCTTTGTTCGTTGACGCGCCCTCAGTACATCCTCCAGCTTTTCCACATCAGCCACACGTAACACGGTGAACTAGTCCGTCAGGTCGGGGTCATCCAAGGTCTCGATATAGTGTTCGACATGTTCTTTTGAATCTTGGCGGCCCATCCTTAATCTTCGCTCGAAGTGCAATGATATTCAGGCGGTATAGGTTGTTCAGCGGGGATTCGTCTGACCTTTTCTTCGCGTGGTAATATTGTCGGGCCACTGGTACCCCCAGAACACAGAATTGCATCGGGAATTTCTGTAGTAAGTCCTTACAACTTCCACGAACAGAGCACCTAGTTGATGGTACAATTCTGGGCAGGTCCAGTCAATAATTCTACAAAAACGAGGCACTTTTCCCCATCTGGCGCTTGGTCCCTCGTGAACGTGGTTTTTAAAGTGGTCACCCAGCTGCGTGCTCGGTCCTCATCTTGGTCTTTACCATGAAACTACTTGAGATCCGAAGTCGCTGAGAGCTTGATACGGGGGACCATGTTGGGCACCTGTTCGAGGGCGGCATTGGCCATTCTCGCCAGAGGTCCATCGAGGTCCTTGTGGTCTGGGTCATATTCGCACGACCCGACCGATTCCATTTCCACGTCGGTCATCCCTTGGTCTCTTTCAACTTGCATAGCTGCACTTGAACCCAGCTGGGCCTTTGACCTTTGCGCCCTCTTTCGTCCTCTGGCTGCACTTCTATTGATGCGTGCTTGCGGTACTTGGCGTTCTTGTAAAAATTTTGCCATCGCCGCGTCGAAGTATGCCTGTAAATTACCTACCAGGTTGGTAGGCACTCCTTCCCGGGCAGCTTCGTCCCGTGACGAGGTGTAATTCGGTACTGGTCTTGGCTCATTTCTGATTGGTTGAAAACTCGACATATCAGAAGCCCGTCTTTCCCTTGGCTACACGTGGCCGTTTCGTGAGCTCTCTGCTCGTCGTCCGCGCTCTCCGCTCGGGTCTGCAGCAGCGACATGCCGGTAGGTCCTAGTGGCATTCGGCCCACGTTACTAGAGACGGGCTACCTTTGCAATGTTTGCCTTGCAGGGACCTGAGGACCCTGAGGCAGGGTGGTCTGTAATAGACCTCGCATAGACCATGGGTCCTCGGTCGACCATTGCTCTCGAGGGTGGACCTCAATGTCTTGCAGGGTCATCTGGCTGTCGTCAGACGGTGCTTTTGCGGCGGTAGCAGGAGGTGAGTCGAGTAGTACTGGAGTTGTTCCCACCAGGATACCCAGACGTTTGTGTAGGATTTCTAACGTGGTCTTAATATTGTTGAACCCCAGGGAAAACAAGTCTTCAGGCTCAAACCTTCCTGCGACCATACCCGCCTCGCGAAGAAGGGTCACGAGCGCGGTGATCGCGTTTGTCACCGTCCTCAGCTTGGGAAGGGTCGACACAGGTTCATTGAGCTGACACAGCAGTCGGATCTCGAGGGCTCTGGTGACGGGGTCACTTTCCAGGAACACGTCAAGCTTGAGTCGATGGTAGGTCATGTCACGTCAGCATCCAACCAGGTCAAGGGTCCTGAGGTCGAGGGGCCTACCGACTTGGTGTCACCTGGTGCCTTCATTTGGAGCTTGGTCGGCTTGGACGTAGCGATCGTATTTTGTGTAGTTTTTGAATGTTCTTATTTTTGGGGTCAACAGTCTATCGGTTTTCACCTTCGACTGATTGTCCTCTGGGGCATGATAGATATCATGATCCAAGGTGTCCTCGACAAGGACATAGGGAGGGCATTGTGGTTTCTCTTCAATAAGTTCAACCGTGACCATATTGACCGGGCTCCCAAGGTCCGGTCGATCCTTCGATCCTTTGTTGTTTCCTTGCGTAGTCACTGGTGATCGGTCTCCCAGTGACTTTTCGGTCTTTTCCTCAATCTTTACTTAAATAACTTCATCTTCTTTAGGCTCGCCGTGATATCCCGCGTCTTTCAAAGATCCGGGCACGCGCACCATTGTGGTGAGTGGGTTCTCAAAACAGCGTAATGAGACCCCACGCCACTCAGTGTGCCGGAGTGCCGACTGTCGGACGGGGTACCCCGATGCCGCGTATAGACCTTCTCTCACATTATGTACCCGTCGGCTGGCGGGTTGCACTCTTCGGAAGAATTGGTTGAAATGCGATGTCGGCCTTGAGAGAGGTCGACCTTGGGGTGCCTCGAGTGGTTATACTTCAGTCGGTAGGCGGGTAGGTGGCCACTCGGTCGACTAAGTCGAGGGTAGGCTTATAACTAAATTCTATAGGGATGATTCTCAACCCTGGCCTTTTCCTTGGTATCTCAGGGGTATTAACCGCCTGGACTTTACTTGCTCCCGAACCGCTAGGGTAGAGAGACCGCTTCCGATAGCAGGTCGATCGGGGGGTGCTACTCAGACGAACCACAGGCCAAATATATCCTGGGGCTCTATTGGCACTTGGGTCTTACCACACAACTGTCTTCGACGGGGGGGCAAAAAATATATCCCTTCCCGGAACAGGTGGGTAGAGACTTAGTAAGTACCTTGGAAGCACGACGGATGTGTTCTATGTAGATAACAGATTGAGTAGTATTTAATATAGTCCTTTATTTAACTTCTTGACTATATCCTTACCCCCGAAACCTGATTCTTGATTCTTCAAACCGAGGGGCCGAGGGATCGAGGGACCACCGATCGAGGGATCAGGGTCTACCAACGAGAGACCAAGGTCTACTAACGAGGGACCAGGGTCAACCTCGAAAGAACAGGTTCTACCGACGGGGGACAGGAGTCATCCTCGAAAGACCAGGGTTTACCGCCAGGGCCAACCTCGAAAAGACTGGGGTCCACATCGAGGAACCTCGGTCTATCGGGCTAACCGCGATTAACCTCTCTGAATAGAGCACGCTTAAACCGTACATTCTCCTCATCCAACGGTCGTCCTCCGTCCCTTTTTATCGCCCCGTCTGTCTGTCCCTAACCTAACGGTTGCTCCTCCTTGGAGGGTCCCCTTCTCTTTGACCCACCGGTCCTCTGACCTACCAATTCCTGAAACGCTTCAGCACAACGGCTTAAGAGGACAAACAAGAAGGAAAAGGAAATATGCAGAGTTGACTAAGGCAGCTTTAACCACGCTGCACAGCGTCGTCAACTCGATGACGAGGCCCAAGCGGCCACTTTGGCACGGCCCAAACAAACATTTTCACGACGTGATTATGGGTTCATGCCCCGGGACCCTAATGCTCGACGAGCTGCATCGCAATCTTTGCGAACCTATGTCATTGGGTCCCATGCCCGTACGGCCTGCGAGAATGCAGATAGTGTTGTTCTTCGTGAGCGACTCCTTACTCTCCAGGAGTTTACGATGAAATCGTATCAGGAGCGACTGTCACGAAAGTCACGTGGGGTGCCCGTGCACCCACTAAACGGTATACCAGTGGTGCTTGCACCAGGTGAAACATCTGCACAAGATGATCACCAGTTCACCCGCTGGGTAGAACGAGCATGTAAGCTCTCAAGTTTGTCAAACATGCGTTTCAGCGCTAAACGTTTGGCTAGAACGTCGTCTGCGTTTTAACTTCGCTAAGCTCAAAGCGAAACGTCAATTGACTTCCACATACAGGTCAAAGACTTGTGGGGAGCAAGCTTCTGAAGCTGTTGCCCGTACCTCTCACTCGAGTGATGTACCGGCATTGGCTTCTTCTGAAGGTCAGAGGCGAAGCCAGCCTACTGACCCTACTTCCACAGAACCTAGTGCTAGGAAACGTCCGACGACAGCTGTCGTCACTTCTAACCGTCCTGGTCAAAAGCGTCAACGGCGTCAGGGCAATCCTGCCGGAGGGGTACCTCTTACTCCCACGAGTCGTACGACTGGGGTGTAAAATTTCATAACCCCTTTACTTCACCAAGTATTGGGTATGACCCAGGTGACGACGCCGAGCCAAGAGACGTTCCTCGTGGAACTGTTAATGACCCAGCTCATCAATTAGCGTCGGAGGAGGTCGATGACCCATTGACCTCTCAATTTTCTGATATTGAGCGTTGCCTAACGCTCCTGAGCGTTGCCTGACGCTCCTGGAGCGTGATGCCCTTGCATCAGTGAGGTCTCACCTGTCATTGCTCGATGACCGTGTCGATCGACACGTCTCTATTTGGAGTCATCTCTATTTAATTATCTCTTTCTATCCTCCATATATATTGAAATGGCTACAGCCCAGCACCGCTTGACAAACATTTTCTGCAGTCCTCATAACATGCAAAACAACTTGTGTACACAAATGTATGGGCTTGACTCACTTGTCACTTATAGTTGACTTTTGCTCGTATATATCAACACATAGCACTTCACATAAGTGACACGGAATAGCAAAATCTGGATGTTTGACCAGCCTCATTTTGTAACCAGAAAATTGCCGAGCTATTCACTTTCTGAGAATTTTGACACGTTCATCATCGTACGCGGAATTAAACCAAGCCACTGCCCGAACCGTTCCAATGCCGATCTTCATATTATTCAGCAGAATGTGCGTGTGATGGCACGGTAGACATTGCTGGCTTATCATTTGTTCCCTCCGCCGAGGACGTGTCGTCATCTTGATCCTTCTTCTTTTGCTTTGCCAGCTCGTTTTCAACAATTGTTGCAGCTACCATAACTTTGGCCGCCTCTGCTGATAGGGATGTGGGCGCACTATCGTTAGCCAGCTCATTCGGGTTCTCCCATATCCACGAAAGCCATCTAGGCGTGAGCGCGTACATGAAAGTACCCCAGATTGCCTCTCCGCTTTGAGCTTGTACGGTCTGGTCTTGAACCACACCACTGACAAACTCTTTGGCATGATTTTGAACGTCTCCTTGGCTCAAAACGTCATGAACCGAGTCACTAAGAGTCTTGACCACATTCTGCTTCACTATATCTTGCAACAAAGTATGTGCCAACAACTGCGTCAATTGTCCTCGCGTTTGTTTGTCTTGCATAATCTGCTCCAAGAGCACCAGCAATGCCTCTTTTGCATGTGGGTCCAGTACTGTCATGCGTATCAAGTTTACAATATGCTGCAGCGTATTAGGATCTCTCAGTAGCGCCGCCATTGTTTGCTTGGTCAAGTCCGCCGCTTGCGACCGAATCATTGGATCGTCCAGCGTATGAATCACCAAGGCCCTCAAGGTTTTACGTGTCGATTCCATCATCACAAGCTGTAGCACAGTAATACAATAGTTTACTCATTTCAGACGTTAATAATAATTGGATCCTTTGTCCACGAGCTTCGACTGAACATGATCCAAAGTATCAGCTCAAATCCGCCATTTTCTTTTTCGCAATGTGTTCTTACCCTTTGCAAAAATCCACATGCTTGATCCAACACCTTGGGGTCATTCAGTACTGTCTGCACAATCTGTGATGCCAGCTCCCGTGTGTTGCCTCTCAGTGTCTCATCCTGGAGCGAACGAGACGCTACTTCTGCCGTGTGTTTGCTCATGCCAAGTTTAAGTTCCGGTCCAAAGGCTATTAAACCTACACTGCCTATAACTAATGAACCCATCCACCACCATACGCGTTGGCTACGCATAAGACGTCGTACCATCTCCGGTTCACTCATATTCGTGGTCGATTCGGACGATGTGTGGAAGCTATAGTGTTGCCTGTAACAGCTCATTGCGTACGAGTTTGATACCAGACGTAGCTTGTAACGTTGACAAGTCAATGCACTTTTTATTATCAACGATAGCGCTGGTAGCCGACTGGTAGACACCATGACACGCAGCATGATATCCAACGTTTGCTGACGACGTACGTTGTGAATTATATCAATGTGAGACGGTTGTAGGATGGGACAAAAGTATCTTGGTTTTTGGATGGATTACTACGATAGAAAACTAAAATATACCCATCATATATGGAAAAATGGGACTCATGCAATCGGACAGAGAACAAAAAGTAGTAAATGACGAAAATATATCTCTTGAGCTCAAACTAATGGGACGCAACACACTGCCGCTTGTTCAAAATCCATCCATTGCACACGCATTATCCACCGTCTCAAATTACGTCTTTGGTCAACCAACGCACTGTCAATGCTTCCACAGCACTACTCGGACCCGCTCCATACCCTCAATGCATCGGACTGCTTAGCGCTGTACTTTCCCTTTCTCTGCCTCATATCTGTCGGTCATCGCACAAAAGTTTGTCTTTCTGTTTTGAATCATTCCGATACCTCCTCTGCTAATATTGCCGATTCTTTCAAGTCTCGCGCTTGCTCGTAACCCCATCTCACGAACAAACAGCTCGGCACTTCCGCGCGCTTGACGCAAGCGTCAGATTGCTGCTTCTCACTGCGCCTCGCTTGACCGTACTGAGTTGTTTGCTGTAGAAAGTGGTTCATTCCATCGCGGCGACTCAACCATCGTCCCTTTATAGTTTAAAATGTCTGGCACTGGTATTTCCAGATCACGGCAAAGCAATCACCACTTCCCGTTGCAAAGTAGGGGGGACGCTGGAGATGACGCTACACTTATTACCGAATTCCGATAGCCTGTTAACGTCAGCACGGAGCGTGACGAACGCGGATCCCAAAACACAACAGATCGGTCCTTTGAGCCAGACATCAACCATCTACAGATGAAGCAACAGCACATTTCAATGAATTAACAACGTGTTCAAAAGTAAAAGTGAGCAAACAACAGCAACAGACGCACCTTCCATCAGGCGTGTAAGCCACCGATAACACAAAGTCCTTGTGACCCTGGAAAAGCATGCGCGGCCGTGTAGTCGTGCGGCCCTGCGCACACACATCCCACAGCATAATGTTGCGATCAAGTGATCCAGAAATTACGTTCTTGCCGTCGGGTGAAAAAGCAATCGAGTACACCGAGTCACTATGGCCCTCCAACCGGTCTAGCAGTTGAGCCGTCTCCGTCTCCCAAATTCGTACAACCTTATCTAGCGATGCAGCAGCCAAAAGGCGTCCATCCGGCGATAGAGCAACCGACGTCACGCCATCTGACGGGCCACCGCTTTCGTTGCCAAATATTTTCTTGCATTGGCCATTGCGAGCATCCCAAAGACGCACCTTACGGTCGCCTGATCCAGACACAATCAGGTCGTTGACATAGTCCAAAGAATAAATTTCAGACTCATGACCAGTCATGGCCGGGCCTTCTTCATTCGAAGCAATATCCCAAACGCGGATCGTATTTTGCGGCATACCTGCAACCAACTTCGTGCAATCTGGCGAGAAGCAAACAGCACGAACGTATGCATCGTCGGCTTCGTTAGCTGGAGCATTGGACTGAGATGTAGGCGTCTGTCCGTTGGAACCAGCTGGACGAGACACGAGAAATTTGCGGTCGCCAGTCTTCACATCAAAAACCTGCGCCGTCTTGTGGCAGCCCGAAGCCATCATAGTCCCGTCAGACGAGAAACGTACGCAGCATACAACACTCTGGTGATCCATGGACTGGTGCATCTCGGCAGCCGGGCGCTCCGACTCCTGATATGACATGCTCGTCTTGGACGAGTATACGCAGCTCCAATTGAGACGACTAGCTTTCGTATTCGAGCTCTTCTGCGTAGTGTTATTACCTGAAGCCGTGGACAATGGTATCGCTGAACTCGAACTGCTACGGCTTTCACCAGGCTCACCTTCGATCTTCGTAGTGTTGGAGCCCAGGCCTTGAGATTGGCTGCCGCTAGCGGCACTGGGACTAGAATTCGTGCTAGTGGATCCCTGCTCCCGCTTCATCTTAGAGACATGGGGCAGCATTCCACTAGAGGTAGAAGTACTGCTACCAGCGGAGCTGACGGTCGCCATTGCGCCCTTGCCATTGGCGTTAAGATTCGAAATGCCGGACTCTGACCCATTAAGTTTGGATTTCTTGAGAACCGGGGGTGAGCTAACTGAGCGATCTTTGCCGTTTACTTCGCTGTTAATGCTGGGCATGCGACGAGACGAAGGCGTCGTGTTCGCATTGTTCGTGTCTAATGGACTGAGTTGTGGGGGGTGGGTTGTTGTTGCCTCCCTGTTGCGAGGCAGGTGGAAGCTGAGGAGGCTGCTGACCAAGCTGCTGCAGACTGCGTGAGGCAGGCTGGACCGGCACTACGCGCACGGGTGAACTGCCACTTCCACGCTGCTGTTGATTGGTTGCAGCTCCGACACGGCCTGAAGACGTTGCAGCCGCCACAAGATTCGACATGAGAGAAGACGAGTCGTCTTGCGTGCTACTACTAGTTGGTGGGGCACGTGAACGCTTGGCTGGCAGCTTGGCGGTCACTTGCTGTTGCGGTGCCACCTGCTGCTGAGATACTTGACCCGTCTCGAGCTGCCGACGCATACGTAGCATATCCTCCTCATACTGCTGACGAATACGACGATGATTAGCCTCAAGTGCCTTAAGTGACTGCTGAATCTGATCCATCTCGACAACCTGCGACTGGATCTTGCGCTCAACCTCCAATTGTTCCATCTTGGCCATATTAAGCTGCTGAATCGCAGCTTCGTACTCGGCCTTCACCTGGTCTAACATCTCACCCACACGACTAGTAGCCGTTGTAGCCAATTGAGGTGGGGCACCAGGATTTCCCGATGATGGACCACGAAGTTGCTGTGTCTGTGACTGCTGGGGTGGTACTGCATTTGGATTCCCACCACGTCCACGAGCAGGTCCAGGAGCGGACGAAGTATACATGACTGATCAAACTATCAAGTGTCTCTACTATACAATTCATACAACCACAAGAACAAGACAACAAATGATTAGTAAGAGGACAAAAGCAGTTAATTACCACACAGTCTCCCTCTCCCTCTCTCTCTCTCTTGATTATATATTTATATATATATATATAATATTCCAATCTAGTAAACGCTATGTGCTTGTTCATTTGTAGTATAACGTGGTGCATAGTTTTAGATAGATATCAAGAGAGAGAGAGGAGATACGTGGTGTGTGGATAGAAGATAGAAGATAGAAGAGAGAAATGTAAATGTGTTTGCAAATGTCTGTACCTCTTTCGTCGAGCGAGAGAATAAAGACCTTTTTGTTCCTACAGTCTGTTTGCTTATATATATCATATGTATATATATAATAATTAGCTTGATAATACGATTCTTTTGCCTTTGGAGGTGGCTTTAAGAGTGCGAAGTAGTTTTTTTGAGCCGAAAAAAGAGAGGGGGGGGGCAAAGCGAGAGGGGGGGAGACTCGGCAAGAGTGATGGTCTTTGCAATTCAAATGGTGGATAGCGCGTTCGCGCTCAAAGCCAGACGACTTCCAGCGACGAGACAGTAGTTCGTGGACGGACACAATAGGGAGAGAGATCGGCACTTGGCAAGATCGACAAAATTACCGTGAAATACACACAGTGGTCAACACGATAGTCTTTTTCAGTGCCAAAATATCGAAGATATGTAGGGTGGTATTTGTTTGGTCATCCCTGGTGTTGTATACTTTTTTCAACATGTACTGTTCTTTATAGTGTCATTGCGTCTTGATAATGTTCATATCTAAATGAAAAAAGACGACATTTTTTTTGTCTGTGAAAACCTTGTATTGATCCATATAGTATACAGATAATCAAAGGAATCAAGTCTTGTGTCGTCTTTTACCACAAGATTAGAAAGAGGATATGTAGTACCAACTTATTTTCATTCATTGATCTCAAGTCGAGTCCAACGCTTTTCTATCCTTTCTTTTTTGCCTGAAGACAATACTTGTGCCAATGTCAGTAGAATAGTAAAACTGATGACATCCTGTCGTAAAGTGTGAGTACTGTTATGTCCAATTGAAACAATGGTGTTTGTCATTTCGTGCCTTCCTTGTAAACATGCGCATATGAAAGCGCAAGATTCGGTATTGTATCAAAAGACTTCCACACTGCTTGCTAATCTAAACGATACTCACAAAACGTACTTCGTCCTTCTCGAATCTCACTTGCTTGTCGCATACGTAGAATGTTTACTAACATTATTGGTTGCACAATGTGCAAAAGAATCGAAAAGTGGTGGTTTTATCCTACGACAATTTCTGGTTCATTTTGAAGCGTAACACGTTTTGCGTCTTGTACATATGGCTACAGTCTAGAACAGACTTGACGTTTTGTTAAAAGGATCGTACGTATATGACGTATTAAATAAATAAATCGTATGATCCTTGGACAGACTACACAGATGGTGGCATGGTATGTAGCCATATCTCGTCCGGTGACTATAGTAAGTCTTCTGCCCATCCTGTTTCGCTTTTCTCGCCGCGTGGCGTCTTAATTCGTAAAAAAGATCCCATTTGCTTCAGTGGCGGTAGTATGATCCGTACTAGTTGTACACATTTTTTTCCAAAACGAAACGGTCTGCCTTGTCTCTCTATGATCTTGTGTAAGTCGATATCATTGTAAAGAGGTATCTTGCTAACGGTACCAACAACTGTACAACAAAAACAATAAGGCCAGTCATCTTGGTATTCTTATACTAGACGTTTTCCTCATACAGCATTTCGATCGCTTCATAGTATTGGAAGTCATTGATTCTAGCAGGAAGTTTTAAGATGGTGCGATCACTTCCATTACGAAGTGGTTATTTTAAAACTCCAGATCTTTCGGAGAATGATGAAGCAGAATTATTAGCCTGGGGTCGTTCTCTTGTGCCTGATTTAGTACGTCAGCCTGAAGTTGAGTGGACAATGCTCTATGAACGTAAAGGAATGCAATTATGTGAAGATCGACAAAAGGGTGGACTTACATACTCAATTCGATCTGTAGCTACAGTCCGTGCGACTCTAGATGATGTGATGGATATTTTCTTAGCACAGAATACAATGGACTATCGATCACTCATGCAATTACAGCTACGTGAATTCTTTACAGATGCTGCCGTGTTATTTCATAAAGAACAGAATGATTCCGAAGCTCTAAGTATTAAATGGACAGCAGCAAGGACGAAAAAAAGTGTTGCCAGTCTTGGGGGACAAGTTGGACTTGATTTCTGTCTTCTTGAGTATACAGGTGTCATTTCAGCCGATATGGTAGACACTTGTGGACCGCAGAATAACGGACTGAATACGTCTACATCTTTTTCAAATAGTCGATCAACACCTGTGGGTGTGTGTCTCTATGAATCCATTGATCAGGCAGAGTGTCCGTCGCTATACGACTCGCACAGACTTGAGCGGGCTTCAGTATCTAAATGTGGCTTTATCTTTCGTCCTCACGTGGATGACGGAGTTGTGGAAGTTACATTTGTGTGCAGCATTCGACAACCGCCTGGAGTGCGTGCAAAACGACGCTGGAATCGTGCGCTGCTGGCACATTGGGCGCAGTCTGTGAGTGGTATTGAAGAGGCCATTAGTCGTCGACGCATCTCGAAGGAACTGACGAAACGACGAGTGCCCACGTGGGTAAACGATAAAGACCGCGCATGCTGCCATTTGTGTCTAAAGACGTTTACTAATACGCGACGTAAGCATCACTGTCGAGCGTGTGGAGAGATTATTTGTCGCGCTTGTAGTGTATACAAGAGTGTGGATTTGCAGTCTGTGGGGCTCACTACACTCCGAGTGTGTAAAGCTTGCATGGATGGTACGTCGGCTACTTTGGCCGGATACGAGAAGGAGGAGGCAAATCTAAAGGCTGCGGCAGCAGTGGCTGTTGCTGCCAAAAGTGTAACAGGTGACGGCGTTGCGTTGCCAGAAGGTGTAGACAACGCTATTCTGCGAGACGCGGTGGAGGAATACGCCTTGGCTCTTCCAGGTGCCCAAGTTTCCACGGTGCCGGATCTAGTTGGTATTGCATGGCTGCAGCAGTTGGCAACACGAGACCAAGAGAGCAAGGATATGGTAAATGCGTTAATGGAGCGACTTCGGATAGATTTTCAGGGGAAGGATGATGGCGGAACGACCGAGGAGCAGGTAGACATTTACGACACTCTTTGCGACCTAGCTGCGCAGACTTTGGCGTGCAAATATGCTGTCGTTAGTCTGGTAGACGAGAATCGCCAGTGGTTCAAGAGTGCTGTAAACGTTAAAGAGTCTGAGGTGCCGCGTGACTTTAGCTTTTGTGAATATCCAGTGCGTGATCAACGACCACTTGTGGTGATGGACACTTTGCGGGACCCACGATTCAAGACGAACCCGTTCGTCACTGGTCCACTCGGTGTGCGATTTTTAGCTGGAGCACCTCTTTTTACGGTGGACAATGAATGTGTTGGTGCAGTGTGTGTGCTGGACACGGCACCTCGTGAATCGCTGCAGGAGTCGCAGATCGCAACTATGCAGAATTTGGCACACCTGGCGATGGTTATGGTGCAGGAGCGACGAGAGGCTCAGAGTAAAGTTGCGCGTGCCATGGTATCATCTCAGTTGGTGCCGGCGCGTCAGAACGGTGGTCAAATTACTAATACTGCTGGATCCTCGGATCTCGTGCCACTCAGCAGCTACTCAGAGACGTCCATGGTCATACAGGGTCGGACACAGCAGAAGGAAGATCTGGCACTCAAGGAGCAGATGATTCAGTTGCTGCAGAAGGCATCACAGGTACGCGACCAGGTGAATTTGCAGACACACAAGCAGCAGGCAGGGCTCCAGAGCTCTGCCGAATAGACGGCCAGCCACGCATTATCACATCATAGAGCATTACCGGCTCTTTTTACGACGACGGCGCGACGTACACACAGGAACACTTAAAAGAGGGGGAGAATAGTTGAACTTATCCGCACAAATGATACATATGCACGAAACGTAACGTTTCCATAGCGTACAGCAAATGACTCATTGCAATGAACCGTCGTTGTCGTAGCAAGAAAGTGCTCATGTATCGCCAAATTGCAGGTCCTGCCGTGTACAATGGTCCAGGCGCGTCGCAGTAGTCAGATGCACCAAAGCACTAATTCACTGAACAAATGATTTTTATTACACGGTTCTTCTACCTGTAAGGTGTCAGCGTTCATGCTACGTCGTTGTAGCAGCCAAATAGGAGATAAAAAAACACACGTGCACCTTATACACGTTGCAGCAGTCGAAAAAAAAGACGTTAGAACACGGCGATATCGAACTAGCAACACCTTGAATTGTATCTATCCGTTCGTCTATCAGCAGATAACCCCACCGTTATTACGTCACTGGACGTCCTTCCATGACAATTTCAAAGAGCTCCTCCCTCCTCACGTCACGTACTCGAATCAACCGTCACACCTTGTCCAATGGACGATTAAATCCACCACGACGATTCATATATTGACGATACTCTCGTTTCGTATCCCGTCGTACTGTACCAACAGCTGGACCCTTGACATTTTCCTCAACATTTTTTCCTTTCGTCGAGTCAAAGTCTTCAAATCCCAAAAGTAGCTTCATCTGTTCTTCTTCACATAACTGAGACATGGCATTGGGTTTGTCATTCGGCTCAATTTTGGGTTCCTCAGCTCTATGTATCGACACAAAACATCGTACCATGGTCATTAATTTAGGTTTTCTGAGCAATATGAAGCCCAATATAAGAAAAAACACCAAACCTTTCCGTATCACTGGGTCTACATGACGTCGAGAGGACAGCAGTAGAACGTTTATGAGACTCAAGTATCGGTGATCGACTGCGGCTATAGGAACGTCGACGACGACGGCGCCGTTCAATACTGCGACTTCTACTTCTACCTCGGCTTCTACTGCGACTTCGATGGCTTCTACCACGGCTACGAGATGCTGATCGGGAAGGAGAGTGCGATGAAGACTTGGATCGAGGACGTCTGCGTCGATGGGATGAAGTATTACGGCGACGACGACGGCCTAAACTGTCTAGAGATCCACTTCGACTACGTGGCATTTGGAATAAGTGGTTTCGACTCAATATATGGTAAATTTGTGTAGTACTTACTATCGTGTTGACGTTTGTAGTAATTTGGAGGAATGGAGTCGTAGTCATTGATATCATGATATTCTAGAGTTTTTTTTTTATGTAGTATACTATTAGTTATGGCTGATACTACTACTAGCCAAGTTTTTTTGGGACAATATATGATCACGCATGAAACCTACATTGACGACGCCTTTCAAATTGTACTGAAACCACGTGCTGATTGTGAAACGTCTGAACGCGACAATTACCCAACGAAAGATGAGTTATTGTGGCATACGATCGTCGGACAGGAAACGACAGAAGAGAAAGTTGACTGTACAATGTATTAGTTAATTTTTGCTTCATCCACAGCACTTTCTTACATGTTGTATGTAACGTGACCTCGTGACCTGGCTTAAGCGCTTTTGTCACATGCATTGCAATATTGCTCGTAGCTCAGGTGGACAATAAAACTTATTCGTTTTTGCAAGTTATTTAGTCTTACAGTCGCAAAATGGGTGGTGGTGCTGGGTTGATTGTATCTATTATTTTTGGCAAACGCAATCTTTTCCATACAAGTTATGATAGAATAGTGCTGTTACAACGTGTCAAGGTCTGTTGTAACAGTATTAAACGGATCTGACAGGTAATATGATGTCAGAGGTGTCTGAAAACATGTAGGTTTTGGGATTTAAATGAGTATTAGATGCACGTTATCAAAAGTTGACGCATATTTAGTGTGAATGACGTAAAAGTTCTCATCGAGTATCCTTGTAACACTTTGATGAGTCTGTGCATGAGGTTGTTAGAAAAAATGCTCGTATCTTTTCTTTATTCAAAAGCTGGTACAATGCTGAGGCCACCAGAACGCTTACTCACGCAATCATTATATCGTGGCGGACACTGTGCCGACCAGGATTTTTGTCAATACTTTATCGGATGCGAAGCTTGATGCAACGCCAATTGGCACAAGACTACCATTTACTTCATCACCATGCATAAAGCATAGCAGCTGTGAAATGTTTTGTGGTTGTTCGCGACTAGTATAGCTGAAATCTATTCACTTGCATCATTACAGCAGAAGCTTCCTGGTCTGTGGCTGCATTGTTTATCGTTATCAGTATGTTGCAATGGATATGATCGAGTGGATAGTCATGTAGCCTATCCTGAAACGCTGATGAAGATTTTGGTGGATGTTGACTCGCTGTCACATCTTAAGATCAGCCGTTTCAGATTCGAGAGGACCTTATTAAAGGTGGACGTTACTGAACCTTGCATGTGTTTTATAAGATAGATAGGTCATGTCAACTCGTGGCTTGTCATTTGTCTTTTCCTTTAATTAATTGTATGTTCTTTCTGAATAGTCAGGCTGTTCAATGTTTGCTAATCTAGAGAAAGGCAATTGGTAAAGGACTATTCGTGATGCAACCTCCTATTGTATAAGTGTGTATGAGCAGTTGAAAGCAAATCTTGCACGTTTTGTCGAAACAAATCTGCATTTGCACTGGCTGGGCTGGAAAAATATAAGCAATGCATGAGTCAGTTTTTCTCCGATCGTCTGGTCCTAGCATGGTGCAGGTAGTCTCGCAATTAGGGTCCGTTGTTGTCAGCACGGACTTAGTTGCTCGTCAGTATCAGCGAGTACACATGTAAACAAGTCGGTGGTACCGCTTGAGACGATTTGAATTGCAACGTCATCTGTTCGGTATTTCAGCTTCAATGGTGGCTTCAACTAAAATCAGGCGGCTTCTTCGTTTGACCAGCTAATTCAGCAAATAACTTAAGCAAAACAAGTACACTAAAGTAGGATCATTGCCGTTGAAAAACAAAGAGGTTCTATCTATGATTATTGGTAGTAATGTCGTCTTATATACTTTGATGAGCGATATATTGTCAACGGAAGGTACTAACGCATGTTTTAATATGTGACGAAATAAATAGGACAAAAGCCAAAAGACGTACAGAAACGCGACCGCATCAATGTTGTAAACTGCCCTCTAACGCATGATCGTATGCGACATGATAATTATGACGATACATGGACGGCAAAGAAATGTCGACCACGAAAAAACAATGTGACACGATAGTGACAAAAGTTAACGCCTATTGACTATAACTATTGTCGGCAAGATATTCAGCTAGTGCTCAAGAGCTCAACTCGATTGCGACAGGATTCACAATGAGTGACTACTAGAGAAGAAAACAATCGGAACCAAGTGACCTTTGTCCTTTGCTTTATAAAAGTCAAATACTCATAAAGTGAGCTTGTAAATCTTATCATCATCGTAACTCCAAGTGAATAACAGATGTAGGATAATTACTTCCACTTGATGTTTGTATGCATATTGTCCTATTAGGATCATGTCATCGTCAAGATATGATTTTGCTCTAATTAATTGAAGCAGTATAAACGTATTGTTTGAAGACATTGGTTTATGAACAGGGCAGAAGAACCACGTTCTTCTATCTATTACTACATGCAAGCCACAAATATCCTTTCCTCAGGCGCTAAGAAAGGCGAAAATTGAGGTACGATGACTTGGGATGTATATTAAGATTGTCTACGACAAATTTTTAGGATAGGAGATCCTAGGACGACTGGCTCTTCAGCTTTGACACGCGACAATTAAGACTCGACACTTTTCAATCAGCAAGACCCCACACACACAAACATTAAGACATCTCAATGAAGTTTACACTTCCAAAGGATGTATTTCCTACTTTAATCCTATCTCAAGATGTTCAGAATGCATTAATCAATGAAGCCGATACTGTTGTGAAAGAGATTGTTGTTGCAGGTGAAGCTTATATTAGAGAAGGTTCAAAATTAGAACACTCGTATTGGAAACATGTGCGTACAAAAGAAGGATTACGAGTCTTTCGTCAACGGAAAAGTACCATTAATCAAAGAAGTTTGGGTTCATGTTCACCTGTTATTCAAAGCCCATCATGGACACTGGATCCTTCATTATTAAGATATGGTGCTTCTCATAGTAGTGACAGGCAAATGTCAGTATCGACAAATTCTGGAATTTGTGAAGATAGTATCATGGAAAGGATGAGACCACGTGGTGTTTCGCTCATGGCATTACATGGAACAATAGATGGTACATTGGATGACTGTATGCTTGGATGTTTTACTCCTACCAATGAAGCATGGATGTTACGAAGCTCACATATTAATGATCGACTTGATGATGCCCGGATTTTAGCAACCATTCGAGGAGCTACTCGTCAAGATCCCTGTCGCTTTCTTGGCGTCAAATGGTTTGCCAAGGAACATCCAGTTATACTGACGGGTATTGTGCAGCAACGAGATTTTCTCATTCTGGAATCATCGGGCTTCACACGCGACTCAAAGGGTGAACGACTTGGGTACTTTCTCGTGCATTCCGTGACACTGCGTGAAATTCCAGAGCTTTCACACTTGGGCATTGTTCGTGGATTAATGAGCTTTTGCTATTTGTTTCGCCAGGGCGGACCTGGTAAAGTCGACGTCTTTTGTCGTGGGTTCTTTGACTCTCGTGGTGGAGTGCCAAATCGGCTATCGGTTGCAATTGCTGCCGATGCTGCAATCTGTTGTGCGAATGTTGTGGACTTGGCTTACATCAAGAAACTTCGATACCTTGTAAATAAGAACGCACACAAACATATCACAAGTCATTCTGACAAGACTCGGCCTCGTCGATGCCAAGCTTGTGACAAAAGCTTGACAAAGTTTTTGCTTCCTGTCTCGGAAATGGGTACGACCTGTCAGATATGCCACCATTTCATCTGTACAAAGTGCAGTGTGGCCAAGAAAATTACTGTGGACGTGTCAGACACTGGCGCAGTTCAGCAGTGTTTTTTTCACTTTTGCGTCAGCTGTTTGATGAAAGCAAAGCAATATTCTAGTTGGGAAATGGCAGTGAATGACTTTGAGGCATTGTCAAAATCTTTGACTGCTTCATGTTCATCCTCAGCGTCTGGGCTACCTCCAACACCTCAGACAGTCACTTACACGCGTAGTGGCAGATCTTATTCGACATGTTCTGGCACTCGTTGCGGCCAGTGACAAAAGGTTGTTATTAACGTCATGCTTGACAAGTTCACAGCAGAAATAAGTGAGACGGGTTAGTCGCGACTAAACTATCCATCACAATGCCGTTTTTGCCTTCCTGAACGGCGTTCCAGAGGAAATAACCATAACATGGTTCTAATTTAGCAGGACGAATGAAGTTCCGTTTAACGTCTAAGTACCATCGCCTTCCCTCCATTTTTCTTAAACGTTCGTACCAAAAGTTCAACTGCTAACAACTGACGACCAACATCGATCGTTGAGCGTATATCCCAAACCAATGATACATGTGGTGATAGGATGCAACGACAACCACAGCCACAGCACGTTGTGACACACATATCGCGTAAGTTTGACCTGGTGCCAGACCCGCATTTTGCTAGCCCTTGAACGCTCACCAAGTGATTTGATAGAGACTACAGCGTATACAGATTAGTACAGACCCGTGGCTTTGCTAATACTATCTTTACATATTCGATCGATATGGGCGGTACATGCCGTTGACTCGATCAAAACTACATCAGCAATCTCAATGCTGCGATCAACGACTCTGGTGTTCATCCTCGAGGGACACGAATAACAATGTTCTGACACGACACGATGCATCGATCCTTTGCTTTGCTACCATACGTCTAGAGGTTTTCAACTAGTGATACAAAAACGTCAGTAGAACACTATCCATACCACTGAAATGTTGTCATACATCGTTTTGCCATTAAGAAGCCCAGCACTCTACACTATATCGTTCTTGTAGCAACAAACGCTTCATCATCTTGTTGATACTTGTGTCACCACTTCCTGAATCTTTGTATCGCGTAGCTAACATCATAAGGCGTGCATCTGTCTAGCATTGATCCCTGCATGTGGCAAATCATATTCTATCTATGAAATAGCTAACGACCTCATGCAAACAGTAAAAGTCTGTGCATTGCGAGAAACTGGTGTTCAAAAGCGTCAATTCATTCATGCAGTCAAGTTGATCCACACATTCAGAGTCTCTCTCGATTCTCAATGAAAAGGTTATCCGTTCCACACCCACCCACAATGCATACAAGTACTCTTCTAGTCAACAACGTAAGAGAGCAAACGAATGCGAGAAGATGAACAGACTGTTGATTTCAACTTTATGAGTAACAAGATGCCCTAAGTCAAGCAAACACCGCCAGGAACAAGGTAGGTTTGAAGCCTGTTTCGTCACAAGAAACGCTCTCCTGATGATGTCCCTTGATGCTGTTTGGCATCATACGTGCCCATTGTGATACCGTAGAGGCTGTTCAAGCAGCCCGTTGAAGCCAAAGTGTGCGGTCGACAGCTGAGTAACATCCCCTAGTCTGCCTGCCACCTGCTCAACCGGTAGCCGCGCGAGAGGCATGCTCGAGACACAATCCATCCACTTTGGCTCCAGCGCGAGAGAGAATCCTCGCCAAAATGGGGCTAAGACGTAGAGTAGCTTGAGCTTGACTGCAACAATTACAGAATGGTATTCACTAAGTATAGCACATAGCAAGCTCTTTTCTCATCGGCATTACGATTCAAGATGCTTGCTTACTAGCAGTAAGACTGACGCAAAACCTAGTCGCTAGGTAACATGTTGGCACTCGTACTACTGACACAAGCACGATGGATTCTTTGCTCAATAAATGGTCATAAATGACCTCATACGATAATTTCGAGTTGATCTGCATCCATCACACGAAACACGATTTCACTCAATGAAACGACGAAACCTAACCACTAACTACACCTATCAATCAAACCCTCCAAAGCGCGAGTAGACAAAGATCTCTGGTGGCTACATACAAACCTACTACATCCATTAATTCAATCGCAAGAAATTTAACGTCACAAGTGCGTCAGTCTTGTCGACAGAACAACCATGCACGAAAATCCAGCACAGGGTCTAGTATCGAAACAAACGTCTGGAATAAAGACAGAGAGGTAGAGTGTGTGTGTGAGATACATGTACTCGTGTGCCAACGTGATAGGTCAGTCGAAAGGTTCTAGCGTATTTATAACCACCACGTGTCTCGACTCTTGTCAGAAAATTTTATACTTCTCTCCTTTTGCCATCATGTTGTCGTCGGTTTCGCTGACTATATTCTTGGTTTGGACGGCTGTTTCGTTGAATTTTGTTTGTAGTGTTGAAATATTCCTTCACTTGTCAAAAGCTTTGGAGTCCCATAGAGTAATCCATATTTGAGAGAAAAGGAGATTCCAATGAAGGTGATTCAGGTTATGATGCTCACTGCTACTGCATTTGCGACGACTACGAATGTATTAGGTGCTACTATCACTACTACTAATTCGACTGATTCGGCTCTACTTGGAGTATCCAATGAAAGTATCTCTCCATCTCGTTCTTCGGAGACTATAATGTCATTAGACTCCACTGTTGACTCTTCAACCGTGGTGACTCTTCAACCGTCGACTCTTCAACCGTCGACTCGACATTGGCTACACTAACCACTACGTCGGACTTGGCAACGTCCAGCGATTTCGCCAGTGATTCCGCCAGCGCTTCTGCTTCTGGTTCAGGCTCGTTGGAAGAGGTAGGAGACGAGGTGGGAGACGAGATAGAAAAACAAGTCACACCACCGGTCACAAAGAAGCCCGATGTGGGGCCCACTGGAAGCGGAGGAGGTGCTATTCCACCTCGTTCCGGCTCGCCGCTGCCCAGTTCGTCGGACGCAATGCCACAGGTGACAAGTACTATGAGCTCAATTGGAGTGGTCATTTTTGCTCTTGGTGCTTCCTTCTTCTTGTAAGAGAAGGAGCAATGTCCACGGATCTACGTCATTGTTAGCATTGAAGCATTCGAATACTAGTGTAGATGAAGTAGCTAAAGTTTAGGCCCACGTATCATTAACACGTATTTGCTTTTTGCCTTTGATGAAGCTATTGTGCCTGGATTCGTTTGGAAGCCGAGTCATAAGAAGAAGATAATAAAAAGTGGCAAGACACCAGAAGGCGGCTGTACTTAGTGTTCAAGCCACGTAAGTACGCCAAAATCTAAGACCAGCACAGGACGTGGTGGATGTGTCTCATAGGATGCTATCGTGAAGAAAAGCAGACGTGTTCTTGCTCGTGAGTTGCTGAGAACTTGGCTGCAAAAGCCAAGAAATACTACAAAGTGATATGGTCCTTATGTACTCCAGCGACGTGAGCATCTTGTATCTCCACGTAAAAGCAGTTGTTTTCCCCACACAACAACCAAAGTTGAAAGCAAACGCAGCTTTTGTAGTTGTCTTTGTAGGTTGAGTTTGATCATCCAAGTCGTTCTCTTTTTCCTCAACATCCTCATCGCAGCTTTCCTCACTGGGATCTGTCTCGTTATCCTGCGCAGCAGACTTTGACTTTACAAGCGCATTCCAGTTACTCTTTGTAGCCACAACAGCATCATCAAGGTTCGGCTCGCGCAGTTCACGATAGAAAGCGTCGCTTTTGAACATGCGATCATACGCCGTGCTAGACGTGGGGTCTTTCAAAAACACTAGCCGTGCTGCGTGCTCAGCAGCATGACCTATTGCGTCTTGCTGCGCACAAGTGGACGAGCAATACACATTCGTCTTACAGACAACGCATTGACGCAGTGGCTCCCCCTCAGCGACGGCAACTGCAAGTGTTTTGTCACAATGGAAACAGCTCATTGCGTGCCAGGCTATGGGCTTGATGTCCTTGGATTTGCGACGCCATACCGTCAGTCCGTACGCCGAGTTGCCCCAATTGGGCAGCGTAATATCCTCCACTAACACAAAACGGCGCTGGAGTTCCCTTTCAAAACGACTGTCACCTGTATCACCCTGCCATTCGCCAACATGCAAAATCACGTCGCCCTGAAACAACTGGACGCTGCGAACAGCCATCGCATCATCTGGTGGCGGGTAGCACAGAAACAAATTACGCCCTGCCATATCCTTCTGGCTGAGTACTTCAGGACCACCACGCCCAACAGAGCAAAAGGGAGGAACACGGCCATGGTAGGCATTTTGTTCCACACCCTCAGCGCTCGGTGGAGCCTTGTCATAAGCAACGACGTCAACGGCAGCACGTTGCAGGAGTGAGCTCCAGTAGCCAGTACCAGCGCCGACTTCAACTATTGGCGTGTACTTTGCCATCACATCCAGCGCCTCATGCGTAGGAGTAGCGTATGCATACAAGTGGCAGCACCAATCGCGGCAATTGTTGCGCCACTCCATCAGCAGCGGGTAACTAGGCATCTCCACTAGAGCTGACGATGACGTTCCCTCTGCTTCACCTCCTGTACGAGAACTGTTATTTCTCTCACGACGATAATGCTTCTTCTGCGGTTTCTTACTGCTCTTGATTCTTTTACTCGCAGCTAAACCATTGCCCTTTGGCGCCGCGACAACAGCATCCATCTCGCCATTCATACCAACGCCTTCTTTGTAAAAGAGCCGCACGCCTTCACGCAGACGTGAGTGATAAATGGCTAGCAGAGGATTGTCTCGTTCGTGCTGTGCTGCGCGACGACGCTCACGTTCAAGTTCGTCAGGTGACGTTGACGTCGCAACTGGAAGGGCTAGTGATTGAATTAGTCGAGCCGGCACATCTGAGCCAGACAGCTCACGGTTCACAAATATCTCTAATTGACACATACTATCTGGAGTAAATTGGTCCAGATCCTTCAAAAACACTTCTGGTGGAGGAACTGCACCACATGCACGTCCATACAATACGAGAGAAGCATAGTATATGTGGAAATACATTCGATCATACACGCATGCTAATGCGATCGCCAGGCAATCCCGCGATGCTGTTTCCATCGCTTGTTGCGCCTTTCGTAGCTGTGTCTGTAAATCTGATACAAGTTGTCTCTCATGGTGTAATTCCTTGACTGACTTTTGTCCATTCTGCGTACCTCCAGTAGAAAACTGTCGTTTAAAATGCAGCAACACTATTTCCAGTCGTTTCACAGCAGACGTGGTCCAGACAAGACTTTGTAAAACACTTGCTCCAATTCTTCCAAGACGAATGATTTGATACAGCATTTGCAATAGTCTTTGACCTCCACTAGGTATGGCAGCAGCATCATCCACATCTTCTCGTAGCACGATACAATGCTGTAGAACACCGTGTTGACACCTGAGACAGTGAGCATTTTCAATCACGTCCGTCCTGTGCTTTTCAATGTCATCTATACTTTCTTTTAAGCCCAATGATTTTGATCCATTGCTACATGAACAGCCAGGGACATTACAAGCTCTCAAAGCACAAGTATCTGGTAATACAAGAGCCAAACGCTTTAGCACGAGTTCATGAGCGTCCATCTCGTCCTTCGATACATTTCCATTGGTCGTGATACAATCCAGTAGCTTAAAACGAGCCAAAGCTGGATTCAAAGAGTGCTCGCTAACTGTTTGAATGCTCGTCAAACGGTCAAAAACCTGTCGTCGTCTTGTTTTTTTCGTTTGTTTGCGTTGTTGCACACGAGTCGCCACATCTACGTCTACATCCAGACCATATTCAGCTGCTAATGCCGCCATTTCATCTTCAATAAAAGCAATTTCATTGGCTTGAAAACTCAAGTGACCAGCCTTACGCTTTCGCGAATTGGTCATCTTGCTCTTCTTGACCATAATATTGCCACTATTGAATTGCACGACAACCATGGTGTTGAATTGGTACCATATTGCTGGTACACTCCATATATTGGCAATGGTCAATAGACCATGTTTGCAAAGAAACGCCATTACATCGACGTGGTCCAATACTCAGTTGTCATTGGCGGAAATGTTGTGACTAATTGATGTAATGTACACACAACCATCGCATCGCGTCTCAATTCAAGAGCTCCAAGTCGCCGGAGAAGCCTTGGAAGAGAAGAAATGCGAGTCCAACAAGTGGTGACAACACCATTCATTGACTCGGATCCAAACCGTCTTGTATCTACTGAAGAAGAACTGCTTCGTTTAGCACCATTACCTCATGAACGTGTTGTCTATTGGGGATCTGGTAGTCCTCAAGGTGAGAAATTGTGTTGAGGTCTTGACATCAATTTGGTGATGTTTCTAACTCTGTTTGACGTGTTGTTACACTGACCACCTTCCTTCCTTCTTCTTCTTCATGTTCTTGTAGCATGGCGTATTCTTATTGCACTAGAGGAGAAGAAACTTCCATACCGAAGTGTCTGTGTTAGTTTTTCCAGTGGTGTGCTCAAATCATCGTTCTTTCGTACGCTTAATCCACGAATGCGTATTCCTGTTCTAGTGGAACCAGTCGAGTTACAGTCCGACAAATCCAATGATGATCATCAACATGAAGTTCTGGAAACATTACCACCCAAAAGCAGAGTAGCAGAGGCAGCGATGGGTATTTCTCGACTCATGACGCAGCAGTCTTTGTCACAGTATCGCACAATCGTGTACGAGTCATGCGCAATCTTGGAATATCTAGAGAAAAAATACTACACAGCACCTTGTATGCCAGTATCAACAGCTCTCTATGCAGTCGCACAGTCACGTCTGCATGAAGCAAATGAGATATTGTCGGTTGTTGGTGACTTGGTAGTATATTTGCGTCGGTTTCCACACGAAAAGCGGAATCCAGTGGTGGTAAATGCCAAATGGGCAGTAGTTGAAGGTGAATTGAGTCTCTGGGAAGCCTATTTGGATGGACATCAGTTCCTCGTCGACTCGAATGTGCCGTATTTATGCGATTTCACGCTTTTTACGAATATCGCATATGCTGTCCGATGTGGTTTGCAACTTGATGGCCTCTATCCACGTCTAGCAATGTTCTACGTGCGCATGTGTGCACGTGGATCGATTGACACGACGTGGCCACCACACTGGCGAACAACCTTTGGCTCAAAAGTCCTTACCAAAACATGTGGTCATTGTGGAGGAAGAGCTGATCAACCTTGTGTTTGTAAAGAGCAGCCAGTGGCGTTGACATCCGTTCCTTTCATTCCTCACTAGTCCTTGTAATTGATTGACGATCATGGGACACTAGCGCGTCATATTGAAGCCAACGTTACCTACGAAACATAACGTTAATCAGACACAACAGTGGTTGCAGAGTAGCGTAACTTGACAACGAATGCAAACAATACAGATTTGTTCAGTCCATTTCTATCATTTTTGTCCATACTTTGCACTGTTTTCTCTGATGCGTCGTTGATAATGGACCTTCTTATAGCATTATGGATGCATATCGTGTCCTACGTAAGCTACAGCTCCTCTTTGATGCATTAGTTTCGTACCTACAAGCTGCAAAACACTCTACTTTCCTTTGTAAGCATTCGTATACATTGATTTCATACTAAATGATGCAAAGAGCAAATAGCTGTCACCAGGCATTATTAATTCTATACGAGCAACTTAATCACTTCAACTTCAACTTCGACCGTTCCTAAACATCATAACTTCAATTTACCATATTTAATGTCTACCACACAATATAACTTCCCTACCAGGTAACACTCTCTACACACTAAAAACATGGCCAATATGCTGACTTTAGAAGCTGAACCAGGGTTTGAGACTGCTTTAAGTCTCATTCCTCCTGCACCACGTGCAATGGAAGATAATGTAGAACCAGTGTCTAACGATAGAGAAAAGAATGTAGATGAGACTGAACTTAAAATATCCGAGAAAAAGACACTTGTAGACCTTGCACAGGACGTTTCCAACTGGACATTGCACTCGGATCACGATCTCCACGCGTTTCTCAAGCGATATTCATCGGAATTATTCACACGGACAAAGGACTTGGAAAATAGTGTACGAGACATTGCAGCCGATGCAGATTCCGCTCAAGTTCGTCTTAAGAATACGTTTAATCAGTTTTTAATGCTGTCAAACAATCAGTTTATTGAAAATCGCGTCTACGATGAAGAACAGGAAGATTTCTTTCATCTAGAGAGCAGCAATAGTAACAGTAACAGCAATAATGTAGCGACTGTGGAGAAGGAGATGGACAAGAAGAAAAACGAGCAGGAGACGACGGCAGAAGTGATGGAAGGACCGAGTGGGACGAGTCATGGATCAACATCCGTAACGACGTTAACGACGTCACCATCGACGACGTTGGAGAAGGAAGGAGATACAAAAGCTGCAGCAGAGTCGATTGTAACAAAGTATCGATCGGCTTTGGAGATGGGGATGGAAGCTATGAAACTTTTTGTCATGATGGATGAAGACGATAAGGATGATACAAATGACACGACGTTGTCGCAGTTTGATACGGTGCTGGATATTTATAATGAACGTCCATTGCCATTTGTTATTGGTACCAGAGAATTCTTGGAAGATGAAACACTTGGATTAGGTGCAGCACCTGAGGAAGAGGAGTCGGATAGTGACAGTAGTTCGAGCTATACATCGTCCTATAGTAGTTCAGACTCGGGGTCGGATTCTAAATCGGACTCGGAATCATTGTCCAATGCGTCGCAAAAATCAAGTAATAGACGAGCGTCGCATTCGCGCTCACGCTATCGATCGAGCTCGGAAGAGCCGGATGAAGCGTTAGGTGCCGAGCAATCGACTAGACGACGTGCGAATTCTGATGAGAGTGACACGAGTGGGTTATTTGGTCGTCCGCCTATGAGTGAACCTTCTCGACGACGTGCGGACTCCGATGAAAGCGATACAAGCGGACTCTTTGGTCGCCCGTCTGCAGCTGCATCGGCTATACCGCAGCTGAAAGCTTCATTGTCGCGTAGTTCCCTCCGACGCCCTGTGTTTGATGATGACAAGAAAGAGAGCAATAACAGTGACTGGACGAGTGACAGTGATGATGATGGCAAGAAGATGCCGATGCGCAAGCAGAGCACGGCGAGCCGCCGCGGTCATGAAGCACCACCTCCTTTTGCTGTTCCCGTATCTGCAAGAAAGAACCAATATCTGGATAGCTCAGACGAAGAGAGCGATGCTGGCCTATTTGGATTGGCTCCTACAAGCAAGCCGCGGGTGTTTGCCACCGATGAGGCAGAGGCATTAAGTCAGCGTAACACTTCAAAACAGCCGAATACACGACGATCTGATTCGTTTGATTCGTCATCTTCAGACGAGGACAAAGGAATGTTTGGAGCAAGCGTGGAAAAGAAAGCTCCGACAGCCGAAGTTCCACGGCAGAGGTTTCGTTTACCGCCTATGGATGCGACAACATCAAGACGGACGAGTGAGTTGGAGTCGAAGCAGAGCATTTTGTCAAGTGATAGTGATGCAGAATCTACGACGAGTGGCCTTTTTGGACGACCGTCCGGTGCTGTACGAGACAAGAAGAAGAATCCTGCCAATCATTCTGTATTTCCAGCATCACAGCAATCTCGGCATCTTGATTTTTTTGACGACAGTAGTGATGACGATGATGATGGTGGACTATTTGGTGCTGCACCAGCGATACCGAGTACACCAGTTGTGCAGCCTGTGGTATCTACCCCACGGCGCTCTACGTATTCTAATAGCAGCAGTGACGATGACGGAAATGGTGGGGATTTATTTGGTGCTACCCCTACATCTGCTCGTGGGACGACAGCAGCTCCTTCAGTATCAGCTTCTCGTTTAAAACCGGTACAACGTGCACCTCAAAGCGGCCTATTTGGTGAGAGTGATAGTGATGACAGTGACGATAGCGATATCAGTGAAGATAGTGATGGTGGCGGCCCATTTGGTGCAAAAAAGGCAGTCACCAAAGCTGCTCCACCAGTGGCTGCTTCGAGGCCATCACTTACCGTTAAACAGAATGCCAGTGACAGCGACAACGGTGAAGGCTTTAGACTTCCGCAGGCAACCAAGTCTAACGCTACCACGCCGATCGCAGCCGTGCCAACACAGACCCGACAATCACGTGTGCTTAGTGACTCCAGTGACTCAGACAAAGGTGGTTTGTTTGGAGCACCACCCTCGCAATCTGCCCCGGTGTCATCGCCAATGCCAGCTCCTATTTCAGCACCGATAGCTGCGACGACTGCCTCTGTGCCACCTGCTAACCCTTTCGTTCATCCGCAAGATTCCTCCGATGACGATAGTGATGATTGGAGCGATGATGATGACGGTGGCCTGTTTGGTATGGCAACGTCAAAGCCAATCCCTGCAAAACCAGCAGCAGCAGCTCCAGTACCAGCCACACGTAGGGCCCCTGATTCTGCTCCAACGCAAGTTGTGGCTCCAACGGAATCGCCGGCAGGCATTTCTGTACACCCACCAATTCTCAGTGCTGCTGCTCGACTGCGTGCCGCTGAGTCCTCCTCGGATTCCGATTCTGATTCTGACTGGGATGGTGGGCTCTTTGGGCCTTCAAAGAAGTAATCACATACGAGCTGGAAGCAGTAGACGAAAATGCATATTGAATTCTGTGGCTGAAGAAAAAAACTTGCAGTATTTTGACTGGTTGGATCAATTTGTAGAGATTGTCGCTGCTCACTTGCTTGAGCCCCGCTGTTGTATGATAGCTGCGGCGTCATAATGACTTGCACTTTTTGCCTGGAAGATTTCGTTTCAAACATGAGGTTGCCTCAACCAAACAATACTAAGCGATCAAAGCACACGAACACATCATTGGGCTGATGTGTGTCCCTAATCAATAGTACAATTCATCGAAACCTGAAGATGGATGTCACGCAAGCGCAGTGAGCATACCTGTTGGTACCAGGCCGTGTACGAGGCACACGGATCAAAACCCGGGACTCATTGCAATGATTCTGACAACCAAGGCTTGATATAGTGGAGGGCAATGCACTGGTCGCGACGCACATGGACGCTTATTTGAGGTATGGTGAGGGGCGGAGGACACTGGGCGTCTTTTATCAAGAGGAGATGGCCTTGACAAAAGACCAGCACCCCAGGCATACTTTACTGATTCACTCGATGAATGAGATGATTGGAAGTCGTGGAAGCGCGGCATTATTGCTGTCTTCTATTGGACAAACTTTGCCTCCATCAGCGACTCGAGATGATGAGGTGCTGCAACTTTTTGGACTGTTCTGAAAGCTCTACAGGATTGACTTGGTCATGGCAATTTTCGCGTGCTAGATGTCGTCGTCACGGAGAAGAAGAGTCTTTGGATTGATCGTGTTGAGTGAGGAAAGCGGGTTCTATTTTGAAGCAAATGGATGATGCTGAAGCTCTCGCGCGGTCCAGATCTTCGTGCCTCTCGATCCTTTTTGCTGAACCGAACACTGTAGCAGTTGATTGACAACTATGGCGAAAGCGCTGCGCAATCATTTGGCCCAACAAGTCTGTCAAAGAGTAGCATCCGTCAACCGAGCTGCAGTTTCTCAAGCCGTACATTCAATCCAATGGTTTTCATTCACACACCAACATGGAGCATGCCTATCGCGCCACACGACGACTGATCGATATTGCGTGCCTGCAAACTAACAGGACTGCCGTAGCCGACATCATATAAACACGTCTTGTCCCTGGCGCTTTTGATGATCGTCATTCCTTCCAATCCATCGCATCTAGCTGTATTAACGGGTTGAGTCCTTCTACACGCTTAGTGTCGCAGTTTGCTCGGCCTTGTTTTGTTGTCGTCGTCATAAGCCGACGTCAAGTATCTGCGGCATATTTGACTACTATCCTACCTACCAACCCACACTACAATGATATCTCGTGGAATCTTTGAATGCACCGTCTTCACGAAGCAAAGAGGGATAAGAAATCGCATAGCTCCAGGTCATTGCTGGATTTCAGCATCATTTGCCTAGGGTGCATTGAGTCCTAGATTCTTTCAGACGGCAATTGTTCCATTAACTGTCTAATCTCCACGCACAAATCAATGTCAAATTGAGCCCTTGAAGCCACTGGCATATCAACAAGTGACGTGACAAATTGTCAACGCCTCATGCCACCACCCTTGACACGTACTCAAGCGAAAATGAAGATGTACACTGCTACCTGAAGACTCCTGCTGGTGCTGAAGACTGCTGATCACTGAATATCAAATCGAGAAAGCTTCTTAGACACACATTCAATGCTACCTCTTTGTCTCATGATCTGGCTCAGGCTACCATTGATAGTGAGATAGGATCTGCTTGAGTATCAGACGTGGCTTCAAGGTATCACAACTAGCGTTTGTTGCGACCACCCTGTATCCAGAACGGTGTCAAGAGCAGCGACGTGGTCTTGCGATGTCGGGTATAGCAATGGCATGGCTGGATCAATTGACAGATTTGCGTACATGACGATAGTCAAGACCAAGCGTAGCACGACTTTTTCTGTCGTCTAGAATGGGACATCTTTTTCGGAGTGTTCGCGTGCTAATTGTGCTTTCGTCTTCGGCTCAATTTCCAATTCGCCTTGTTCTCCGTACACGAGCTACCGTTCATTCATACCGTTTTGCGTTCGTGGATGTTGGTCCTGCTTCGCCTCACACTATTGATACTAGTCACTGCATTGGCATCCTCCAAGACGGATGCAACCAACTCGTACCCGATCATTCTGGTTAACGGCTTCAGCGGTTGGGGTCGCGATGAATTACTGGGATTCCGATACTGGGGTGGCATTCAAGGAGACTTTCAAAATGAACTGATAGCTGCTGGCTACACAGTTTATACAGCATCGGTGGGACCATTTTCCAGTAATTGGGACCGTGCCTGCGAGCTATACGCTATCATCAAAGGTGGTCATGTCGACTATGGTCAAAATCACTCGGCGACTCACAAGCATCTTCGCTTCGGACGCCATCATACGGGACTATACCCGAAATGGGGCACGACCAACTTTGATGGTTCAATTAACAAGGTTCACCTTGTCGGGCATAGTATGGGTGGTCAGACCATTCGAATGCTAACTCAATTGCTCAACTACGGCTCCAAGGGTGCACCAATCGAAGAAGCTCCATCATCGCACCCTCTTTTCATGGGAGGAAAGAACTGGGTGCATTCAATCACGACCATCTCGTCGCCCAACCAGGGAACTACTTTAGCCGACGCTGTCTCTTCAATTGGAAATTTTGTCAAGGACTTGCTCGTAGATTTGCTCAGTGTACTTGGCATTCTTAAAGATAGTACCAAGATGATTTACGATGCGAAATTGGATCAGTGGGGTATCACTACCAAACAAGCAGGTGAAACTCTACTAGCATACCTCGATCGTGTTTTCTCTAGTAGTGTCTTTGATTCAAGCATTCAAGACACGTGTCTCTGGAGTTTATCAATGCGTGGAGCAAAGGAGGAAGCGACGTGGGTCAAGACATTACGTGACGTCTATTACTACAGCTACGCTACCATTGATACGCATAATACGAAAGACTTGTTCTTTCGGCAAGTTTCGTTGCCCAATCTATTGACCATGTTGTTACCTCTCGACCCATTTGCAGTCTTTCTCGGTGGACGGTATGCACCTGACAAACTCAACCTCTCGACCGATTGGCAACCCAATGATGGTCTCGTCAACACGATTTCAATGGGTTCCGATGGTATTGCAAGTACTGTAACCTTCAATGGTTCTTCACAACTGGGTACGTGGCACAAGATGCCACAGTTGGATCGACTCGATCATCTCGATGTGATTGGCATTACACTCCATACGCAAGTGTTAGATTTGTACAAAGGTCATGCTGCGCTATTAGCGTCTTTACCAACGAGTTTCAGTGCACGGCGACTACAAGATTCCATCGTGGCAGTGAATAAACTGAATACGGCCATTGTGGAATTAACTGGAGCGACAGTCAACATGAAGACGAAAAGTGACTTGACACTCTTGTGCCAAACCGCAAAGAATCTCTATGCTCAAAATTATTGCTCAAGTATGCTCCAAGCCGCATCATGGCTTCATCTACGAAGATAAAATTTTTATTCATATAATATCATGGCATTGATCATATCGTAAGATTGGTCGTATTGCTAGATTAGAGTATGTGACTTGATAGTAATCATTATTGTATCCATTTCAACTATGATCCAGTGCTTTCAGTGCTGAACCTTACAACTCGATTATGTCGACTAGTGTAACCGATTCCGTCCTTCTTATTCCTAGTAAATATAATAACTCGAGGGCCATACGTTCTGTCCATTCTATTGTTGAATGGTTTTCATGGTCTGACTGATCAGTAGATTGCGTCCGTTATTTGAAGAAAATGATACCGGGAAATACCGGATGTCACCAGTTTTTGAAGACGACAGCTATGCTGTAATGTATTGCGTAGTGACTAGTAATAAATGACGGGCATTATAGTGCCGTCAAAATAAGATCTTGATGTAGACAGAAGGAGAGGAAACGCAGCAGTCACATTGATACAGTATGTTTCTGGAAGCGGATAATCTTAGAATACTTTCATTGTACGTAAAGCTTTCGGTACAAGACAAACGTTCTACTTCCAGATTGCAATATCGACACGAGACATAAAACGTTTGTTACTAAGCTGATAAGATCGACAGACAATCCATACCCCTTTGGTTGCGTAAGTCAATACAGAAACACACAAGAGTCGTTCGTCTGGTTCGTTTTTTTCTACTTGATATCTTAGATTGTTGCTACATGCATGTAAACAAATTGCAAATAACGATTTCAAAGGTCGTTTTGAGATCATGCAAGGCACTAGTTGAACGCAACCGAGTGCAAATTGTTAACGCCTTTGAAACTTCTGAACAACAGACTCGCTCTCAGGGGTTCTGCATTGATGATGTGCTATTTGTTGTAGGTCGTCAATGTGCCAGCAAGTCCTTGTCTTGTTCTTAGTAGTGTTACAGACTCTGCACCAATTGCGTCTTTTTCTTGTACGCAATTGCATTCAACGTCATCAAAAGAATCAATGGTCCAAAAGCTTTTGCACGTTTTCTGTCTACTCGACGTGAACACAAAAAGGACCTACAAATGTCGAGTCCACCAGCTACTGACTGCGTTAGGACGCAAGACTGCGCGTCGTGGCTTGTACTTTGATCGCTTTGTTCCTGATTGGATTCAAGGTCAATAGGATCTAATGAACAATAGCAAGAGCTTTGATCAGTTTCTTCTCATACGCGGTAGTTTCCGTCATGTGGTTCAATCATGTGGTTGTCTCACTGTTATGCAATGCACGTGAGCTCTTGCAAACCGATCGGGACGGGAGAAGAGACAGGATTGTCTATCGGTTGTATTGAATTGACTGTCTCCTTTTAACGGCTGATCATTTGCTTTCAGTATACCATTTCACTTCTGACCACTTTTTTTTCTTCTTGTCAATCTGGCTCGTCTTAGTTTACTCTAAAGCTTTCCCACAGCTATCAACGTGCGATGCGGCCCGACGACGATGATGATTTCAGCACAACAGACGCTTTTAAGACCTTACACACAATCGAATCCGTCGTCCATTGGTAGCAGTAGTAGAAGAAAAAGAAGAAGAAGAAAGAAAGAAAGAACCCTTCCTTTCTACCTTCCTTCTTCGTCTCTTGTTTTTTTCCTCCATTGATCTTTTTATATAGTAAACAATGAGCATAGGCATTATTGCAGCGATTGCAGGTGTCCTTATATTATTAGGAGTCGCTGGATTCTTTGTAAACCGCTATATGGGTGCAAAACAACATCAGGACGATGACAAGCACTTTATGCAAGACGTTTCTGTCTCCAAGGTGAATACGACTACGACTACGACTCACACGCATCATCCTTATCCTCAGCCTACGGAATCCCATCATGTATTTGAGACGAATCCTCGAAATACCCCTACGGAATACGACTTTACGACGTTAGACGTCCCATCGACAAAGGCGACGCCAGATCCATTGGCATCGTCGATTGCTATGCTCCATGCTGCTTCTAGTGGTTTTCCAAGTCCACCACCACCCGAGAAACCAGTACGATACAATTTCGATCCTGCTCAATCAACCGTCAATGGTGCGGCGCCGTCGACGTCACCTTTTAATAGAAAGGATGCTGTCCAAGCTTCACGTCCAAGTAATAGTAACTTTGAAGCCCACTCGATGGAGTTTAATGCGGTTACTGGGAGTTATGCTGAATCCTTTAACGAGTCCTACGCTGGGTCCTTTGTTGGTTCCATTGCTGGCTCGTATGCCAATTCGTTCTCTGGAACGTACAATGGACATGGAGTGCTCAATTCGTTTGATAGTAATGCTGATGATTTTGGACGAGACACTGTTGGGACAATAGCGTCAGAGGCACCTGAGCGACCAAGTCAAGTACAATCAGGTGAGGTGGAACAGTCTCACTGGATGAACGACATGCGTGGCACTAATGACAGCTACGCGATGCTCGAGTCGGGCTCCTTCGATCGCACATCGGCTCTCTCACGCTTTTCGACGGATTCGGATGTGACCAACCGCCCGACACAGACTTAAAACCAGATTGATGACGAAGGTGGAGGAGGAGGAGATGTGTATCTATAGTAACTGGTTAGAGCAGGTGTCGAAGGAGTGCTTTATTCGTGAGCTGCAGTGCCAAAGCAACGAAGTTTTAAAAAAAAGCGTGATGGGACATCAATTTTACAATCTAAGGAGTTTACGTAGCATAAGTCCACTACGAACGCGTACAAGATTGCTACATACATAACATGTAGTATGTATTTCGTTCCAAGCAGTAGTAGTCAAGCCTTCTATGTATTGCATGTGAGTGCTTCCTTATCGACGAGCTGGACCACCACGTTTCGGATGTGGAAAGTGTAGCGGTACTGAAAGCACCGCACGGTTAATCTGTTTCTTGGATGCCCCGCCATAGGTAGTAGCTTCAGCCTTCACCTTCTCAACGATACAACCAAGTTGACGAGCATATGCCTGAATCTGGATAGCAGATCTCTTTAAATCAGAGCTGACTTCTGTGAGATCCAAAGTAAAGCCATTGACAGTCAGAGCAATCACGAGTAGATACAAGCAAAGCTTGTCTTTCATGGCTTTCGATTGAAAGTACGTTGGGTAACCATTGTTGCCCTCGCTAACGTCCGTAAAGAGTTTCAAAAAGTGACGCACGACCACAAGAGGAATACCTTTCTCCTCACTAAAAGCTGGCGCTGACTTGCGTAGAGGGAAGCGTGTATTGTAAAAATCAATCATGAATGCCACATACACCACGAGACACATTTTGTTCACATCGTACGGGACAGGCAGAGACATCAAGAGTCGTGTAGGAAGCGATGCGAGGTTTAAGCGGGCCGCATACTCTGCTACACTTGTTGTCTGCAGTGCCTCAATCACCTCTTCAGCCATAACAGTTAGCGAGTCCATGACAGTGCTATCCATAACTGCAAAAACACATGCATCCATCCATCCATTCATCAAAAACACACCCAATTAGCATTTGCACACAAGACGAATCCAAAAAGACTGCAACAGGGGTCGAAACTTACACCTCGTGAGGTCATACACATGTTCAGGTGTCGGAGCGTCGACATCACATGGTGGTAAAAGAGCATTACGCGTGGCAGCAAGAGCTATTGTCTCGTTCGAGTACCTTCCATCCTGTGCACGTTCGTCATCACGTTTACGTTGTGCTGCTGATATTTTCTTCTTCAATGTCTGCGTCACAGAAGATGCACCGCTAATATTTTCAAGATCAACAACATTCTCTTGTCGATTCTTTTGCATGCGTTTGCTCTTTTTGCTCCCAAAGACTTCAACAAGATCCCGTCTTTGCTCCATGCAGGTCTTCTGTTCACCCCGATTATCATCAACCTTCTCCGACAAGTTCTTGATAGCTTGTTGCATGACATAGATCTGATTTACATTGGACAATCGCACTTCCCTTGTTTTGGTATCGTAGATACCAATTGCATAGTTTGAATAGTCATGACTTGAACCCAAGTAGCCGAAATTAGCACCCTGATACGCCACTTTCTCTACACTTGCAACAACTAATCGCTGCTTTTTTATTGGATTCTCAAACACCTCAAAGGCTAATTCCTTGCGCATATGTGGTGGAGGTGGACCATTACGAAACGTTGCTATAGAAAAACAAGATCAATAGAGTAGGAATTGTAGTAATAATGCATTAGAATACGAGATCGAAACCCTTGTGATGATGATGATGATGATGATTAGTATCATATATACATATAGTACTATTTTTCAATAGAATTTTACACATACCAACAATAGGAGCGGTACGATCAAAAGCTTCTTGATGCTGCAGATGTACTTTAACACGTTTCGTCATTTTGATTGCAAAGTGGTGGCAAAAGTACTGGTGAGGAATGGTTTGGACTTGATTCGATGCATTTATTGGTTGAAATATGAGATCAGAGACACCAAATTATCACATTTATGATTGGATATAATTCCTTACAACGTATTATCCACCAATCCACTGTCTTTCGGCTCTATACAATCATTCCATTACACAATACTCTCGATCTCTCTCGATCATGAGCTCAGATAGTGACTGTAGTATGACGTCGTGTCTGAATCTCATGCGTCGTATGCGTCCAGAGGAAATTGAGAGAGATGTGTATAATCTTACTCGTCTATTACCATCATTTGTGGATGAATTATATCAGCGTATTGATCAACCACTTCAAGTCGCAGTTGATCCTACCACTGGTCGTAAATATCTTGTTTGTGACTATAATCGAGATGGAGACTCGTATCGTTCACCATGGACAAATCAATATGATCCATTACTTGATGATGGAGAAGGATTTTATCCATCTGAGACACTCAGGAACCTTGAGATCCAGGCAAATGAGATTTTTGATGCATACCGTGAATTGTATTACCAAGGAGGTCTTTCATCCGTCTACATGTGGGATTTAGAACCTGGTTTTGCAGCTTGTTTTCTTGTTCAAAAGGATGTTTTGCATCAACGTTTTGTTGAAAAAGGATCATGGAATTCAATACATGTAATTGAAGTCCAAGAGAGCAAGGATGGACTGGATCAAGGACGAAAGAAGGCTACTTATCGTCTAACAACATCGGTCTTGCTCTATATGAAGGTAAATCGACCGGAACTTGGACATTTGTCACTGGATGGAACACTGACGAGACAAGCTGAACGGACGATGGAATATGATGATCAATTTACACATGTGTCTAATATGGGACGCATGGTCGAGGACATGGAGATTGACATGCGGGCAAGTTTAGATGGACTCTATATTGCTAAAACGCGTGAAGTGATTAATGGAATGCGTAAATTACAGCAAGGACCAACTGTGGCAAATCCATTTGTAGGAGAATTGGCAAGTGCAGTACTTAAGCACGGAGAGAAGCAGGAGCAGGAACAGCACGAACAGAAGCAGTAAAACCCAATTCTGTATGGAACTTGGCTACATTTTAGTTTGCACAAACATTTATATCCCACATTAAACCGGCTCTGATAAAGACACGAGAATTGAAATATATCATTCTGTCATGTCTATAAATGTTATTATTTATCAGACAAATGGCTACATTTGGTACATTCCATCCACTTCCATCCACTTTCATGTAAATGGCTACAGCTGTACAGATACATTGACCATCATTCTTGTGCTCCATTCCTCAAAATGCCACATCTCGAGGACTTTTTCACTCATGGTGACCATACAAACCTTTGTACTGGCTCGATCAATGCACTAGATGACGTTAAATTCAGTCATCGAGAAGATGATGATCATCATGGTGTGAAAAACAGTGGTGTCTTGTATTTATATGGACCAAAACAAGCGGGACAGACGTCGCTGTTATTACAATTTGGTTTTACGCAAGTTCAAGCTGGCAAGAACGTCGTGCTTATCATGTGTGGTGAAGCTGGCGTATCTCAAAAGCCAATGGCATCGGATATTGTACCACTTACTCCGTGTTCAGCGTGTAATCAACCAGTACAGACAGGGGCTAACAATAGTATTTGGCGTCGCATTACTATCAAGTATAGTAGTATGCATTCTGTTTTTCCGCTGTATTCATATTTTATGTCGACGTGTATGATTCATACTATATGTATACTAAATATGATACATCGCGACAATTCTACTATGTATATGGTTTAACTATTCATATATTTTCATATGAATAGGATAAGAACTATACATAGTACTCATACTATACATGCTTCATACACTACATATAGTATTCATACTTAGTCATATAGTATTCATACCAGTATGAGTAGTACTCATACTCTACTATTCATATTATATTATTCATACTATTTTACATAGTATACTACTAACTGTATGATGTCTTCATGCCTAGATACCTTCGTAATAATGCAGAGCTACAGCGATATCTCTGTTCATTTCATGGAATGGATACAAAGAACCCATCAGTCTTGTTAATTGATGGATTTGAGCAATTCTTTGCTACTTTGGAGCATAACAGGTGACAACAAGAATTCGCGATCAGGACGTTTGAGTATCAGTTTACTATGGAATTGATAGTATGTAGCAACTAATTTGTTCATGCGGTTGATACTAGTGACATGGGCAATGTGTATCAGACACTGGCATTTCTGCTTGAAGCTCAGGATTATATGAAGATATCAACAGGCTTTGGAATGACGGTCGTGACTGGACATTGGGATGCATTTGTACTTGGAAATCGACCGTTACTACGTCGATGGTGTCGATTCGTGGAGCTCGTGTCGAGTGAGGAAGAACCTAATGTCTTTATCATGCGTGAAGGCGTGGAGGAGAAGGATGTTCATGTGGATAAAGAAGTTGCAAGGACACAAGTGAAGTACATGTTTGCACCAGAAACTAGTGGAACTTTTCAACTATTACACGTGCAAACACGTTCAGAGTGAAGTGGGGCGGGGGGTATCATTCCTCTGCTTTTTTTATCGGTTTAAATATGCGGGGGTTGCTGGTGGCTAACTGTCATGTTCACTTGTTTTTCCTACGCTACTTATCATACCTCGCTTGCTGCCTGGTCGTGTTCGTTCTACCCTCTTTCTGAGTTCGTTATTCAGTCGTCTTCGTGACTTCTCGTGCGCTAGTGCCAGCTAATGACCTGTCTTCTGTAATCGGTGAGTTTAATGAGTTGGCTCGTCCGTTGCTTTCACATCCAGCTAGCTTTGCGGAAGACGCAGGCGTACTTGGAGCAGAAGAATTCTCCTGACGAGTTTTTAACCACCCATTAACTCGCACAGTCTTCAGCTGCTCAGATCAGTCGATATCGATGACAGATACGTTAGTCGTGAGTACTAGCAAGTATCGATAAAGACCATTACATACCTCGGTAATCAGTTTCTTAACGTGATCGGAGAGCTGGTAATTCTCTTGAATCCGCATGAGGACTTCAAAATATTCGTCCATCGTTCGACGTGAGGCTGGACTTGATCCGTCAAGCAAATCACCAACCTAGTCGACAATATCACGTCCTTAACAAGAAGAAGCAAGGCAGAATACCAGTCGTACAGCAGCATACGCACCAAGTTCAGAAGTCTACATGCTGCCTCGATTATTTCAGATTGAGGATGTATTTCGTCGTCAAGCATCATCGCAACGCAGACGTGCATAATGTTTTCGGTAAGCAGTTGCCGCCGAAAAAGCTCACCAATGTAGCGCACATTTTGCAACATACACTTCCGTCGCCACGAATGTTGCGTGGTTGCGTTAGTTTCCATTTTCTTGTTGATCAAGTGCAATGGTTGACTCCCAGGTTCTTCGATAAGAGATTCATAGCACTTGGTAAGAAGAATCCGCCGAAAATTAATGGTCTTTGCGCCGTCTTTAAACTCGGGTGTCCGCTTTGACATTTCCATACACAATTTAGCATAAGAATCGCTGTCGTAACACATCAATAGCAGTTACAGGTATGAAGTTGTACAAAACAAGCTACGACATTCGAGCAATACCTCAACTCTGGGTTTGCTATTGCGTGGTCAAACACTTGGCCAATGATTTCTTGAAGCGTATGTATGCAGCTGACCCTGATGCTCATGAAGGATTCCAGGATGGAGTCAATAGTGTTTGGTTTGACATCGTCCAGCAATCTGTGAAAACCACAATGAGAAAAACACCACCGCCAATCACTACACACATCGATCAACTCGTATGTTCTTCACCTAATTTGAACGTACGTGGCAATACGGCGCCTAGCAATAATAGCTTCCTCAACTGGATTAACCGGTTCGACAATAGAGAGATTACTCTTGCCATCAAAGCCTTCTGTACTTGCCTCAGTAGGTGGACCCGTATACAGACCCATATTCATGGCCGCCGAATATTCACTTGGATTAAAGTAACGTACTAGAGACGCGTCATACGACATGATGTTTCCATGTAACTGACGATTCTTGTCCTTTTTGTATTTCTTGCTTTTGTTTTCAGCCATGATAACATCTGCACCAATGGTATCTGCCCATGTAAAGTTTTCCGGCATCATTTGAAACAGTGGCTGGAACTATGAACAAATGAAAAACAACAACAAAACAAGACACCATCCATTGAAAATTCAATCCATTTTGATATCCCACAATATGCATATCCATCAAAGTATCCATCATCAAAAAATGACAATGATATGGAATCCTAAGAATCCACAGAGAGAGAGAAGAAGTATAGACTACAGACGAACCTGTAAAAGTTCTGCGATCGTGTATACAAATCGGCCCTTTACTTGATCCCCAATTTTCTAGAAAATACCACAAGATGAAATCCTCATTATCAAATGATCCATGTGTTTACATCATCACGAAACAACGCATTCGTTTGTCCACGTACTTTTAAAGGTCTTGGATTCCGTACAACGTCTGGGATACCTTGTATCACGTAATCACCTAATGGTTGAAACTAGATATTTTTTTTATCAATCATCATGATTACATCATCTTTTGTCAAAATTAACAACAATAATAACAATTACAATAGCACAATTCTGGGTTTATACCGCTAATAAATAGCTCTTGGAGTAGATAAACCGGTCCTGTATAGGTGAATATCCTTCCTATAACAAAATATAAAAATAACAATCACATCAAAAGATAACATTTTAGCCATTTTAGCCATTTTAGCCATTTTTATCGGTCAAAAAAAAATCCATCAACATGAAAAATAATATCTTTTTTTCCGTTATCGCACATACACAACAACTGGATATTCCATGGTTCTCGCTTTGCATCACCTCGTCGTTTGATTCCATTGGACGTTCGAATAATGGTTTCTTCACTAGCACGGACGTCTCACTTTCCATTTTCTTTGTATCTACATTACTATAGACAGGAGCTACTGCCACTGGCAAGGAATGACGCGGTGAAGTGATGGCAACGGACGTGGCAAAACTAGTTTGTAAAAGGTGATCCAAAGAGCATTAGAAATGAGAAGAAGCGACAATATTACAATAGAAAGACGTGGATAGCAATCACAACACCATACGTTGGAGGGATCCACTCGCCTGCGTTCGGGTTGAGCTTGGACATTGGAGTGGGGGGGATTCAAATGTTGATACAAATATCACGTTGAATGGATGAAAGAGGAGTAGATTGGATAAAAGTAGGCGATATTGTCGAACGGAGAAGATTGGATAAAAGTAGGCGATATTTTTTGTCGAACGCGATAATTTGAATGGAGTTGATATCGAAATTGAGTACAACGTGGGTTAGAAAATTACAATCGAGTTTCGAGATTGCATATTTCGTGGATAAAAGTAACCGGATCTACGAAATACCGAAAAAAATGGGTTTAATGATCTATAAAGTGAAAAATCTCCCTTAATTCCATTGATGAGACACTCTGGAAAGATAGTAAGACCCAAACCGTGGACAGTCGCATGAATGTTGCTACAGTTTAGGACGTGAAACGTTAACGGGATTGAAGCTGTAAAAGTTACCGAAATGTTGTACGTATGGAGTCACGAGTTCAAGGTCGTAAACAAACCGGTGTATATCTTGTTTTTGTTTTTTTTTTTTCCTTTCCTTTTAAAAAAAAAAGTAAAAAGAGGGGGGGGGGGTGTCACTCTTAGCTATGCTTCAACTCAAGGTAGGATGATGATAACATATTCTAATGTCTTCTGCTTTTGTCAAGTGAAAACAAGGCACAGTGTTGCTACATACCGACAAATACTACAACTGCTGCCATACACTCAACTGCTACAAATGTCCAACATACGAAATAAAGACCTTGGGTAATCCTCTATTGTGTGATTTCACTTGAGTTTCTTGACTTTCATCTTCAGATCTTGTCTCTTTTTCTTTCAATTCGATCCAACTTTCTTGATATCGACAAGTTGTGACGAGAAACCACAAGTCACGACATCATTATCCATGGATCATTTCCTTGAGGCAGACACATTCGTGTAAGTTCCTTTCCTCTTTGTAGCTTTAATCTATAGAGATAGTAAGTAGTACATCCATTGTCCTTTCGTCCTATGTAGGTGAGATTGTTGACGTATTTCATGCTTGATTAGATCTACTATATTACGCGATCTTTTACTCACAAACTTACGGCTTCCATAGAAAGAACGAGAGAAACCTTATTGTAAAATTTAATCGACCTTTTGTGGTGTAATAATCTCCCTAGGTCAGTCACATTTACGTGTATATTTGATTCCGACAGTGATTTAACCGCATAAAAGCCTACAAATTAGCATACTTCAATCTTGTCGCATGTATTATTAGATATGGATTATGCCATCAACAGGGTCTTTTTAAAAGCATATTCCTTGGTTTATGTGTAAAACCAGTACAGACATAAGGCCGCAAGCACCCATCCCCTAAAGTATCCAGATGGCGTAATCAACGTGGCATAATCGCCAGCTTGACGGAACGCACTGGTCCTACAATACTTGTTAAGACTGTCAATTTGTTTGTATGACATTTGTATGCCCATTTCAGCTGTAACTGAGAGAAGCTTTGATCTCTCTAACTCTTTTGCTTGCATCCATGTGTGACGACAATACACACAACACACACACACACTAACTAAAAGAGGATTCTAAGAAGTGGTTAGGTAAATCCAGTACCAGCTGTTTTATTTTTTGACAGCAGTCCATGTCTCGTCTGTCGCTTTCCAGTGTTCGAAATGATCAACATGATTGATTATCGACTGAATGTATACCAAAATATGCCACAATCACCTCACAACGTGTCACTCTGTCTCTTAGTGCGTACAAGCTCGTCTTTATTTCCATGACTGTCATTCACTCTCAAATTTTCTCGCTACGTGCACGATCAATATCGATTGAATAATCCCAATCGCGCTCTCCATCACTGTCTCTGAACTCTTCGTGTTGTTCTCTTTTTTATTTCGTGCACTTCCATCTCAATTGAATGTCAAACCCAGACAAGAAATCACAGCAGTATCTCGACATGGAACATGGTGGGACCACGAAACAAATTGGGCTTGAGTCAGGTCAAGCTCTTTTAGCCAATGGTCCTGCTGCCATGCATGAATATGTTGCAACACGATTAGAAGCGTCATTAGGAGGTGAACTCCCACAGATGGAAGTTCGTTTTACGGATCTATGTGTCTCTGCTGACATTACTCTTGTCGAAGACGATAAGAACTCGACGGATTTACCAACACTCTGGAATACCGTACGAAAGGCCGTGGCAGGTCTTGGTCGGAAAAAGCAGATGGTGCATCGGGAAATTCTCAAGAACGTGAGTGGAACGTTCCGTCCTGGTTCCATGACCCTTTTATTAGGTCAACCTGGATCCGGGAAATCAGCGTTCATGAAAGTGCTTAGTGGTCGTTTCCCATTGGCTAAAAATATCACTCTCTCCGGTACCATGACCTATAACGGCTTACCACAGCCAACCATTACGTCCCAACTCGCGCAATTTGTCTCGTATGTGCCACAATATGATAAGCACTTTCCTACGTTAACTGTTCGTGAGACATTAGAATATGCAAATGAATTTACTGGTGGGGAACTCAAACGTCGAGCAGTGGATCTCTTGACACAAGGAACCAAGGAGGAGGAGAATGTCTACGCTCAAGCACTTGTTCAAGCACTGTTTACGCATTATCCAGACGTGATTGTCACGCAGCTTGGATTAACGAATTGTCAAGATACAATTGTTGGTGATGCACTCGTACGTGGTGTTTCGGGTGGTGAGAGGAAGCGTGTGACAACGGGAGAAATGGAATTTGGTATGAAATACATGACTTTGATGGATGAAATTAGTACGGGACTCGACAGTGCTGCAACATTTGATATTATCAATACGCAACGAAGTATTGCACATTGTTATCACAAGACAGTTGTGATTGCATTATTACAACCAGCACCTGAAGTTGTTGCTCTTTTTGATGATTTAATGATTCTCAATGCTGGTCAAGTCATGTATCATGGTCCAATGAAGGACGTGGTGCCTTATTTTGCAAGTTTAGGCTTTGAATGTCCACAGGGACGTGATGTAGCGGATTTTTTGATGGATCTAGGCACGAAACAACAATTTCAATATGAAGTTGACGTACGTATACCGAATTACATTCATCCTCATGATCCAAGTGAATTTGCCAGTGCTTTTCGTGACTCGGACATTTATCGAAGCAATATGCAAAGACTGGAGGAACCAACCAGTGAAAAGCTCGTGCACTATGCTGAGAAACACATGAAACCAATGCCGGAATTCCATCAGTCGTTTCAAGCTGGTGCCTTGACGCTACTTCGCCGTCAAATGTTTATTATTGGACGCAACAAGTCGTACGTCTTTGGTCGTGCTCTCATGATTACGGTCATGGGTCTCTTGTATGCAACTACGTTTTTCCAATTTGATCCGACGGAGATTCAAGTCGTAATGGGTATTATCTTTGCCGGTACATTGTTCTTGTCACTCGGTCAAGCTTCACAGCTACCTACGTTCATTGCAGCACGTGAGATCTTTTACAAACAACGTGGTGCCAATTTTTATCGGACCGCTAGCTATGTGTTTGCCAACTCGGTGAGTCAGCTACCACTATGCACCGCAGAGACTCTTATCTTTGGTACACTTGTCTATTGGATGTGCGGGTTTGTATCCGAGATTGTCGAGTTTCTGCTCTTCCTGCTCGTCCTGTTCATGACAAACTTTGGACTCGGCTCGTTCTTTTTCTTTCTGACGGCTGCAGCTCCTGATATTAACATTGCGACACCCATTTCAATGGCATCGACGCTGATCTTCATTATCTTTGCCGGCTTTATCATTACGGAGAGTCAGATTCCCAGCTATTTCATGTGGCTGTACTGGATCACTCCCGTGTCTTGGTCGCTACGTGCACTTGCTATTATTGAGTACCGATCGAAAACCTTGGATGTTTGTGTGTACGGAGATGTAGACTACTGCGCTACGGAAGGTGCTACGATGGGGACGTACTATTTGGAGTTGTTTGACCTCAAGACGGAGAAGATTTGGATATTTTACTGTATAATCTACATGGCAGTCTTTTACGTGGTTTGCATGACTCTTGGCTACTTGGCGCTAGAGTACAAACGCTACGAGACGCCCGCGAATGTTGGTGCTGTTGCTAAAACCATGGAAGAGGATGGCAGCTATCGACTTGTGAGCACACCTAGAAGCAGCAATCCGGAAAGATCTCCGACTCCTAGTGAGGTGATGGTGGATGTGTCATCGCGGAACACAACTTTTACGCCAGTAACGGTTGCGTTCAAGAACCTCCGCTACTCGGTGCCTAAGCCGTCGAACCCTAAGGAATCAATTGAACTTCTTAAGGGAATTAGTGGATTTGCTCTTCCTGGCAAGATGACTGCTCTCATGGGCTCATCAGGTGCTGGTAAGACGACGCTGATGGATGTGATTGCTCACCGAAAGACTGGCGGTACAATCTCTGGTCAGATTCTGTTCAACGGCTATGAGGCAAACGAGTTGACAGTTCGTCGATGCACGGGCTACTGTGAGCAAATGGACATTCATTCGGAAGCGGCAACGATTCGCGAAGCACTTACGTTTAGCGCTTTCTTGCGTCAGGACAGTAGTGTACCGGACAGCGCCAAGTATGACTCGGTCGAAGAGTGTTTGACTTTGCTCGATATGCACGAGATCGCCGACAGGATTATTCGTGGTAGCTCGACTGAGCAGATGAAGCGTTTGACAATTGGAGTAGAGCTGGCAGCACAACCAAGTGTGTTGTTTTTGGATGAACCAACAAGTGGTTTAGACGCTCGTTCTGCCAAGGTTATCATGGATGGAGTTCGCAAAGTTGCTGACTCTGGACGTACGATCGTCTGTACCATTCACCAACCTTCATCTGAAGTGTTTTTCCTGTTTGACAGTCTGCTGCTCCTTAAGCGTGGAGGTGAGACGGTGTATTTTGGTGATTTGGGTCACAAGTGCAAGCACCTAGTGGAATACTTTGAAGCACTGCCTGGTACATCACCATTGCCACCCAAGTACAACCCTGCAACGTGGATGCTTGAGTGCATTGGTGCTGGTATGTCGAACAATTCCGCCGATGAAGTGGACTTTGTCTCGACATTCAAGGCGAGCGAGCTGAGCCAAAAGCTAGATCTCGCACTTTCACACGAAGGAATTGGCGTGCCGTCTCTTACTATTCCCGAACTGATTTTTGCCACAAAACGTGCTGCTTCCTCAATGACACAAATGCGTTTTGTCGTAAAACGTTTCTTTGACATGTACTGGCGCTCCCCGACGTACAATCTCACGCGAGTTGGTATGTCTGTGTTTCTAGCCTTGCTCTTTGGCGTGACATTTACTGAAGCCAAGTACGAAACGTTTCAGGGTTTGAATTCCGGTATGGGCATGTTGTTCATGTCGACATTGTTTAACGGTATGATTTCGTTTCAATGTGTACTCTCGGTTGCCTCAGCTGATCGTGCCGCTTTCTACCGTGAACGTGCTTCCCAAACGTACAATGCCTTTTGGTACTTTGTCGGTTCTACGGTTGTGGAAATTCCCTATGTCTTTGGTGGTACCTTGGTCTATACGTCCATTTTCTTTCCATTGGTTCAGTTTACGGGCTTTTACATTTTCATCATGTATTGGATCAATACGTCCTTATTGATTCTCATGCTCACGTACATGGGACAAATGTTTGTCTACTTGTTGCCAAGTGAAGAAGTCGCGGGCATTATTGGCATTATGGTGAATTCCATCTTTTTTCTCTTTATGGGGTTCAGTCCACCTGCTGATCTCATTCCTCAAGGATACAAGTGGCTCTATACGATTACACCTCAACGCTTTTCACTTGCTATTCTAGGTGCACTAGTGTTTGCCGATTGTCCAGATGAACCCATTTACGACCAAGGGACTGGCACATGGAGCAATGTTGGCTCGGAAATTGGGTGTCAACCGCTAGAAAATGCACCTATTTCGTCTGGTCCCATTACGGTCAAGCAATTTACTGAAGATACGTTTGGCATGAAGTATGATGAAATCTGGACGAGTTTTATTATCGTGATTGCATTTATTGTCGCATTTCGGGTGATTGCACTCGTTGGCCTACGCTTTGTCAATAGCCAGAAACGATAGATGATTATGGAGACTTGATCTGTAGGAAGGGGTTGATTATGGACTTGTGTGTGTATACATCATGACTGTATTTTCTGTATAATGATATTTTTTTTTTTTTTGAGGAAAGTTGTGTATTGTTTTATCCGGATAGAGAAGGTTGTTGTTTTTTTTTATTTTGGTCAAAAGTGCGTTTTTTTGTGTTTTTTTTTTGTTTTGGGGGATTTAGAGAAAATAGGTAATCATATGTCACCATTCGTTTGAACCAGTCATCGCGTTGGATAATATCCGGATTTGAGTTTACGGCGATTTGCGAGTAAGGTATTTATATTTGAATGGCGACAAAGCGTTTCGCCATTCAATCACCATTGACAACAGACTTCATGGGTTTAAATACAACGAATGCATCGGGTTCGGATAATACTATCAAGTATCATCTAGTAGAAGCTGAAGAGGTGAATCATTATAAGCCACCAATACAATCTCTTACGATACGTTGTGCAAAACCTTTTCGAAAAAGTAAATTCAATTGGTCTCACTATGATGCAATGGAACGTGAAGAAACGTTTGAGACAAACAAACAGTTTGAGACAAAAAATCCATTGCATTGGCAAAGGTATGGAAAAAAAAATCCGGCTTTTCATGATAATCGAGATCCATTGGGACATAATACTGGACAACGTGTTGAAAGACGGGGGAGACGAGAGGAAGATCAGCATGGATATTTTTATAATGGTGTTTATATACCGACTCCTGATTTTAAAGTCACGGCACAATGGGCAAAAAGCCAAATGTAAGTTGGATATTATCTGGATATTATCGTGTTTTTGTTAAGGGATTCAATGACTTTTTTTTATTATATCTCATGCACTAACATGGATGGATTTTATCTTTTGGTTTTTTGTGTGTGTGTGTATATCGAAATTATTTAGTGAATTTTATTTTACATCGGATAATTTGGTCCGTGATATTTTCTTACGTCAACATATGGATGTTGATGGTTATGTTCCATTGGCTTTTGTCGGTAGTTTTCAAGCTGTTTATTCCATTCATCAGGATTATCCATCACTTTTTGATGCAATGAAAGACTCGGAGACTCTTGAATTGGATCAAGCGAATGAAAAAATTCGATTACGTCATGAGTGGAAGAAGTGGATTTGGCCAAATGCGACGGGTGGCTATGGAGTACCTCGATACATTAAACAGACGACTGAAAACATCAAGACGACCTAGATACTTTTTTTTGTTTTCAAGATGGAAGAAGTGTCAAGTACATGAATGTGCTTGGGTGACGTGAGAGAGAAGAGAGAGAGAAGAGAGTGAGGTCGTTTGTCGTGGTGGTGAAAGTTTATTCTTTTGTCGTTGAGCTACGAAAGCAGAGAGAAGGTGAGGGAGGTACCGAGAGAAAAGGAGAGGATAGACTGCAGAAGAGAGAACCAAAAAATTGATTTGAGTTATCTTACGCTTGTTTCTTATGCTGAAGTTATCAGGGCAGTGTTTTTTTTGGCGGATAGAGCTGCTCGTACTTGGCATTGGAATTTCATACTAGGCGGTGATTTTTATCGTTTTTTTTTCACGTAGATATCGATCGATCTGATGCAAGTTCATGTCCATTGATACTTTAGTCAGCACTGACGGCGATATTAAAGTATCTTGGAATCAAGATTCGTCATCGCTTTGGTGTCGTGTTAGCTCCTTAGTTTTTAGCAGATGATGAACCTTGTAATGACACTTTGCTCTGTTGGTTTTTGAGAAAGTTATCGTCAACGAATGAAAGTCGTTCAGCGTGGACGAGACACTCTCCTGGCCTGCTATCTTCAGTCCATTCGCCCTTGTCAGGTCGACAGCAATTTAGCTCGCGACAGATACTGAATTCTTGGAAGCCACATTGTCTTATTCAGCTGTTCAAAAGAGGCAGATGAACACCTAGATAAAAATCGCTAGTGATCAAAAGGTTCAAGCCTGTTTCACTTCCAGTGTTGGAAGAGGTCCTTGCATCCGAAGCACAGCAGCAACAGGTAAGCCTTGTTCTCGTTCCGGTAGCCTGATACCGTTTTTATGCGGTGTATATACGATATTGCGGGCGTACAGCGTATCGAGTTTTGCAACAGAGCTTAGTATGTGTACCATCGTCCGTGATTAACGCACACGAAAAAAAGATGGACTGTGGCAAATAAACAAGCAGTAGCATCGACAAGATCACGTGATAGTGACGTGTATAATGTCTACTCATCGAAAGCAATGATTTGCACAATCGACTACTTCCCACCGCAGTAGCAAACTGAAATTCCTGTCATACGTGCAAAGTCGTCTTGTAAAAGTAAAAACCATTGCAAAACCTCTCCGACCTCGTAAGCAAAGCCACGAAACAAAGATAATGTGTCGGGTATATTGAAGCTACTAGTTCATGCTGATTGACGTCCAACCGTCTTGCCATGATGGCATTCCTTGTCATCCTCACACATCATTTGAACTTGTTTTACATATCAATCTTTCCAACTCACACTTTGTAGCATGAACAATCAAAACAAACACGTGCTTCATCTCCAATATCGTCCATCATTCATCTCGAGCTCATGACCACAAAAGTAAAAACAGCAGCAGCAGCCACTCATCATTCCATCACTCATCCTTCCATGAGTAAAAAAAAACTCTTCTCTCTCTCTCAGCTCTTACAATGTCTTCGTGTCAATTTTTTCCATCAATACTCGACCAAAAAGCCACCACCTCTTCATTATCTTCTGTCTCATCTTCATCATCGTCTGTCTCTGTCTCATCTTCATCTTCTTCTTGTGTCTCTCTTTTTCTCTTCTCTTGACTGTGCGTTTTGACATATTTTTGCGTGGATTTTGCTCGTCGATGAGCTTTTTGACGACGTAAACGTTCAATCTTTTGATTACGTTTACTGGATAATCCATTATAATAATCATCCAATTTCTCCATCAATAGGTTTCGAGCAATGCGACGATTTCCATCCAATGACCGTGTTTTTTGAGTCCGGACTTGAATGCCCGTGGGTTTATGTGTCAATAAGACACAATTACGTACTTTATTGATCTTTTGACCACCTTTACCTAATAATAACAATAATAATAATTTACTATAATAACAATAATAATATTGACACAAATATCATAATGAATTAATTAGGAAAAGCAATAGAAATAGAAATGAATCATTTTAGAAATGAATACATTGTATCGTACCTGATCCTTTAATAAACGATTCGTGGAGATCGCTCTCTTGTAGTTGAATATCAATCCACTGAGTCAAAGACGACGTTGAAGAATGGAAGAGATGATTGTAGACGGTCGATATGATACGTCGTTGATGGATTGAGACGATGGATAGAAATGAAGGAGATGATAAGCGCATTTTTAAATGGAATAATAAAAGACGATGTTTATATGACATATGATACGTTTCTGATCAATTCGGGAGATCAAACCTGTGAAAGAACATACTAATGGACGCCAGCCTGTGAAAATGCTTACTACTTATCTAAAATTTGCTCAAACAAAACGTTATAAAACATAAATATGAGGAAAATAGACTCGTTGACATACAAATGTTGCAATAGAGACTTTCAACACGAACCAAATTGTTCATTTTTCTTCCTTTCGCATACATTTCAAAAGTGTTAACCAATTCTCACGTGTCAGTTACACTATGATTCAGATAATATACCACGCATACAAAAAGTCAAGCATATACGTATTCTCTCTAAAATATATAAAAGACCATACATTTGTTCACCCAAGTCGTCTGTACATGTCTCAACGATTATAATTCCTTTTACATAAACCAGTCCTTTTTGTTATCAACCATAACTATAACTCCTAGCACAACTATAACCTCTCCTCCTCCTACTACTTCACGTAATATATGTATATATATTATACCACCAATACTATATAATGCAGACAGAGAAGGCATCAATTGTTCAAGTCTATTCCAGTCCGACCATGACAACCAAGTTACCAAGACCAAGCACCTCCTCCTCCTCCTCCTCACTACCACCACCACGTCATCTCCATACAACCACAAGACAAGACGATCGATCAAGTGTTCCAACAATCGTCACAAAACCTCGTCTTCCTCGTGGTCGTCGTCGTCTATTACAGGATGAAGAAGAACGAAAAGCAAGACGTAAAGCACAGTGTAAATTAAATCAACGTCGATATCGTGCACGACAGCGAGGATTGATTAGTAAACTCTCACTGGAGACGGATGTATGGCATAAACATTTACAGGATTTACGGGAATATCGAGATTTTCTACATGCGTATTTTGCTCCATGTGTTTGGATTAAGGACGATCGACGATCACTTCTTGTGGCGAATTATTATTTACGGACATTTCGAGCTGGTTTTACACTCCATTCAACGGAATCAAGTTCATTACAAGATAATTTCATACGATTAGTATGTGCACCAGGACTTGTGACACAAGGAGCAATGACAGACGGGATTGAAGCACTTTTATTGCAATTGAAACGATATACGTCCTATCATGGTACATTTGAGATGCAACCACAGGATGTTGAGATGATTTATGCACCACGACAACAGCAGCAGCAACAGCAAGAGCAGGAGCAAGATGAGGAGGATTGTGTGGAAGAAAAAGTAAGCTGGATTGTACAGGCAAAAGGAAGAGTCAAGTTACGAATCTCACGGGATACACTGATGCTTGTGTATCCCCATGTCATGCGGCATTACGACAGACTTGCACAACGTGTAATGGGACAGACAATTGAGCCGGAATTCACAACGACTTTTTACTTTGATGCTTGTGCAAGAGTGACGAAATTGGATCACCATGTTGACTTTGCTGGAGCTTTTTTTCGCTTACTAGAGAGTCCTGAGGATGTGGCTATGCTGCTGGAAGGCGCGTTGATTTCGCCTTTTTCCGAGCTGGGATTAGATCCACAAGATACGGCAGCAGAGACAGCACTTACACGAGGATGCAAGCAGCTCAGTCTTAAGTATATTCTCCTGTAATAGAGCAGGACTCATGTTTGCTGCAAACCTTGCAGTGACACGGTAGTAACAAGTAAAGTAGTTGATTTAGCACATGATGTGAAGAAAGAGAAAGAAGGGGCGGACAACCTGCAATTTACATGCAATTTTGGTCTGCTTTTATGCTGCTAGCACAACCTCAGGCAAACAGTACATTCCGTTGCGGTCACTTGCTTACTCCTTTTTGTAATAGTTGGCCGGCACAAAGGGCATCGTACTAATGACAGCCTTCTGCGTCTTGTTGCGTGCCTTGACATGCAGCTCCGTACCCAACTTACTCGAGCTCTTGTCCACATAGGCCATACCAATAGCTTTCTTGAGCGATGGGCTAAACGTACCACTCGTCACATGACCCACAACCTTGTCGTCTGCGTCAAAGAGCTTGGCGCCTTCACGCGCTGCTGCTCCGTCAACCACAAAGCCAACGCGTTTCTTCGTCGCTGTCTTGTTTTTTATCTGATCCATAATGATTGCATGGCCAGGGAATCCTCCTTCTTCCCGACGACGCTTACCAATTGTCCAAGCTAGCATAGCTTCAACCGGCGTCGTTTCGGCCGTAATATCATGACCATGAAGACATAAACCTGCTTCAAGACGGAGACTATCACGAGCTCCAAGACCTGCTTCCAATACACGTTCATCTTGCAATAATGCACGGAAAAACGTTTCGGCGTCTTTGCTCGGTACTGAAATTTCAAATCCATCCTCTCCCGTGTAGCCACAACGTGTTAGAATTACATCCACGACCTTACCATCTTGTAGTTTTAATGGAGTATAAACACCATGCATAAACTCCAGATCCTTCAACGTAACAGTAGGATGAAGTGTCTCCATGATATCAACAGCACCAGGACCTTGAAGTGCCACAAGAGCACGATCTTGCATACGTTCAATGATTGCATCACCTTTAAACTTCTCCAGCCGTTTTTGCATATGTAAGAGATCAATCTCTTGATTACCTGCGTTTACCACGACGTACACGTGGTCATCATAGCGACTGATGACGCAATCATCCATGATCCCACCCTTATCATTGGTAATCAAACTAAGCTTAGCTTCTCCAGTCTCAAGTCCCTGGAGATCACCTACAACAACCGTTTCCAGAAATTCCAGTCGATCGTTGCCTGTGATACGTACTTGTCCCATATGTGAAACGTCAAAAAGGGATGCTTTGCCCTGTTCACGTGTATGCAAATGAGACTGTAGGACACCAGCTGAATATTGTACGGGCATGGCGTAACCGCCAAATGGGACCATTTTCCCACCAAGTGAGACGTGTAAATCATATAAAGGTGTTTTCTTAAGCTTTAGAGAAGAAGAAGAAGAAATAAAGCGACGATGGAATTGACGAGTGATGGTGGATGAACGTAACATGGTTATCGACTTAATGGAACAATGGTGAATAAAATGACTGGAGCACACGGGACCTGGAGTCGTATAGGATGCCGTTATGTCGTTTTCGTCCTAGGTACGCACGTACTTTTATAGTTCGAATACCCAGAGTTGACACTAACTCCTCTCTCTATAATAGCAAAGCCTTTTTTTTACAATTTTCGAAAAAGAATCGACTTTCTCGATCACGCGAGCATGGGCTTGAACTTGCTTAATGTGTTGAATTCTGCCCCTTGCGCGTAATATGGTTATTTTATATCCAGTTGAGTCAATGGCTGCAATACGTCATGGGCATTTCATCGTCAGTCAATGCTTGAAAATGTCGGCAAATTATCGTTGAAGCAGTCGATAAGTCGACAATGTTCGAGGTTATTCCAAGCTGGCCTTGCTTGGTTTTTGACTATGGCAATCAGCTGATTTGAGTTGTCGTTGTGTGTCAAACTTTCTCATAGCTTATAGACCAAGCGTACAGGTCCTTACAACCCAGGTAGTAGCAAGCTGTCTCACGTGAAGCGTTCCATGCAGGGCGTTAATCTCAGCTGAACTAGTTAAATTAGCTTCACGAAGGACTACATCCAGTTCAAATTGTTTGAGCGCTTTTTAAGGTGCTGTTAGCGAAGAAACAAGTAAGACGAGTTACTGGAATCGTCCGAGGTCGTATCACCTCCTTGGATTCAAGTAGATTAATCTTCTTGGGCATACAAAATGTGTCGTAGTACTGACCCGTTTGCTATTTCAGCCATGTAAAGTGTCTTGTGTGGATCTTCAACGAGAACTACAATGATGCCACAGTCTTGCTTCATAGTGTGACTGTCACGATGCTTCGTCTCGGTGAGTAATACACAAGTAACGCCTAATAAATTGGTCCTAACCATTCTCAACAGTTACAAGAACAGCATGCACGAACGATCAAAGTATGTTTTATAGTCTTGAAGCAATGTCTTGTTTTCTACAAGGTGGCGTTACGTGCTTGCTAGTAAGTGTTCAGCTCAGAAATTGCGTAGACACACCATTGGTCACCTCTGAGGTAGTGAACTCTCCGCTTCTCGTCATATAGTTTATGATGATGTCCTCAAAATTATTGGCCCTAAACAAAAGCGTCTCGTATTGCACACGCTTACGTTGACGTCACCTTGTTTGATACTAGCGTTTTGTGTATGAGCGACAGTGAGGTCCACGTATGTGTACAAATTATCGTGATCGTGTACAAATTATCGTGATCGTGTTCAATTTGATGTGACACTGCAGCGCAGTACCGTTGTCACGGGTAAAAGCAAGAATTAGCTAGCGATGGCAGACCATTAAGAAACCGATTGCTCGGTTCAAATACGTTCTTTCAAGGATATGTGAAGAAGACGCCAGCCCCGCCGTGACTGTAGCTATTCCTGCTCCTTTCTACTGGTAGTGTCCAACAATCAGTTGCGTTTGTTTAAGAATGCCATCAAGAAAGACGATCGTTTCATGGTCCGACGGCGATGGTATTTCATTCCTAACCTCTGTAGTACTACTACTAGTTTAGCTAAAGGAGAACCAAAGCGTTGCAACATGTAATGAGAGCGTGGTTGTCGTCCGACAGTCAGGTATGGGCAGACATTGACGCAGATAAAAATACGGCTGAACGACTAACATACATCGTTCACTCTGTTGGTCGTCACGAACGAACAACACATGCAAGTCTTTCTCTCTTGAAAAGTTTGCTGTTAGAGGGCAACTTTGCAGTAGGTATTAGCTAGAGCCGATTCCAGAACCAAGGTTGTCATTACAGGAATGCTACAAATTGAAGATGGGCGGTGTTCCATATCAAAAGATTCATTCGCGTAGTGAGAAGGGTCCGACTGAGCTTACCTATTGACTACGGTTGGTGCACCCTTTTCGACGTCCGATGACCGCATTACAATAAAGCTATTGAAACATTGACATTGCCAAGGTTGTGCGAATGGAGTCTACGACTACTTTGTGTAAATCATTGCGGGACTGCTACAAGCTAGAGTATTATCACTCATGCATAACTTTGTTACCGGTTGGCTTGATAACAATGCACAAGAAACTGCGTGTACTATATTTTGGTATGGGGTGTAGACTTTGTAGGCCACTAGAATAGAGGTTAGCACAGCTGAGCTCTTGAAGGTAGGAGATAGTTAAGCAAGTTCAGTTAGTTCAGCGAACTGTATGAAATCAGACAGCAACAACTTATATGTGCTATTATGAAAAGACAACCCCTCGTTTTTTTCGATCGTGTATATCATCATGCTTTCGAAGCTGCTGGTCTTCTAAACGATAATGTTCCTCCTGATTAATCTACAAGCCTCTATCTCCTCTTTCAAGTCAAGGCAGACTGAACTTTTCTCAATATCGGAGAACCGTTAAAGCGTCTCAGAAAATGGTTAACATAACTAGCATCTAGCGACAGCACGATTTGTTGTATTCGTTTAGTCAGCTGCATGACTTGCGTATCGCTGACTCCTGTACGTGCTCAACGACAACGCGGAAACTCTGTGGTATACGGCAGAGTGGCCTGTCCGTCCGACGTCGAAAAACTGAAACGGCCGTATTCGCGCAAGCTCAATTACTCGGTGTGTATCTGGACTCTTTCGCTGCATCTCGGTGGAAGATAGTACAATGTAGCTTTCATTTTCGTATTCTTTGGAAAGAAATAAAGACATCATCCTTTACCAAAGACTATGCCTCGAATGAACTGGTTGTGGCGGTGGCGACAAAACAGCACCGACGACGAGGCTACTATCTCGACTGTGGAATCCTCAGACACCAAGAAGAAGCCTGAGCACGTTGTGATCCAGTCGTCTAGTCGACCCCGTTCACAAGTACCATGTCGACATGCGTCGTGGGATGAACTCCCATCTGTGACGGCAAACAATGGACTACAACACAGCACGTGCAAACTTCGGCGTCGATTTACGATTCACGGCCTCTCTTACCGCTGTGCTAGTCATGAGGATGCAGGTTGGAACTGTAACTTCGCGCCAAAAGGTCATCATCATCATTCATGGCCCTCAGCGTCGCTAAGTCAAGGTCGCCCAAGGTCATTTGGATCAGGCCGAACCCTGCGGGCCTCCACCTTTCCACTCGTTCCGAATAATTACCCGTCAATTATTTTCATTGACTGTCCACCATAGGAACTTTACTACCTTGTTATCTGTTCATTGAAAACGCTAAAAAGACATGTAGTGTTGAAAACAAGTGGTGATACATGTTACAGGTACTTTGACTTCTAGATAGTAATATCGTTTTTATTCGTGCTGTGAGAAACAGCCTCCTACAATGACTGACCCAAGAATAATAATAACACCATCAGCCTTTAGGTCACGCTTGAAGATTTACAAATCCTTACTATTATTATAAGAAGTTGTTCATGATGACCGTTTGCAGGCCACGTAACACGTTACTTACGGTTCATATCTAACCTACCTCGTTTCAAAAAATGTGTTTTGTTTTCCGTGTTCACATATCGAGATGTAACCACCATACTGTCGTTATCATAGGAGATGAACTCTATCATCGATTGTAAACACGTCACTGTAGATATTCTTGGCCTTAGGCCGTAAGAGGTAACACTGACCGCACTCATTTCTAATGACCAGACTGTCCTAAACAATACTCTTATTGTTGCATAAGCCTATATCATCATTCATTGCCTCGTTAAGAATAGCGCCTGGCTCAATATTGTGAGCAAATCGACATGTGATGGAAGCGACATGTTGAAGTGAGTGCTGTATGGATCCAGCAGTTGGCTATAATTCTTGACAGCGATACCTCTAGATAGCGATATATAATGAAACGTGAGGATTGTTTATGTACCATACAAAAATGACTGAAATGATGCTTTTATTATAATGTTAATTAAGTCAATCCTCTTTTAATATAAATGCCGTATATACGATATGAATATATATGTATATGTGTTTACGCAAATGATTGATAACAGATATATTACAATTGTAACTAACATCTATAGGTCAATAATATAATTTACAATAGATAAATGTGCTAGATTATGAATAAGTAGCCATGTTTTTGAGAATATTAATAGGAGTATTATCGAACCATTTTTATCACAGAATGTTGGTTTTAGGTAAACCACATCGAATAACCGATTTCTGACCTACCACACAAATGACGCTGTATCAATCACCACTTGTTCAAGGCTTCCGATTCGTCATATGGCCCTTCTCACGGTCTTATTATTGGACTAGATGCTTGCAAACTTCTTCTGCTACTGCATCTCTATCTACAGTCCTCAGTGCATCTTCAAAACACAAAGCAAAGACTCGTAAGAAACAGTCACGTTTAATTACGCTGCCTGTATTTTGGCCAATCAAAGGTGTCTCTGAACCTCCTCAATTACGTCCCCATGAGATAGACATTGTAAACCGTCTGTTTAAAGTAGACAGTACATTGATCACGACAACGTCGGATCCGACCGACCTTCCAGAGTGGAACGTTCCGGAAATCGCCTTTGCCGGTCGTTCAAATGCTGGCAAATCGTCCCTGATTAACGCTTTGACCGGTCAGAGGACACTTGTGAAGACATCAAAGACACCTGGACGGACACAGCAATTGCATTTTCTCAGTGTAGGGGGTAAAAAGGTAGTTTGCCAATCTTGTCGCTTGTGGACATGCCCGGCTTTGGTTTTGCGACGGCCCCCAAAAAAGTGGTGGACGAATGGCACACGCTTGTAGGTGGCTATGTGGACAACCGGCGTGGTAACAACCTGAAGACGACAATGCTACTAATTGACGCACGACGAGGTTTGGGTCCGGCTGATCATGACTTTATGGATTTCCTGCACGACCTGGGGGCGCTGTATCAGGTGGTGTTTACCAAGGTGGATACAGTCAACCGAACAGAACTCGAGAAACAGATTGAAAAGGCAAGAGATGTGGCACTGAATGCAAAGCGAATGGTATGTATGATGGAGGACACTTGGTAGACAAAGGTAGACACTTGTATTTGATTTGACTGATAGTTGTGTGTTGTGTTTGTTGTAATGGTGTGGTAGAGTATGAACCCGGTTATCCAAGTGACGAGTGTGAAAGAACGATTTGGTATCAAGGAGTTGCAGCGTCAACTTGTGAGCATGACAGGGCTGCTAGCAAATCAGCGTCTATAAATGATCAAGAGGAAACTTTGTAACAAATGAGTATAGCTGTACTCTTACGTATGGGGTCATGTGCTCAATAGGTCAAAAATGTAGCTGACATGGCGTTTGTGCTACAAAGCTGCAGCACCCTAGCCCATCATCACCTACGTCGACAATCGCAAGCAAATCTTTGCTGATGATGGAGACGAAAAAAAACAAATCTGCCGCGAGTCAATGTAGCAACATTGTTGAAGCCGTGGGTAGATCAATGTGTGAGGTATCTGTGAGAAGCGGCCATTGCTAAGACCCTGGACGTCAGTAGACCCTGTTCATAACATATATCACTATTCACATTAATACCAGATTGCAGCTCCACTAGGTCTATACGGCTTGTCTGCGCTGGTTTTTGAGCCAGAGAACGATCTGAAGTCGAAGTATGTGCTCTGCCGTCTTACGGTTGTGCACATCGTTACACAGAAACTATTTGCTCCTTTTCTCAAGTTCTTATTTGGACTACTGGTTTGGAGAATAGACGATTCTCGAGCGCTTTTTTTTTCGATGAAGATATGAATGACAGAGACGTGTAAAGTAGAGAAGCTTCCAATTATTCATACTAGATGCGTGTCTACTGGGTGTTTTGGCGTGCAAAATTTTAGATAATGCTGTGGTCGAGCAACTTGCTGACAGGAGACGTCAAATAGAGCAAAGTGCTAGATGCTTATTTTTTTGTCGTCCAGCGGCTAGACGCTGCAAAGACATTAGGGCTAATGCTAACGATAAGCGATCAGTCGCTAGTATGTTGTTGCTGTATGTTGGCATAAGAATATCGGAAGAGCAACGTGGTCAAAGTCATCAGATATCTTGAAATGATCTACCAAATCAATCGTTCAGGTACATTGTTATGAAGCTTGGAGCGGCGAAACCCTCAAGTTATAATGTTCTTGGCAGACACAAATTCTATCGTTATGAGCAGTCTAGCTCGTGATGATGTATCTGCTTTATATACCTTGCTGAATACCTCAGCACACAAAAATAAAAATTTCCATCAAGCTTTGACGTGCCAGGTTTCAAGGAAGAGGTTTGATTAGCGGGTTTAAGTTATACAAGTGAGATATACAAGTGAGATCATCGACATAATGTCATGAAGACTTGCTGTTGTGACAGGAAGCACCGACCCTTGTCATGCAATTTGCGTCAATCTGACATCAAGAATGGAACCCAGGGTTTTCATCATCAAGTGCTGCTTGTGCCGCCTTAAGAACACGCCTTACACCGTTTGGACGCTGATGACTGAAAATTTCTCTAGTCTACTCGAGTTTTCCAAGAATGTCCTCATCGCGAAACAAAAACAATTCATCTTGACCAAATTAGCCACAGCTTCAACCATACAAAGCATGTTGTAACTAGCTTCATAAATGGCCTATCTCTAGTAACAACAACTAACAACACAATTGCATGCATGTGCTCAACATACTCTTTAAACGGTAAGCATTAATTATAGCAAATGTAGCTAGCTACCTCTTGCAAGCCCATTGATTCTAGCCAAAACATTTGCCGATTCGTTTAAGACGGCGGTACCACCGGCGTAAATGCCTTACGCGGTGGGTTCTGAGGCGCCGTCTTTGACTTCCTCAAATTGAACATTGACTGCTTCGTCGATAACATTTTATCCATCTTTTTCTTCACGCGGCGTGCATAATCCTCGTCAACATCGTTGAAATTCTTCAACGTACGCTCTTGCACCGGCTTGGAAGCATTCACAAGCGAGATGGCGATATTTTCCGTCAGTCGTTCGCGCGCTTCTTCATCCAGCACTTTGTGGTAGAAAACACGAACTTGTGTAAGATTGTCGTCGTAAGCGGACGAGTACTTATCAACCACGGAATGTTCTCCTTCGTACGCGTTATAGCGAAGTGACTCATCTTCTTGCGGTCCACCTAAGCTGTTGGGAAAGTACGTCGGTGCGTCGCCCATGTTACCGTTCACCACAAATGGCCCATCCCGCTGGTACGTTTGCGGTTCCTTCAGTGGCCGATTTACCGGAATCTGCTGGTAGTTTTTACCCAAACGATGACGTAACGTGTCCGGGTAGGAAAACAAACGTCCTTGCAGCATTTTGTCAGGTGATGCCCCAACTCCAGGAACCATGTGTGATGGAGAAAATGCAAGCTGCTCAATCTCAGCAAAGTAGTTGACCGGGTTCCTGTTCAATACCATACGCCCGACTTCTTTCAGTGGAAAATCACCATGTGGCCATACCTTCGTTACGTCAAACGCAATAAACTTATGTTCCTTCGCTTGTTCAGGAGTCATTGTCTGAATGTACAACGTCCACGACGGGAAATCACCACCCTCGATGGCTTCGAACAAGTCTCGATTTGCGTAGTCTGGGTCGGCACCAGCCAGAACAGCAGCATCGTTTACAGCCAAATTACGGATACCCTGGTCCGTCTTAAAATGATACTTCACGTAAGTCAGCTTACCCTCGCTGTTGTAATTGGCAAACGTGTTACTGCCGTAGCCATTCATGAAGCGGTAGCCATCTGGGATTCCACGATCCGAGAAAAGCCACGTCTGCATGTGCAGTGACTCTGGACGTAGTGAAAAGAAATCCCACACCATGTTGGCATCTTTCAAGTGTGAAGCGGGCAGACGTTTCTGCGAGTGGATGAAGCTTGGAAAGAGTATTGGGTCGCGAATGAAGAAAATCGGCGTGTTGTTGCACACGAGATCCCAATTGCCTTCTTCCGTGTAAAATTTAAGAGCGAAGCCGCGTGGGTCGCGCATTGTGTCAGCACTACCAGATTCGCCCGTTACGAACGAAAAACGAGCTGCAACGGGTGTGCGCTTACCAACCTCCGAGAACATCTTCGTACATGTAAACTCGGTAATCTCGGGGTGAGTCACTTCAAAGTATCCAAAAGCACCGCCACCTTTGGCGTGAACAACGCGCTCAGGCACCCGCTCACGGTCGAAATGTGACAGGTGGTCAATAAATTCAAAGTCTTCGAGAAGCAAAGGGCCTGTTGATCCAGCTGTGGCAGACGCCGTCAAACCAAACCGAGGCATTGGAGCACCATTACTCTTTGTGCAAATTGGTGGGGTCATGACTTTTGTACTTTCTTGAAACTTTCAAAATGAGCGCGAGTAAGAGAGAACAAACACCGCTTGTTCACTTGAATTCTCACATTGGGACGAAGTATTCACCCACCATTTGTGCGTTGTGTTTTTTCCTACTGTTCTTGTTGGAATGGCTGTCAACGGGATTGACCAGCGATGGTATGTGACTTTTCCGACATTCATTCTCTTGTCGCTACGCTGGTTTATGCAGTCTTCAAAGCAGGATACCGAGTCAAGAACTATCTTTCAGTTTGTACTTTTTTCTTACATCCATAATGACTGCAGCACATTGAGTCTAACCGTCGTTCTTATTGATTCTGTTTTTGTGAAACGATCGCCAGGGTAGTGGATGTTCTTAAGAGTGTTCGCGACAAGTGTCACACATTTTCGAGCGACTTGATGGAGAGACCAAAGGTTCACAAACCTGCTTCGCTTCTCAATTATTTTTGCTTCCGGAAAAACGGAATAGCGACTCAGAACGTTTTGATTCAGTTCTCTTTCATCAATCAGCGTGATGATATGCATACTAACGATTTTATTACATCCGATGTTAACAACACTGACGTTCCTCGTATTGAGCAGACAAGCATTTTGCCATGAAAGATTGAAAGCTCCTCTTATTTACACGTCTCTGTCATTCATATCTTCATCGAAAAAAAAAAGCGCTCGAGAATCGTCTATTCTCCAAACCAGTAGTCCAAATAAGAACTTGAGAAAAGGAGCAAATAGTTTCTGTGTAACGATGTGAACAACCGTAAGACGGCAGAGCACATACTTCGACTTCAGATCGTTCTCTGGCTCAAAAACCAGCGCAGACAAGCCGTATAGACCTAGTGGAGCTGCAATCTGGTATTAATGTGAATAGTGATATATGTTATGAACAGGGTCTACTGACGTCCAGGGTCTTAGCAATGGCCGCTTCTCACAGATACCTCACACATTGGTCTACCCACGGCTTCAACAATGTTGCTACATTGACTCGCGGCAGATTTGTTTTTTTTCGTCTCCATCATCAGCAAAGATTTGCTTGCGATTGTCGACGTAGGTGATGATGGGCTAGGGTGCTGCAGCTTTGTAGCACAAACGCCATGTCAGCTACATTTTTGACCTATTGAGCACATGACCCCATACGTAAGAGTACAGCTATACTCATTTGTTACAAAGTTTCCTCTTGATCATTCATAGACGCTGATTTGCTAGCAGCCCTGTCATGCTCACAAGTTGACGCTGCAACTCCTTGATACCAAATCGTTCTTTCACACTCGTCACTTGGATAACCGGGTTCATACTCTACCACACCATTACAACAAACACAACACACAACTATCAGTCAAATCAAATACAAGTGTCTACCTTTGTCTACCAAGTGTCCTCCATCATACATACCATTCGCTTTGCATTCAGTGCCACATCTCTTGCCTTTTCAATCTGTTTCTCGAGTTCTGTTCGGTTGACTGTATCCACCTTGGTAAACACCACCTGATACAGCGCCCCCAGGTCGTGCAGGAAATCCATAAAGTCATGATCAGCCAGTTAAAAAATTCGACGAGCAATTGCACGTCAAATAGAGCAAAGTGCTAGATGCTTATTTTTTTGTCGTCCAGCGGCTAGACGCTGCAAAGACATTAGGGCTAATGCTAACGATAAGCGATCAGTCGCTAGTATGTTGTTGCTGTATATTGGCAACAGAATATCGGAAAAGCAACGTGGTCAAAGTCATCAGATATCTTGAAATGATCTACCAAATCAATCGTTCAGGTACATTGTTATGAAGCTTGGAGCGGCGAAACCCTCAAGTTATAATGTTCTTGGCAGACACAAATTCTATCGTTATGAGCAGTCTAGCTCGTGATGATGTATCTGCTTTATATACCTTGCTGAATACCTCAGCACACAAAAATAAAAATTTCCATCAAGCTTTGACGTGCCAGGTTTCAGTTTGATTAGCGGGTTTAAGTTATACAAGTGAGATATACAAGTGAGATCATCGACATAATGTCATGAAGACTTGCTGTTGTGACAGGAAGCACCGACCCTTGTCATGCAATTTGCGTCAATCTGACATCAAGAATGGAACCCAGGGTTTTCATCATCAAGTGCTGCTTGTGCCGCCTTAAGAACACGCCTTACACCGTTTGGACGCTGATGACTGAAACTTTCTCTAGGGCATGTTGTAACTAGCTTCATAAATGGCCTATCTCTAATAAGCAACAACTAACAACACAATTGCATGCATGTGCTCAACATACTCTTTAAACGGTAAGCATTAATTATAGCAAATGTAGCTAGCTACCTCTTGCAAGCCCATTGATTCTAGCCAAAACATTTGCCGATTCGTTTAAGACGGCGGTACCACCGGCGTAAATGCCTTACGCGGTGGGTTCTGAGGCGCCGTCTTTGACTTCCTCAAATTGAACATTGACTGCTTCGTCGATAACATTTTTTCCATCTTTTTCTTCACGCGGCGTGCATAATCCTCGTCAACATCGTTGAAATTCTTCAACGTACGCTCTTGCACCGGCTTGGAAGCATTCACAAGCGAGATGGCGATATTTTCCGTCAGTCGTTCGCGCGCTTTTTCATCCAGCACTTTGTGGTAGAAAACACGAACTTGTGTAAGATTGTCGTCGTAAGCGGACGAGTACTTATCAACCACGGAATGTTCTCCTTCGTACGCGTTATAGCGAAGTGACTCATCTTCTTGCGGTCCACCTAAGCTGTTGGGAAAGTACGTCGGTGCGTCGCCCATGTTACCGTTCACCACAAATGGCCCATCCCGCTGGTACGTTTGCGGTTCCTTCAGTGGCCGATTTACCGGAATCTGCTGGTAGTTTTTACCCAAACGATGACGTAACGTGTCCGGGTAGGAAAACAAACGTCCTTGCAGCATTTTGTCAGGTGATGCCCCAACTCCAGGAACCATGTGTGATGGAGAAAATGCAAGCTGCTCAATCTCAGCAAAGTAGTTGACCGGGTTCCTGTTCAATACCATACGCCCGACTTCTTTCAGTGGAAAATCACCATGTGGCCATACCTTCGTTACGTCAAACGCAATAAACTTATGTTCCTTCGCTTGTTCAGGAGTCATTGTCTGAATGTACAACGTCCACGACGGGAAATCACCACCCTCGATGGCTTCGAACAAGTCTCGATTTGCGTAGTCTGGGTCGGCACCAGCCAGAACAGCAGCATCGTTTACAGCCAAATTACGGATACCCTGGTCCGTCTTAAAATGATACTTCACGTAAGTCAGCTTACCCTCGCTGTTGTAATTGGCAAACGTGTTACTGCCGTAGCCATTCATGAAGCGGTAGCCATCTGGGATTCCACGATCCGAGAAAAGCCACGTCTGCATGTGCAGTGACTCTGGACGTAGTGAAAAGAAATCCCACACCATGTTGGCATCTTTCAAGTGTGAAGCGGGCAGACGTTTCTGCGAGTGGATGAAGCTTGGAAAGAGTATTGGGTCGCGAATGAAGAAAATCGGCGTGTTGTTGCACACGAGATCCCAATTGCCTTCTTCCGTGTAAAATTTAAGAGCGAAGCCGCGTGGGTCGCGCATTGTGTCAGCACTACCAGATTCGCCCGTTACGAACGAAAAACGAGCTGCAACGGGTGTGCGCTTACCAACCTCCGAGAACATCTTCGTACATGTAAACTCGGTAATCTCGGGGTGAGTCACTTCAAAGTATCCAAAAGCACCGCCACCTTTGGCGTGAACAACGCGCTCAGGCACCCGCTCACGGTCGAAATGTGACAGGTGGTCAATAAATTCAAAGTCTTCGAGAAGCAAAGGGCCTGTTGATCCAGCTGTGGCAGACGCCGTCAAACCAAACCGAGGCATTGGAGCACCATTACTCTTTGTGCAAATTGGTGGGGTCATGACTTTTGTACTTTCTTGAAACTTTCAAAATGAGCGCGAGTAAGAGAGAACAAACACCGCTTGTTCACTTGAATTCTCACATTGGGACGAAGTATTCACCCACCATTTGTGCGTTGTGTTTTTTCCTACTGTTCTTGTTGGAATGGCTGTCAACGGGATTGACCAGCGATGGTATGTGACTTTTCCGACATTCATTCTCTTGTCGCTACGCTGGTTTATGCAGTCTTCAAAGCAGGATACCGAGTCAAGAACTATCTTTCAGTTTGTACTTTTTTCTTACATCCATAATGACTGCAGCACATTGAGTCTAACCGTCGTTCTTATTGATTCTGTTTTTGTGAAACGATCGCCAGGGTAGTGGATGTTCTTAAGAGTGTTCGCGACAAGTGTCACACATTTTCGAGCGACTTGATGGAGAGACCAAAGGTTCACAAACCTGCTTCGCTTCTCAATTATTTTTGCTTCCGGAAAAACGGAATAGAGACTCAGAACGTTTTGATTCAGTCTCTTTCATCAATCAGCGTGATGATATGCATACTAACGATTTTATTACATCCGATGTTAACAACACTGACGTTCCTCGTATTGAGCAGACAAGCATTTTGCCATGAAAGATTGAAAGCTCCTCTTATTTACACGTCTCTGTCATTCATATCTTCATCGAAAAAAAAAAGCGCTCGAGAATCGTCTATTCTCCAAACCAGTAGTCCAAATAAGAACTTGAGAAAAGGAGCAAATAGTTTCTGTGTAACGATGTGAACAACCGTAAGACGGCAGAGCACATACTTCGACTTCAGATCGTTCTCTGGCTCAAAAACCAGCGCAGACAAGCCGTATAGACCTAGTGGAGCTGCAATCTGGTATTAATGTGAATAGTGATATATGTTATGAACAGGGTCTACTGACGTCCAGGGTCTTAGCAATGGCCGCTTCTCACAGATACCTCACACATTGGTCTACCCACGGCTTCAACAATGTTGCTACATTGACTCGCGGCAGATTTGTTTTTTTTCGTCTCCATCATCAGCAAAGATTTGCTTGCGATTGTCGACGTAGGTGATGATGGGCTAGGGTGCTGCAGCTTTGTAGCACAAACGCCATGTCAGCTACATTTTTGACCTATTGCGCACATGACCCCATACGTAAGAGTACAGCTATACTCATTTGTTACAAAGTTTCCTCTTGATCATTTATAGACGCTGATTTGCTAGCAGCCCTGTCATGCTCACAAGTTGACGCTGCAACTCCTTGATACCAAATCGTTCTTTCACACTCGTCACTTGGATAACCGGGTTCATACTCTACCACACCATTACAACAAACACAACACACAACTATCAGTCAAATCAAATACAAGTGTCTACCTTTGTCTACCAAGTGTCCTCCATCATACATACCATTCGCTTTGCATTCAGTGCCACATCTCTTGCCTTTTCAATCTGTTTCTCGAGTTCTGTTCGGTTGACTGTATCCACCTTGGTAAACACCACCTGATACAGCGCCCCCAGGTCGTGCAGGAAATCCATAAAGTCATGATCAGCCGGACCCAAACCTCGTCGTGCGTCAATTAGTAGCATTGTCGTCTTCAGGTTGTTACCACGCCGGTTGTCCACATAGCCACCTACAAGCGTGTGCCATTCGTCCACCACTTTTTTGGGGGCCGTCGCAAAACCAAAGCCGGGCATGTCCACAAGCGACAAGATTGGCAAACTACCTTTTTTACCCCCTACACTGAGAAAATGCAATTGCTGTGTCCGTCCAGGTGTCTTTGATGTCTTCACAAGTGTCCTCTGACCGGTCAAAGCGTTAATCAGGGACGATTTGCCAGCATTTGAACGACCGGCAAAGGCGATTTCCGGAACGTTCCACTCTGGAAGGTCGGTCGGATCCGACGTTGTCGTGATCAATGTACTGTCTACTTTAAACAGACGGTTTACAATGTCTATCTCATGGGGACGTAATTGAGGAGGTTCAGAGACACCTTTGATTGGCCAAAATACAGGCAGCGTAATTAAACGTGACTGTTTCTTACGAGTCTTTGCTTTGTGTTTTGAAGATGCACTGAGGACTGTAGATAGAGATGCAGTAGCAGAAGAAGTTTGCAAGCATCTAGTCCAATAATAAGACCGTGAGAAGGGCCATATGACGAATCGGAAGCCTTGAACAAGTGGTGATTGATACAGCGTCATTTGTGTGGTAGGTCAGAAATCGGTTATTCGATGTGGTTTACCTAAAACTAACATTCTGTGATAAAAATTCGATTACTAGATCCAGAACCTCTTCTAACTAGCTATAACTGTCTTTATAGTGTTATCCACCTCTTACAAGCCAGCCATCGTTTGTAATCATTTGAAGCCTTATCTGGTGTACTGTCTTTGAATCTTGAGGTGATAAAATCAATGATACTGCGGCAGTCTCTGTACGCTTCAATGATTTCATCACATACACTTAAAAATAGCATTGCATAAACATGACGTGATTTTTCCAAGGGGTCAAGTATCAGAAATTAGTGTTGAAGTATACTCGACACACTTAACACTGTTGATCTCGCAGCTCACCGCTTCTTTAGTCATCGCTTGTGCTGTTTAATGTCAATGTTGAAGTTTTGAGAGAGGATTAAGATAAACCAAATCGTTTCGGTGGAATTCTGATCTCGTCGCAGTTTCACCCGCACCTAAACGAAAACTTTTCAGCTTTACACTGATCGACCAAAAGAGCCGCATGAACGTAGAATTTGCGGCACTATTGTTGTTTGTACTTTTAGCGGTGTAACGAGTCTCCAAGACACTCGCAACTCATTCACGCTGTGAAGATTAGTTTAGTTTGTTTGTGCTTGATAAATGTCAACATACAACTAAGTTAACGACTTGTATGGACAGATACTGCTCAAGACACTAGCTAGTCAACAAAAAGACGGCAGCGGCCGCTACGACCACGTGGAAGAGAGAATCAAAAATGCTAAAGATGTCGGCTGAAAAGCGTCAGCTGGAAAAAAACCTCTGGTCGCAGATTTGCATTCGATGACAGCAATCGTGTCTGTTTTCAAAACCACAAAAACAATGCAGCCGTTTGATCAAACAGCATTAAGACTTCAATCACAGGCAACAAGAGCCGGACACAAGTCGTATAGCAACTTCATGAAGTTATTTGCGTCTGCTGACTATTGCCACCATGACAAAACTAAACTTGAATCTTCGTCTTTGTTTGTATGGTACCAGATGTACACTTAGGATATTGAAGGGTATCATAAGTTCTTTGTCGATGTACATTGTGTACCTAGTGCCTCTGCTTTTTGCAACACCATGTATAGCGCATTTCGTCAACTTGTGTTCAAAGCCACGACAATACCGTCCATCATTAGATCGAATGAGTGCTCGCTATGTCAACTTATTTGTGTTTAAAAGCATCTACATTATGGTGGAACTAGACTGTATCAATCTGTCAATCTAATGTAATGCACTCTATGCGTCTAGACGCATATATCGCAAGACACTATTCCATACTGCAATTTACCAAATTTACATGCATGTATCGCACAGAACGAATGCGAAACAAAGGCAAAAAACTGGACAATAGAATCGATGGTAGGACTAAATGAGCGCTTATGGGGTTTCAGTTGTTCAGACTTTCTATATGTTGTTTGTTTAATGAAATAATTACATTTCATTGTGTTCATTTTGATAACTAATAGTATTCGTTCGCTTTTTATTCCTAAAGTTGGTTTATCGTAAGCTTATATCATCATATAAGATAATCGCTTAAATCCATCTCAAGCAGTCAGTTTGTGTGTGTCCGGATAATATGTGAAATCTATCATGTGCTTGTTAGCTGAATCGTGCAATCGATTCATGGTTTTTCCCATCCAACAAACATTTGCATAAAATTACAAATTTTGCACGGACTGTGAAAATCTCAACTGGCTTGTAAGACTTGACGTCAGCTGTTCAGCTTATGAACTAATAGTTATGGCCGAGATTACCTCTATGAAATAGTCTGCATTGTGTATCCTAGTAGCAAGTTATAGCGTGACTGAAACAAGCTTTAACCTCGTCAAATTTGTCATAGAGCGCAACGCCTGATCAAATAGTGGTTTCGGTTTTCAAATCAACTCAACAGCAATCGATATGTGTCAGGGTTGATAGTAGACGTTGCCCTTCACCGTGCGATAAAAGCGCCTCATACAATTGCAAAAGCTTCACCTAAGTGATGCTTCAAACACAAATGCTCAGCACTGTGCAAGTTATCATGCCAATAAGAACGCACATACGTGGCCGAGATATCAAAAGCAAACTCGTTTGCATCTTTGAGCACCACGCAATTGCGTGTTTTTGTTTGCCGTACTCATATACGCTTTGACAACTTGTGTGCGTGTTGTTAGCGCGAATTGTGTCTTTGCTTGTTGGTAGGAAACGTGGACGCGCCAAATGACATTGCCCGGACAGTGTGTGTGCTTTGAAAAAAACAGGCAGCTTCAGCAATCTTGCACTGGTATGATGGCCAAATTGACCTGTCCTCATAAGTCGCTTACAATATGCAGTGAGTTAGCTTGGTAATCAGCTTGGAGGCATCCATGGACTGCCGTTGTGTTGTCGCTCCTAGGTTACCCAGGAATTGGTAGACGCCATTCGTGAAGTAATGATAATAGACTATAGTAGCCCAATGACTGCAGCTAGTAATACAAAGGGCGAGCATCTGACCCTGCTCAAACAATGGTAAGAACTTTATGGCTGCCATAAGTGCCAATGAAAATAAAGTGAATACGATAGTACCGTGTGGCTAGAGCTTTGGCACATAGCCATACAAAATCACCTCTCGACTATCAACCACGCCAGGTAGCAGCGCAATGAGACTTGCTACGTTCAAAGCAAAAGATGCCGCATCAGGTGATTGTAATAAGGGTAACCATTACGAGCTAGACGGTGAGCAAATTGCTTGTGCATGGCACTTTTGCGTGTAAAGGTGATCATCGTAAATGGGATGCATCGTAGTTATATATTACTGCTTGATCCCTATACATTTCCATGCTTACACATAAATAACGCAACAGTATTTGAAATACAATTGCAACAACATGAGCTTATCATGGTCACTGCATGAGCAACCAACATCCATACACATGTACTACTAATAATCCTTGAAGTATATCCGGCCCATTCAAACACTCTCTTGGTCATACTTACACGACATTATCCGGTCTCACCCCTACCTGTTTGTTCTTTTTCGAAGCTTATTGCTTGCTTCTCTGCTATATTTTTCGTGTGGACACCGCTCTTCTGGTGCTAATCTATGATCAGAGGAGCTCAACTCGTTCTGTACCTGTTATCAGACATGGTGCAACAAGACCGCTACAAACTGTTAATGAGCACTTCAAGATGTGGCAAGCAAGATGAAGCAAGATGTTGCATTAAATGGAAAAGTCTGCAGCGTTTTCGCGCATCTTCTTTCAAGTCACTTCGGTGATGCCGTCGTCAATGCGTCAAAAAAATTGCCGTCACCTATAAGCTCAGCATGTTGAAACCGTCCACCTTGTCGTTATTCGAATAATTAAAACGTGTGTGGCAAGTGTGTACTGTTTGCATTTTAATACCATTGACTGACTATCCAGCAAGAGCAGAGACTCTAACCATCTGGTAATGGCTAAGTCCAATCCTCATGCATGTCATGACGGTACTGCCCGCAAGCAGCAGGTTAATTTTCCCCCTCTCGTTGCTCGACTAGACCGTAAGTTAGAAACGTTTCTAAAACGACAACTGGCACCTTTACATCCATTTTCTCATACAAATCCTCCTGCTCAGCTCAGCTTTATTGTCGTGGAAGAGACGGTATTACATGACGAGGACGGAAATCAAGGGGAAGGGTAAATATGGTGGGGTTCTTCACTTGATCTTTGTATTAAACCTTATGTAAGATGAAAGAACCTATTCTACATAATTAATTATATACCACCGTCAACAATCACACAGCATTTGTGAATTTCACTTCCAGCAGTGACCATCACTCTTGACCGGTAGAAAACAAAGGTTGAGTCTTTAGTTGTAAATTTTGCTTTCTCTAGACAAGTAGTAGTATAGTAGTCGTCGTCGTAGTAGTATATACACTCGATCATATCTTCCACTTGTATACATTTACAATAATGGCATCTACCGGTACCTTTATACCAGCATCAAGTCTTTTAACAGGCGAGCTAAGTCCTAGTAGCAGCCAAGGCAGCAGTAATGAAGCCCATGCAGCACCAATTTTGGCATCTCGCTTTGCCCAGCGACGTTTACGTGTCGTGACGGAACCCAAACACAGTAATAAGATGCATCATACGCGAACGTTATCGGAACTTATTCTCTTGTCACCTCAAAGTAGCTCACGTATTACACCACGCCATAAGCGCTTTGATATGGATATTGAAGTATCGAGCTTTTTTGCAGCAGGAGAAGGTCTTGTAGACCTTATGGGCAGTAGCAGGAGCTTTCGTCAATTAAATGAACGTCATTCGACGGGGTTTTCCTCCTTCTTTGGGGAAGATATTTCAAGCACCAGTGGGTTATATCCGAATCCGGAGACACACAACCAGCATGATGAAATGGATACGGAAGAAGACGGACCAGAGCCAGAGGTTGAACCTCCAATTGAGCCAGTAGAAGTGCAGCATAATGTAGGAGAAGTCGTTGATATGCTGTTTGAAATCCACTCGGCGCTTAAGAGCAGACATTTGGGACAACGTACTGCAGCATCTGCATTGGCTGCTAGTAATTTGGTGAGCACATTAGCGTACCCGACTTTGGAGCCAATTACGAGAGATGAACAATTGGAAGTGCTGGAGAATACACGTAAGATGCTGGAGTGTGCCATATGTCAGGAGGTTTTTACGAATGCAACGGAAGCTACGTGCTGTGGACAGATCTTTTGTAAAGACTGTATTGAGCGTTGGGTGAGTGAGAGAGGCTCGTGTCCTATGTGCCGAGAAGCCATTGGTTTTTCACTTTTGGCGGCGTCACGACATGCGCAGCGGATGGCAAACGAGATGGAGGTGAGCTGTCCATACTGCTCTGAGAACATGAAGAAGGCTAGCCTCGTAGACCATGTGAGCGCATGCGACCAGGCTCCTGTGGAGCCCCCACCGCCGGCAGATGTGGCGCTGCGTCAGCTTCTTATTCGCACTGCAAGACTTAATAGCGCCTGCTTGGCACGGTTTTTGATGGCATCGTCGCCCCCGCAAGCTTTGATGATGCAGTGCTATATCCGCACACGCGGGGGAGGCAACTACGAACTGTACACACAGGACACGGACACACTGCTGTGCACAGCAGTACGTCGACGGCAGTACGATATGTCGGTAAGCTTTATCATCTCGTTAGCGACGAATGTGTACTCGGCATCCGAACAGATGGATGCGGTTGGTGCTTATCCGGTGAACGCAGCGGTGCCTGTGGCAAGACTAGACAAGAACTACATGGGCTCTCAGTACACAATGTACGATACGACTGGTGAAGTTCCACTTGAATTGGGCGCCGTGCAGTATGCAGCCACGTTCGGCAAGTCACCGCGTCAGATGCGTGTTGTGCTGCCACTTGTGGGAGTTATTCCTGGCGTTGACAGCGCTGTAGATGGCGCTCCGTCGTGGGCGGTGCAGCCGTGGAGACCCGAGACCAAGGAGGACACGATTCTTTCACAGGTGGAAAATCCGGATACTTCTCGCGCCTTGCACCTGATTAACAAACCGCCTGTGTGGATCGAGTCGCTCGAGGCCTACTGTCTAGATTTTGGTGGTCGTGTAGCTGCTGCCTCTGTCAAGAACTTCCTGCTCTCACACCCTGACGACATGGACACAACACTCATGCTTTTTGGCCGTACTCAAGACCGTCAAGTTTATTCGATGGACTATGCCCACCCATTCACTCCAGTGCAAGCTTTCGCGATTGCTCTGAGCAGCATGGATTCACATCTCGTGACCTTTGATTAGACGTGAGGTTGTTACGGAGTCGGCATCACGCAGTCATGCGGAAAGACTAGGTATGTATTATCTCTCTCGCGTGAAAATGTTTTGTCGCTGCTGTCGCACGAACCGATCGACGTAATACCCACGAACGGCCTGTAACTAGCTCTTCTTGCAGACCCACACTACCGTGAACGTTATTGTAGCAAGTTCCATTTGTTAGTGTAAAATAGAAGCACTTGATATGTATTTGATTACAGTGTTCACCTCGTCGACCCATGGTTTGTAATTGGAGCTATCCACGGTGCTGCAGTGTTTTGCACGTGTGCATGCTGATCAAACAAGCGTAACTATTATTTTCTCTACTACAGCATTGACGAAGTCTTTCTATACTAATCAAAGTATGCATTACATTGCTAGTGAACCAATCAAGTGATATTTTGTATCTTTTTTAGTGGACCGCTAAAGACAACGCTAGTGACATTAGCAGCATAAAATATCACATCAAATGTGTCAATACTAGTTGGACGGGATCAACAAAAGCTTTTGTCGAAATTTAGACGAGTATACAAATAATCCGTCAAAGTATAGACGAGTATACGTACAAATGATCCGCATAAACTATTATATCCGTCACCTGAAAAGCATTTTTTTATGTCATTTACTTGTCGAAAATGATATCAAGATTTCATCAGTTTTTGCATTGTAGGTCTTGTTCAATTCATGTATTGCACATCAATCAATAAACTCCACACATTTATTACCACTCTTGCCACCCGCCACCAGCTAACAAGTGACAATCACTCTTGGTGTGCGTCATGACATCCCCGCTTAAACAGATCACTCCGACTGATGTAGCCAGCTTTGCGTACGATCCCGTGGACCCCACGGCACTTGAGGATGCTAAGCTCATTGTCAATGATGTGCGTTATAAGGGCATTCTGGGGCTCAAGGAGCACGCCGTGAGACTTGGCGACGTATCTGATGAAAACGTTCCACTGCTTGTGAGCCAATCAGATTTAAAGAAAGCATTTGACACGTTGCCAGAGGACCAGCAAAAAGTGTTACAGCGTACGGCAGAGCGTATCAAATTGTTTGCACAAACGCAACGTGCCTCAATCAGCAACTTTGAGCAGAAAATTGATGGCGGGTTTGCGGGTCAAGATGTACGTCGAGTATTTTGGTTTTTTTATATCTCGTCTCTTTTTTTATACAGTTATATAAAGCATAAGCAAAAAGCTCATGTTTATTTTGGGCATCATGATCTGGAAATTTAGGTATCACCAATACGGACAGCTGGATGTTATGCTCCTGGTGGCCGTTATCCTTTACCATCATCTGTATTAATGACGGCAGTAACTGCACGAGTGGCAGGTGTAAAAACAATTGTCGTCTCTTCTCCTCGTCCAGCACCCGTGACACTTGCGGCAGCGTATTTGGCTGGTGCTGACTATTTTCTCGCAATAGGAGGAGCTCAGTCAATTGCTGCAATGGCGTATGGTGTTGGTGGCATTCCAGTATGTGACATTATTGTAGGACCTGGCAACAAGTGGGTGACAGCAGCGAAATCGCTTGTATATGGAAAATGTGCTATTGATATGTTAGCTGGACCGTCTGAGTGTCTCGTAATTGCCGACGAGACAGCGGATGTTGTGACAATAGCGGCGGACTTGTTGGCCCAAGCCGAACACGATACGGCGGCAATGCCAATTCTTTTGACAAATAGTCAGAAAATTATTGACGAAGTGAATGAAGAAATTAGAAAGCAATTGGAGACACTAACGTCGGCCCCAATAGCTCGTGTCAGTGTGCAAAACGGCTTTGCGGTACTCTGTCCTGACATGGCTACATGTATAAATTTATCGGATGTGCTCGCGCCTGAGCACCTGGAAATCATTACGAGCAACGCCTGTGAAGTTGCAAATCAGGTCACAAACTATGGTGGACTCTTCATTGGCGGACGTGCCGCTGAGGTTTTTGGTGATTATGGTGCTGGTCCGAATCATGTGCTTCCAACTGGTGGTACTGCCAAATACACGGGTGGACTCTCTGTGCACACGTTCCTACGTATACGCACTTGGATGCGCATCGACAATGCTCAAGAATCACAGGCGCTTGTGCAGGACTCGGCACTGCTGGCTCGCATGGAGGGCCTTGAGGGCCACGCACGTGCTGCTGAGAAACGTCTGCTTTAGACTAGGCGTTAACAACAAATGCGTATGTTTTTTTACTCTTCCACAGTGCCACCTAACGATAGAAACACATCCAGTGCATATGCTGTTGTATGTGTTTAGCTACCCGTTGGTTACCTTTGTAAATTCAACTCAGTTTCTTTGCAATCTCTCAGCTCAGACCTGCCTTGAGAGCTGTCAGCTTACTGCAGCTTGCGTGTTGCAGTTCATCGTAAGTCAATACTGTAGCCTTGCCACACTATAACAAGGCAAGACGCAATTGAGCCAAACACGTCAGAACTACCTGTCAGGAATAGATCAACAGTAATTTTTCACAGTTCGCTGTTTCTCAAACCGTCACCATTTTCAGACCAAGAAATCCTGTTTTTTCTGGATCCCTTACTACACACTGAGTTCGTCCGTATTTCAGAGAGTTGTTTGTAAGGTTGTTGTTCACACATCCTGTCTTTCGTTTCAATTGACGTTCCATATGATTCAGTGTCATTCTCAATTTTCAACGGTATGATTGTCAACAGATTGTTAATGTCGATGATGTACAAGTTACAGAACTCGGCACGAAGAACATTCTCATGGAAGAGATGACAGCAAAATTGTGCGGCAGCGCCGACTTTAACAATTTGCAGTCACTGAACACCATCGACAACTTTCTGGTCAAAAGCTTTACTATTCCTTGTCTTTGGTCAGTGTGTCCGAAACTTACCGCGAATCGTAAACAGCTTACTAAGATTCTATGAACGAAGCTCTTCTTGTGACGTAATATCTGCTGAATATCAAGGTTTTTGTTGGTGATCACCTCCTGTCATATAGTGTATTACGATGAACACAGCGTTGCTCTGGAATGATGCAGCTGCTGTGAATTCGATTGTTGACATGTTACTCGTTATTCTTCTTTCATCCAAGAAAAGTGAAATGTGAAGTTAATGACTGCAATTGACAGTTCAAAGTGTAAGCAGACCAGATACATGAAAATTGACCTGTACATACGTACAAACGTTCTTACCGAAATGTACAACCCAAAAGCTTAAGGTCATCAACACCCATGTCATCAGTTTCACTTGCACGAGAAGCGCTTGGGTTTCTAGCACAAACACCAAATGGTAAATTGCTTGCAGCCGACAATTTCGCATCATCAACAGCGTGGGGGTATCACAAATGAGCCAAATTCCAACAGCGCGTAGGCGTGAGCTATGAAAAGTGTGTCGCCTACATTCTCGCGGTTAACGCCAGCCAAGTCCATGTGATATGGTACGCTTGGTAGATTCACAACCAACAGTATAAAACTTGCGTATAGAACTGGGATGATTAATTCAGATACTCAAACACTCAGATGTAAGAATTGTCGGATGTGAAGAAGCTAGAACATCGATAATAATCGTGTCACGGAATTCCTGTTCATTTTGAGATGGTGGAACGATGGTGGTTGATACTACAGTACTTGGCATTACAGTTGTTTCACAGTGGCGGGGCAGCTCCACGGTCTTTTTTAGTTTTTTAATCGCGGAAGCTTGCGAACTCCATTGCCCAACATGTTTTGAAGTGTTTTGAGGAGAGATTGTCCTTCGTGTGATAAATTTTGTGGGAGGCACGAATGTGGAAGAGCGTCCTGACGATCTTGCTGCTCAAACTGTCCTTGACACGGACCAACAATCTTACTACTGGTATTAGATTCTCGCTGTTCAAAGTCACAGCGCAGGCCTGATGAAATCAAGACAAAATCGTATCTGTTCATTTATGTAGACTTTGAAGAGATATTGCGTTCTGGCCAACGTCAAGAATCATCACAGTAGTCACTGTCGTGATTGAAGACGTGTTCTGCATGCATGTGGCAAGGAACATCGAGTTGAAGAAGTCAAGTGTAACGATGACGCCTTCAGGAACCATTTCTTCCATGTGCAAAATAGCTAGAAACCACTTTTTCAGGATAAATTTCATACCAGGCAAGCTGAAGGATCACGGGTAACTCAAACGATGTACAGGAGACATAATCAAAGAGCACCTCATACGCTGTGTACAGTAATGCCATTACGACCTGAGAGCTGCTGAAAGCTGACAAGCAAGATGAGTTCATCTTGATGCGTCACCATTTGACGAAATATTTGTTTCCCAGCAATGATGCGGAACAGAACAGCAGCACGTACAGGCTCATGATTGTCAGAACAATGAAAGGGACTGGAAAAACCCAGAGCGAAGCCAGAAGTATTCCAGCGGCCGGGTACATAATTGCGAGGCCGACGAAACTTAATGCATATTGAAGTTTAGACACAACAACGCCTGGAATCATGTGGATCTCACAAAAGTAGCTATTCGAACTGCCAAGAATGCCAAGGCGAATCCAGAATCCAAAGTTTGAGCTCCAACCTTCCCCTGGGTCCTGTGTAGAGGTATGCATTTCTGAAATAAGACAAGAACTGCCATAGGTAGTGGGGTTTCGATGCATACCATCAGGGCTCGTGCAAATGATGTGTTTCGAGTGTATTCTTCCAATGCAAAAAATAATCGTTCGATAAAGTACTTTCCGCCATAGCTGATCTGCATTGTACGATACGCTTGAAGCAATGAAACTCATTACAAAACCTGGATATCAAGGTTCATTTGGCACTGGCGGTGGTTCCATGTAGGATGTCGGCGGATATTAATTTGGGCATTGCAATCATGAGGCAGGACATCATCGTGAAAACACAAAAAACGGTGCCGTCCTAGAAGTGGATTAACAAAGGAGATGTAACCGGTGTTCGGTTTACTTGATCTCGCAGAAACGACCATTTGCATGGTGGATTATTGAACGGCAGGTTAACGATGTTGTGCCATGCTGCAACTCTTGGCCTCCGGTCAGTACAAATAAAGTGGTTAGCGTTTGAGTTCCAGATGAAGTAATTTTTTTTGATTGAACTCGTCGGTGAGAACTTCAAAGATGGAAGCCGAACCAATTTCTTGCTTCTTTCACAATCTACAGTCAATACTAGTTTTCCAAATTAAACGGACGCAGAGAAGCTACCTTTGCCTGCTCGATCTCACTAAAATGCACAGCACACAAGTACAAAGTCATTAACAACAACTGATCAAGAGGCATTTGAATTGATGCGTTTTCCAACGCCTTTTTCGAATTTTGTCGTTCACGTCATGTGGACATGCTTTTAAGTGGAAACCCATACAGACTAATGGTCTGATCTGGAACCACTGCCGAGAAGCGATATACATGCTAACACATTTGCGCGTGAGATATAGTACCACATATTACCGTTTGTAAGATTGCATCTCGAGTCAGAACACGTTTAGTATGGCGTTTAAACATTTCTGTCATCATTGCTGCTGACATTTTGTTGACAAGAGAAAACGCTTTACCACGGAGCAACTTGCAGCACAACTGTCTCTGCAAAGTGGACGCCCAGAACACAGTTCCATCTCATAAAAGTTGTTAACTATCTTATGGACATTTCTTGTGCATGAGTGAGGCACCGTGCTCCGCGTATTCGGCCTTGGACATCCACATTTCATGAAATGACCCCAATGACGCTAGAATTGAACCACCAAGGAAAGCACCAACGCGACGCTCCTGCTGGTGCGCCGCAACTACCTTCACGCGCAAACTGTTAGGAAACCCGCCCGACGCACCGTTGTTTCCAGGCCCTGTCAGGGACAACGGCATACCGCTCAATCTCGTCACCACTTCACGTTCAATTCGGGTTGGCATGTTCTCAAAACACGAGCTGCCCCCCGTCAGCACAATGTTCTGAAAAAGTTCTTTACGTAAATCAGTCTCTGTCGTAACTCCTCCTGTTTCACAGATCAACTCTGGGAGTCGCATACCGGGAGCATTAACTGTGGAGCTTCTTGTATCAATACTGGATGTCACGTTGTTTGCAGAACTTGGCCCTACTTCTTGTAGAAAATAATGCTCTGCCACACTAAACCGCTCAGTACCCATCGATACAATGGTCTTATCAGGCAATTCATAACTAATAAGTGGTAATTGCGCATTCTGCGCTTCGTCAAACGGTCCGTCAGCTGCACGACACAGTCCACTTTCCTTGGCTTCTACAACATAGGACCACGCTTGCTTCTTCCTCTTGGCAATTTCCATCTCCATGGATGTTGTTACTGCTCTTTGCTCTAAACTCTGAACAATTTGCGGTGCTAACTTGAGTCTCAAAAAGGCATCCAAATCATGACCACCAAACGATACCACCTGACTCTTAGGGTATGCAAATGCATAACCTTCATGAACCGACGTGACGCTAGTATACGTTGCTCCCATTTCCACTACGAGGCCACTGGTCCTAGCATTCGCATAACAAGCTAGGACGGCACTTTTTGAACCAAATAGTGCAGGGACCCCAAGTTCTTCCATAATTACTTCCACCATCTGTTCTCGGGCTTTCAGGTCCCTTTTCTTGCTATTGCTACTGACCTGGAGTATCTTGGTCTCGGACTTAGTCATGGCTGAGACGTCCTGCTTATCCTGATCCTGTCCTATATCGTCTGTCACATCTTCTGGCAAAGGAAATGGTCGTTCTACCAATAAGAGCGGATGTTCACTGAGCTTCGTCTGGAGTCTAGAACAGCTGGCGTCAAAAAGCCATTGGGCTAATTTTTCTGGGTCACGCTCGATCTGCGCCGATCTGTAACTCAGTCGTCGGCCTGAATCATGATCGTCCTGCCCGTCCTCAAATGGTATAGGACGCTCGTAAACACGCGGAAAGTCCTCACCAGCGTAGCCAAATTTACATTTTGATGTGCCAAACTCAAACACTAGTGCATCCAGGTCGTTTTTCTCTGTTGTAGCACTCGAAAAGGGCACATTACCAGCACCATGATGGTCACTTTCGTTTGCTCCACCTCCTGCATACATGGTTGTTTGATCCAAAGACTATAATATAATTGTGGATCGAATGTTGTACGATTATGTGTAAGAAACACCAAATAGGATGCTCTGAGAACCATATATTTTCGTCGATACGTCTTGTCCCTCTTAACCATGTGGAAAAGCAAATCCTTCTTTTCAAGCTTTATGAATACTTCCTTCAATATAACTATTCCCAGTTTGAACCCATGAGTTGTTTCAACTGTTAGTTTGTAGCTTGCTTTGTTTTCAAGTTTACCTTAATGTACATTGATTTGAAGATTGGTTCGCTTACATCTCTCGACCTACAACTCGAACGAAGCCTATAGAGTAAGATTCAGCTGTAATTGCTACGACGCAACACCATTTTACGAACGGTCAATAACACAATCTGCTCATGATATCCATCCTGTGATGTGTGAGCTACGCGACATGTCCCAACGATTAACTATTAAGCCGTATACACGATGTTTCAACAAGACATCATAGAAAGATTGCGGGGAACAGCATATCGATCGACTGCATCATTCATTGTAGACATGATGCTAACTAATCTGACTCTGCCCTACATTTTGCATATCCAATAACAGCATAAACCTGCGCGTGAATTCCTCACTACAGTTGAGCTCAAGCGTTTACACAGCCGTAAGTTGCGTCCTTTGTTGCACGCGTCTCTGCTTTGCTTTAACAATGGCGCAAGTCATTAACTAATGTGTGCAGTTGTGCCCATCTGGAAACATTTTCCGTCTGCAACTTTTTTTGCTGAGCTCGATACCACACAATTCAATTCTCCGCGCCCAAAACAGTTATGCGTATAAGACTCATCATACTTGTGGCCTCGTCGGTCGCTCTTCTTACCACGACCAAGGGAAACCTAGCATCTAAGGGCATGGTGGGTGAAAAGACCAAGGTGATCAATGATGAGCAGATTGTCAAACGTTCTCTAAGGAATGAGAACATAAGCGATTCGAGTGCGGTCAATGATGAAGAGCGAATGATGAACGCTGAAGGCAACAAAGCTAAACTCGTCGAAGACATTGTGACTTACCTTAAAACTAATAACGAAAGCTTGGATTTAAATAAAATCAAAATTTCAATAATGAAACATATTAAGAAATATGAGGCGGTTCTTGACGAAATTAAAGCGATGGGAAAAACCAATGAATTTATACTTCGTAAGATTGATTACATGGTTGCATCTATGGGAACTAACAAAAAACGTGATGCGATAAACGCTGTAGTAGAAAATTTGAAGGAAAATCACATAACTGTTAAGGAGATTGCGAGAGCAGCAAAAACCATCGATCCGGAAACCACAGAAAGGAAACAGGCCAACTTTTTACTCCTAATGTACGATGGATATCTGCAATCGGCGCGTGCCAATTCTCCGAATGGGTTGTCTTAATGTCATGCCGCAGTCAAAGCTAGAGCCGCCGCACTTTTTGCATTCGGCTCTATTTACATCACAATTGAAGGTGTAGTTGTTGCTGGCAAAAGTCGTAGTACGATTGTTATTGTTAACACTAATACAACTACGTGATTTGCTCCGCAGCCAAGCTAGAATTGTGTTTTTGTTGCACTTGTCATCGTTAACTGTTTGCTTTCCTCGTAGCATTATGTCGTCTACATCGTTCAGGTGCACAGATGGCATTATAGCCCGACATCTTCACCTTATCCGTAAGCACAGCGGTATGCGTGATTAAACAAGTACGAGTAAACACGTTATCGCCGGACTACCACAAGGTGGTCAATAAGATATTAAATGATCCGTTGGAGACTCATGAAACCTTGTCCGAAAAGGTAGCGTTGTCCAACTGGTGCAAATGATTGATTAATTAAGAAGCGCAAATGTGGTGACGCAATGTGATTACTGCAATGATTGAGCATCAAACGTAGCTGCTAGTATATAGTAGAATGGTGAAAGCAATGGGCACTGTTGCAAGAATGAATGGCTACGAGTTTCAAACAAAAGAAATGTTTGGAAGGCACGTACGGTGCTGTATGGTATATGTCCATTAGGAATACACATGTTCAAAAGAGCTATATATGTGCAACATTTTAACTCCTTCACCTCCATTTGTTTTGTCACTAACGTAAGACTTAGCTCAGAAAAGTTTATGCCTTGCTTAACGAGTGTGTTTGTTTTCTACTTTCAGACTAAGATGTATCAACTGACCTTGTGCAGTAGCCGTACACCAGGAAAAACAGTACAATTATGTCAGCTTTTTGCTGTTTGCTTTGATGACGAAAGCATTCAAAGTTTCTTCGTTTCAATTGTCCTGCCACAAAAAGTCACGTTACTCACTCTTCTTTGATCACTATCGGCGTCATGCTGCTGATCTTTGCACTCCGTCGCACGATGCTTCACTATATTATGTTGGACAGCATGGCACAGCAACATGAATGGATTACTCCTTGTAAAGGGCCTGTTAAAGCTCAATCCATCCAAAAAAGAGCAGTAGGTCACATCGATGAAGAGCCCAGAAAGTATCAGTCAAATCACGCAATTAGATTATTGACTACCAGGATATTATTACATGTTGTAGCCTTAAAGTCAACGCGTGTAGAGGCTTCCTACTTATTATGAGCACAGTGATTGATGCCGCTTCATGGAGCGCTAAGTATATATATATGCAGAGAAATCGTAGTGTTGTTAGCTCGAGAATGTAGAGTCACTTGAACAGCGGTCTTTCAGTATATGACAAGCAACATTAAACGACTTACTGTAGATGCCATGAAATCTAGACGGAAGAGAGGATGCAGCTCGAGAAATCGAGGTCTCCAATGCAATTCTGTCATACGAAAATCATCATGGTGAATACTACAATATACCTGCACGAGACTCAATATAGGTCGTGATTCGTCTGACAGCTACATGACTATCGTTTTGTACGTAGCACTAAGCTATGTGACGTGTTGATGAAATTGCAGCAAAATTGGTAAGAAGTTTTGCTTCTACGTGCTCTTCAAACACGGCTCCACAGAACATGTTGCAATGGAGTATATCAAAGCGGGTGCTACGGAATGTCGTCAGGCATGTAAAAGTCGTTTGTCTGCACTACTACGTATAAACGCTAATGATTAGTCGGTAGGTGCACAAGGATTGACACGTCGCAATCTGCATAACAAATTTACTACATCATGTGCTTCCGTGCACCACAGAACTCCATCTGGTCACACAATAAACCAAACAATGGTCGTAGGTAGTACGGTACTTGGCATTATCGTTGCTTTACTGCGCCATGGCATGAAATACTTGGTACAGTGCTGACCAAATGCAAGCGTGAAATTTCCAGTCCCAAGTGTTTCCTCAGTAGTTCTCCTTTTAAAGAGAATCGAAGCCCCTTGACGTTGTTTTAAGCTTTATTCTCTTGCACGGGTTTCCTCTTCCTTCGCAACAACTTGTTTGTAGAACGGGGTAGAGCTTAAAACAATCCGAGCGCCATTTTGCATGTCTGCTCATGTAATCGTTATGATTATGATTAGTAATCGACAAGTATTCTGCTGCTGCCAGGCAATGGAGTTCGCAAGCTTCCGCAATTCAAAAAATCAAAAAGACGCTTGCGCTTGGTTCCTATACTGTTGTCTACTTGGAACAAAACACGTGATTGAGACGTACTCGAATACAATTGTGTGGTCGATGAACATGGTATTGCATGCAATAACGAACGGGTGAGAATGCAACGATGGCTTCCCTATTAACGATAGGTTGACATTGTTTATGCGAGACACATCATGCTTATGGTCGTTCTGCATTGAAGTTTTCTGCAGGTGTACCCGCAAGGGTTTTACCATGTCCGAGTGATTACAGCTTTCTTAGATTAACAATTTGCTGTGAAATGTCATTGCTGGGACATCAGCAGGTCGAGTTTGGCTGGACTATCAATGGATAAAATGATGATAAAGTGTTGGTCATTTTGTTGAGGAAGTCTGCAAATTCTTTAGGACACAACATTACGGAGCAAGTTTGAGCTGTCACATAGCGTCATTCTTGAGTTCAATCACGATGCTGCTTCCCAAAGGAGATGCTAAGCTCGTGCGAGATGAGTTTGTCTTGCTAAGTCGGTTTCTGGATAAACACTTTTTAATCGACACGAAGACACTCCGAGACTGTTTACGAAATCATTACGCCTTCGCAGTGTCTGTGACTGGCGGTCGGATCATTAACGTTACAGTAGTCGCCACTAAGTGCACACGACTATTCTCAGTTGCTTAACTATCTCTCGGCACCAAATGTGAATATTTGGTCAATACCCTGGCGTCTTGCGCTGTTCTGGACGTATCATATCCTGTCAAGCTGTTCACGAATGAAGAGAATGGAAACATTGTATCCCTACTATTGCGAGGGTTACATTGGAGTGATGAAAGTGTCGAGTGCGAAGTGCCTATGGGACGACTGTTAGAGCTTTTCAATGTTAATGACTTCATCGTCAGCTAAGTTAATATTCATTACGAGATGGTATGGCCATTTGGCGCTTGAAAATGGATGAACTCGTAGCCTCATGAGCATTCTGAAGTAGCAAACGAAGGCTTACATAAGAAATATTGCCATGTCTAAATTGACCTTCGTACTGAATTTCTTAACATTGGCCTTATTGCTTTGATAGCGCAAAAGTACGAAAGGCCAAATCACCATTTACCCTACAGACAAGATTACCGCTACGACATTGATACGCATACAGTTGAGCAATTCGCCTCCCACTGATTACTGGTGTCGTATCTTCATTTAACGATCGGGATAGTTTATACCTTACTAGATCAGAGAAGTATTTGCAGAGAACTTCGTTTCAATGTGATGTAATTACTGTAACGGGGTTACACTTAGGTGTGTATTGTACATACACACCTGCCACACCAATGTGGTGTGGCTGTACCTTGGGTAAAAGAATAGGCTTGATGTGACCGTTCCTAAAGTACGAAGGGTTGCAGGCAGAGAGCCACGTAGTCACTATACTTATTTGAAGTATAGTGACAGCCACGCCAATGTGGTGTGGTGTGGCTGTACCTTGGGTAAAAGAATAGGCTTGATGTGACCGTTCCTAAAGTACGAAGGGTTGCAGGCCGTAGTCACTATACTTATTTAAAGTATAGTGACCATGCATGTTTGCATAATAATAACAGGCTATAGAGCCAGTAAATAGTGACTAGCACTAAGTATAGAGTAGGTGCTTTTATATTTAGTGGTAGAAGATAAACATAAATATAAATCAGTTTCAAACCTGCTCTATAAGCATCACTGCTTGAGCGTTCTATTCTTCCTGAGGAATTGTATTATTGATACTAGTCTCTTTGAGACGCGGTTGTGACAACCGATAGGCACAAGCTTACGAGCTAGCCTAGGAGGGTTAAGCGCCCTAAGACGTAGAAGCTCTTGGAGCTTGTCTTCCTCTGTACATAGTGCATAAGTAGCTCGGCTACACCTGGTAGCACTTGCAGTCAATCCTTACCTGGGTTTGCGACTACTTCTCTGTGTGAGAATGGACATCGATGAGATATCAGCGGTTGGCCTGTCACAGGCACAACAGGAAGGGTTGAAGAAGCTGCTACCTATTCTTGGCCCTAAGGGCGTGGAGTACCTCATCGCCCAGGGCGAAGAAGAGGTTAACAAGCGTATTCATATGCTTGATGAATATAACAAAGCTCTAGTCGAGCATGCAAAGGCACGGATGATATCTTCTGCGCCTTCGCCCATGGCGACTATGGCGCAAGAAGCGGTCCGCAGACCAAAACCCATACAAATGGAAGTCGATAAGTTCGACGGCAAAGAAAGTGACAACCTTATGGTTTGGTTCCAACAGGTCGAGTCGGCTATGTTTATAGCCGACATCACCTATGAACCATACCGTGTGGGCTTTGCCACGGGTGGTTTAGCTAAACAGTGGGCATTCACATGTGGTGCATCACTACAAGATGCTTTTCTAACATGGGCCGATCTGAAGTTCAAATGATCCTGCAGTATGCACCGCCGAATCAAGCACACCGTAACTGGTCGCGGTTTTTGGCGTGTCACCAAGGCAAGCGTGAGCTTGCGGCATATGTGTAAGAGTTGAGAACTCTCAATGCTGCCATGGTCATAGACCCTATGCCTGAGGCAGTAACCGTCACGGTCTACATGGAGGGCCTCCGAGTTGGCGCTGCTAGAACGAAAGTCTTCCGGGTAAACCCGTCCTCATTTGAGGAAGCTGTTGGAGTGACATGGAATGCCGAGACCATCATTAAGGCCGCTAGGCCCGCCACTTATAACTACTTGTCTGATGGGTCTGTACCCATGGACTATAGTCAAGTGGAGGATGAAGAAGCTGAGCTTCATGCTGCGGAGCAGCAAATTGTGCGCAGTAGATGTTATATCTGCAAGAGCACAGGCCATTTGATGGCAAAATGTCCTGCGAGAAACACTTATTTGGC